GTAGCTGCGGCCCGGATACTGAGATTTTGGTCTTTTCTGATAGCTTGAAGAGCAAGATTTATTTTTCGTTCCTCATTAATAGTTGCCATCGCTGGTGGTGGAGAAAATCATATTGAAAGTTGGATGGTGTGGAAATTTGGTGAGGTGTTTCACTCGCTTGTCTGTTTCACTCGCTTATCATGCACGTTATTAGTAGAGAGATATGCCTGTCTAGGAGTATGTACTCCGTATATCTACAAATGCTTTAAGGTATATAATTTAATGTATCTGTGTCCATCCGTATATGTCTGATGTTGCCGCTGCGCAAGTCAACAAGTCAAGCCATGCTGGCTCCCTCCCATCTTATGTGTACATTGTATATTGCTCATGCCGAACCGTACGGTATGGCGCTTTCAATGTCGACGAACCCATAATTGCTGGGATCGCCAGAGGCCATCTTCTCGCTCCATTTGGCCAAGTCTTTCATGAAGGCATCGACGTTCTCCTGCTTGGACAGATCGATCGGCTCTTGACCCTTTCCGATCTGTCTGATCTGAGAGCCACCAGCGATATTGGTCAGTCCGAAATTGTCGGGGTCGAGTTTTTGGGCCAGAGCGCCGGTAATGCTGCCATCTAGTATATCTTTTGCAATCCGCGGTTCCTGGCATGCAGGCCGGCCAAGACCGACTCCGTCGACGGATTGGAGGGCATTCACCATTCCCGCCACGGTCTTGAACCCGCCGGTGACATACGTCTTGGTCTTCTGCAGGCCAGGCGTGATCTTTTCAGCGAACTCCAGGAAGAAAGCCTCTCGCTTCCTGGTGCTGTCCCGCTTGTGAGCAAAGGCTAGGGATTGGTATGTGCCACCGCTTAACTCGACGAAGTCAAATTTGGCTTCCTCCAGTAGAGTGCACAGCTCTCTAGCCTCCTCAGCAGTAAACCCACCTTCCTGGAACTCGACTGAGTTGATCTTGATCCCAAGAATGAAAGAGGAGGGCAATTTCTGCCGGATAGACTCGGCGATTTCGAGGATAAGCCTAGCACGGTTGCGCAGGGGTCCGCCGTACCCATCGGTCCTCTTGTTGGTCGTCAGCGACAAGAATTGAGCAAGGAGGTAGCCGTGTGCGCCGTGAAGTTCGATGCCGTCGAACCCGGCTTGGTGGAGGTATTCGGCTGCGTGCGTAAACCGGGCGATGATGTCCTTGATCTCTTCGAGGGAGGCAGCGTGTGGTTTCGCAAACTTCATGCCCATCACCTCCCCCTCGAGCTGAACATCGCTGGCCGAAACCGGGTCCGGGTTGTTGATTGCTTCCACTTGCCGTCCAGGGTGGCTGACCTGTCCCACCATCAGACTGCCGTGGGCCTTGGCCTTGGTTGCCAGCTCTTTGAAGGCTTCAAATCGCTCCCCTTCAAAGGGGGCTTCGAGAGGAATGATCGGGTTGCCCCTAGCTTCGAGCTGGTGATAGTCAACCATGATGTTGCCGCTGAGGCAGACTCCAAATTGCCCCTCGCCCCATCGTTCGTAGACCCGGATCAAATTCTTTGACGGGACACCTCGTTTCTCCTTGTGCGCCAGGTCCCACGATGATAGTCGCTCAGTCATTGCCGCCTTGAGGAGACGATTTTGAGCGGTTCTCCCACTAAACTCGAAGTGCAATGGTTTGCCTAGCGGAGAGGCATCCTGCACATCCGAAGGATAACGGTCGGACATGGTAGCAGGGCACGATCTCGATCACGATCACGATGTGTATGTAGGCTAGGGTACGGCGTGAGTGGGAAAAGTATGTTTGAGGTCGATTTGCCTCCGTTCTGATTCTACGGGCAAGCTGGGCATCTTTATATCCGTACCGTGACTCTGGATTCCCGGAAAAGGTTCAAGAAGGATCTGCGTCGCTCCACAGGAGATGTCAGCACGGGGACACTGCGACAGAGTCATGGACGAATGGTCCGAGACTCGACCGTCAATTTGTAAGACCGATGGTAGAACATGGTGGAATAACAACGACGTCAGGTGACATGACAGCCATGAGACCGCCATCCACATCGTTCAATTCACTTCTTCATTAACGGTATCTCCGAGGGTCGCCGCTTGCCCAAAGCATGAACAAGGCCAACGATACGATATAGAGGTCCGGAGGAGACCGTAGAGAGTGGCGGAAACTAATGGTGATGTCACCCAGATAGACATCCCTGCCTAACGTCAGGTCAGGTCCGTGATGGACACAGCGGCCGACAACCACTATACAACAGGGTAAAGCAGTATAGGTCGCAAGAGGACGTCGTCATCAAGTCTATAAAGAATCAGGAGCGAAATCACGCAGTCTGTATATACTTATTAAGGTACAAAAAGGGCACAGGGCGGACGCCAGAGCACTGGAACAATAAGCAGCGGAAATCACGTGGACACATTGTGGTAACTCATTCATTGTCTACAGCACGTCGATGCCCCCCAAGAGCCCGCTGCTCACAACTGGTCATTCTTGTACAGCTTTCTATCGCGGCCAAAGTGCCGCTCCACCTCTGGCAGGGTGCTGCTGCCGTCAGAAAAGCTCAGGTTGTCGACGAACATTTTGGCCTGCTCGAAGATCGACATTTGGATCATGTTCTGGATCGACGAGCGCAGGATGATCATCTCCACGCCCTTCCACTTCGAAGAGCGCGAGGCTGCCTTGGCCGCAGCGTTGAAAGCCGCAGAGAGAGCCGCAGTGGGCTTGGTGGTCGAAGAAGAGGGACGAGGGGCGTGATCGGCGCCAACAAGATTGTTCTGAGCGCGAGTCTTCATTGTATCCAAAGGATAGGTCTAAAAGCCTGGTCAGTAAATGAGGATTGCTTCAGGGGGACAGGGGACCATAGGAGGAAAGACATACCACGACCCAAGCACCAACACCGCAAATGGCACCAGCGACAGCAACAGCCCCTGCAGAATTCGCCCTCTCGGCACCGTAGTAGGAATTCAATGACTGCTTGGTGGTCTCGTATATGCCAAAGTAGATTCCACTTCCAATGACATCGCGGAGGAGATGGAGACGGAAGCCAGTCCACAATCCCAAGACGCCTTGTCGAGCAATGACACGTTTCATGGACATGTAGGAGCTGACTCTGGCAACATTCTTTTCTCCCCCTGCACCAAGACCAGTGTCTTTGCCCCTAGAAGCCATGAGAACGGAGGTTTGGGTTGCATTTTTGATGAGTTCGACAGGAGCTGTAGACTGATTAGCTTGAGCATTCTCTGCGATTCGATTCGGCAAACGTACTCAACGCAACGGCAGTAACACCTCCTGAAACCATGCCTGCGCCAGTAAAGCAAGTCACGGTTGATAGGTCGGGGTAGGTGCCAGGCTTGTTGACATGTTGGAGGGGAGATCGGCCGGTGGCTGTTTCGATCCAGCTGTCAAAGGTGTACTTTGCCTTTCGGTAGATCGAAAAGCCTAGAGCGCGCGAGACCGTGATTGACACCAGCGGATTCAATGTACCTGAGCAAATGGATGAGCCGCGTGTTTTGATATTCAAGGAATTTGCCATACCAGCCCAAAAACCACGAAGACCTTCAGTGCGGTAGGTGTATTTTAAAGCTTGGAAAGCATTTGGGAAATGGCATCTGCTCTCGGTCAGCATCATCGGTCTATGAGGCTTCAGGGGATACGTAGGGGATACGTACGATTGCATTCGGACTTTCATATTCTCCAAAGGAGCCTGTCTGCTTGTCAATCTTGTCCTCTGCTGAGGGCGTTTTGAGATCCACTCACGCCTGCAACGACAGCCAAAGCGCATGCAGGAGCCGAAGAAAGAACCTGTCTGTACTTCTTTGCATAGTAGATTTGAGTATCCTTGGAGTTCCAAGTAGTGTCCAACTTCGTTTGAGGCGCCATGATTAAGGGTGGTTGAGATGATTTGGAGGGAAATTTTGAAGCTGGATCATGGTCAAGAGGCGAAGTGTCGTGTTGTTTGCTAGCATGGCTCATCGCCGGGGACGATCCAGGTCAATAAACCACTATATGATGTCGCAGACTGGACGCAGCGTCGAACGATACTTGTTCAACACACAATTGGGCTGCGGAACCCGATGGAACGCAAGAAGATCTCTCAATCACATGAGAAGATCTCTCCGCGTTCCACACTCCATAACAGACTCTTTATTTATGAACTTCTTTTCCCATCGCAGACACAAGCCTCTTAAGACAACGGATGGTCAAGCACAAGAGCACTTGCTGGATACGGCACGGGCACCGAAGCACTCACTCGGACAACGGAGTGCTCAGAGGAATGGACAGAGGTAGGTTTCTAGCCAATTGATGCTTTCGGCCTGTTTGACCTTCAAACTTTTTGTTCCGTGCTTGAAGGAGACGGGATCTTTGGGGCTCAAGCTGGACCTCTCGAAAGGGGTCCCCAACACACAACGTGCCAAAAAGCTGTGGAGAGGGACAAAGCCGCCCACGAGAAAGCGTGCAAGAGCTGTGAAGCTGGAAACTGGAAACGTTGTGGTTGTGGCTTCGTCGATGTAGGGGACCGATGGGGGGAAGATGAGAAGGATGAAGAGTTGTGCCAATGGAGACAACAATGAGAATGGAAGCCGAAGCCATTGTTGGGCCGCATGTGCAAGCTACGGGCATGCTCTGGGCAGTGTCTGGGCACTGTGGGCAGTCTATGGACTGCTTAGGTGCCTCAGGCAGGAGAGTGGCAGCTGATGTGGGGTGGAAGGGTGGAAGGGAGAATGGCTGGTGGGGGGAGAAGGGGGGCACTGGGCAAGAACGGGAAACCCATGCACCAATGCCACCCATGCCGCCCACCAATGTTGAATGCAGTCATTATTGATTCATTCATTGGTGTCATCAAAGAAAGCAATCCAGTGACGTAACCTGGCGGATATGGAGCACCAGGAGCACAGGGAGTGGTATGCCAGACTGAACTTGCCCTTTAGCCAGCCGGTCCTGCTGCCGCCGGTGCTCATGGGCATGCCTAGGGCGCAAGGGAGACCAGGCTTAGGAGGTATCACACCAACGCATCCCTGAAACTCACCGATTGCTGGTTGGCCAAAGGTCTGGCCTTCAAACCATATTCGAAGAATAGTGGCAGTGGTGATCAAAGCGCGTCACGGCGTGCAGTAAGCGGATGATCATCTGTGTAGGTCGTCTGGATTTGCCATTTGCCTGGTATTTACCTGGGCCTGGTACTTAGATATCTGTAGGTACGGATAGAGGGGTACTCTGGCTCAGAGACCTAAAGAGTACAGTAAGCCTCGGTTAGTGCGATCACGAAAATTTCAGTCATTTCATCGTTATAGAGGCGGTATCGATATACCTAATAATCCTTGGCACTACTCTTAGCACTACTAAGGGGTACTAGTATAATTATATAAGCAAAATATCTCTTATTATCTTCTTATCGCCATAATAAGCCTCTTATCGTCTTCTTATCTCCACGATAAGAGGTCGTACTATAGCGATACCTAATAAGTTTCTAGAAAACCTAACGATATACGCTTATATCTATAAATATCACAAATAACGCTAGTTTTATATACAAATTTCGAAAATTTTTCGTAAGGCGTAACGATATCCTGCGACATCGTACTAAGGTGCTATCGTACTAACCGAGGCTTACTGTAGTAAGGTAATATGGAGTACTCTTGTATCTGTATATGTACGGAGAAGTGTGCGACATGGTAAGGTACTCTGCACTCCTATCTAACCCTAACCCTAACCCTAACCCTAAGCAACTCCCTAGGGCTTCCTGAGTGCTCCCTAGACCGACCTCGGTGTTTTCTGCTTCGGCGCTTCCTCCCCGCAATTCAACCCTCCCCCAGTGGTCAGTCCCTAGTGTCCGTGGCCTAAGCAGCCTAGCAGCCTTTCTGGAATTGGAGATGCCGCAGATCCATCGGCTTTGGCGAGGCGACACACCTCAAAGCCGAGGATGTCGGTCCAAATCCGTGGACTACGGGAGATACGGCCACCACTCCACCACTACAGAGTACTTCTATAACATCAGTATCTCTGTCAGCCACGAGTTCTCTCGCTCAGAGCTTGTTCAACCTGCAACCCTATCGTCGTCTATCGTTCGATTTCTGTGCTCTCCCTTGCAGTCAGGACAACCCTTCGATCACCGCCTCCCGCCTCTCTCTCTCCAACATCTGGCCCTCGTCCTGATCGCCGACCATGCCTCGCAAACAACCCGCGCCCGCCTATATCCTGGGGGTGGGTATGACCAAGTTCATTAAACCCCGTGGAAAGGTCGACTACACCGAACTGGGCTTCGAAGCCGGTATCAAAGCTTTGCTCGATGCTCAGATCACCTACGACGATGTCGACCAGGGCGTTGCGTGCTATTGCTACGGCGACTCTACTTGCGGCCAACGCGTCTTCTACCAGTTCGGCATGACCCAAATCCCCATCTACAACGTCAACAACAATTGCTCGACCGGAAGCACTGGTCTGAACATGGCCCGCCAAGCCATTGCCTATGGCGCTGCGGACTGTGTCCTCGTCGTCGGCTTCGAAAAGATGAGCCCTGGCAGTCTCCAAGCATATTTCAACGATCGCGAGAACCCTACCGGTACCACTAATGCTATGATGAAGGCGACAAGAGGCGTCACCAACGCTCCCGGGGCTGCGCAGCTCTTCGGTAATGCTGGTCGAGAGTACATGGAAAAGTATGGTGCCACGGCGGAAGACTTTGCCGAAATCGCGCGTGTCAATCATGAACACAGCAAGAGAAACCCATACTCTCAGTTCACCGACGAGTACACACTAGAACAGATCCTGAAGTCATCTATGATCCATCCGCCGCTGACCAAACTCCAATGCTGCCCTACCTCTGATGGCGGCGCCGCCGCCGTCGTGGTGTCCCAGGATTTCCTCGACAGACGCCCACATCTTAAGTCGCAGGCTATATTGATTGCCGGCCAGCAGCTCGCCACCGACTCTCCAGACCTTTTCAGCCGATCATCCATGGACCTTGTTGGATACCAAATGTCCGTGTATGCTGGCCAAAAGGCCCTGGAACAGGCGGGCATCACTCCTGATGATGTCAAGGTGGTCGAACTCCATGACTGCTTCAGTGCCAACGAGCTCTGCACGATTGATGCTCTCGGCTTGTGTCCCAAGGGCAAAGCACACGAGCTGGTCCGAAAAGGCGGCATCACATATGGGGGGAAATATGTTATCAACCCATCTGGCGGCCTGATTTCCAAAGGCCACCCTCTTGGTAAGGCATTTTTCCCCCGGATCACCTGTCCGACTCGGGGCTAACATATGCATAGGGGCCACTGGCCTTGCTCAATGCGCCGAATTGACGTGGCACCTCCGAGGCTGGGCCAACAACCGGCTGGTCGACGACACGAAATACTGCTTGCAGCACAACCTCGGCCTCGGCGGCGCCGTGGTTGTGACTGTATACCGGCGTGCAGACGGCAAAGTCGCCGCCCCGGTCTCAGACCAGGAAGTCGGGAGGATCAATGGTCTGGGATACAATCCAGCCACCGAGGCCAAAGGCTTCACTCCCGAGCAAGTCAGGCGCACAGTCAGCCAGAAGCAGTTCTCAGATTGGGCCGTTCAGGACGTCCCGTCCAAGGTACAGGCCAGATTTTAAGTGAATCCGATTAGCTTAGCCCTCGCTGTATATAAATTGTGAAGCCGGATTTTACTGTGCCAGCTAGCCGTCATCTGATCATCTCATCTGATATCCAATCCATCCAACCCCCTCTACGGACTAGATTCCAACCTGACTGACTATATCTCTCACGCCCCTAGTAATGACCTCCTCTAGACGGAGTCCATTCCTCCCAGGTATTCCGCTAGCCATACACGTCCTCCGTGCTATGTAGCGATTACTGCTACTCTACACAACATGATATACCCTCGACATGGTAAGGTAGGTAGACACGCAGACAGACACTCACTTCGTAGGATATGCTTAATGGCTAACATAACTTTTGGGTTATTCCATACTTGCACAACTGCGCCATTCCATTCCATTCCATGCCGTTCAGTCCGGTCTGGTCACATAGTTAGACCCAGGCCTTGTTGTAAAAGGCATCTAAGTTAACCTCTTGTCCAGGAAATACACGCTGCCTTTGTCCTGCTCTGTTGACCAGGCCTTGTCCCTGATCTGTCTTGGACAACTTTCATGAAAGAAGGGGTATCATGTCTCTTAATCCCACAAGCACACCCATTCCGCAAACCATACCAGGTTTTCACGAACGCCATCGCCATGCTCATGCTCACTTGCACTCAGCCAACTCACCCAATCCATGAACGGGGCGAGTAGTTGTCGTCCATCCGTACTCTCTGTCCCTCGGGGTCATCTCATCCATATCTTAAAGCTGATGACTTAGTCGCCCTTCGTTCCACGTCCTTTCAACGGTTTGACAGTCGCAGCAGCGTCTGCGGCTCCTCTTCTGTTTATTTGTCTTATTCAGCTCAGCCATTAACGTGGCCGGCACCCTCCGTGTCCGAGGCCTTCGCAAAATCCCCAAGGGCCGAAGTATATTGTGTTCCCGCACCTGGCCCATCGACCAACGGGCTTGTAGGCGCAGTGACCATTCCACTTTCTCGGTCCTTCTCACGCTCTCTTTCCTTTTCCTTCTCGCGCTGACCTCCAATACTGCCGCTCATGCTATCGTTCCGCCCGTGTCCTGCGCCTAGGAGTCCGCTGCGCACACTAGCGCCATCGCCGTATTTGCTGCCGATATAACTGTTCCGCTCGCTTGCCAGAACCGGTGCAGTGACGCCAGAAGCTGAAATCAGACTGGCTCTTTCGGCGCTGAAGTTGGATCGCGTGTGGACGGTACCACCACCCTCCCGAAACGAAGCATTGTCCGCAGTAGGATGAATGACAGTTCCGGACAAGACGGAAAGGGGAAGGGATTCACGACTACCGCCGAACATGGATGCTGGAGCAAGAGCCTTCATAGAGGCATTGGTGTCGACGGAATTTCGCCGGCGTCGCTTGGAGGATGATGCCAAAGTTAAAATGGAGGCGTCATCTGTGAGGATGTTGTTGGCGGTGGCGGATTGGTAGGTCGTAGGGTGTGCGTGAGGTGCGAGGTGTGCAGGGACAGCAGTGGCAGGCGGGCCACCATATGAGGGAGTCGAGTTGCTTGCGGTGGACGCATTTGTCAACATAGGAGCCGTAGGATTGTTCTGTCCAGGTGCTATTGACTGAACGGTAGTCAGGGTGGTTGCCATAGACCGGACCGAAGGCGCAGGTGACGAAAATGTACTGTCTCTTCCGCCATCTGTTTTGGTAGCCGTGGCACTGGTCCCTACTCCCGAAGGAGCAGCATCCGACCTGGTCGTCTCTGCCTGTGTGGCCAGAGTAGGAGCCCTTGACTTGTTGCCAGCCTGGCTGTCGTGGGAGACAGACACTGAGTTCTTGCTCTGTGATATGGAGCTATGTCTTGATCTCTGCGATGACAGAGGAGCCGAGGAGGATAGGTGGCCATGACTGTGAGCCTCGGGGCGGGAGGACAGAGGGTAGGGATTGTTCTTCGCAATATTGCCTTTCTTGGATTTGATGGTCATGTGGAGATTGGAACGTCTCGGACTGGCAGCGGCATCGCTGGAATCTACATGGAGGGGCTTGAGGTTCGCTAGTCGGCGCATCCATGTTGCGAAGGGGCGATGTCGGCCATGTCTATCTGCTCCTGAGGTCAGCCTCATGAGAGGGAAGGCAAAGAATGTGCTACTGCTCACCGTGAGTGCGGGGAGGGGCTTCGGTTGAAGCCATTCAGTGTTATGCGTAAGCCGATGGAAGAAACTAATTGACAACGAGCTCGACACGTAGAAGAAGTGATTTGGGATGTTCGAAGCGCAATGAGTCTCGTGGTCAAGAGGTTGGTGGGTAGATGCAGTGGAGCAAGGACGAGTACTCGTACTCGCACAAGTGATGATGACTGTACAACTTGAGCGAGATGAGGACAGCTAGCAGCATCGCTCGAAATAAAGTCACGCAACGAGCAACAGACAGCACAAAAGAAAGCTGGCTGGTGAGGCCAATGTGTTGCCAGTGCGCAGGATGTTGGACGCAGGGGATGCGGCTATGTCACGAGGTTGGGGGCGGCAAGCCACCGTGGCTGGTGCCCAACACCACACATTGTCAAGTATCTATCCGGGCAGGGCACGAGGAGAGCCAGAACAGTTCCAGTCACATGAATCGTGAGGCATGAGAGTAACACTGACCGGTGGCCTCTGGTCCTTCCTGCCCCTCTGTCCCTCTGTCCTTCTGTCCTTCTGTCCTTCTGTCCTTCTGTCCTTCTGTCCTTCTGTCCTTCTGTCCTTCTGTCCTTCTGTCCTTCTGCCCTTCTTGCCCTTCTGCCCTTCTACATGAATTCCTCCTCGTAGAACCTGGCATCAAGATCTTGATTGCTCACCATCTCCTCTTCCCGCATCAGATCGTCGTAAGCATGATCTTTCTGCCACCTTAACTCTTCCCGTTTCCGCTTTTCCTCCCGTTCTTTGGCCTTCTGCTGCTCCCGTTGGATCCTCTCAGCCTTCCGCTTCTGCTTCTGATCCGCTTCTCGCTCGGCTCGCAGATCAGGGACTCTTTCCACCCTCGTCTTGTTTAACCGGTTCACAATGGGGTTCTGTCGTTCGGCCACGTGGACCTTCTTGACCTTTTTGGAGTCGTGAAACCCGACCTGGCCTGTGCTCATGGAGGCGTCCTTTCGCAAATTCGACCATGGCGTGTAGATGACCGTGACATTGTCCTTCTTGTTACCTAGGTGGCCCCACACTAGTCAAGACAATGATTCTAGCTCTCCCGGTGTCCAACGTACCTTCGATGGAATTTGCCTTCGTTAATTGGGCGCAGTCCTCCAGGAGGGCTTGAGGAATGGCCGTCCACGACTCGCCAGCCTTTAGTCGCAGGTAAACATGCGCGCTGGAAAGATTATCCACATGAAACTAGCCAGTATCAGTGGAGGCATGCGAACTCGGCCACATCTGCAGAAGTACCCTGCGAGCGAGTAATATAAGTCAAATCATCCTCAAAGCGTGGAATGCAAGGCTCCTACCAGACATCCTCATCCCAGCCGAACTTGATCAGATCTTCGTCTGTCGCATGGTCAGAATGTAACTCTGGTAGCGTCTAGAGCAGTCCGCACTCTCAACTTTATCCTTGCCTACGTAGATGTATGCAGGCGGATCAACCGCGGTGGACTGGAAATAGTACACCATTTCCAAGTTTCATCAAAGGATTGGCAACGCTCGATTGACGCCAAAAACGGGGGAAGGCCGCAGGCTAGAGACACCATAGAAGGATTGAGCGCATTCTTTCAATAAGCTGCCATGCTGCTTATGACAGCCAGATGTATTCTGGTCTCTTGTGCCAGCACGACAAGTCGAAAGGGCCCGAAGGCGAGGAAACGTCAGAATTTCCAGCCACCGGGTAAATTATGCTCCTCCGGATTAGAGCCCTCACTAGCAGAGGCACAATATTATGGCGGAGCACTCGCCTTATCTAGCAATATCAACAGTCCAGCAAAACTGCTGTTGTCCTAAGTATCATTATAGGTAATAGAACGTTTGAGATGCGACAAATGGGTCATTGGCACTATCTTGTTGACTCCGGTGTCCCAAGAACTTAGCAGCATTATGATACCAAGATACAAACGATGACATGTCACAGTCTCACATCCAGTATGACCGACAAGCCCAGTTTGATTCACGACACGTAAACCTCTGGAGCTGTCCACAGCAAAGATTCTTCGCAAAAGTCGATGTCCCGCAGGTTGAGCTGCCATAGCCGCTTGCGCCAGGCTGCTCGGTAGTCTTGGAGAACGACACCACCATGGAACTCTCGGAGATCACCCTTGTTTTATTGGCACTAGCGCAACCGAGTTCTGACCCCTGTCAGTTTGAGATGGCTCATCTGCCGCTCTGCCAGCGAATGGGTCTAGTACGCAAAAAGTTGTACGCTTAACCCTTTCCAGGATCGTGAATCACTTGTTCCAGGACTATGCCAAAGAGGTGTAAACTCTCTTGAGACGTTTGCTGTTTTGGTCTTTCGGTTCAGGAAATGGCAAAGTGACTCACGGGATTCCGAACAGCAAGTCCATACCTGCCAATAGTGAATCAACTTCCACAGGACTCAAAGGACATTCAGATTCCTCTCAGCCTAGTCACGGCCCTGCCTAGCTTGACCGTGACAATTTCTCTTCCTGGGGTGGCTCAACATATAGCTTTGCCAGACTGTTGCGCTGTCCCAAGAGTCGAACGTGTCTGCGGGCAAAGCGGTATGAATGGGTTGGCTGTAGTACAGCGTTCTAGATGGCAAGTCTCTGGGGGCTAAGGGTCCCCCGGGATGCTGTGTGTCTTCTCAACTTCAAACCGCCCGAACGGCATACCTTGGGTAATGGATGTGGCAGACAAGGTCAATTGTGGCATGCCGCAGAGGCAAGATAAGATTAGCACTCCCGTGTAAAGCGCTTTCTCGTAAAGCTTGGACGTCTTTCAGTTGAAATGCCCTGGTTGTAGTTAGTCAAGGCACTTTTGCCCGATACCAATGCAATGATATGGTGATACCGCCACGACAGTATTGTTAAGTATCTGGCGATACATAAACTTTGGCTTCCATTTTATGAACATGTTAATTAAGTTTGAGGGTATCAGGTCGTCTTGGAAAGGAAAGTGGAAAATGGAAAACGCACAGGTGTCAAAGTGAATTGGATACTGTTGATAAGATGGTCTTTGGGAGTAGGCCAGAGTTTGTGTAAATACGCGAGTTGGAGCTTGCTAGTTGCCGAATCGTACCAGGATTCAATCTGGGGCTTGTTTGCTCTTCTTGTACCTACTCTTCGCTGCCTCATCCACTTTGAACGCTCGTGTACAGATAAGCGAAGTGTTGGGAGCCATCGGGAGCATCTTCTCAGCCTCAAAGTATGCTGTAATAGGTCAGCTTCTTTCGTTGAACTTTCTCATCCAATAGTCCGCAATAAAATCGATCGTGATACTGAGGTATCAATCATGGCATTCATCAAAATGCAGAACCCAACGGTCAGAGGGGTCTGGAGTGTGTAGAGCTGATCTTTCACCGCCGTGCTCAAGTATGTCTCGAGTGTACCCAAGGGTGGAAGTCCACTGTCGCAACTAGGGTGCTTCCACCACCAGTAAGGAAGACCATGCCAGCTCTTGTCCTGTCACTGTCTCTCATAGTTATATCCTTCATCTAGCTGTGGACTAAGTGCTTGAAGACGAAATTGCACCCATCTCGAGGAGGACGACAAAGGAACCTTGAGTTTTCGATCGAAACCATGTCAGATTGGGAAGGGTCAAGGTGCTGGTCGCTTTTCGGTGAAGTTTCGGTGAGTCTCGCAGTTGGTAGATGCGAGAATGTGCGTGTATGGCGTGTCTAGCCTCGTTATTGCCGCTGTCGAGATGTGGTTCTGAGCTTGATACAACAAGAGTAGCGAGGTGAGACTGGCAGTGGTGACGAGACACTCATGACGGGGGAGGAAGAGGGCTCTGAGGAGATAGATAGGTCTCGACCAGCGATGAAGCTGCATTCGTTGCCCAGTAAGTTAGTAGGATCAGAGGACGTTTAGGTGCGCTGACAGCCTGGCGCATGGAAGAGAAAACCGGTATAGAGAACAACCGACAAACATGTTGAAGTTAAGCATTGCTGCATAGCTCGACACAAGATGAGAGAAACAATGGGCTCTCGCCTGGCCTCCTTCTTTTTCCATCAGGTAGGCAATGGGGCCATTAGGTGCCTCAGGCACCTATTCAGGCACGCACTATGCTTGTTAGGGAGAGAGATCGTACCCACAGAGCCTTGGTAATGGGACAGTCGGGCTTGGTGGCACCCAGAAGGCGCCCAGAAGCAATAATGCCAGCAGTATTTCCGGAGTACGGATACTCTGTATGGAGTACCGATTCGTACAAAATCTGATTAGTTGGTTCTCCGATGATTTAAGGCTGCCAGCCTTCCAAGGCCCATTCCCCAAATATGTCTAATGATTACGCCTACTGTGTTCTCTGAGGCTTCGTCGTGCTCTTTGAACCCGGATCATCTTTGCTATGCAATACTCTTTATGTTGACCTCGTCGTCAAGTGGCCTTTCAGAAATCCCTCAAGTCGCCAGTACCATGCACACACCAGGCCACAGCTAGAATCTGCCGATGTGCTGCTCTCTAGACCTGACCTCAGCTTGAGCTACGACATATGGCAGAAGCTTGCGGCCTCGCCAGCATCCACAAGAACACGCCAGAACCAGACCTTCGTTCTGCCGTTCAGGCATTTGGCTTGGGATTTGACAGATTGACGGCATGCTTCCTACACGTAGGACATCGACATCGACATCGAGACCAGACGGCCCAACACGGACAGAGGGGGTACATACATGGGCACACCGAGTGCTTGCAGTTGTGCGCTCCGCGCATCCGATCAGGCTACAAAGGTGCCTAAACATCCAACATGACTGTTAGAGCTTGCAACTTCGCACCATACTTGAGGTATGCAGGGCATCGTCATGGATTGACTATACCGAAGTTATTAGGGGGCCTAAGTCCTCGTGGTATCTAGCAAGGCCCAAGTGGAGGGTTGGAACCAGTTCTTTTGGGTATGTTCCTCTCCCGTGGTGTACCACTGCTTGAGCTGCTCTATCAAGGATTCTTGACCCGTTCCTATGACGCTCGAATTCCCTAAACAGCGGCCACCGACGGAGCACCGGTATGCACCTTACATCGACACCATAACCCTGTAAGGAGAGGAGCAAACCCTATCTAGGATACCATGCCAGCGTGTATCGACGCCCACTGCTCAATGGAAGAGGAGGTTGAAAAGTTGAGTTCGACTCAAAGTTCGCAAGCCCCCAGGGCCAGCACTAGGTCCAGAAGAGTAGTGGGATCAATGTCGTTGGAGCTGGTCTACAAACCTGTCTGCTGATGCCGCAGCTAGCCGTAATAGCAGGGAGCAACCCTGTTCAAGCCTGCTGTGACGCAAGGGTATACACGGTTTCCCGACTCCAGTGTGTTCAGCTGACACTAGAGTCCCAGACTCACTACTCAAGACAACTCGAAACTTCCAGCTGCATCTTGGAAGTACTCTTGCTGCCCTCCACATCGGTGGGTACATGTCCGTTCCACTCTAACACAAACTCTCTTTCAGATGTCTCTTCCCCAGGTCGGAGAGGGATGGTGGGACTGGGGCAAGGTCATCGAGGCGTCGAACGACTACCATCTACGAGTACCTTACACTTGTCATTAATGCAACGGGGTTGCAACCACCGACCTAGGAAGACGATGATCGACGAGGATAAAGCCTACTCTGCGTTGGCTGCATCACGCCTGTCCGAATGTCATGTTCCTTTTCAGTCTAGCAACGAACAAACACTGGATTTTTAGACGCATATCACTGCAGCCGACTCTGACTGGGCCTATATTCACCTTTCAGCACTCGCATTGAATAAATGTGTGAAAGAAGTCCGGTCTACATAGTACAGTCGGAATTCACTGCAGTGCCAGTGCTCGACATGAATCAAATACAACCATGGGTAGATAAGAATCTAGTCATCGATGACTGATTTCGTTCAGAGCATGCCCCATGGGGATCTCAGCGCAGCAGCAGTTTGAAATTGGCTTCTCCCAGTCACTGGTCGGGCCGCTCCCTGCGCTTCCAGACACACGATTGTAATCCTGACCCGATACTGCCCGGAGATCGACTGCTCACTCTTCCCACATTCCGGAGGGCATGTAATGAAACTCACCGCCCGCCGCCCGCTGCAAGCCACCGCCTCACCGGGAGGAATTCGCGGGTTGAGGAGGGCCGTGATTGGCTGTTATTGGGTCCGAGGGCCTGCTTACTGCCGTCGAGCGCCGGCACAAGGAGGGTATGGCTTACCTGTGACATGGCGGGTTCATTCTCCTGTTGTGAAGGTTTACGGATGCACACTGCCAGCCGGCTTGGAGTATTGGCAGCCAGTAGCTGAGGTGCCTCGGCCTCTAGAAACAAGGACCTGTCAGGCTACAGCTGCCCGCCCCATGAGAGACAACACCACACTGGCACACCACGATGCTGGCTGCTCCCCTCCAGCTTGGCACGGCAACGGCACCTGCTCGGCCTGAAACTCTATTCAGGGCACTCGGCTAATAGCAGAGTCGCGGGCGACGAGACATCATCTGTATCTGGGTCAAGCTGCCCGACCTCTCTGCCACCACCCCCGACGGGAGCAAGGGAAGGATGCGTCAGGCGCCTTTCTAAAGCATTTCAAAGTCAATATGACATGGCATTCGGGCACCCTGAGAGTGGGTCGCTGTACAGTATCCACTGTCTTTTGCCCTCGCGCTTTGGTCTGGCGAGGCACTACTGTACGTACGTTTGCCCCCCCAGGGCCCCCCAACGCCCCCGGTACTAGTCGCAAATGGTACGAGTACACGTCCAGCACTGTGCAAACTCCCATTGCGTCGACCGGGGCTGCTGTTGGTCCACCCGCATCATGGCTGAGACGATACCTGGGCCAAAGCTGACTTTGTCCCCGGCGCGTGTACGGATACCAAGTACCGACTTCCAGCAGTATGCACCCCCTTTTGATTTGACTCCCATCCCTGTCCTGGTCGATGCCGAAATTCCCATCGCACGTGCTCCCAGCCCAAAGACTAGCTAGTATTATCCTGACAGTCTGATCCTAGTTGACTATTATTACGACCCAACCTCGCAAAATGCCGGGTCGCCACGAGTGACAGCTTGTCACAGTCGACCGACGGTTAGATTGGACGCAACGGCTCCCGAGTAGTAGCCGGGATGGCCAATACTGAACCTTGGTGTGACAAAAGACTGTGTAGGCCATGCTCTCGGACGAACAGGCTTCCGGGGAAATCGACTCTCAAACACAAGCCCCTTCAGTATCTATTGCTATTTTCCTCTCGCAGGAAGCTACTCAGTATACAGGGCGACCTCGGGAAACGAGGGTCGAGGTCAAACTCTCCACTCCAAGCAACCCCCGTGCGTGCTTCGTCTAACATGGGACAGCGGCCATCGCAGCATCGATGCACTGCACTGCGCATCAGTGGGGCAGCCAGTGCGGTTTGTTTAACCAGAATGGCTTGCTTTTTTTGCACAACCGTTGTCACCTTGTCGTCGCCAGCTTTGTCTGAACTTACCCCCTGATTCTGGAGCGTGAGGCTCCTGCTCGGCTTTAGAAAAACCCCTGCGATGGACGCCCGCCGCCTCGAGATGCTTCCTCCTCTACCATCACCATTGACGTCCTGTTGAATCGAGACGACGCTTGACTTATTCATCACACCCGCTCACGCTTGAAGACATGTCGAGGACAGTGGAGCTGACTGTAAGACAAGCCTTGAACATAGCCCAGAACAGCCCCTCTGGCCAAATCGATCCTCAAATCCTTCGACTTCTGGAGAGCTCCCTGGCACAGATCTGGCGCAACATCCAAGCACAACCAAACACTTATGTCATGAATGACCTCGAGTTTGCCGTCTTCAACCACTTTAGGGCGCGCTCCGATTTCCAGAACGAAACGGCGCGGAAGGCTGTGTCGCGGTACTGGAACAGCCGGAACGCGAGACAAAACCATTGAGACGAGATGCATCTGTCTACAGTATGGAGCGAGGCAGCCAGGTGCTACGGCGTAGTTGTTTCTGGTCTCTTGGACAGGGCGCCCGCACAGAGCTTCGACGACTCTACCTTTGACTACGCTATACGCAATACACCCGCTCGCGGCCAGGTCGACCTGATACTTCGACGGCACGGCCAGTCAAGTTCTCAGCGGGATGCCACCTTGGAAAAGTCTTCCACGGAGCGAGTTCGGCCCAATTCGCCTTTTCGAGACTTGGCTATAGTACTAGGACTCTATACAAGTGCTAAGGCAACGCTTCTGGGGGGCATCATTAATGGGGAAAACCACAACGGAGCCGAAGATCATTTTGCTGTCTTGTGCAGTGGCGGACAAGAGGGCGCAAAGTGGAGGATTGATTGCTCATTACGATATCAACTGGGCCACCCCAATCAGGCAGACGGTGGAGGTGGGAACCAAATGGAAACAGTCGTGTAGAAGGAAGTGGAAGTGGAAGTGGAACGTTTACTGCTAGTTTTAGACCCTCTACAAGGCTCCTATCACCTTCAGGATCGCCTGGGCTGCCGGCTGTCTGCTCAACTATTAAATAATACAGTACGGATACCACTAATCTCTGCGCCTAGACCAGGCAGTTTCCACAGGTCCTTTCCTGCGCTGGGCCCTCATCAACGCATCCATTTGCTTCTGGTCACCTTGCCATAACTTGCTCAGCTGCTCAGGGAAACGTTGGCGCCATGCCTGCGAACCAGCGGCTGCATCGAGGTGGCCTTCTCCCTTCAAGATCAGAAATGAGGACTCTCGCGTGGCTTCTGCTCATCTGATGCTCTCCTGGTAGTATGTCTCCCGGCGAACCTCGTCTCTATCACCTCACCTGGTCCTCGCCCGCGCACAAAGATAGATGGTGACAGATCCAATACCCGACGCCTCTCGGCGCAGTGGTGCTGGCTGTGGTGTGTGTAAGGACGACCTCGAACGGCACCACATTCCAATGCTGACCTGAATGTAGGGACCGTGCAGAAACAACACGAAGTCCATCCTTCGACATGTCGCGAGATGATCTTGTCTTCTCTCTCTATACTGCTGGGCCGTGATCCGAGATGCAACTCCTCAATCCCTCGCTGGTGTTGGTCTTACTGGCTCAAACGCCTGCCGCTTTCGCTGCTGCTCGTTTCGGCTTACCTCACATTCCAGAACCAAGCGGACTAGATGGACAGCTGCTTGCTCCTGCGGGAGAAGATGATCGCGGACAAGACGCATCACGGGTAGATACAAAGTCGCGAACCTCGATCATTGCAGGTCGCTGACAGCCACTAGCTTGTGTCGCGACAATCATCCCCTCCCATCACGACAGTGGCGAAATGCGACGACTATGATGGGTACTTCTATGTCACCAGCAGAAACTATACCTGGCAACTGCAATGTGCCACGAATTACAACGGAGACATCTTATCTCAGGCCAATGTGGCCAACTTCAGCCTCTGCATTGGCACCTGCGTCGATTACAATCGCGCCAATTCTCCAGGAGCCTGCTTGGGAATAACGTTCAACGGGCCCAATGACGGTGCTGTGGGATTGTGTACGCAGTACTCAGAGGTTTCTGGGACGGTCCTTGCGGACGAAGAAGGAAGTAAGCTTCCCGTGTTACGCTCACACACCATAGAGACACATACAGAGTCTATCAAGACCCTCTATGGTGCTTAGGCTGGTGTTAACAAGAACGATTCTGCAGATGTTCAAGACTCAGCTCTATTGATTCTCGGTCCCGGAGGAGAGATATTTGCGACGCCTCAGCCAGATCCAACTTTCTCTGGAGCGCCGACTCAAGCACCTTCGGTCGACCCCTTGCGAAGTACGACAACCACCACTACCAGCTCGGACGAGATGATCACAACAACGCCATTGTCAACCACTGCCTCGCGGAGCTCAAGCGGCACTCTTCCGGCTTTGAGCGGTACGACCACGATAACAACCACACTGTTTACCACTTCTTGTCCTCCCTGGGCGGCAGCTTGTCTCCTTCCAACCACAAGCACCAGCCTTGCGAATAGTGCTGGCCCTCCGCCAGTGTCGACGTCAATAACCACCAGTGCCTCTGTGTCTCAATCGAGCAGCGCTCTTTCGCTTTCTATCCCAGATAGTAGCTCACGATCCTCCATGTCAAGCTCTACAACCGTTGGACTTCCGCCGCTGCAAACACCCACCTCCTCTGCAGAGTTCACGGTTGACCCGGTCCAAGCGACTTTCGCAACCGTCGTCCCTTTCACACAGTACAGGATTCAGATCGTAGAGATTTGTGCTGCCACGGCGACTCCGTGTTCCACGTCCACGGTCACGTCAACCATAGTTGGACGACGAACAGAGATATCGTGCTCCCCGGGGGCTTGTTCAGGGGTGATGTTGGCTACAGGCTTGATGGCTGATTTGGCAGCGACGGGTGTTTGTGTTGTACTATGAAGAATATTTCTATTTTCATATTTCTGGGGCTGGAATGAAGCGGCGGATCAAGGTATCCATCCCAATTAGATATTTTACGCATTATTAGTAAAGCGCGATACTAATCTTGGATGAGGCCTATTCTGGGTTTAGTGGGTGGAGAGTTTGGCGGCTCCGGGCTGCGGAGCGAAACTTCCGAGAAACTACCGGTCGATGAAAAGCCAAATCCGTCTTCGTAGTGTTCTCAGTCAGGTCACCTGCTTGGTGCCTGCCTTCTCGATTGTCGCTCCTTCTTCGTTGCCGGTGGGCCAACACTGGCCTGATCGGGCGATGAGCATCTAATACGTATCTTGTTCCTACCTGTTATTATATTCTTCTTATTTTATTTCACCCTACTTGTCACTTGTCCTCACCTGCTTGCTCTACCTACTAGCACTGGCAGATAAATACAAAGACACAACTACACTCCTTCGAGCCTGGACTCCGATGTATTTCGGGGCCACTCTTGAAAGCTATGTTATGATTTTTCACTGGCAATGGAAACAGCGCACGCCAGAGCTCTGTAAAATGCCTGTTGGTCTGCGTGTGCAAGCAGCCTCTTCATTGTCTTGTTCCCTTTGTTCCCGACTCAGCCTGCGGTGGGGTGCAGACATGCCGTGTTTTCATTGTCTACTTGCGATTGATATCTTCCACACAGAGCCTGCTCTTCTCCCATGCCCTTGCTATTCAGACTGTCGTTCTGTTTTGTCACATTCCCACTCACCATCATAATCTTCCTTCTACTAACACTGTGACACACCTCGTCTATCTTCCGTGATGGCGTTATCCACCTCCCTAGCTACTGTGTTACTCACATCGGCCGCACTCTGGAGCCTTGCGAGCGCAGACACCTGCAATCCCTTGAGTAGTGAGTCTGCCTTCGTTAGACAACTGCATGCGCTGACATGGCGTTTTCTCAGGTCCATGTCCCGCCATCCCTGGCTTAGCTAGCAGCACCTATTCTGTCTCTTTCGCGCAGCAGACCACAACCCCCACTGATTGGATCCTCGCCGACTTTGCAACGGTCAACTACGGTGCCCCCAACGGCGCCAATTTCACGATTGCCAAACGTTACGATGCACCCTACATTTGGTCTCGTTTCTATGTCCTATTTGGGCGCATCGAAGTAGTCCTGAAAGCAGCCCCCGGAGCCGGCATCATCACAGGTGCAGTCATGATGTCGGATGACTTGGATGAGATAGACTGGGAATGGTCGGGTAACAATTTCGCAGGAGCTAGTGGGAAGGTTCAGACCAATTTCTTCGGAAAGGGTATCACCGGTTATTATGACAGAGGCTCGACACCGGCAGTTACTGCTCCGCAGGACCAATTCCACACCTACGCTTTGGATTGGAGTCCTGCTGCGCTAACTTGGTCGATTGACGGACAAAACGTTCGGACGCTGAAAAACTCTCTTGCGACCTCTGGTGAGTACCAGTACCCCCAGACACCATCTCGACTACATCTGGGTGTGTGGTGTGCCGGCGATCCGGACAACAATGGCGCAACTGTTGCCTGGGGAGGAGGGTACACTAATTTCAGCCTTGCGCCGTTTTCTGCGTACGTCCAGTCCGTGAAAATTACCACTCCAAACCCTTGCTCCAGCTGGCAATACCCCAGCTCTTTTGACGGCACTTATTCGTCTGTTCTATGTACGAATCAGACAGTTACCAACACCCTGCCGTGCACCTATGCTGTCGTTCAAGGAGATGATGGTTACAAGATCGCGAAGACCCTAGGAATTACTTTTGAGGCCCTCCAGGCTGCGAATGCCAACGTCAATTGGGATGCGTTGCTTGTGGGACAGCTCCTCAGTGTGCCGAGGGGAAATTGTCCGATGACTTCAAATTCTTCTTCAGTCGTGTTGACCACTGGCTCTTCCTCGACACCCACTAGCTCCGAATCCGTCGGCACCGTGGTCTCTTCAACTACCTCTTTGATCACCTTGACTTCGACTACTTCGACTACTTCGACGACTTCGACGACTTCGACAGTGGCGACTTCAGGCGTCTTGTCTTCATCAAGCACCACACCAATCAACTCGAGCTCAATCTCCCCAACATCAGCTGTGACGGTCACGTCAAGCTTAAGTACTCTCCCCCTCTCAAGCATCAGTCTCAACAGCATCGAGTCAGGGTCAGAGGTAGCTTCGAGCTGTGCCATCTCTAGCAGCACACCAACCGCTGGATCCATGACAGCTTCAACAGGAACCACATCAGAAAACCCCAACTCCAGTTCTACAACTGCCGGTAGCCGAGGCGCCATAGCCAATTCCGGAGGGGCTACAAGTTCAAGCTCGGCCGATTCCATCGTCTCCTCTAGCCTAGCTAATTCTGTGTCAACTCCGCCAACCTCAAAGACTACTACATCACATACTTCGGGAGCAAACGTCTCCTCTCCTCCCTCCCTCTCCTCCAGCTCTAATTCTGACCATGCCAATCCAGCCACGTTCACGACTGCCTCAAAAATGATATGCAATCAGGACAATTGCTTGCGAAATCTGATTGATCCTCGATATTCGTCTGCCATGTTCTCTTTCTGCTCGGGATATACGGCTACAACAGCTAACACCGGCCCTCTACCGACATTTCTGGGCGGTTGCTCAAAGGATGGCAAAAGAGTAAGTAGTGCATGCAGCTGCCTGGTCAGTAGCTTTGCTCCCTCGACTGGGACACCAGCGATGACAAGCCCTACAATACGAGCAGGGACTCCTTCATGGAGATTGAAGCGATCCCGGTTGAGACGGGAGAGGGTGCGAGCTTGAAGGGTTAGAAAATGGATAACAGGCACTGATAGATCTCTGTACACCGCGAGTAAAGATGAATGTAGCGCTTACTGCTTCTCGTCCGAACCTCTACTATTCATTTCCTCACAAGGCTGTCTCGCTCTTTATTAGCCAATCATATGCGTTAATTTTCGCTTCAGGCTGAATCATGTGACCGCAGGCCTAGTCGCGGCTGTCTTGGCACTGGTCAAATCTTGGCGCCCACAAACTGCGCTGGCGGCCGCAAACTTGATCGAGGGATCTTGCAGCACTACTACCACCTTGTCAAATAGGCCATTCCGTTCAACAGCCAGCAAATTCCCGTACGCTTCATATCCCATATAAACGCTGACAACAGCGACTGACCTCGGCACAGAACTCTTCGTGGGATAACCTGTCAAGATGACGAAGGGAACGAGTTCTTTCGGAAAGAGTACGCATTCTACGAGATCCTAATGCAACTCGGAGGATTGGAGTTTTCTGACGGAGTGGTGCAGGACACAACAAGACGCATACTCTCTGCCGGAGGTTCGTGTTCCGACTTTACAACTCGACAAGGATAAAGTGTGCTAAATACCTTACACAGATGCGGTCGCCGAAGCCTTCACATTCAGAAGCACACCTGCGCGAACTGCGGAGTACGAGCACCCTCATCATCCCTCGATTCCTGTTCCGGAATGATACAGAAAGATTGACATTTGCCAACTGCATAGTATCCTGCTGCGAAAACCCGGAAGTACGAATGGAGCGAGAAGGCCAAGAGACGCAAGACCACTGGCACTGGTCGTTTGAGATCACTTTCTGTTGTTGCTCGGTAAGAAGTCCAACCACAACTTGCTTATTTGCCACGGGAGTCGGGAAAGTATGCCGCACTCGCAGTCGAAGACGAGGCGCGGGGATGTTGAAACGCCACAAGACGAGATTCCCGCCTACTGGACGACTCTCCCCCAAGCGCTGCGAATGCATGGGCCTTGGACTGTCTGGCTAACGACCGTCCTCGAACAGTAAATTCAAGAACGGTTTCCGTACCGGCGCACCCAAGGGAGCACGGGGACCTGCGAAGGCCTAATTGCGAAGAGGTCTGTGTCTCTTTTGAGGTCAATTGAGAACGCTCGGAGGGAAAATGCTCGGCTTGTCGAGACTTGTGGTGAGAGGGCGCTGAGGGCATCCAAAGCCATACCACACACCCGCGATGAATCAACAAGGAAGGAGAAGATGTTACGGACAGCAAGGCTTGCGCATTACGAACATGGGAACCAGTGCCTTCGCTCGTCCAGATACTGCTGGATGGAGCCGTGGCGTCGCATAGAAATTCGTGGTACTACTATCGTCAAGCAATGGCATATTGTGAATGCCTGCAGCATGGTCTTGTCGGACTGACGTGCGCCCCATTGAACCAAAAAGAAAAAGTGAAATTCCTAACATCTTCCGTGCACATGTAAGCGCCCACAATTTCCGGATTATGAACGTATCGTACAAACACAGACGAGCCCGGCGAGTCCTGCAATGAGCGGGTGGGCAAATTCTAGATATAGTCTGTAGTACGGATACATAAGTAGAGGACTACGATCGGAGTCGTTTGTATGTGGCACTATTTTCCTCGCCTTTACTCGCACGACTCACATTTCATAACTCGAGAGGAGAGGAGATTTGAAACCAGATTTTCAGTCGGCAACATTGCACACACCCTGTATAACCTACAGTAAAGCACGAATGCCATCGTCTATCCCGGTGCCTCTCGCTGCCTACATTGCTGATTGTCTGGCACCTGACACACAAACGCTGGTGACCTCAGTCCTGACCACGCCGTCGCCATGGCTGTCCCTGCGCCTCTTATACGCGACCCTTTACGGAGTCGACGACGGCCCGAGGCACGCGCAGCAGACTGGCCATGAAGTGGTTTTCGTGAGTCTGCTCAGGCCGTTGAGCTTGTGGGCGGAAATGGGAAAGAAGATGGTACGTGATTTGCATCTCTGCTTTCATCTGGTTTCTAGCCTTATTTCCTTCATTCGGCATCTCTGTGAGCCACCAGGGAGGATCGGCCCATCTGGGATATGCGTGCCATCTCCCTTTCATCTCGGTTATCAAATACTTCAAAGAGTACTGATCGCTCAACAGGGCCTGGACTTTGCTTCCTTGTTGAGAAACAGACGCATCACATACGTCGACGGGCTCACCGGCGGGATCCCGTCGACCGCGGCTACTGCTTCTACTATAGAGGCAGATACACGCCAGTTACCGACGACGAGACCCAGGAGCATTACTCTAAAGGATATCAAGGACGCTCTAGACGATGTTTTGAGGAGGCCCTCTATCTCTACATCAACAAGACCCACGCCATCTGGCCATTTGTCCTCGTCGAGATCCGCCGACGGAGTGTTCTCGCCTCGAATCCCACCGGCCACAGCCAGCCCGTTCGCCCGCTCGGTCGGGGAAAAGCCTCTCATCTTGATCGACGGCATCGACTTCTTGCTGGCCTCACAGCCGTCAGTCTCGCCCGTAGAATTGCAATCGTTTCTCGCCACTCTCCGCACGAAATGCCATGGATTGATGTTGACGTGCCAGGCCGACTCGCCATTACTCCATTGGTCCTCGACATCTGGTCCAGGCCACGAGACACCGTTGGAGCGTAATCATGCACATTTTCTCACAGGCCTAGCACACTCGGCGCGGTGGGTATTTCAGCTACGAGGGTTGGACACCGGGAGTGCAAAGGATGTCTCGGGCGTGATTCGAGTGAGCAGAGGAGGCGACCGTGGCATGTATGATGGCGTTGGTGTTGACGATTCACCAGACAGGAGTCGCGAACAGGACCTGGCGGACGGCGAGTGGCTGTATCAGCTTCAGGGTGACAGTGCAGTCAGGGTTTGGGCTCGTGGTGAATAAGCAGTTCGTTCCCGTGCCGCATCTTTTGACGGTCGAGGTGGCCGGAATCGTTTCCGCCTTGGATACGTGCCGAGTACGGAGTACGCAGCGTGTTATTATTACAGTATAGGTCCTTTTAGTGATTATGGACCAACACTCAGCTGGAATGATGCCATCCGTGCTTGATTATTGTGGCAAGCATACCTAGGTACCTAGGTATAAAAGGTATATGTTGACTGCCTGCCCTGTCAGTGTCGCATTTCTGTTGGCGATTCTGCGTTGCGTTCGGCCTGCCGCTATTCCTCCTTCATACTCTGTGACATTTCGGCAATGTCAGATCCATTTCTCTACACATATCCGTCGCCCTTGGAGGGGTATGAAAACCTTCCACCTCTTTCTGATGAGCTGAACGAGGACGGCAAATCTCTCAAGAACCCCGAAACAGGTGTCCTGAGCGAGGCATACCAGAGGTTCACGTCTGGCATTACCAATGGACAACGCGCAGGCTTCGACGTCCATATTTACTATCACACCCGAAGTGCAGAGCAGACCGAATTTGCGAGAGCACTATGGGAGAGAGTCCGGAGGGAGTTCCCCGAACTGAGGTAAGGATAATGGTGGCAGCGGCAAACCAACACTTAGTAAGGCGATGAGATGATACTGACTGCCGGCGCACAAAGGGTATACCGGTTCTGGGACCATCCGGTTGGCCCACACACTCTGGCCATGTTCGAGGTCAATATCTTCACGCCGGCACAGTTTGGAGCCTTCATACCATGGCTGGTGATCAATCGGGGTCCTCTGTCGGCCCTCGTGCACCCCAACACTGAAGATGGTGAGGATCTGAGAGCACATAGTCAGCGGGCCACATGGCTGGGGGAGCGAGTTCCGCTTGATCTAGGCATGCTGAAGAAATTCGACGACAAACGCCGTAGTGAGCAAGGAAAGGATGGGAGCAATTGAAGACTAGAAAGGATATTGCTCTTGACAATGGGGCAGTTGAGTCGAGTCCTTGCAGGCAGTTGCATTGAAGTTGTGGTCGGAAACAGGCACCTGTGTTATTCTTCACTATCGAGTACTGCGCCTTTTTCCTTTCTCTTTCTCATTGAGCCTCTTCAGCCACAAAGCAGCTTGCAGAGCACTGCCTGGGTCTGCCCGATGGTCAGGTCGGCGTCCTGAAGACCGCGCTGTGCCTCTCAGCTCGGCGGCTAAATTATGGGCTCGGCCACCGTGAAGTGAATTGCAGGTCGTCCCCTGCCTAACATGCCCGAGAGCCTGCTATTCACCAACAATGCCGCACTTCCTTTCACTCCTCGGATCTCACTCGCCAGACCCGAACCAACCGTCTCCAAATACCCGACACCGTTCGCGTTCCTCAACCTACACACTCCCCAAGTCCTCCCGTATCCCGTATCCGTCCAGCAGTTCTGGAAGAAACCGCCCAGATGCCTCCTCGTGGCTCCCGAGCGACCAGATATTCTAGAAACGTTGATCCTGAGGAGCAATTGGACGATTTAGACCCGGATTCTGTGGGGTATAGCGAGGATATCTCAGCCTCCTACACCGACCACTGGGTCAAGGATAGCCAAGTGTTTCACGAAGCTCACGAGGATTGCGAAGAGGAAACAAGGCATCCAGGTTCCCGATACTCGAGCCCCAGCACTTCGACTCCATCACGCCCTGCTCCTCGATCTGACCCTCAACCCCAACGCGCGCGGACAGCATCTTCACAAACATTGAGCGGCCGGGTGTCGATGCCTTCTCCGACATCTCCAGCCCCACCTCGAAAACGCCAGGCTATCCGTGGCAACCCAAGAGTCAGTCGGAGAAGGGATGGTTGCTTGAATACTCAACGGTCTCGCTTACACGACGCGGAACAGGACGGCGTACAAAGTCCTCCAGGTCGAGCGCTTCGCAAGCGTACTATTCAACAGACATATCCCTTCAAGTTTGAAAAGTATCGACATAATTTGGTGAAAAGTATTGGGAAGTCTGTTGAGGTTCAGACGATTGAAGAAGCTGTCCAACACGAGATCGGTGATACTCCGCCACAATCGGCGAGAAAGAAGGCCAGGTTATCAGCTACAGCCTCTGAGAGAACCTCAACTTCAATTGCAAAGAGGGGTCAGAGTTACCGATGTAGATCTGCCTCAGTCGAGATCGGCGGTTCGTTGACAAAGCTCATTGGAAGCAGCGGATATGATCCAACTCGGACAACTTTGCGCGTCTGGCTGGAGGGCTTTCCTGGCGCTTCAACTCCCACCACACTCAAAGACTGTGACAATGTGGAAAAGCTCATGGATTTCATCATCAGTTCGTGGGAGTGGAGCTTCAATGCCAGAGCCTTTCACTACGCGATTGTCACCTTTCCAAGGCTGACTGCCGATTCGAACATTCTCATCCGACCCGGTATGACGGATAGTTTCCGGAAGATGGTGGACGAGATCGAGAATTCACCAGTCTGGGCAGAGGAGGGAGCTAAGGCAACATGTGAAGTGAAGATCACCGTGTACCTGCAGAGCCCAGCCGGCGAATAGAGTCAAGGAGATGATGGAGATGGAATCCGGGGCTGGACCAATTCAGGCGTTGACGCGGTTCGCAGGCGAGAGCAAGCCTCGCGAAACTGGGCCAGGAGTCAGGACAGCCTGGGACAACGTGCTCAGCGTGGCAGGATGGATGATACTACGTAGTAGTACGTACGGTGTACGGAGTACGTACACCATCGTGTACTGTTGTAGTGGTGGTAGTATGTACGTAGTGTCAGGCACGGGACGCCGGTGCACAGGGCCCGGCGCATTCTGCAAGTGCTAGAAGCTCCAGAACTTCTGCGCAAGGTGAGGCGACAAGTTGGATGACTGGGCAGTGGACAATGAATCAAAGATGTGGGAGTCTAGGCAACTGGATCCTAAGGCCTAGTTGGCATGCTAGTGTGACAAAGTAGCCTGAAACGACCACAAGCAACTTCCCCTGAATCTTTCTTCATCCACTGCAGTGATGAGATTGGAGACCAGCAGACCGGCGCAAATTAGTCGACGAGTCAATGAGATGGACAAGAGAGCCGGACGAGAGAAGGGACGAGAGCATCTGAGTCCGGCAGTTCGGTTTGTCCTCCTAATCTGCCTCCTCACCTTGCTGTCGACGCCATCGCTGTCGCCGTCTGCATCTGCGCACGCATACACATACACATGCCCAGCCCGGATTTGCACTGCACTGCACTTCACTGTACGGAATCTTGTACGTACATATGCTCTGCCGTGCATCCTATCCGCTTTGACTTTGGCCGTTGGACGATCGACAGTTTCGACAGCGGATCGGACAGTTTGGCCGATGGCAGAGGCGGTGGTGGCCCTTACTTAGACCCCTAACGCAGGTCGCAGGCTGGCTTAGGCTTAGCAGGCTTAGGGGCCCTTAGGCTTGTGGGCAACCCGGAACCGGGCTTACGAGGCATCCACCACGCGACCCTGGCAGGCAGGCCTTCCCCGTCACTCGCTGTTTCCAGGCGCGAATCAAGCAAACACAAATCAACCATTTCCTGTAAACCAACCACAGGCACCAACTTCGACTGCCAACCTCCTGGACATCGAAGTCGAAGTCGATGAGCGAGTGACCTGGCGGGCTTGGGTTTGATTTCTTCTGTTCCTGTGCCTCCTCATCCTGCCCAGTTCCAGTTCCAGTTCCAGTTCCATTTGTTACGCAGCCGCAGTCGCAGCCGCATTCACGCTTCCCTCAGTTGCAGCCTGCGCTGGTCGCCCCTGCTTCGAGTCCCCTGATCGATCGATTAATATTGTCTCTGCACCTAACCCAGGCCGCAAACAAACCACATAGCCGGCCCTTCACTATAACTACAGTGACACTTCTACTCGAGTAGCAACCTGCCCACACCCTCGGCGTCGTTGGTCGGCAATAAGCCTGGGTTGAAGGTTCACTTCACTTTCCCGGCAGCATGGCTTCTCCTCCCGCCCTCTTGCGCAACGAGTCGCAGACATCCGGTCGCCGAAGTGCCAGTCTCGGATCTCGTCTTTTTCGGTCAAAGAGTGGAGAGGCCCTGGGTGACCGCAAGAGCTCCGGCGGTCGACTTAAGAAGAGACAAGGCGAGATGGACGAATCTGTGAAAGTCACGCAGTCTCCTCCACGCCTTCCGGGCTACACGCCACAGCCATTGGGTATTCAAACCTTTGGTGGTGAGAATTACAATCCACACGCCGCTTCTCCCCATCACCCAAATGGTGTGAGAGGTGCCCCTCCAGTGCCACCGTTGCCGGAACAAAAGGACAAAGATTTGGTTGATCCATATGCTCGAACTGAGAGCATGACCCACCGTAAGTGGAATTGAACCATCTTCCCAGATATGATTGCATCATTGACAGTACAACCGCTCAGGTGGTCGGTACTCCTATGCAACCTCGACCGTTTCCACCATCAACTCTCCTCGCAGAGTCCGACGTCGCAAAGATCCAACCCCCTACAACATCCTGATCATAGGCGCGCGGAACTCTGGCAAGACGTCTTTCCTGGATTTCTTGAAAAGATCGTTGGCTCTTCCCCCACAGAAACGACCCCATCAAACCTCCGATGGCGATACTCCGCCGTCCTCTGCCAGAGCAAGCCCGAATTTTGTGCACCATTACCAAGAAATCGAGGTGGACACCGAACGAATTGGTTTGACACTCTGGGATTCGCAAGGGCTGGATAAAGGCGTGGTCGATCTCCAATTGAGGGACATGAGCAACTTCGTGGAGAGCAAGTTTGATGACACATTTATTGAAGAGATGAAGGTTGTTCGTTCCCCCGGGGTCAAGGACACCCACATTCACTGTGTCTTCCTCATTCTCGACCCGTCCAGGCTCGATGCCAACATCAACGTTTCGCAGCGAGCCAGCAACGGAGTCGACACTGGTCGAATTGGCAAACCCGTCCGGATTGTTGGCGCGCTGGATGAGGATTTCGACATCCAAGTGATCAAGACCCTGTCCAGCAAGACCACCGTCATCCCGGTCATCAGCAAAGCCGACACAGTCACGACCGCTCACATGGCCTTTCTCAAGCAGAAAGTCAGCCTCAGCCTGAAGAAAGCCGGTCTCGATCCTCTCGAAGCTTTGAGTTTTGAGGCTGACGGTTCCGACGATGACAGACTCGACGAGCGTGATGAGGACGGTAACAGCAGTGCTGGAGATTCTGAAAGTGGCACGCCTTCGAGAAGCGATGACTCTGCAACGGACCAGCCTATCTCGAACACAAAACAACCAAGCAGTCACAAACGCCAACTGTCCAATATGTCCATGATGGATGCTTCTCTAGACAGTGGTTATGTCCCTTGGTCAATTCTCAGCCCGGACAAATACTCCCTGGAGTCAAAAGATGGACCGGTCGGCCGACAATTTCCCTGGGGGTTCGCCGATCCCTACAGCCCTGACCACTGTGATTTTGCCAAACTGAAGGATGCCATTTTTGGAGAGTGGCGATCCGAGTTGCGAGAGGCAAGCCGGGAAGTGGTAAGTTGTCACAGGCAGTCGAGCGAGCTTAAACTGACATAGTCTAGTTTTATGAGCGATGGCGGACGAGTCGTCTCAACCGTCGGGGAATCTCGTCAATTGGTCTGCCATCAGGACCTAAACAAAGTGGTGGTGGCATCCCAATTGCTCTCCAGCCTCGAGCCCGTTGACGGACCTGTATTCTGTGCAAACGCTGTCCATTTTCTTACACCCAATACCCAAGTTTGTATCTGATAACATCAGCAACGGTTAAAGAACCCGTGCAACATCGAGGTTCGCACCAACTTCTACTCACACCACGCTTAGCATCTTCATGACAACTTTGCTCCACGGGAGAGATGTGGGAGTAGAAAGGAGAAGGAAGGCAAGGAGTCGTCTGTATTTTCAAGAACGGTGGTGGCCCTGCTTGCTTCTTCATTGTCAGCTTTCACCCCTTGCATTATCGTATTTCGGTTGGGACCGGGAATGGAGCTTCTTCCCCGAGTTAGGATCCGGACATACACACGAGTCATGACACACCACTATGCCATTGGGATGTTTACACGTACTGCTCATATGAGGCTTGCTTTGGTTTCGGCAGATTCCAGACCGGGACGGGATCTGTCTTTTCCGTCTGGCTTACTTTAGTCTTCAGTTGTGCGAGCGATGGCTGACCAAAAGCTGTGGAGCGAGCGAGGAGTAGGAAGGGGATAAGGAGACTGGACGAAAGGGAGCTGCAGCAGCAATCGCAATCGCAATCGACCTGTTCATTTGGCTTGGGCACCTGAGATACCTTGGTGCCAGAAGTTGCGTTGCGCAGATCAAGGAAAAAGATCCGCTGTGTGCGTGCGCAAAGGCAAGGTTGGATTGTCGAACGTGTGGCACAGATGGTTATAACAAAAAGACGCCCAAAAACTCCCCAGACTCCAAAGCCCTGAAGGTCTCGCCGCATCGCATGCAATCCAAGTATCGCTCAATTTGTTCATGGCCGTCGTCTCCGATCGTATGCTGTGTCGCCGCTTTCCTGCTCCCAATGGCAGTAGTGCAAGCCAACTTCAACCCAGAACCCGGAACCCAGAACCCAGTCCATCAACACCGCCCGTTCCACTATGTCCCTTCCCTCCAATCCATTCTCCAAGCTCCAAACTTTGGACTCCCTCTGGCCGGCCTCTTGGTCCGCTCATGCTCGAAACATCTTCACCACTTGCTTCACAGGCTTCCTGCAGATGGGACAGATCTCGCACTGTTTCGCGCACTCAACGCAAGAACAGACGTGTCCACAGTCGAAAAACAATGCGTCAATCTCCTGTCCGTAGCAGATCTGGCAGAGGTCTGCCTGTTCGTCGGCGACCTGCCAGTATGTCGTCCCCATCCCCCACCGCTTGCCGTATTCAAACCCGCCGACATACTTGTTGCCTGTTCTGTGTTCCACAAAAGTGCCCTGTCCATGGCGCTCGTCGTTATCCCACTCGCCGTCGTAGGTGTCGCCATTGCGATATATCATCTTGCCCCCCTTGCCACATTTCTTGTTGCAGATCAACGGTCCTTCGTACGTCTCCCCTGAAGAGCTGATGCTCAAGCAATGCTCGCCATGGCCTCGGCCGTTGACTAGGGGACCTTTGAAATAATCACTTCCAAACTCGGCCAGCTCAATAGGTTCACTCGTCGTTTTGGATGCAACTGGGTGCTTTCGCTCCACCATTCGAAGATACGACGACAAATCAAAAGGATCAGAGAAGGCACCTTCCTCGTGGAGTTCCTTGACTCTGGCTCCCGAGATTGGCTCACTTACAATGATGACCATTCCATTGCAGAATGCATCATCTTTGAAGGTTTCGTCGCGCTCAACAATCACCCCTCGGACTGCTGACTCACGGCGCCAGACAGTGAATTCCTTGTCGGTGGGCCATCCCATGTGTTTGCATATGACATCCCTTACCTTGCTGTCACGTCGTGCAAAAAAGGTGCCCCGCACCGTAAGGCTTTGCTTGTCCACATCAAAGACTTGGATGAAGCCATAGACGCTCTGTGGATGTTCTTGCGGCTCCGTGGATGCCGATCCGGAAGACTCAGACGACTCGGATGACCCATTGATGGCGTCTCTCCCTTCGGCCTCGTCGTCCATAACAACAATCAGCCCTGCACCCCCAGAAATGGCCGCTGCTACAATCGCTTCCTCTACTGGGGATAATCTGATCACATCCCCATCTGACGACTGGAAATTCTCATCGCTGCTGCCTGCACCTGCCGCGGACACATCGCCTTGGTGTGCCGCCGCATCAATCAAATGACCGTGGGGCACATTGGCAGTGAGACTCTCTTCGGCAGTGGGAGGCGGCATCTCCAGTTGCATTGGCGTATCTGGGTCATTCATCTCCCCTAGTGAATATAGTGGCTGGCCCGTCCGTTCTGCGGCATGCTCCACGTCTGCAGCGACCGCGGCGTGCACCGAGGCTTGTTCAGCATCAGGAGGGGCAAGTTGTTCTTCAGGAGTGTTGTCGATCACGGCGCCTGATCCGGTTGGGGAAAGCTGTGCGGCTTGGGCCAGCTGTCTGTGATGCAGGCGGTCATGTTCAGCAAAGAGGTCGAGTTCTTCCTGAGTTTTGAGAATCGACATCCACAAGCACAAGGGCTGTTCCATGAGGCCTCCCACGGACACAAGATCCTGCAGGTTGACGGGGAAGGTCTGTGGATTCAGGTATCGTCCGACGTCCATGTGACACATCGAAAATAAGCGTACCTTCTCCGGATCTTCAAGTCGGAGCTGTTGGGTCAGTTGATGTCTCAACTCCTCGAACGTCGCGGACCTCGGTGAGCGCAGCAAATACGATCGCCCCTGTTGTCGACACCGCTGCTTGATAGTGGACATGTTGAGAAGACCTTCCCATCCGATGATGCCTTCGTCAGCATATACCTCAATACCCATATGTTCCGTACTCTCATTGTCGGGGTCATCCTCGAGAATCTCATCTTCATGCTGATATTGAGACTGGAGACGAGGGACCAGCCACTTGGGAAGCTGGTATGGCTCCAACTTGCCAGGCAGATATTCACCAAGGCAATTGGTTTTGATGTACATCGCCATATAAGCTGTCCGGCCGGTGAGGTTAGCATCCCTCAACGCTCGTCCCTCAACTCCTTCAAATTCCTGAATGCGCTTTCGAGTGTATGAGAAAATCTTATTTCCATCGCCGTCCTCAAAAGCAAGCCATTTAGTATTAGGACCACCCGGCCTTAGGACACTGTAGAATCTGCCAGAGTTTCTTCCTCCAACATGAACCATGAAGCCGTAGAGAGTGTACTTAGCCTGCTCACCTTCCGTAGAGTACTTCGAGACATCAAGCTCTTCATTCAGGATGACACGGTCGCGTAGCAGTTTCCATTCCCGTGCGGTTGTATCGAACTTCTGGCGAGCTAGATAAAGTGGCAAGAAGTTGGGCAGACGACCTTTGAGGTTTGTAGCTGCTAGAACTTGGTTTAGGCCTTGTTGGATATCCTTGACCCCTTGGACTGGTAACGGTGGCAAAGAGACAGGGCCGTCTGGAGTGTCGAAGATGTTGCTCAATTGTCTCAGTGAGGCATGGTCTCCCTCCAGTTCCAGTTCAACTGTTCTTCGGAGCACCTCCCAGAATGTTTTGACATCGTTGTAAGTTTCTCCCGAATCCTCGATAGCCTGTATGGCAGGGTAGACATCCACATACGTCTCATGTTCTCTCGTCTGTGAACGCATCAAAAACAAGATCATCTGTAGTTGACATATAACTGGTCTCGGAGGCACGTGTGAATTGCGCCGCCGCTCGCCTGCATTGAGTTCCTGAATTACCTTACGAAACGGGGCGAGGAGGAGCCAGGCGGTCATCCCAGCTACCGCAGGGCTGTGATGAAGAGGGGGTGTACCCATGGGGTAGTAGCCAGCGAGCGACTTAGAGTCCCATTGGGTCTCTGTGTCAGACGAATGCCACCACAAGGCCTGGCTGGGGTCGTCAAAGATGCGTATATAGGCATCGATGGCGAGAGTATCGTTTCGAAGAAGGGGTTGCCGTTGCAGATGCTGACGAATGTGAATATCGCTCCAGGGGCCGACAAAGTCAGTCCATCCCCAGTCGTCGTTGGACTTTGCAAACTGATGCTGGGAAGACATGTAGGTGCATGTGCGTGGCTCGTCTGGATTGTACATCACCATTCCTAGCTGTGCTGGCACTCGCCAATCCTCTTCGACCGGCTCTCCGACATCTCTGACGTCTAGTGATTCGCTGTCAGTGCCCATCTGAATATCGGGGCCGGGACAGGCAGCGGGATCGTTTTCATCTGGTTTCTGAGAACCTGAGGGCGGCATATGGCCTGCTGATGTATCAACACTGAGATCTCTCGAGCTAGTTTTAATCGTCAGTGTTTGAGATGGAGTAGCTCCGGTCCCGAGCTCGGCATCCGGAGGCCCTTCAAAGAAGGCAAAGGTGCACTCGGGGATGTCCCCGTCTGGTTTTGGAGGTTGCTTGCTGCACTTGATGTAAGCGCTCAGGGAGGAGCATTTGTTGCCCCGAGGATAGAACTTTATCTGCCAATAGTTCCCATCCACCTTCGCCACTGGAGAGACCATGACTCTGGCGTGATTCGGGTTGTCTCTAGTACCTCTGACACCTTTGACAACCCAATTTAGCCTCAGCTTTTTGACAGGCCGTTGTTCTGGATCTTCAACATCTTGATAGATACGCTTCTCGATGCTGGGTACATCCAGGGCATTCAATTCTGTTCCTCTGGCCTCTCTCCTTCTTAACTCGTCCAATTCCTCGTCGGTAGGAGTAGTTAGGTCATCTTCCCAAGTCGCCCATACCGGAACGTCACGCCTGGGTTCCTGCACAACAGCTGGAGGTGGCAGAGAGATCTGAACTTCTTGCCCCGGTTGTTGACCTGGCTCCTCTGTCTCTTGACTCCCGACCTGACCTTCTTCATGCATCTGTTCAGGGACGTCCGTCCCTATGCCAGGCCGCTCTTCAGTCGTGCGAAATTGTTCCTGTGACGGCACAGATTCTGTAGCTGTTTCTTGCTCCGGCCTCAGGGAGATTTCTGGACTTGGGAGAGGAGCATCTGCCATCTCTGTATCAGGCAGCTCAGGTGCCGGTGTTGTTAACCCGCTGTGAGGCCGTGGAGGGCTAGAGGCAACCGTAGGGCCGATGACGGCTTCTGGCAGAGGAGACGGCTGGGTATGAGGTCCTGGACTAAAAGCCGAGATGGGAACGACGGTGACATCGGGACTGAGGACATGTGGAGGAGATGCGTGTTGAACCAACACTGGTCCGCCAGCGTTCTCCGAGCTCGCCATGGCTGAAGAGAGGTAGATCGAAGAGAAGTCAAGCTGATGGATATCTGAAGTTTGTGAGGGGAGGAATTCAAGAAAACGCGAATCAAATCTGGGACGCAACCAAAATCAAAGCCAAAGATGCTACATGTTCAACGCCGGTTCACAAGGGTAAGGTGAGTCTGATGCTTGACAATGAGACGAGAGTGACGAGAGTGACAAGAGTGACGGAAGAAGTCAAGAGATCAGAGACGGAAGTCGTGAATGATATAGACAGCAGTGTGAGTGTGCACATACAGCACACAAGTAAGTCTAGGGTGTTTCTGACCGGTGGGAAGGACTCATGGTAGAATCAATCAGGCAACGGCATACAAAGACACAGGCAACCAGTGCAGTTTCGCCTTGCATGCAGCCAGCTTATCGGAAGCATTGCTATACTAGTAGTAAAGTCGCACCCCGGGGGCCTCAGCTAGTGGGTGACTCCCCCCACGGACCGGACCCACGCGGCACAGCTACTTCACAGGTGCTAGGCTGCTAGGCTGCTAGGCTGCTAGGGCCCTTAGGCCCCGAAGCTCTCCATCCGTCACCACCCACCTACACCGTCCTCTTACTTGCTGGCCTCAGCGCCGCAGCCAAAAAAGCAAACCGGACCCTGGACCGCGTTTCCACTGACCAGCACTTGAGGCGGTTTGTGAGGCTCAGCGGACCCGTTTTCTGGACAAAATCACATAATGACTCCTCCCTCGAGCAGGCAGCCTCCGAGTCTTGCTGCTCAAATCTACTGGCACAGTCATCGTTGGGGCCTGCGCCTTAGCCTAATGCCGTTCTATTGGCTTTGCCGCAGCTCCTCACGCTCAACAATCGCCACAGTTGGCATATCAGCCTGACTGACCTTGGCCGAACGGTTTACGGTGTACTGTACGGTGTACGGATACAGGTGCCTACGATCTCATCCGCTCATGACATCGATTTGCGTCTCCCTCGCCGCATTTGAAGATTGTTGACGGCAAAATGAGGGCCCCAGTGCCTCAGGTGATATCTCATGAGTCTGGTTTAGCAAATGTGGCTGCCACAATCAGAGGAAAGGCTACCGTGGCTTCCACGTAGACCTGTTCGAGAAGATTAACATTGCTCCTCAACAGGCGTCGTACATCTCTCACCTTGACACTATCTGCGTCTACTTTGAGCTTGCCCCAGCTGACGGCCTCGTCTGGTCTGGCCCCAGCGTCACTGCCGTCGAATTCTTGGGCTGTATTGATATACACCGCACTTTCGGCACCATTCCGCATGAGGCATGCATTAGCAATATGATGCTTCACCACGCCACCGCCCAGGATGATCATGCCCGCCCTTTTGGCCCGCACTGCGATCGTGTTGATTTCCCGGATGTCTCGGGCAATGTCGATGCCAAGGTGCAGGGGCGAGGCTTTGAAAGAATGAAAATAAATCATGTCCCCCAAGCTGCCATCGGTCAAGGCTGGACAAAAGACTGGGATATTGTTCTTGTATGCCCAATAATACACGGACGATTCGTCGTTGATTTCTTTTCCCAGCCGCCGGATGATTCGACTAGGAGTCCATAGAAATCGTTCACCAGTACGAGCAAATTCTTCCTCTTGCTCGGCCAACAACGTGTCGAGGATGGGAATGAGCCAATCCTCGAAGGCACAGTAGTTGTTGTTGGGGACCACCAGGTTGCCAATGCGATTGAGACCCTTTGCCCGTAGCGCAGCTCCTGATGCGGAGAAGGAACCCAAATATGTGGGAGCCAAACATTTGATGAAGTCTTCCTCGATACCACCGGCCGTCGTTACAATGGCCGACACGTGGCGGTGCTGTACGAGGTAGCGAAAAGTGTCCCGCAGGCCCGAAGAAATCATGTTCGACGTGTAACCCAGGAAGATAGTCGCTTTTTCGCCCGTGTCGGCATCTCGCCATGATCTCTGGAAGCAGTCAGAACTGCTTATGGTGCGCAATTAGAGTTAAGAGGCGGGTGGTGACCGACCATGTCATTGATGATACGTATCGCATCGCCTATGGAGCTGGATTGGAAGCCTTGTCCCGTAAGCTGATCGACAAATTTCGAGATGATGCTTCGTTGTTCTGCTGGTAAGGACAGCCAATCTATGCCCGTGACCTGCTTGACCCCTTCCGGCACAGGCTCTGAGGGGACCAAGACGGCCTCGGTAGCTTTCGTGGGTGGCTCAGAACCCATGGCTACGTCTCTGCTGCGGGCCGATATGGTTCAGGAACGGTAGCTCTGTTAGGGGCACGCTGATGGAAAGCATTAAGATGTATTTTTGATTCTTGTCGAGTTGATCCGTTTCCGCTGCTGGTGGCAACGTCATTGGAGCCATAGGCCTAGGAAATTTTTCCCTGGCCGAGATCTGGGCGCCAGAAGTGCTTAATCGGCCCTTAGGCCCCTGCAGTTCCTCCCTTGGGGGCGCTCCCACTGCTAGGGGCTGCCCCCTCTACAGGCAAGTCTAAGATCCGTCCGGCAAACCTTCCCAGCGCCCGAGCAGGGTCCATGGTCCTGGTAATGGAACCGTATTTACATTTGCGTTTCTATGGTCTACCACCCAGGGAGTGCATAAACTGTCTGTAATAACACCAAACACCGCTGTCATAAAAAGGACCAAAGTGCAAAGGGTTAGGTAAGGTACCTTACCACTGCCACCACTGCTGGTGGATCAACGGCTAACTGCTGCTAAACCTCCCCAGCGCTTCTGGTTGCCTGATCCTCTCTTTTGTCTTCTTTCCTCCTGGTCTTTACCATTCTTCTTCTCAAGCCTATCCGACAGCCTCCCACATCGAATCCACCGCTTCGCGTACCTATTATACTCCAGTCACCGGCGGTATACGTGTCACATCGTGTCCTGATAGCGCGCAATCCTAATTACTGTCGGCCGCGACTGTTTCCCGGACTAAGCAGAGCGTGCTCATTCTGCCAACATTTGAACATCAACCACGCGCCGGACAGTCGACCTTTCTTTCCGCCGTGTCCAATCCCTCTCACAATTCCCGATCTTAGCTTGATCGACCACGACGGCCCTTGCGCAGGCATTAACAACGCGGCTAATTTCCGTCTTGGGCGCCCTGTTCGCAGGGAGCGTGTCGGCAAAGGATTCAATCGGCTGTCGTCTTGGTGAGTAGGGTCTTCCAGCTCGGCCGCAGGTCACGTTTCGACGTCAAGCGCGGAACGAGTCAGACGGAGGCATCGCCAGCTTGGTCTTATTTAAGGCTCTTGGTGGGTGCCGCTCTCGCACCGGGCTTTCCCAGACAACACGAACCAGACAAGACGAAACGTTAGCTTGCCAGTCCGATACCGCCAGGGTAGGTGTTTCGGGCGAGTCAAGTGTGGCAGCAGCGTGGCGACCAGAGGCGCAGCTGGCATCTTCAGGAAGGCCGAATAATTTGCGCCCTCCAAACGATCCACCCAGCACCTGGGGGCGGCGTTTCACTAGTACGACCCGAGCAGCAACCTGCAACGCACGCCCGCCCTCACTTCTTCCACCACAGATCTCCGCCCGCCGCCGCACGTGATGTCCCCGTTCCAATCCAGGTAGCGTTTGTCCCGGCTTACTTAATATCGACCCCGTCCAATCGCATATGTCGTCGAGGTATCCTCCTCCCGCCAGAGATCGCTCGCCGTCTCGATATGATCGCAGACCTTCCGCCCCTTACAATTCTCTAGGTTCTTCCTACAGGGGTCAGGCTGACATCGCCCCGCCCTCGTCGGATCGACCTCCTCCCCGCGGACCCAAGGCTGATTCTCGAGGCGGCGCCAGCTTACCCTATTCTTTTGCCTCCCGTGGGCGCGGCGGGTTCCCTGCTCGCAGTGCTGATACCTGGGATCGCGATCGGGAGCGAGACCGTGACCGTGATCGAGATGGCCGCCCAGGCGCACCGTCATACCGGGGCCGGGATGACGACCGCGTGGATTGGCCCAGGCGTGACCGTGATTTCGGCCCTGGCGACCGTGGCGTAAGTTCTGTGAGGGAGGGCCGACCATATACCGGCAGAGATCGGTCCGCTTCCCCCAGTCGCGCGCGAAGAGACTCGCGCGAGTCTGTCCCCACCGGTTTTCCGCGGCCGCCTGATTCGGCGTCTTCATACTACACTCCAGCAGCGCGAGGCGGCCTAGGACGTGGAAGGGGGCGAGGCGACTGGGATAGAGGCAGAGGAAGAAGTTCTCTTGTCGGAGAGCGAGATCGTGATTTATTTCATCCTCGTAGTCGGTCAAGAGATGGTTGGCGGGATCGTGACTTCGAGCGGGGCCGTCCACTGCCCTCAGATGCCGAACGTTCGGACCGCTATGATTGGCGAGAGCATGACCGCAGCCGGGAGCGTGATTCGAGAGGACGGGATCACGATCTATGGCCTAGGGAACAATCCCCCGGCAAGAGCTCCGTGGGCACGGCAGGTGGGATAACCACTACCCCAGCCGCAGCTACGGCTGATCGGCCTGGGAGATCTGCCATGGACATCATTCGAAGACTATCGACTGCCCCGATTTCTGCAAGTTCTGTTCGCGATGGACGACGTGATGAGGAGCAAGCAGACTATTTTGGAGGCCCCCGAACAGACTTGTCTCGGCGTGAAGCTTCTCAGAGTACACAACAGCCTTCTGCTATTACTGCCCTCGACTATGGTCCTCCGCCGCCTGTGCCCTCGGTCACTACACCTGCGACCGAGACGTCCGCTCCCCCTAAGTCTCAGGTTCTCAAGGCTGACTCAACGACAAACTTATCATCTACTTTCCAACCACCTAGCGGGCCAAAGGCGGCAAGGACGTCTAGCGCAGCAACACCAGGCCATAATATCAAGGCTGCGCCGCATCACGACTCTTGGAATCGCCCAGATGGTGCTTCACGCCCTCTGCGATCGAGCCTCACTCCTACTGCTAGCAATATCTCCAGTGATACCACTATCAAGAAAGATGAGCCAGTCGCCGAGCCGAAACCACCTACAGCTCCGGCCGCAAACCGGGCTATGCCACCAAATGTCCCCTCGGGTCCTCGATTGGCCACGGCTCCGCCTTATAGACAAAGACTGCCTTCTACGGAACCAATAGGTTCTGCCCTTGCCCCTACTGTCTCGAGAGAATCTGCCAAATCCACCGTACCAGATACCAGATCTCCTGTGATTCCAACAGGACCTCGTCTGGATAGGGAAGCGGCCAGACAGTTACCGGGAACAGGCTCAAAAATATGGGTTTCTCCTGACTACAAGCCAAAGCCATCGGTGATCAACCCCTCGAACAAGCCGTATCAATTAGAAGGGCGCGACAGGACAGGTGCTATCCCCACAGGGCCAAGACAACAAAGTACATTCCACAATGCCGAAGACAAGGCGAAGGCAGTGTCGGGTTCGTTCAATTCTGTTCCCTCGGTACCATCAGGATCCAGAGCCCTCGTGTCAACGAGTCCTCATATCCAGGGAGAAAAGATTACTTTGTACCATCCCAAAGAGTCTACTGATCAGCAGCAGCAGTCAACCGACGTGGAAATGCCGCTCCCTGCTTCAAGCGAGGACGAAGATGAGGCAGAAGACGATTCGTTCGACGAGGAGTACTTTAAAGAATCTGAAGAACGATTCCGACGGGAAATGACTCTGCTTGAGGCTCGAATGCCGCCGCCTCTACTACAAGACGAGTCTATCGTGGCTCTCCTCATTAGGCTGCAGTTCCTTGAGATGCTTTTGAAAGAGACTCTGGCACGACCGCCTGACACGTCCGCGGTTACCACCAAAGAAGAAGAGATCTCGGTGCCTGTTGGGGTCTCAACTGGCCTTCCGTCGCCAGACCGTGCCTCAAATGAGAGCGATACCCGACTGGAAAATGACGAAGATCAGCGGCCTTATCCTAAAGGCAGACCCCTCAAGCAGCCCCATATCAACCCTATACCGACCCCGCCAATCGAAGATCTACCGTACCTTAAAGTGGGACCGCCTGGAAGAATCGTATTTGAAGATTCCGACAATGAGGTTGAGCATGAAGCTGTCTCGATTCTTCTTCAACAAGAGTTTGAACGAAGCGCTTGGGACTGGAGGAGTGATCTTGAAGATATGCATGCTGAGTTTCGACGAAAGTACCCTTTGTGGAAGCAGGAAGTTGTCCACCTTGACCATGAGAGACGTGACCAGCAGGCCAGCCCGGCTCCAGCGTCCCCAGCACCGTCTGTTACAGCTTCAGTCACCCCTTCGTTAACCCATGAACGCACCCGAGGAGCCAGGAATACTACAGAGGCGGATCTGCAGGCTGCCATCCTGATGTCCCAGCAGTCTTTGAAAGAAGAGGAGGAGAGAAGAGAGCGAGAAGCTGCTTCCAGCTCTCACCCGAATTACGATTTGGAGGCCGTGATCCCTCCAATGTTGAATCCTGCCGACGCAGAGCTATCTAAATTTGAGGAGACAAATGGACTGACACCGACAGAACTTGCATTGGATGTTTTCTGCTATCTTCCTCCGGAGGACGACTTTACCGAAGAAGAGCAGACTCTCTTCATCGCAGCGTATTGCCAGTACCCGAAGAAATGGGGCAAGATCGCTGAGTCTATCCCTGGGCGGACGTATCAGGATTGCATCCTTCATTACTATTTGACTAAGAACCAAGCGCACTACAAGGACCTCTGGAGACGATCTCAACCCAGGAAAAAGCGCGGTAGGGCCGCGACCAAACCTCGGTCCACAGCTCTCATGTCGGAATTGGACTATCGCAACGATCCAGATGCAGCACCTGTTGCCGTCACGGATAGTGGAAGGCCGCGACGAGCAGCGGCTCCCACGTTCGGAGACGCGGCCAGCGAAGCTGACTCCTCAACCCCTGTCCCACAATCAAAGAAGCCCGCCGCCTCCGTAAAGGATGGGAGCGCAGAGCCGGTGTCGGCAAAGACCACCCGCGGGCGCAAAGCTGGAATTGCCACCAGGAACCGCCGGACGAAAGCCCAGATCCAGGCCGACCAGCAGGCTCAGCTTCTCAGTGCCACTGAAGCTCCTGCAGGAAAGACTGCGGCTAGTACGAAGGGAGAGAAAACCCGCCCTGTTCTGCATGCGGAAAATGTCCCCATCAGACAAGAGGTGGCGCCTATTCCACAGGTACAGCGCGCGGCCGATGTTCTGGTGCAACAATACCCTGTCTCCGACATATCATCCGTGCCTGCTGCGGTCCTCCAGAATCCCGTGATGTCGCAGGTGACAAGCTATTGGTCGGTTCCTGAGCAGCATAAGTTCCCCGAGCTTCTAGCATATTTTGGACATGACTACGCAGCGATAGCGGAGTTCATGAAGACAAAAAGCGTGACAATGGTGAGTCGTAGTCAAACACCCTGCATTCCGGCTAATTCGTTGCAGATCAAAAATTACTTTCTTCGACAGTTGAACGACGGCAAAGAAGAACTCGAGAGACTCGCGCAGAAGGGCGATCAGATGAGGATGGCTAGCGACGTCTTGGGGCAACCACCGAGTCCTATCATTCCTCCCAAACGTCGATATGATGCAACGTCCACACTGGGACCAGCCGCTCGTCCTACGACACAAATCGATCAGACCATGGCCGACCCTGAGGTTGTGGTGTCGGCCATCAAGCAAGGCATCATTGAGGACTTTCCCCGCAACACTGTGGAAAGGAATGCCATTGGTGAAGTAGTCTCGAAGCCTCGCCCAGTCGCCCGAGAGGTCATTCCTGCCATTACTGAAGCGCCCTTGCCGGGAGCGGCTCTGGCCAAGGCAGAAGAGACCCCGAGATTGTCAAATGACCGCGGCTCCTTATATGGACCGAAGCCATTGCATGGCCCGAGATCTGGAGTCTTTCAAGATGAGCATCTCGGCTTTCCCCCTTCGCGCCAACCACTTCGAGGGCCGCCACACGAGCTTCCGTCCCAGATACACGCTCAGCGTCCTCAAGATCTCCCTCGAACAGAATCAAGCCAGCCAGCTCCTATGTCGGCAGTTACGCACACCATCCTCGGACAGCGGGATCCTGTAGTCCAACCACACCAGAGACCTCAAGGTTCTGGAGCCACGTTAGTCCAAGTCCCGCAATCTCAAGGCGATAACTATGACCAGCAACCTATGTATCGACCCAGCCATAGCCGCACCAATAGTGCAGCTACTCCGAGCCACGTCCCTCTGGACCCGGCCCAAGATCTACTACCCTCGCGGCGTCGCATTGAGAACCAGCGCATCTTGTATGGAATGGGACCAACTGTTTCCCCTGCCCCAGCGTCAACGCCGATACCTGCGTCTCAACCCCTTAGGGTCGACATGCCACAGCCTGCTTCCGCGCCGCCCCCGGCTGAGCCTTCCAAACCTACTGGCAAGCGTTCCAATGTGTTTGGCCTGCTCAATGATGACCCACTAGACCCGCCACCAAAACGACCCTCGCTTGATGCAGCGACACGACAGTCTATGCGTTCACCACAGATTGCCCCTGTTCCTGCCGCTCAACCCCTTTTGCAGCCCTCTAGAAGCCAGACAGTCCCTGACGACTTGTCGGTAAATAGAGCAGTCAGAACGCCATACGGACATGGCGGTATTGCTCAGACTGCTTCTGGTCAGCAGGCGCCCGCCGAGTACCCAGGCGGATTTTCCGCGACCCCGGTTGCTGCGCCTAGTAACGAATCGTGGATGGACCGATTTGACCCGCGGACTCAAGGTGTGCCCACTGAACAACGAAGTCACCACCAGTCGCCCGGCCCAGGCCATTATTCTTTGGTACCTCCGAGAAATGAACCCCCCATGGTATCGGTACGTCCAGACGCTCCTAGAGGTCTGGAACGAACAGCACTTGATCATCGACGGTCGCTCATGGGGCAGATCAATCAAATACCACATGCACCTTCGCCTCCGCCTCAACAAGCTGCCCAGCCGGCACAGCAGTATCGATCAACGTCTGGCTCATCGCAGCATTCTCGAGTTGCATCCGTTGGATATTCAACTGCCCCAACAGCCAGCCCGACCATGTCGCTCGGTCTTCAGCAGTTGGCACCAACCCACCCACAATCAGCAAGCTCTACTCCGGGGCCGGGCCTTCCCCAACGAGGGCCGTCTCTCGACTACCAGCCTCGCCTCACGATTCAACAACACATGGCTCAACAGAACCAACAAAAACAAGATCAGCAGCGAGAGCATGAAAGGCGGCTTAAGAGAGCCCGAGAACTTGAAATGGCACAGCGTGACCGAGACCGTGAGCGCGAGCAACAGCATCAGCATCATCATCATCAACAGCAGCAGCAGCAGCAGCAGCATCACTCGAGGCGAGACATTTACGTCATTGACCAGCATCCTTCACCAGTGGTGTCTCGGCAGAATCACCTGGGTACAGCGGCTAATCAGAGTCATATGGCGTTCGCTCAGCGCGAGATCCCTCGGACCTTCACGCCGCCTCACATGCACAGTCACAATCACAATCAATATCCAGGCCAGGGTGCAGGGAGCCTGGGGGTCCCCCAACATCAGCCCCAACACCAACACCAACACCAACACCAGCACCAGCACCAGCATCAGCATCAGCACCAGCACCCGCACCCGCACCCGCACCAGCACCAGCACCAGCACCAGCACCAGCCTCAGCCTCAGTATCAGGTTCAGGCTACGGCGGCTCCTCCTCCGCCCCATCCGCCCCAGAGCACAACACAGCAACCACACCACCAGCTGCATCATGTTCACCATCCACAGCAGCCGCATGTTCTACATCCCGGAGCCGCAAGGCATTTCCGCACCCTGAGCCAAGGTGGGGAGCCGAGACGGGAAGATAGACGCTGATTTGCGACATATCATGCCTCCGGTTGTCTGTGATCTCAATTCGGAATAGGCCAGCTCAAGTCTTCTTGATTGGCATACCTGTACGGATATCAGTTTCATATCCGCCTTTGCGCTTTCCCATCCATCCATATTATTCAATATTCAGCGCTGCGACCATAAAAAGACAGTCTCTATGCGACTTTACTCAGTGCTGAGGAGATGTAACCTTAGATGTTGGCTTCTACGAATGGAGGAAGTGTGGCAACAGTTTTGTTATTCTTTTTGGTACTGTATGCGCCTGCTCGGCAATTGAATGATTTTCGATTGCAAAGAATGCGTTGTTAATCCCCGAATGTGTGGTATGCGTTCTGCTTTCTCTGGCATGGGAACGAATGCCACATCTCTTGAGTCTTGAGGTTGGGGGGGGTATTAATAGGTTAGGTAGGAACTCGGCATGCTGGCGTTACTGGGTTACTGGGATGCACGCATGCGGAGAGGGCATCTATCGCATGTCTGTTAAGATATTGTAACACTGTTGCCAACAAGGAGCTGGGTTTGTGACCAATACAAGCAACACTATGATTGTAGGTGGTCTGAGGTCTGAGGTCTGAGGTCGGAGTCGCAGGTTGGGCGAGCAAGAGGGCAGGGGAGGGGTATGGAGAGGAGAGGAGAGGAGAGGAGAGGAGAACAGCACAGCCACAGCCACCGCAGTCACCTACTAGTAAGGCCCTTAGGCCTATAAGCCTCCTAAGCCTTGGGACTGGCCTCCTAAGCCCCGAAAGTCTTCGGTGGTACGTCAGCGGAGCAGCAGCGGCGCGTAATTGTAATGCAGGAGCCTGAGAGCAGAGGGTGAGGCTGGTCCTCCGTAACTTGAAAGAGGCCAGGCGTCGACGATACAAACGCTCAACCTCCAACAACAACTTGCTGCGGCTCTTCTTGCGAAGAGCTAGAGACAAGACACTTACGCGGTCGGCCGCTGTCACACACCTTTGCCCTTCTTATTGTCTCTTGTCTGAGACACTGCACTGATACACTAATACGTACACCTGCACCGTCTGTTGCACTCACTCGTCCTGCCTGTAATGTGAACCAAGCGCATCCAACTTACCGGCCAACCAAACAGAAAAAGCGAAAGCGAAATCGCCGCAGACCTGGCTAATTCAGTACCAGGAAGACATTGCATCGATCGCACCCCGTCAGTGTCCTCACACCTTCCCTGAGCAGTCATGGTCATGCGCAAAACGTCGCTGCCGTATCACGCCAGTCCCCTACCTCAGCCTTCCCCGAGCGACACACATCACAGGTTGATCCCAGACCTGGCCGAGCTTCCTCCGATTCCTCCTTCTACACAGAGACCCACGAGAGCCGCAGGCTCTTCTAGCTTCCAAGTGGCAGAGAACCCGTGGTCTGATGTGCCAACCCAAGACCAAGAACTGAGGTCAGATAGACCATTGCCTGATATTTTGAAGCCGGGACCACCGCGCCCAACTGAGGACGGCGGAGTCAATCAAGGAACTCAGCCTTTGACTAACATTCCCAATATCCTTCGGGCTGGTCAGTCGCAGGAGGACACACCGAGGTCTTCGTTAGACAGCCAAAGGTCCAAGGATTTCTGGGAGGAGTCCGACGAGGAACAAGATGGGGGCAGGAAAAGTGCAACAAAGCCAGGATCGAGTCTACCCCCAGTTGATACCAAAGAGGAGTCGTGGGTCAACGTAGAGCCTTCTGAAAGGTCTCCTGGCATCAAGCGAAAGCCGGTCGGCGGAGGCTTCTCACCTCAACCACCGGGGTCAAGTTTCGACACCGCCGCCCCTTTTGCCTCAAACAATCCCTTCCGGCGATCACCCCCTCCGGTAGGCGAAGATGGCAGCTGGGACGGTCGAGGATCGGGGCATCACGAAAGGCGACAGAAGAAAGGCAAGGAGCCCGAGAGAGATAACCCGCCCCCTCCGACAGAGCAGTTTCAAACATTGACCTTTGGGACCAACACTGTCTCTAATCTGTCCGCCTACCATGCACAAGAAGGTCTCCAGACCATGGCCGGGGTGTGGGAAACAGAAAACCAAGTGGTGTCACCTCCGATACCACAGGCTCCTCCTCCACCTCCGCCGTCAGGACCTCTCTTGCCCTTCAGTGAACAGCCTCCACTCCCGGTCTCGCCGCCCAAAGATCACATGGAGAATCCCTGGGCTTCGAATCTTCGTCTTGAAGCTCCTACACCATCCCCGCTTGCTTTCTCGCCCTCTCAGAAGCAAGTCTCGAACTACAATGAGGAGCTGTTAGACCGTCAAAAACAACAAACTGGAGTGGTGTCGTTGAGAGACGAATTGGACACCTTACCAAACGCCGTTCAGCCCCGAGTGGAATCCCATGACGAGCCGTCTTTGCTAGACAGCGATGATGATGCTGGGCCTCCACTCCCTGCTAGACCGGCGCATCAGACTGATTCGGACGACTTCGATCCCCCAGTAGGGCCTCCTCCGCCAAAGCCACCAAGGCCGTCACTACGCACAACCGCCCCTTCGGATGATGAAGTGGCTAGGATGGCTGCGCAGCGAAATGAGACATATCAGATCAAACACTTCAACTGGTTTGACCACCACTCTCACAGACTACGAAGGTCCGCAATGCTGACCCAGAACAAGAATGGGCCTTGTCCTCTGCTTGCTTTGGTCAATGCTTTGATATTAGGTGCAAAGGATGCGTCTCAGGCGGCATTAGACGCTGCACTTCGTTCTCGGGAGCAAGTCACGTTGGGACTCATCATCGAAACCCTGATGGATGAGCTTTTGTCCCGAGGTGTCGAAGCAGCGGGGCAAACTCTTCCGGATGTCGACCAGCTAAATGAATTTCTGATGCGTCTGCGCACCGGCATGAACGCCAATCCTAGGTTCGTCCCGGTGTCAACAGAGCCGCCTAATCTAATGGATCTTGATGATGTTGGGCTACAAGCTCCTGAGCATCAGAGACCCCTCCAAAACAATGGCACTTTCGAGGCAACCACAGACATGAAACTATACGCCGCCTTTTCGGTCCCTTTGGTTCATGGCTGGCTTCCCGAGCCAGGATCAGATGCTGAGAAGGCATTCGCTCGGTCTGCCCCGACTTATGAAGATGCCCAAGCTCTATTATTTGGCGAAGAAGAGTTAGAATACAAACTCAGCAACCAGGGCTTATCGAGGCAAGAACAGAACATGTGGGAAGACATCAATTCCATGAAGACCTTTCTAAAGACGTACCCCACGCAACTCAGTCCGACAGGATTGGAAGCTGTACGGGACTCAATCTCACCAGGTTCCTTTGCCATCATGTTCCGAAACGATCACTTCAGCACGATATACAAGCACCCGGAAAACGCCCAGCTCTTCACGTTGATCACTGATGCGGGATACGTGGACCGAGACGAGATCATTTGGGAAAGTTTGGTGGATCTCAGCGGTAAACACAACGAATTCTTTTCCGGCGACTTTATGCCTGTCAGCCATCACAACGTCGGTGATGAAAGGTCAACCCATCCTACAGCTCGTCGGTCGTCCCAGCTGTTGTCTGCCCCCGACGCTGGTGCCGCGGCTCCACTATCCCCCCAAGAGCGACAAGAACAGCATGACGCCGATTTCGCCATGGCCCTGCAACTCCAGGAGGAAGAGGAGCAGAGGCAGCGAGCCGAGAGAAATCGACGTCAAAGTAGCGCAAATGCTACTAGCCTTAACCAACGGAGGTCGCCCGTGGCCATTCCAGCGCCGGTACGGTCACAGGCAGAAGCTCGGCCTGCCATACCACTTCGAACATCACACACCACCAATCGAGGAGTGAACCGACCCGCCGACGCTCTCGAGGAAGATACACCACCTACGTACGAAGAAGCAGCCAAAGGCCGGCCATATATACCTCCGGTTGGGAGCCCGCTACATCCCTCGGCAGAACCCAGTCCCATGAGTTCAAACACACAACTTACCGGCACGATCAGTCATGCATCAGCACCGGCAACTGACCCTCATCCGCCCGGCCCTAATGCTGCCGTTGGTAGAAGGCAGCCGGCACGGCGATTGAGTGCGTACAGCGAAACAACACAGTATTATAGTCCTCAGAGAATACACAGCTTGACTCCGGCGCAAGGCGTCAGTGGAGGAGGACCTTCGAGGCCTGGGAATATGCAGAGGCAGGATAGGGATTGCATAGTGATGTGAGGCTAGGCAGCCGAGATGATGGACAAAGATCTAATGTCGATGGTATGGACGCAACGAGACTCAGAATAACGAGACTTATTACGAACAAACCTATCTATCGCCCCGCATTTTGGGATGTTCCTACCGAGCTTCCATCTCGGGCTTTATCGACTCGAGGTCCCTCTCGCCGGTGCGGAGAAGCGAGACGGCGCCTCCGCGATCGGAGCCACAGGCACCTGACAGGGGTTCAAATGCCTCGGACTGTACCGCCACCGCCTGTTCCGCCTTGTTTGGGACAGTCTTGGGAGTCCTCCATCTGGACTCTGGACTTGTCGTTCTTGGTCTCCAACCGGGAGACAACGCGGCAAAGCGGGCTCAAGGAGGAGAGGGGACTGTATCTAGAGGCAGTAATTGGTAAACGTTCTGTGTCGGCCCAGCTCGGCGCACGATATGATATGTACGCCGGCCGTTCACGTTTTGAGCGGGGGAGAAAAGCGACTGGGGACGGGGTGGGCTGGATCCAATATTAATATTTAATACCCGGACACATATATCCATTTGGAGGCCAGCACATTTTCCGGCCGAGGGATCGTTATTGTATTGCTCTCTCTTGTCTTAGTAAATCTTTTCCCGTCTTTCTTTGCTGCCAGCTCGTCTCTCCGCCTCTGTGCCCGAGTCCCAGGCTTTCAAAGAGTCAGGCCGGTGTGTGATTACGAGACTGGAGACCACGCGGAAGCTGACAAGCTCGGGCAAGAAAGAGGCAAGAAGAGGGCTGCTCGATTGACGCTGCTTTTCTTTCGACGACAGGTCTCGAGTCTGGTCTGAGTCTGGTTTGAGTCTGGGTCTGACCGGACAGGAGTGCATCAGGCACCAGGAGCTCTCACTCACCGAGTCGTGCGCTTCTTCAGCCCAACTCAAGGAAAGATGGCGGCATCGACGGCATCGACGGCGTCGCCGCAGACGTTCCGCATCCTCGTCCTCCCCGGCGATCACGTCGGTCCGGAAGTCATGGCCGAAGCCCTGCGCGTCCTGGACGTGGTGCAGGCTTCGTCGTCGGGGAAAATCAAGTTCGAATACAACCACCAGATTGCCGGCGGGTGCAGCATCGACAAGCACGGCACGCCCATCACGGACGAGGTGTTGCGTATCGCCAAGGAGGAGAGCGATGCTGTCTTGTTCGGCAGCGTGGGTGGGCCGGAATGGTGAGTGTGCCATTCAATCCCTCCCCTCTACATGTCCATTTCCATTTCCTTTCTAGACAAGAAGCACTCCTCCTTCCTGGCTATTGTGGCTATTGCTAAACACAGACCCTCGCTGTTTGCAGGGGCACCACCTATCCCAACCCGGAATCCGGCCTGCTGCGTCTCCGACAGCACCTCGACGCCTTCGCCAACATCCGGCCCTGCACCTTCTACTCGCGCTCCCTGATCCCGCTGTCGCCGTTGAAGCCGGCCATCGCGGACGGGACCAACTTCATCCTGCTCCGGGAGAACTGCGGCGGCGCCTACTTTGGGGCCAAGGTCGAGGAGGCGGATTTCGCCAGCGACTCGTGGGCGTACCGACGCGACGAGATCGAGCGGTGCGCCCGAGTCGCCGCGGCGCTGGCTACCACCATGGGCAAGGACGGCCTCGGCACGGGCCAGTGCCCTGACGGTCCCGCGACGGTGTGGTCGAGCGACAAGGCCAACGTGCTTGCGTCGGGCCGGCTGTGGCGCCGCGTGACGAGCGAGGTGTTCGCCAACGAGTTCCCCAACATCGAGCTCAAGCACCAGCTCGCCGACAGCCTGAGCATGTTGATGGTCAAGAACCCGCGCATGTTCAACGGCGTCATCCACACCGACAACACCTTTGGCGACATGCTCTCCGACCAGGCCGGCGGCGTCGTCGGCACCCTCGGCGTCCTGCCCAGCGCCAGTCTCTGCGGCATCCCCGATGGCCACAGTCGGTGCAACGGCATCTACGAGCCCGTCCATGGCTCGGCGCCCGACATCGCCGGCAAGGGCCTGGTCAACCCGACCGCTCAAATCCTCTCCGCCGCCCTGATGCTACGCTATTCCTTCAATCTGGCGCCCGAGGCCGCCGCGATCGAGGCCGCCGTCCAGAAGGTGCTGGATGGCAAGGACATTGGGGGCTTGGAGATCCGCAGCGGCGATCTCGGTGGCCGTGCAACTACTAGCCAAATCGGCGATGCCGTGTGTCAAGTGCTCGAACAGATTCTCAAGGAAAAGAGCAACAGCAGTGGGGTGTCAAACGGGCGTGTATAAGTGTTGGACCTCGAGGTATTGAATACCACGGGTACTGAGTAGTGAAGTCAGAGATAGTAGTAGAGGCCACTAGTGACAGGGGCCCTCGCGTATTTCCACGCGCTCTAGGGCTTCTTTGTTTTGTAGTCTCTTCAACCAGTATCAACACCTTACCTCTCTTCAACCAATATCAACACTTTGCTTCTGAGTTCCTTCAATAAGCGGACGAAGCCGGGAGGGGGATGAGGAGGAGCCCTAAGCCCTACCGACGGGTCTGAGAGTGGTGTCGGCCTGATGCTCGCATGCGCATGCACATGAATGAATGAGATCTGTTCCAAACATCAAGTTAGTTAAGTACCCTCGTCCCGACCCCTTGACCAAGAGTCGGTGGTCTTGATCCCGTTCCAGCAGCGTAATCAGGCAAGTATTAGCTGGAAGCTGGCCGCTGGCCGCTGCGAGGCCGGCATGGAGTCGAGCTGCAACGAGGCAGGGCAACTGAGTTAGCTAGCTGGGTCGTCGGTAGTTAACAAAAATTCGGTTGGTACCAGCACGTTGGTCTAGGGCCCAAGGCTTTCTGGCAGTCAGCGATGGCATGAAGAGTTCCACATGCCTTCGTTTCCCTTTTTGCCGAATCCGATGTGGGCTTGACATTCTCGGGCATCTCGTCCATGTCCATGACTGCCACTCCGTTGATTCATTGGACAGGGCTTCAATGGAAAAGAGAAAGATATAAGGTAGGATATCAAACGAGAGCATTGGCAGTCAAATCCAAAGCAAATCAGAATTCGGATAGACACCGACAACTCCGAGACTGCCGTTACCGGAGAGTAGTAGGTAGGAGGAGGAGGTGAAGCTCGATCGTCAGCATCGAGTCAAATTCTGTCATTGACCAAAGTGGCCATGAGTCGCTAAGATCATTATGCATCACATAAGTCATGTTGAAATTCGCCAGCAGCTCCAACTATGTCTCGAGCCAACCCCACAACCACAACCACAACCACAACCACAACCACTACGGAATCGAGCTCAGAATTGATCTGGCCCAATGTGTCAGTACACGTTGGTCGAGTTCGAGGTCGGAAACGCGCAGGCTCACCTAAAGTCATGCTCATGCTGACATCCGTGTTCTCGACCATTTGTTTGAACTCTTCGAAACTGATCATCCCATCACCATCTTTGTCGGCTTCCATGATAGTCTTGTCCACAATCTGCTGCAGTTGTTGATCTTTCAAGTTACTCCCGACCATCATCTTGAGCACGATGAACAGCTCTCCGTTGGAGATGTAATTGTCACGATCGATATCGTAGACTTTGAAGGCGAACTTGAGCTTTTCCTCTTTGTTGCCTTTCGACGAGAATGCTGACAGGCCTAGGACGAATTCTTGAAAGTCAACGTCGCCTCCACCGTCTTCATCGAAGATAGCGATCATTCTGCCGGGGAAGTGTTAGAGCAAACGTGTGCAATCCGTTATCCGTGTGGAGGAGGATACCTCGTGGCTAAAGGGTTGGAGGATACTTGTGGTAATGACAAGAACTCTTCCCTTTCAATGGTGCCGCTGTTGTCCTGTCCCAACTCATCAGTGTTGTGAAAGCACGGCCGTGGGTTCAGGGAGTACCTTGTCCAGTTTCATGAATCTTTTCCGCAGTCTGTCCACTTCGTCTCGGTCGACTATGATGTTGCGGTTAGCACACCTTCACTTGGCCCCCAAGCGCAGGGCTTGGTCGAATGCGGCTGCGCAAGCCTGGAGACAGGAACTGTCAAACGCACAATTGGAGAATGAGACGATGTTGTCGAGAATCTGGGAGCCGCTGACTGTTTGCCTTCTTCGAGCGTCGTAGAGTGCGGCATTGTTGGGTTCTGCAACGGTACCGGCTTGGGCGCCGTACGCAGGCGTAGCCATGATGGAAGTCGAGGACGTCAGGGCCCGTCTAAGAGGCGCGAACAGGAGGGAGCTGGGTCGACGTGTATTGGACAGACCGAAGTGAGCAGTTCGAAATTGATGGCAGGGTAGGCAATCAGGAAACCAAGTTAATGTATGGAGTACAGATACAGAGAACGGAGTATGTATGGTAGTGGTAGGGCTGACAGCGAGCGACCAAGTCGACTTTCAAACATGGAACGGAGGCTGACAGGATACAAGCCCGCAGCAACCCACCAGCCACAACTGCCCCGCCACAGCGTGATCTTATTATTATCGTCACTCGTCAATCTACACCGTACGCCACAACTGACTAATTCAGGAACAGCTGTTAGGTGGCTGTACGCACCTAGTACGGGAGTACTATTCAGGCCATGCCAAGAAGAAAGCCCTACACGTCCAGTTGAACAGCATAGAGAGGAAGAGCAAGAGCAAAAGCAAAAGCCAAAGCCAGGTGATGCAAGGGCCAGACATGTCCACGTACCCGTACTCGACGATACGCAGACTTTGCTGCCCCTCTTTCGATTGACCGTGGTGACAGCGTGGTGACCGAGGTGCGACAATGACGGCGTACGAGAGTGGCTGAAGGCTGGCCGTTGCGCAAGTTGGCCCTGTGCTGAGCTGTACTCGGTCCTCGATCGTGCAGTCACACGCAGAGGCATCAAGTGCTATTTGGCCCTCCTGCTAGGAGCTCCCAACCCAACCCAATCCAACCCAACCCAGCGCCCGCACCACGCCTAGGGATGACTAGTTTCTAGGCTGCCTCCCGTGTGGCCCCTTACCTAGATCCATCTCTTTAGGGAGGCAGACTCACCCAGCGATCGTCTCTGCAACCTTGCCCAGTAGTAGCTTTGGCGGCACCTACGCGGCAATAATAATAATCAATCTGTCACTGTCACCCACTTACTGATTGCTCTGACTGCATGGACTGCGCTGCGCCATCTCCCTCCCCCACGCACCCGACCTGCAAACCTGCACTCTTCACTCCCTCGCACACCCTCAACCACCACAACCTCCAGCAAGTGCAAAATTCTTCAACCATCAAAACATCCGCCCCGCGCCACGTTTCTATCATTCTGAGACGATAGTTCATCTCAGGGCATCAAGCGCTACATTTTAATGCTAGTTTGGTGAATTATTGGCCACCTCTACTCTCTACGGTTGGGTGTGGTGGTGCTTCGGCGACTTTGGCCCTCCTTCATGAGGTTGTCGCCAAAAAGCGTCCATGTCGCGCGCGGCAGGCAGGCATACCCGCCCCAAGAAACTCAACGCCAAACAAAATGTCCCGATTTTTCGTGAGGATCAGGTCGATTCTCTCGTCGATTATGATCTTCAACGTGCTGCAATAGATACTGGTGTCGAAAAGGCTGAAGAATCGGTATGTTGTTGACCTGCAGCCCTTTTTTGCTTGCCTTCGCCCCGAGTTCATTTCTGCTTCATCTCTTTCTTGTCGCTCTGTCCTCTTCACTGTTGCTTAGTCACCACCACGCCTTGGCAAAACATCTCCGGACTTTCTATCCGGCGCTGCTCCCATACTGACTGATCTTGCCTTCCAGGAATACCATCTGCAACAAGCCATCAAGGCAGCTGAAGCGTCAAAGGCAGATGCCAAAATCAAAGATGCCTACATTCCGACTCCACCTACCATTGCAAGTGATATCCAGTATGGCGTTCTCTACCCCAAGGGGTTTCAACAACCAGCCACATATATCCGCTTTTCTGCCACAGTCGAAGACTGTTCAGGAGTGGCATATTGCATGGATGAAGAGGACGAACTTGCCTTGAAACTCATCAACGGAAGGTTACCTGCTGGGCAGGTACCATGCACGGAAGACCAGTTCGAAGAAGTCATGAACTTTTTCGAGGAGACCGCTCAGGCGAAACAACCATTTGCCGCCGTCGATAGTCCTCCCGTCTTACCATTAGAAGAGCTGCAGGAACAGTTCGATGATGACACGCCTGCATATGTTCGCATCTTCTCCAAGTACATATATGACCATTGGAAGAGCCAGCGCACGGCCACCGGTAACCGGCCACTGGCTCCTCGCCTCAAGTTCGAGACTGGTCAAGAATCCGATGACTCGGATCCGTATGTCTGCTTTAGAAGAAGAGAGCTGCGACAGATCCGCAAGACGAGGAATCGAGATGCCCAGAGTGCCGAAAAGTTGCGAAAATTGCGCATTGAGCTGGAGACTGCTCGGGGTATGCTGTTGATGGTGAAAAGGAGAGAGATGCTTCGTAAAGAATGTCTCGAGGGAGACCGCCAGCTCTTTGAGCAGCGGATAGCCTTCAGAGATACCAAGAGAAAATTGGGCATGAAAGGCGATGAGGATCTTCTCATCAATCAAAAGGTAATCCTCGCTGCTCCGATCAAAAACGTGCCCCAAACTTACCTGGCCTCGCAGAAGCAGAGATTGCCACCCGGCATGACCCTCAATCAAGCCGCTCTCGCCCAACAGCTCAGGATGCCCATGGCACCTGGTCCGGGTCCTGAACTCCGAACCTTGGAGGATGTCACCGCTGCTAGAGAACGTGAAATCCAGAAGGAAATCCAAACCAACGTCGAGAAACACATCAGATGGAATGAAGGGTTCGTCGACAAGACGACGGCACCACTTACCCCTGAGGTCGAAGACGACTATCCGTCACCAGATGGCCTCTTCAGAGAGGCCATGGCTGCGACCGAATACCTTCCCACACCACCGGCTAGTATCTCGGATGATGAGTCGCAGCAACGACCCGAAGGAGCAGAGGTGGCAATGAAGGGCGTGTCTCGACCTCCCACTCCTTTCCGTTATGCCAGTCCTGCTGATGAAGATACTGTTGCACAAATGCCAGCTTTCCGACGGAGGATAGGTAGAGGTGGTCGTGTCATGATCGATCGAAAACTTCCTCGGGTGAAGCGAGATTTTCCAGAAGATGATAGATTCAAGTTCGATTCGGACGACGACGACGAGATGCAGGACGTCGATTTGCAGTTCGATAACTTGACTTATGCTCGAATGTCTCAGCGAGCATACCTTCTGGGTAACACCCGGCCGACCGATGCTCAGGCAATGTCGGCCAGAAGAGCCCAACTCGAGACGGGTGGTCCCAGTCAATCACCCGCCACAGTCAACCCACAAATAACACCCGTACCTTCTTGAATGTTTTTAATCCTTGGACCTTTTTCGCAACCGTCACCGAGAGCACAATTCAAAAACTCTCTTCTCATGGCTCGGATGGAGTTCGAGCCTGTTAGGTTGGCACTATCGCCCTCGGGCGTGTAGGTGTCGGACCACCACTTTGGATGGAGCTCATGGATTGCCAGACCACAAGAAGTGGTTGCTGTCGGTGCAGACTCATTGTACATATTATCGAGGCCAGCGCCTCCGCTATTCTTTCGAATGGCATTCCAACTCCAAAGCCATCACCGATGCTTCTCTTTTTTTGCTGCTTGTTTTGATTGGAAGCCTGTTGTGGCATCGTATTTCCGTTTGGACGATCCAGAGGCCATTTCTTCGGACTTCTGCTTGATGTGGAATTGGCATAGGGTAATCCACTGTCGTAAGATCTCTTTCTCACCCATTCTTACCTGGACTGCCATCAAGTATCGCCGGTGATGGCAACTGAGAGGCACAACAGTGCTGGGGGAATCTGACTGTAATGCTTCGCAAATAGCTTGGTCCGCTTCGTAACTGGTGCTGTATTCGGTCAACCTTTTGGTGAGCACCGCCTGTAGGAGTGCGGCTTCTTCGATTGTGATCGCGTCCTTGGGCTTCTTGATGGCTCTGGCGTCATTATCGTGCGTACAAAGCGCTCGCAAAAGCATATGTAACTGGCCGGGAAGGACATCATCCAAGCGTTGAGCATTTGGCTCAGGCCGATGAACGACATAGCCATCGTCGACTAGGCCAAGCTCATCAAGCTGCTCCTCCCTCTTCAACCATGCTTTATTCTCCTGGTTGTGTTTCTTCCCTGCCACATCGACGAGAAGGTCATGCGAGATCTCGACGACATCGTACTGAGAGTAGTTATCGGTGATGTAGCCATACATTCGGAGAAGGTCGGAGCGTGGGAGGGGACCGTAATCATTGAAGATCTGCTCCCCAGTGGATATCGGCCTTGTGGCCCTCATGATGAGATAGTCGGACTCTTGGAAAAGACGAGCCTATTGAGAGCGTAGTCAGCTTTATAGCTATTGCCATGAGTATGTGTGTGCCAACGAACGTTGTTTCTATCGGCATCGGCATTCAGCATATCAGCAAATGGCACCATGCCCTTGAAGGGTTCATCTTCATCGTCCTCCTCAAAGTTGTCGCCGGAGGAGTTGTCGTCGTCGTTGTCGTCGTTGTCGTCGTTGTTGGTTCTCGTGTCATCTCTATCGATGTCAAAAGCATATGCCATGATCAAGCTACCAGCCATATGGGCAAGCTTGATGAGTTCCACAGTCCGTTCAACTGGAGTGGCTCCGGGAACAGGAAACTGATCAGGGTGTGCCAGCATGACGGGAATGATGGTCTCTCGCCATGACTCTTCAGCTTGCTGTCGTCCAATCTTCTGAACCACTGCACTGGCTTGCAGCTCAGCAAGCTCAGCACTGTTCCAAAACATGAGTGTGTCAAAAGTGGTAGGCAGGACCTTGAAATATGCGTGCCATGGAGAATCGTCCTTTTTGAGGTACTCATAGATAATGGTGACAATGAGGGGTGGCCATGTTCCGGTTTCCTCCAAGGGCTGGATGGCTGTGGGTGGGACGTTTGATGTCGTGGTGGTGAGCACCAGTGATCGAGGCACAGCGAAGAGCTCTTCGTCTTCCGCAATCTCTGCTGTCGCAACTGGGCAGTGCTAGTTAGCAGACAGCTCTCAGCGAGGCACGATGAGCATACCCGCCCCTCTCCCGGCGTTTTCATTTCTCAGATCCTGCAACTGCACCTTTGAACTCCAGCGAGTCCCATCAGCCTCGGTAAACCATTTGATGAACTGCGCACTGGTCTGGTCAAAGTCCGAATGGCCTGCGTGCTGGAAGGATTCTGCCATGGCAGACAGAGGCTTCTAGAGAATAAAAACCAACAAGCAGAGGAATTTGCTCGAAATCACCAGGGTCAAGGTTTGGTGGAGGGTGGACGGCAACAACTCGTTGAAGTTGTGGTGGGAGGGACTCGAAGGACACCGCTTGCGCGCCAAGCGATCGGCTTTTTGAGAACAAGCGCCGCAGTCTCTGTCTCCGCACTGGCAACCGATGACTAACTCACCCTGCGTCATTCTGAGTGGCTTGCCTCTGTGCCTCTGTGCTTCCCCTCTACGGAGCATCCATACTTGTGACAATTAGCGTTTTTTCCGTGTGCACAAAGCACGATCTGCCGTTTGGACAGGCTTATTAGACTTAACATTGCCCAACGGCCTTAATATCCTGTCGCTTGCCCGGAATGATTGCAATCGGCCTCGAAGGCTCTGCCAACAAGCTAGGGGTGGGCGTGATCCTACAGCCCGCCAAAGGAGGCCCAGCCCAAATCCTGTCCAATATCAGACACACCTATGTCTCCCCTCCTGGGGAAGGATTTCTTCCCAAAGACACAGCAAAGCATCATCGCGCTTATGTGTCAACCCTAGTCAAGCGAGCACTGGCTGAAGCAGGTGTAAGACTTGAAGATATTGACTGTATCTGCTACACCAAAGGCCCTGGCATGGGTGCCCCATTACAAAGTGTCGCTGTTGCAGCAAGGACGCTGAGCCTTCTGTGGAACAAACCCCTCGTCGGAGTCAACCACTGTGTCGGTCACATTGAGATGGGGCGAGAGATTACGGGAGCAACCAATCCTGTCGTCTTATATGTATCGGGAGGCAACACGCAGGTGATTGCTTACAGTAGCCAACGGTATCGAATATTCGGGGAGGCCCTGGATATTGCGGTCGGGAACTGCCTTGATAGATTCGCACGGACACTGAATATCTCGAATGACCCTGCTCCAGGCTACAATATCGAGCAGCTGGCGAAGAGGGGAAAAGTGCTGCTGGACCTTCCATACGCAGTAAAGGGTATGGATTGCTCGTTCAGTGGCATCCTTGCCCGTGTCGATGAGCTTGCTGCCCAAATGAGAGCGGGCACTCTCAAAGATCCGGTCACAGGGGATGCAGTCACACCGGAGGACCTTTGCTTCTCTCTGCAAGAGACCGTCTACGCCATGCTCGTCGAGATTACCGAGAGAGCCATGGCCCACGTGGGCTCGAGTCAGGTCCTCATTGTCGGCGGCGTGGGTTGTAATGAAAGACTTCAAGAGATGATGGGGATCATGGCGAAAGACAGGGGTGGAAGCGTCTATGCCACCGATGAAAGATTCTGCATTGACAATGGCATCATGATTGCTCACGCCGGTCTGCTTGCTTATCGGACGGGCTTCGCAACTGCTCTGGAGGAGAGCACTTGCACGCAAAGATTCCGAACAGACGATGTCCATATCGCATGGCGAGAAGATTGAATTGACCTAGAACATCTCTGCCTTGCGAGGCCACTTCCCGAGCACCACAATCATGCAACCAAGACGCTGGTCTTGGTTCTCGTTCAATCATCCAGTCATGAAATCGTTGATACCCGAAATGCAATTTTCGCCAATAGTTGCACCACCTGTTACAGCAGCCGTACAAACCACAGTCATTGACCTGTCTGGAACTGAGGCACTCGCTTGAACGAAATTGTGGTCACGTACTATGACAAAGTGGTTAGCGACTGGAAAGCAACCCTTCAGGAAATCTCACCTTCTTCTTATATCGAGTAGTGACACTAGTCGCCAGCACCCCGTTCTTGACACTACTGGTCATGAGATGATTCAAGACGGTGTGATTCGGCAGTGTGAGGACGCTGTTATCGTCCTTTACTGGAAGAACACCGTTGAGAATGGACCTGCTGAGGAAGAGGGGCAGAGCTGGTGGTGCTGGAGCTTCTTGGATGACTCGCACTGCATTGTGATACCGGACGTCGTCTTCGGAGAGGTCGACGTCTACAAAGGCCTGTGGTACAAGTTGACGGAAATCGCCAGCTGGGATCTCCTCGGCTTGAGGCTCTACCATCCCGGGCTCAGGAGTCTGTTGTCCGGATCGGCCATCGTCATGCTCGACAGCCGTCAGAGCTGCCGATTTGTTGCCTGGCTGACCGCTTTCTCTCCTCGTCTTGGTGAGGTCCTCGGTGGCGATCTCGATGTAATTTACCAGGAAATTGTTGAAATCGACCGCCGTAGGCAGGTCTGGGCTTGTGACCATCTCGTCATCTACCACGAATTTGAGATGATGTGTTCCTGACGGAAGGTTGATTGTGGTAAACATGCCGGGGCCAGTTTTTCTGCCACCATGTTAGCTAATGACAGCAACATCTGCATGCGAAGGATGCATGATTGTGAACATGGGAAAAAAGCGACTATCTGTGGAGGCTAGGTCGATAGGTCTAAGGTGATATTGTCGTTCGTGATATTGTCGTTCGGTCAAGATCACAACGGGAACATATCGAGTCTCAAACAACAAAGAACAATGATATCGGAACGTACCTTGGATGAAGCCGGTACTTCTTTTCCCAATTTGCAAACGTTCCCGTGACGTAGACTTTGGTTCCGCCATGATTCCATTCGATTACAGTGGGCACGGTTTGAGCAGTAGCAGCATCAACCGCAAAAGGTTGCAATTCCTCCCCTACTTCTTCTTCGGATTGCGTTGTCGTGCTCAGCATGGAGCTTTTCCTCGTAGTCTGGGGGTCGATGGGGGAAAGAGGCTCATCTGTCTCGAAGATTGGAACGTCCGCGTTTCCTCTGTCGACTGGCAGCAGGGGAGGCGATTCAGGAATTGGTACGTCTGCGATGGGGAGAGGGAGACGGGGAGGACGAAGTTGGGCGACCGAAGTATATCGTCGATCTTGATAGGTATTGTTGGGTTCTTCGACCGGCTCGTCGGCTGAGTCCTGCTTACTCCTCGACATGGGAACGTCCACGGGGCCTGATGCCTGCGGCACGGGCAGGGGCGGCTGATGTCTTGGTCGTTGTTCCAACTCATGTCTCTTCTCACGCGAGGCTCTCGAAGTAGACCTCTCCACTTTGGGGGCTCTAGCATGTTGGTCGGTCGAGGAGGCGTGTAGATATTGCTGTAAGTCGGGTCTTTCTAGATGTTGGGAAGTTGTTTGCGCAACTGCGGTATCCTTTGTCGCTTCGGGGTCAATAGGCGTTGCCCGGCCTTGGGATAGAGCTTGGATCGAGACCCTGCGGGAAATCTTCCGGTCTCTTTCAGCCTGAGGAGTACCAGTCCTCGAACTCGAGCCTTTCTCTGAGGACTGTTGTTGGCCCATTTTGAATGGCGCAAGTGACTCCTAATCGAGGCTTGAGTGGTGTGCGGAACGTGGTAGACAGAAACCCCGACCCAAGGCGGGCCACGTTAGGGAGATAGGAAGTAAGAGGAGAAGTTCGTGGGCTCCAGTTGACTTAGCATTCGGCGTCTCGAGTCCAAGAAAGTGGGAGGTGAAACTGGGGAAGAGAGAGTGATCAAAGACCGTACTTGGGCAATTATGGATTCCTCTAAGCTCCAAGTTGTGACGTATCAAGTAAGGACTGTCACGGCTATTATGATCTAAGGTAATAATTACTATCAGGATTACCTAGAATTGGGGCCTCCTAACTTATAAGCCGAGCTGAGCGAGACTTTAGTTAAACTTCAGTTGATCTAGGGGCACCTGCAGCTTGCTCATGGAGCCTCTTTCACCTACAGAGTGTTTTATTGGGGGTACCGGAGTGCGTGGTGCGGGGAGCGTCTTTGGGTTCAAGGGCCGGGTTCTGGGACCCAATAAAGATCGAGAGCCAAAGAACGTCTGAGTGAAGCCCACCGGCAACAACATTTCATCCAACATGATCCTCACTACCACCATCTGCTGATCGTGCTGTCGGTTACACAGTATCTAGGTAGCTTCAAATCACCCGACCTGACTCTCCGTCAGCGTTTCCTCGTCCATTATATCCAGTTCCCGTCATGATTCAATGACTGGGATGACGGATAACACGAATTGGATCTCGGTCACCACCACTGTGCTTTACTATGCAATATATCCTGTTTACCTCGTGCTGAGGGCCCTATGGTACATCTTGGTATTACTAGCGACTCCGTTTCTGTCCATTGGACGCGTCATAGGGAGCATCTCACTCATTCCATGGCGCATTTTTGCGCGTTTCGAGGTCAGTATCTCCCTCTCAAGTCTTGGGATCCAACTCATTCATTCACAGGCAGTTTGGTATTTTCTCGGTTGCGCAATCTTGCTCGGAACCGTTCTCGGATTGCTTTTGCATTTCACCATGCTAGCCTTCGTCGTGATTTTCGACCTTGATCGCAGACCATCCCCGGAACCGATCCCACCCAAGGGACATGATGCAATATCTTACAGGAAGGCGAGAGAAGCGAAGAGGCAAAGACTGGAAGAACTACAAAGACGAGCTGTGCAGGCCAGGTTGATTGCGTCACAGCCGCTGATTCAAGAAGTTGTGAGGGACGTCAGAAGGATGCCTCTCTTCGGCCCCTCTGGTGGTCCAGTCAGCCCAAATCTTCTGCGCGAGACGATCCTTGAGCACAGTGAAGAAGACGATAGTGAGTCTGTATTTTAGGAATTGTGTCGCAGTCAACGTATTCCTGCCTTGACTAGAGCTTGCTGGAAGAGGTCTTTGCATCTGACGTGACTCCCCAATCTCGCACATAACAGAAAGGCTCCGCTCAGTTTACGATGCAAACTGTATGTCTCCTCCGGAGGCGGGGCCAATCTCTCTTTCAGCATGACAGGAATGAGGCCACGGACGCGGTCGGTAATGGTCTGGTTCTCAAAATCATAAAGGTCAGGAGCAGAGTCCGTGAAAGGTTCGGCTAGTGTCGTGACCGAGTCAATGTGAGCGTTCAGCATGAGCTTGGATTCGTATCCAGTAAGGTAGCCCAATTGTATCGACAGGTCACTGCAAGCATTTCGGTCTCCTCTTGAAGCTGCGTCCAGGACCTTAGCATAGAGCTCGATGAAGGTTGCCGGGTATTCTCTGGATGCTCCAAAGTCCAGCAGTTCCAGCTTGTTGGTTTGGGCATTGTAGAGGAAGTTGGTCCAGTTCGGGTCTGTCTGCATGTACCTGAACTCGATGATCTCTCGCAGACACAAGCGAAGAATTTGCGTCCCGATCCAGTCTTTCTGCTCCTGCGTAAAATTGCGGACTTTGGTCACTGCGACTCCTTCCATGCGCTCCATCGTGAGCACCTGCTTACCGGAGGCCTCATCGATGATTTCTGGGACAGTAAAGACCTTCTGGTCGTCTGCTAGCAGCTGTCGGAACCTTTTTGCAGCTCCGGCCTCTCGGGCGTAGTCGCATTCCCATGCTAACTCAGTACGGGCGTTGGCAATTGTCTTGTCCAAGTAAAGGCCCTTCGGTAACAGGCGAGACGCAGTCAGAAGCAAGGAAAGATTGTTAAGATCTGACGAGATTGAATCTGCCACGCCAGGATACTGGACCTTGACAGCCACCCGGCGTCCGCCCTTCAAGACGGCGCCATGCACTTGCCCAATGGAGGCAGCAGCCAGTGGACGCTCGTCGAACTGCTCAAACAACGCACGCCAATTGGGTCCCAGATCAGTGGCAATCACTGCATCTCTTTGTGAAGCGGGCATGTAGTCTGCGCTATCTTGGACGCGCTGAAGTACCTCATGAATGGGCTTAGGCAGCAGCTTTGCATCTTGGAAGCTCATCAATTGGCCTAGCTTCAAGGCAGCACCTCGCATTTTGGACAATTTGGCCACCAGGCGTTCCATATTTGCCGGGCTCAGCATTAGAGACCCGTCCGAGCCGCTGGACCGACTGACACTTTCACTGACGGCCCCCAAAGCCATTGACGCTGCTAGTCCACCATACTCGAAGAGACGGCCAAACCTCGTTGAGGGAACCTTCGACTCACGCATCTGATAAGGCTGGACAATTTGTGCTTGCGACGTCTAGGACATCTGTCAGCCGATCAGTCAGGGTCATGCATCTGGGCGTCAAACCGAGCCTACTTTGATCTTCTCTGCACCCTTGGCCATGTCAGCGGCCAATTGCCGAATGCTGTCCATATCGTCATTAGATGGCACTTGTCGATTGACTCTCATTGAATGAAATCGCCTCTTCGCTCCGGGAGCGGTCTTATTCGCCAACAATTTGGCATGTCTTGGATTGCGGAAAAGCTGGGACAACTGCACCTCTGTAGGCTCCGACCCAACTTCCTTCGAGCCAGAGTAGTATACATCGGCGTTGATGCCTGGGGGAATGTGGGAGTCCCCTGCTTGAACATCATTTTCGATTCGGGGGACACGAACACGAGGTAAGGCTGATAGAACTGGCTTCACACTATCTGGCGGCTGGTAAAAAACATCTTGTTCCTGCTCAACTGCGAACTCGGGTCCATTGTCCTTGGCTTCGGGAGGTTCGGCAGCTTTGCTTGGTATCGGATCTTCAGACAGGCGTTGTGCTTTTCTCGCTGCTTCCGGAGACAGGGAGCTCGCCAAGGAAGGGCTGGGTATAGTAGACTGGCCAGATGACTTCACTCGCAAGGCACGATCTCCCTGGGGTGCGACCGGATGCTGCGCTGTTTCCCCGGCGGGCCTTGTACTGAAACTCATGGCATCTCCTGTCTCTTCCCCGATGGGGCTATCATCTGAGGGTATTGTTCCATCTGGCAGAGGCAACCTTGTTGCCTGTGCTTGTTTAACATTGAGGTCTGCTGTAGGTGGCGGTTGCGCGGGGGAATTCTGCTCGGAGCGGGTGTAGAAATGATCTTGGTGAATACCTTCCTTCGCAGGCTTGGAAGGGGGCTGCGACGAGGCGAAGCGGGAGACTGCGGTGGATAATATAGGGAGCCCTTGTCTCCTCAAAGCCTTAACGGGGGACGAAGTCTGGCCATAGAGTTTGATTTGGGAGAGTCTGATGTCGAAGTGCTTCGAGGCCACTCTTCGGGAAGCGTTGAAGAGGGCGAGGACGTCGAGAATCCTTTTGCCTGACATGGTTGAGAGTGTGTCACCTCTCCATGCCCGTTGATACAACTGCAAGATACGAGCCCCGAAGACCATGAATTGTAGGGGCCAACTGGAAGAAAGGACCGACTTGTAGTGCACATGAAGCATGCGGATGGATGTTTTTTGGGTCAGAATCGGAGCTAACTATCTATAGCCAACAACCCTTCTCCGCACAACTGGCTTAAAGCCTCAGGTCTACGGACATACAACTACAGCTGCTTCCTCCTGACCCCTGAAGGAGCCCTGGAGCCTGAGTGTTGATGCAGCCCCGTGCAATGTGATGGAATCGCTATAGGTCAGATTGGCGATGGACGCAAGTGATGCGGACGCCCTTCGCGAACGAGTCCTGGAGCTTGAGACTCAGTTGCAAACCAGCAAGGCTTTGCTTCGACGCATCGAGGGATCAAAGCCCGAATCTCAGGCCACTGGGGGCAGACCATTTGCCGTCCAAATATCTCTTCCACTGAGCAGCGCAACTCACAATCTGATGCTCTTGTCAGACTCGGCATTGCCGCTGGGATCGTTCGCATATTCTAGCGGGCTGGAGTCTTTCCTCGCCCACCACAAGCCCATCCCATCCGGGCACTCGAGTCTTTCTCTGTTCCACAAGTTTCTGGCGTTATCCATTCAATCTGTGGCGTACACCAACGTCCCATACGCTCTCGCTGCCTTCCGGGACCCCTTGGACCTCATGGACCTGGACAATGATCTGGATGCCTCAACACCATGCAATGTGGCGCGAAGAGCCAGCATCGCGCAGGGACGGGCCCTACTAGGTGTTTGGGAAAAGGCGTTTGCAGCCCCGGCCAGAACACAACGCGGAGAAGACTCTGAAGCTGCTGCTGCGATCGAGGTTTTCGCCCGGGACCTGAAATTGGGGGTACTGTCTTCGGAGCCCTTCCCGGTGAATGGACATCTCGCACCATTATGGGGCGTGGTTTGTCTCGCCCTTGGATTGAATCTAGAGGAATCGGGTTATTTGTTCCTGCTCAACCACGCAAAAGCTGTGCTGAGCGCAGCGGTCAGGGCGTCAGTCATGGGGCCATACATGGCACAAACCATCCTCGCGGGTCACGGGCTACAGGATTTAATTCGCCATAGTCTAGAAAAGGTCTGGTTCCTACAACCTGAAGACGCCGGACAAGTTGTGCCGCCCATGGATTTGTGGGTGGGAAGGCACGAGATGTTGTACAGCCGCATCTTCAACTCATGAATACCCGAGGCAGACCAGCTCGAGGCCAGAGACGAGAACGTTCATGAGCAGCTGAAGTCAGATCGCTTTAGAAGTCCGCCCGCTGCGTCGCACTACCAGAGAAACGAGCATTGAGGGGCTCGTCGGAAATAGCAAGGACACTTTCGGGGCATTGGATGCGGCGCCTCTCACTGTTCTAGACACATTGATTAGAGCAACAGATCCTGCTGAGCATACTCGAGCTTTCTAATGGGGTATCTTGTAAGCATGTTCAGGCAGCCCTATTCATAGATCTCGTCAATAGGCCCGAGCCTCTCTTCAACACCCTCCATGGGTATTCTTCCTTTCTTCGCTTGTCTCCCCCGCCCAACAGGCTCCTTCCTGCGTGGCTGGGTTGACTTCCTCGCAGGCGCCGCTGCTGTTGTGACACTGCCCCGGGCTAAGGCTGTGATGTGCTCTGGGCGACCCGTAACCCCTGGATGGGCAAGGGATCCCGTATTCGCGCCTGTACTGTCGCCCACAATATCTTCGGGTAGATCAACATCCCTTTCTGTGGAGGGTAGGGCAATATCAGCCCCATCAAGAACGTATCCCTCGTTCGTACGTCTTCGTTCGTCATCCTCCCGCAATCTTTTCTCTTCAGCGTCCAGCTCTGCTTGAAGAGCAACTGGATCCTCGAGGTGCTGGTTCGTCATTCTCGAGTATTCGTCTATACTCACCGGCTCCTTTGCCGCTACAGAACGTTTGACCCGAGCCGGGTGCGCTCGCTCTTCAGCGAGGAACTTGAGTTTGATTTGTTTTCGATCCAGCGATGGGAAAAGGTTCGCGATCATGCTGAAATCTGTCCCGAACATGCGTAAGCCCCTGTAAAATAGTTCCGTTTGCTGAATGTCCCAGCGAGTACCACGCCGTTGACCCGCGTGTTTTCCCAGAGTTCCTTGGTGAACATATTTGTAGATGCGGTCATCTTCAAGTGCGACATCTGCGTCTTCAATAACGGCCTGGTGCACACCCGCCCCGAAAACTACTTCTCGAGACTCGGCTGCTACAACGATCTGTCCATTAACAATGATTTGCTGGGGAACATGTGCCTGGGTCTCCTCAACAGAAAGGTCCTGATTCAAGGTCAAAGCTTGTCTCCCATGTTTTCTCTGCGCGGCAGCCTCTCTTCGTCGTTCAATCTCTTCTTTTCTTCGTTGTTTGATGTCTTCCCAGTTCTGCTGCATTTTCTTTTCCGTTTCGGACTTCTTCCCTAGCTTGCTGTCGCTCACGAGAGCCCCCATGGAGATTTCGTCAGGGTCAATCTGGTAATCTTCGGCATTTTCCGGCGTAGAGAGCCGTGACAGGGAACGGTTGCTTCCGCCGCCGCTTCCAGCGGCAGTGCCGACAGCGTTTTCAATCACTTGACGCGCAAGGTCTTGGATTGCTTTTGCCCGTTGCTTCTTTTTCCGAGATTTGTTGGGTCTAGGCGCTTCGGACACATCTGCTTCGCTCACCTCTTGATCTGGAGACTCTGTTTCCACAGTCGACGACGCTGCGGGACGTGCGGACCGAGGTTTGAGAGACCGTATTCTGTTCTCAATCGAGTTTGCAAGTTCCGAAACTGCCGCGGCCTGACTGGTCGCATCTTGCAACAACACGTCGGACGTCCTTGATTCGCTTCGTCGGTGTCGCGGACTACTTCTGAATATAAGATGTGTGTCATCAGTCGGTGTCGGGGTGGCTCTGGGTTGCACCTCGCCGGTATCCTGACTTGGGTGTGTGGTCTTTTGCCTTTTGCTCGATCGTTCAGGCCGCGGTTCTGATGCCCCAGCCGCGCCTTCCACCCATTGTGTGGTAGCCTCCGGTTGTGCTGGTGTAGATTCATTCGTAAGACGGCCTTTTGGTGCGGGAGAAGTACTAGAAGTTGCGATTGTAGGAATGGTACCAGCTCGGTCAGGACTTGTATTCATATGAGTGACTGTAACATCGTAATTTGCGCTACTAGGAGCAATGACTTCAATAGGCTCCGGCGCAACTGTAATTGAGACTATGTCTGGAGCAGTTGTGTCTGTCGGCACGTCTGGAGAAGCTCTAGCAGCGGTCTCGAGGGGAGCTGGGGCTGGCAGAGATATCTCGAAAGGCTCTGAGCGTGGGGGGGTTTCAGTTGACTCAAGAATCGAGTGCTCCTGGACTACTCCTTGACCTTCGCTACTCCCTTCAACATGGTCAACAGAAGGGGTTATGGTCTGGCTTTCAGTCACAGTCTGGTCCTCGGCCGCAGTCGGGCTCTCCGTCACATTATGACTTTCTGTTGTCGATGACGGGGGAGCCGCAGGTCGCACCGGATGCCTCTGCACATTTCGCCTCGGCGCGGTTTTGGGGGTGATCTTCTGCCCTGGCTTACGGACGACGGAGCTGAAGCTGGACATGGCGAGAATGAAGTAGACGGAACACCGCACCCACCGGTAGAGTCAGCGCGCAAGAGGCGCACTTGGATTCAGAACTCCAGTCCCAGCAGTAGTTCTGAGATGGAAGTGATCATCGATCGTTGTTGTTCCTCGATAAAATGTTCCCGCGCGGTCGACGCGAGTTTGGAGGGCGCAGGCGGCAAACATGCCAAGAGAATAGAAGTCTGCATCGATCTCTCCCGTCTCGGGTTGAACTTGAGGCTCAGGTGCCTAGAATCAATGCGCGGATTTGAGTACTACGGAGTTCGATAGTATTAAGGAAATCTCCAGCTCTACCAGATGAATATCTCTACCTGGTAATTAGAGATAATGACAATCTGGGAGATAGGAAGCCGCCTTGTTAACCGTCATCTTAGTAGTAGTAGTACGCCTCTAATGCCAAGACTTAGATCGCGCTAAGATCCCAAATTGCATTAGCAGCGGCCGGCTTCAAACCAGGACTTTCACCTTCTCGCCTCTTACTTCGACTCCCATTCAGTTCAGTTGACGACGACACCATTTACACGACTCCGTCTACTTAGTCCGCCGACTCGGCCCCTTCGAGGTTGTTTCCGCCGTGAGGCCAAGCCTTTGTCACGTAATAGGACTGATGACGGCCGTCGAATCCCTCCCCCCTTCTCTCTCTCACCCGAGTCTAGTTAAGATGGAAGAACGCAAAAGACCCAGCCCCTATGACCAGGTCGAATCTGCACCTCCGCTCAAGAAGCAGGCCACTTCGGCTAATGGCGCGTCCAAACCCCACAAGGATGATGACATGCCGTGGAAGGATGACCTTGAGGTAAGGTAACCCTAAAGCTTTGGGATTGATCCGCGCCCATCTCCCCCGATAGCGCTAACACACCTGTTCCGAGCAGAGATTCCAAAAGGACGCGATTTATCGGCAGATGCAGGAATACCGGAGGGAGAAAAACACCCTCGAGTCACAACTAAAAGAGATGCGGAAAAAGGCGCGATATCACGATGATCACCTGCGCATCATTGATGCTTGGTTCCAACAAGTAATTGACGAGGTAAAAGTTATGGCCAAAGGAGATGATGACATAGATATGGACGCTTCGTCCCTGCCTTCGTCGCTACTCTTCGCAGACCACGACCAGTTTGAAGAGCACTTACACAACCGATCCAATGAAATTAAGGCTGTGATATCAACACTGTTCGGGCCCAGCAAGTCGCTTTCGGCCGATGTAACAGAGTTGCAGGCGAGGATAGCTCGACTGCTCGCCGCGGAGAAAAACCACGTGGTTGAATTATCAAGATTACAAGCCGATAAGGAGGATCTGGAATATCGGCTCGAAAACGCGTCTTTACGATACATGATGGCTGAGAAGAAGATTGACAGAGCTAAAAGCGTGACGGTCGCCAAACTTGAAAAGCAGGCTTTGTTGGGTGCAACTAAACCTGCGACGGAAGAAGGAGGTCCTGTCAAGCGAGACGAAACTGCTGTCAACGGCGCAACCGACCATTCGGAGGAGCTTGCCGACCTGGAAAAGGAACTGAACAAGACCGTAGCGACAGCCGAGAAACAGAAGGAACAGCTCGAAAGATTGGAAGAAGAAAATGCCAAGTTAAATGAACAGTTGACGGAGCTGTTGACCAAGTCGATCATCCTCACAGACGACGATTATGCAAAAACGGAACTTTTCAAGCAACTAAAATCCCAGCATGAGGATGTCATCAAGCGCATCAACAATCTTGAAGCCACCAACACTGAATTGAGAGAAGAAGCACAAAAACTGAGATCGGAAAGGACCACATTCCAGCTCCAGCTTGAAAACGAGGCGCGGGTTGCCATATCTGAGAGAGAGTCCTTGCTGGCTGCGTCGGATGCCAATCTGGCCAGGATTCGACATAATCGAGATGAGCTGCTGGCCGACCAGGCGGTTAAAAAGGCAACCCTAGAGCAAGATCAAGAAGCCGTGAAGAAGATCACAGAGTTGGCCTCGGCACAAGAAGATCGGATCAAGGCTCTAGAATCTGAGAAGGAGCGATTAAGTATCCAGACGAGCGAGATGGCCGTGGATAACTCGGAACTAGATGCCGTGAGTCTTGAAGATCTGCGGACCAAGTACACCGAACTCGAAAAGAAGTATAATTTGTTGAACGGCGAACTGGCGTCCATGTCCACGGCGTACCAAAAGACCACTCGGATCGCAGCTCAGAAGGTGTCGGAATTTGCTGCGCTGGAGGAGAAGGTAATGCGGCTTTCGGCGGAGAAGGCTAAAGCCGATCAGAAATTCTTTGCTGCAATGAAGAGCAAGGATACTCGAGATGGCGAAATCCGGACCCTGCGATTGCAGAACGCAAAGTCTGCCGAGGCCGTTTCTCAATTGAAAGAGGCTGAACACGCAACTCGAGCGTTGCTAGCGACGATGGAGAAGCAATTATCTGAAATGAAGGATGCGTTGACGCACAAGACAAATGAGCACCGGACTGTCCAGCAACAGAATGTCAAACAGGGGCTGGAAGTTTCGAGACTGAATGGCCAAGTGACAGAGTTGAAGAATCAGTTGACGGCCAAAGACTCCAAATTGGCCACGACATCCAGTCTCTGCCGGGCCGCCGAGGTGGAGGTGGAAGAGCTGAAGTCGATGCTCAAGGATACCAGGAGAAGTCTCGAGTCCTGGAAGAGCAAGAGCGGCCAGTCCGAGCAATACGAGATGCTTCGGCAATTCGCGTACTGCAACATCTGCAAACGCGCCTTGAAAAACACCGTCATCAAGACGTGTGGGCACACCTTCTGCAACGAGTGTGTGGAGGAACGATTGACGTCGAGATCGAGAAAATGCCCGAATTGCGGCAAGTCGTTTGGCAGCAACGACCACATGCGGATCACTCTTTAAGACTGCCGAACGAGCTCTTACGAGCCAAATCTATAGTCTTCCATCAAGCCACTGTGCACGGTTTGCATTCGGACTCATTCGACTGTCGAGGCTTTTGAGCATTTTTGTTTGTACGAATATCATTTGCCGACAAAGAGTGCCGACCGTTGCGACCAGAGGTGTCAGTCATGTGCTTAGTTGAGCTTCAGGAACTGATTGTTGGACACTGTGGCTGACATAGATCGTAAGCTCACGCTCGTGGCGCGGGATGAGGAAGAAGAGGATTTCCTCGTTCCTCATTGGATCTGCGGACAATGACGCGTCGCCGACCAGGAGATGGTCTCAAGGTCGCCGATTTGCTGCAACGTCTCCTATAACCCAGAGCGCCGCCCCAGGCCGAAACCGAAGGGGCCCAAGCATATCTTTCTATCGACAGCACGCATGGCCGGACTGTGGCGGCGGCGGCGGCGGTTGTGGTGGTGGTGGTGGTGGTGGTTGTCAAGACTTATAGGCCGCATCATCAGTGATGACATGGTAAACCTTCAAGGGACATAGATAGATAGCCTTGTCCTCATCAGGCGAAACCATGGCACGCATGGACTGACAAGGGGCTCGCGAATCGAGAAGCAGAGCTGAAATTTTTCCGTCCTCAAAGTCTCACATTCCTTGTTCCCCTTTCAGTCGTCCACGTCCACGTCCACGTCCATGCGATGTTCATTCTTGATAGAGTGATCATCGGCATCTGCTGCAGACTCACGAGGAACTCCTTGGTCGCCCTCGGGCGGTGCATTCTCCTCTTCGTCCTCGTCCTCGTCATCATCGTCATCATCTCTGCCGCCTTCTGCATCGGCGTCTTCCTCTCCCCCGTCCCCTTCGCCGTCTTCGGGAGGGGTCTCCTCGTGGCCCTCCAAGGGGGGGAAACTGAGATGTTTCCAATCCTCAATCTCCTCAATGATGCTCTTTAGTCGGTCCCTGATGCTATCGACGGCGAAACTGCCCAAAAGCAACCTCAAGGGCGGGTAGCTACAGTGGCCCAACTGCCAGATAAGCTCGGCCGCCTTGACGACGCTGGTGGGCTGGTTGTCGCCGATCCAGTGCAGCGCACGTTGGGCGTGGGCCGCAGGGGCGTCTTTACCCATGTACGGCTCCGAGGCCTTGGCCACCTTGAAGTGGCCGAACATGGGCAGCCGTTGCCCGTTGTCCATGACATGGACGTCGTCGCGGCGCAGATGGCCTGGCTCGACCAGCGTCACGCGGATGCTGAACTGGTCCACTTCATAGAGCATGCTTTCGATGAGTCCCTCGACCGCGTACTTGGTAGCACAATAAGGTCCCAAGCCCGGCACTCCCAATGCGCCGGACGTGCTGCTGAATATCAGGTATCGGCCAGCCCGACGCTTGCGGAAATACGGCAACGAGAGTTGGATGAGGTTGAGCGTGCCCATAAAGTTGGTTTCGAATTGATTGCGGATCTCGTGCTCGTCTTGGTCCTCACACGCCCCTATGACTCCGTACCCGGCACAATTGGCGATGATGTCGACGCGGCCGAACTGCTTCATCGTCTTCTCAATCACGGTGGCAACCGTTTCTCGGAGGCGCACGTCGCACAGGAGACCAAGATACCGGTCCGGATCGTCGTGCCAGTTTTCCATCGAAGACGGCGTGTCTTCGAACAGTTGCCCGACTGCGCTGACAATGTCGCCGTGAGAGAGGGCTGCCTTCGTCACGGACCGGCCCATGTGGCCTGTCGCGCCGAAGATCAGCCAAACCTTCTGGCTCGGCGGGTTTGAGGCGGATGGAGGATCGGTGGTGTTGGGAAGAGAGAGTTTCGCAAGGCCGACATTGGCAGCATTTGGAGACCAACTCGGGCCGTTGAAAGCTGCAGGGTTTGACTCGTCCATTCTTTGGCGGTGGGTTTGGTTCCTGCGGCAAGTATTCGTATACGATAGTGTAGTATCGCAGCAGCCTTTGTCGGTTCCTCCAGCCGCAACACAAGCAACTTGAACAACCTCCGCACCCGTATTTTACAAACGGAACAGCTGGTCCAGGAGACGCCAGTCCATGGATCGACACCCTGAGTCCGCTCGTTTGATCACACTCTGGCCGGCTTAATCGTCGCCGCTATGATCATCTTGGGAAAACTGGATAAACCAGAGCTCGGTGGAACTGGAGCGACTGTTGTCGAGGAGCCTTGTTAAGTGCTTACTTACCGGGCCCTCAGAAGTTGGAATGATGAATAGGAGTCGAGAGGGCCGAGAACAGTCAGGCCATATTAAGATTCCGTTGTTAGGAAAATAGGAAGAAGCTTGCTCTCAGGTACGAGGAGGAGGCATTCAACTCTCCCAAACCCCATAGTCAGCGCTAAGGAAAGAAGCCTTTGTAGCCTTTGGAGCCTCAGCCTCGACAAATAGGAGGTGAGGGAATAGATTCTGGGCGCAGGACGAGGAACGAGGATGGATTCGAACCCCCCGCACTGCAACGGGAATAATGGCGCAGTTGGTCCCCGATTGCGCAAGAGGCGCCAACGAGTGTGAGATCAAGAGGGAAATATTCTGCATCCATCAGTTTCTTTGCGCTTTGTCTTCTTGGATCAAGTGTATATCATCCTGCCACCTCATACACTCTTGAAACACTACTCGTACCCCGTCGCCATCGTACGCTGCTACTTCTTCCGTCCTCACACTCACGCTCGCGAGAACCTTCCAGTCGCATTGCCGACGCCGCCCACAGTCCACAGTCACCATGAGGGCATACTGGTACGACAACCAAGAGGTATATACTTTCTAGTTCTAGCATCATTCATGCCCGCCCTCTGTCGAACCAAACCACGACCCGACTTAATTTCCACCGGGTCTAAACCAGTCTAACATTTCGCAGGGCGACCAGCGCCTCACGCACGACTCAGGTCGTGAAGTCCCCGAGCCATACCTCGCCAGTCTGGGAGTCTTGTATTATCACTGCCCCGATGTGTCGACAGTCGACCAGATCGCCAAAGATCGCCACTATAAAAACCGTGATGAAATCACCGTCTCCCCTGGCGCAATGGGTGAGATCTACGAAGACAAAGTGAAGTCGTTCTTCCACGAACACCTGCACGAAGACGAGGAGATCAGATACATTCGTGATGGTGCAGGCTACTTCGACGTTAGAAGCAAAGATGACGCCTGGGTGCGCATAAGGCTAGTGAAGGATGACTTGATCGTTCTGCCTGCTGGCATCTACCACCGTTTTACCACTGATGAGAACAATGTAAGTGGAAATGTTAGGAGAGTGCTCATGGGCACAGGACAAGAGGATTGATACTGACACGCTCAACAGTATATTAAGGCCGTACGATTGTTCCAGGATGAGCCCAAGTGGACGCCCTTGAATCGGGGTCCCGACACGGATGTCAACATTCACCGGAAGAGTTACCTGCAGACAACAGCCAGTGCGCCAGTCTCTGTGGCTTAATGGATATATTGAATGGGCCGGTTCTCGACTCTAGATAGGCGTAGAGACGAATGCCGATATAGCGATTAATTGTCACACATCACAAGGTGGAAAAGTTCCAATCATATAGCATTCTCCAGGAGATCAGTTGCTCGATTATTGCGCCGCCCCGTCCGTCGACAATCGAGTATGGGCAGGCGGGCTTGATCAGTCCGGCCTTCATCACAGAGTTTGAACCCCCAGTAGAATGTGTTTTGTGGTGCTATCTGTTATGCAGAAAATCTGGACTGGGGGCTTGAAACCATTGAATTGCTCCTTGAGTAATAAAAGCTTTCTATAGTGTGTTGGCCCTGTAGATACTAGGATAGTAGTGCTGCGCCAGCATCAGCATCTGCATCAGCGCCGTCACACCAAGGCGGGGTTCATGACAATTTGACCCTTGCTACCTGGTGCTACCACACCAGTCAGCTGATTCAGCTGACACTTTTTGTCATTCATCTCTAGATGCTGTGCTAGAAATCAAAATCCCATCTATATTCGCTGGTGACTCCTGCAATCACTGTGGATGTCTGTATGAGCGAGGCTTGAAGCCATGGCTTGCGCGTCCCGCAGCAAGTACATGTTTGTCGAGTACTCGGCTCCCCCACAAAAGGTTGAGGGCCAGAAGAGACGTCGAGGAGGACCCAGTGAAGTCCGCGCTCATATCACAAAAGAGTTCCATCGCAGGTCACGATTCCAACGGTTAGGCGCTCTGAAAACGACCGTACCACTGGCTGGATGGTTGAAAAGCGCAAGCAATGTTGAGCGAGGCGAAGGCCTCGGCAAAGATCAAGAATCCAAAGAACCAAACCGCATAGCTATGCCGACGCAATCGACCGACAAAGACGAGTCCCTGGAATTGAAAGTCTCCCCCGGCCTTCGGTCAATGTTAGGTGAAGGAAGGATGGATCCATTCGATGTTCTGCCGGTACATGGGATGCCTTTCTTCATACATATGGTCTTGGATCACGTAGGTAGCCAGTTGATATGACCCCAGTCTCGAATAGCGATCCAACATGCGTCAATGTGGTTATATCGGGATATATGCCCATTGGCGATGAGGAGAAGCTTGCTGACAACGCGTCCCAGGCATTGGCCCACACGTGGCCGCGTACTGTGCCAGCAAAATCCAGGGCTTTGATCAATCCGGTGAAGAGTGCATGGCTGAAGTGCGCCATGGACTCTCCCGTCACATTTCATGCATTCATCTATGCAACGACCTTACATCTTTTGGAGGCATATAACGGCCACGAGGTGATAGACTCGGCTCCAATGTTGCGGCTCTCTCACAAGATCGAAACCATCAAACTAGTCAATGAGCAGATCAAGAGTCTTGACGGACCGCCGTCCGATGCTCTGTTGATGGCTGTGACTATCCTTTCGGTCCATGGTTCTCGAGACGATGTTTTGTATCCGAAGGCTCATCCAATATCTCCTCTGGCCGAGGCACAGTTCCTCCGCATCTATGGAAGCATGGTCAACGCCGAGGAGCATGTCCAGGGTATCATGCTGCTGATTGCGCAGAAAGGCGGACTCGACAGAATTGAACTGTATGGCTTGGCGGATACCATAGCATTGTATTGCAAGGTCCTGCTATCGTAGTAGGCGCGTTTGCTGACATTAACACTAGAGCCGATCTGTATTTCGCTTCGAAACATGTACGCAGACCACTCTTCCCATGGCGACGGCCCCATGAGTCCCTCGTAATCAGCGGAAAGCATTTGCTCGATCCAACTGCGATGGACTTGGATGCCAAACTCGGCAGGGGCTTCAGATATTTTCGGTCAACTTCGGCAGGTCGTCAACTACTCGGAACCCTAGAGTCCTTCTGTGAAGTCGTAACAGCATTGGACCACCATACGCGCAAAGGGCCGAGTGCGCCCGAACTTGTCGACATCATAGAAGCTCGAAATTGCGCTCAGCACCGACTCGTTTCACAGCTGCCGGCGGAAGTTGATATGTCTGAAGCGGATTGTTGCGTTCATCATGCATCTCGGCTAGCAACTCTGATCTTCAGTGATATGGTCATTTTCCCGCTACCAGCCGCCCAGGGGGTGAAGATGAGGCTCGCCCCAATGCTGCAGCGGACCTTGGAGGCTTGTGACCGACTTGGCTGCTGGAGCTTGCATGCTCCAGTGCTCCTGTGGGCGCTAACGCTCGGCGCCATAGCCGCGAGCTTCCAAGAGGGACGAACGTGGTATGTCAGCCAACTTGAGCTTCATTTGTCGCTGTTCCATGTAAAGCAATGGTCGACGCTAGAGTCAATTTGTTCGACTTTCCTGTGGTGGAACCCAGTATGTGGTGAACCTGGTCAGACATTATGGGATGAAATATTCCCGGACGGCATTCAAGACACCTGAACAATCAGTCGAAGCTCGCTCGAGCTAGATGGCGGAACCCGTGGATTAGGGCGTTTGCCCGTCCGTCATTGTTGTAATGACATCGACCTGGCCTTTTCGAGGTTCACAGGATATCCTGAGCATAGCTGCATCGCGGGAGGTGCTAAGCTAACATGGCATCTTAAGCGATGGCGTCAGTCTTTCTTGTTCGGGACTCAGACAGGGAGGGCCCCGGGCATCAACCGTGCAGGTTGAGATATCGGGGCATCATCCTGTTCAATGACCTGGCTGTTGGAGCGGACGTTCTTTGCTCGCAGTCTAAGGCCCTCGAATATCCTTTCTGTCTCCTCTTGGGAAGGGAAATTGTCTTCCAGCCTGGATTCCTTGTGATGGACGGACGAGGGTGGCCGCTGCCCATCCTGAGTTGATGGTCTGTCGTCGTCTTGACCGTCTCTTACCCTCACCTTTCCCATCCGCGGCCATAGACCTGGTAGTGGGACTACTTGAACCCTGGGCTCTACAACTCGCTCCTCGAACCAGGCTTGCACTCGTGCTTCCACCAATTGTGCAATCTTTGGCACATCTTGCAGCCGGGTGCGGGAACCAATCAAGCTTCGAACAGATAGCTCGAGACGATAATCAGGGAGGAAAGAGAAGGCGAGACTCGTTTTGGGCTTGCCGGAAGTCGAGCCTGGTTTCCCGGTGCCTGCAGAGTCATCCTGCGGGACAGGAACAAAACTGATTGACAATGTGCCGGAGAATCTGACAACGGAAAGGGCGAGAGCGACAGGAAGGACGGCGGAGAAAGGTTTTGGGTAATTGAGAATGAGAGCAGTCTCGATGGCCAACGTGAGGTTATCATCGGATAGGTCCACGTCCATTAGAGCCTGTAACCGTCCGCCGGTGGCACTAGAAGCATCGTCATCAACTGCAATGACTCGCACGTTGCTAAAGATGGGAAACTCCTCGCCCATGGATATCTCGGTGATCTTGATGTTGTCTATGTAGGACGGTCTCTTTTCCGGATTGTTAATTGCCTCTTCCAAGCTGGCGACAATTGTAGGTTTCCCTCCGGATGAACTGTCTCGTAGGTTGTATGCAGTCTGTCTGTATTGTGCGATTGTCTGGGCCAGAAGCACGTTGAACCAGTCCAAGCTCTCCGGCTGGTGGGTGGAATGGTTATGCCTACCATGGCCTCGACCGGGGATTTCGTAGTATGTTTTCCGCAAGATCGAAGCAGTGTCGGTAGCGCTGGTAGGGACAGGACGGAGGACGTTGGTGGCGCTGGCTTGGTTACGTAGAGACTGTGGAGGAGAGCTCTTTGAAGAGGCCAGACTATGCAAGGAAGGGGCCCGAATGTGTCGTGGAGTTCGACCAGAAGCTCTCGAGGGCGGCGGAGGAGCTTCACCAAAGATGAAGAATTTGATGAAACAGAAGATGAGAACGAGAATCGACACCTGGCCGAGGAGGAGGCCATGGGTAAAGGTCAATCCTGAGGACATGATGCTATGTGGATGGACAGCAGATCCATCACGAGAAATCGGAAGCCTTCAAGGATCGATGCATTCGGAGAGGTGTACGGAGTAGAGGAGGGAAAGGAAAGCACAAGACACAAGACACGAAGGAGAAGATGTGTGCGTGATGTGAAGCAACAATGTCACTCCTCGATATTATTATGTCTGGTTATATCTGGCCGCCCCTCTACTCCGTACGCTGCTTGACAACGTCATGGATGCCACTGAATATTATTTGAATTCTCCTCACTACTGATACTTGTCTTACCTACCGAGTACTACCGCAATCAACAATATCCTGCACTCCTCGAGTCCTCTATACCAGATTAATGTCTCTATCTACGACTCTCGAGACAGGGAATACTACTGAGATGGTAACATAATGCAGGGTCCATTATTAAACACGAAACCTGGCGACCTCAAGCTCAATCTAAACCCTAGTGCAGGGAAGCCATTGGCCCAAGAAAGGAGAGGCTCTGGTGTCGTTCCTCCACCACAGCTTTCGATTTAACCTCTCAAAGCGGTTCAGCAGCGGTGGAAGCAAGGAGGTAGTAGGATGCAAGGCTAAGGGAACCTACTAGTTTACCAGCTTCACCAGCAGCTTATACTCTTTGGCCCATCAACGTATGATACTTCCTCTTCCATCCCAGTCAACTGCGCTGTGTTGCATGGAGTGGAAGTAACAGGTACGTACTGCTTTGGGCGATAGCTTGATAGGTGATACGTGATATTGCGCTGCGTGATATGCATGGCATGCATATACACCATCCCTATGCACCACTAATGTTCAACATTCAACGCCGCCTTCTTCGCAAGGCATCATATTTTGACGCTGGTCTTTGAACTTGCCAATCATAGCAGAGCAGCATCGGTCTAATTGTTCCAAAAACGTCTAAGAACGTCGATCTGTCTCAACGAGGACGAGAGGGATGGTGACGACGAGACAACATTTCGATCCCGTTTCTCCACAACCCAGTCTCAATTCCACTCTTCGGCAATGATATTCTGCGCCAGTTCCAGGTTGCCACTGTAGTCAATGGCGACGTCGACTAGCGAAACACCATCATACTGCAGGGCGTCCTTGATGACACTCTCGACGTGCGACGAGTCGCTGATGCGGAAGCCCTTCGCGCCGAAACTGTCGGCGAACTTGACAAAGTCGACGCCGCCGAGCTTGACGCCGCTGCTGCGCCCGTATTTCATCACCTCCTGGAACTCGACCATATTGAACGACTCGTCGTTCCAGATGAAGTGCGTGATGTTGCATTTTTGTTGCACCGCGGTCGAGAGCTCCTGGGACGAAAACATGAAGCCGCCGTCGCCACTGAGCGACACCACTTTCTCCGAACACGGTGGAACCTGGGTCAAAGAGGCTGCGATTGCCCAGGGCAAGGCGACGCCGAGAGTTTGTTCTGAGAGAGTCATACGTGTCAGTGCGGCGGGTCATTGCAGATTTCTTTTTGGGATGGGTGTTTGAGGAGTTTGCGGTCCGGTTCAAGAAGAAAAACAGAGTCTATGGGCCTGGGAGTGGGTAGGAGAAATCCCGGCAACGGAAAAACCAGGTTCGATGACGGGAGGAGAAGGAGGAGGAGAACTAACGGCCATCCGAACATAGTAGACGACGAGGCTCGTATGCGAAAAAATGTCTCATCATATAGATGTAGACCGAGCCGACATCGACGCAGACGGTGGTGTCCTTGGACACCAGACCCTGCAGAACGGTGATGAACTGCAATGGATGGACAAGCCCTGAAGTGCGCTTGACCTCGGGCCGGATCTGCCATGACTTGTATTCCTCTGTGAGATCCTGACAGAGTTCGGAGATTGAGGATTCCGAGATGGCTTCCAGGTGCTGGGACAGGTACAGGATGTTTTCGGCGATGGATCCCACCAGCTCGGACACGGGTTTGTAGTAGACGCCGTAGTCGGAGGCATCGAAATCAATATGAACAATCCTGCGGTCGCCGGACGGGTTCCACGCCGAGGCATCGTACTCGACGGGATCATAACCGACGGCGAGAACGAGGTCGGATTTCGCCAACAGCTTGTCGCCGACTTGGTTCCGGAACAGGCCAACTCGGCCGTAGAAGAGATGCACGAGTTCACGGGGCACTGCTCCGGCGGCTTGGAACGTCTCGACCGTCGGGAGCGGGATTCTGGACAACAGCTGGCGGACGGCGTCGACGACCTTGGGGCTGCTGGCTCTCATGCCGAGGAATAGGACAGGCAGTCGAGCACTCTCGACCAGTTTTGCCACGAACTCGAGGCGGCTGGTGGGCGCCGGCCCGTAGCTCGGAGGGTCGAAGGCGGTGGACGGGAAGGGCAGGATCTTAGATTTGCCTTTAGCCACATCTTGAGGGATGGCGATGACAGTGGCACCTTTGTGGGGGGTGGCTGCGGTTCGGAAAGCGTTCAATACCACTTCTGCCGCTTGGTCCTCGACGTCCACGTTGACAGCCGACTTGGACGTCGGCCCCAGAATGTCGAGCGCCTTCATGTTCTGGTGGGTGCGATGCGTGTTCATGGCTCGGGGCACCGATCCAATGAGCGCAACCACCGGGTCGCCCTCCGTGGTGGCCGTGACAAGGCCCGTGGCCAGATTCGAAGCTCCTGGACCTGAAGTGGCGATGCAGACGCCTGGAGTCCCCGTAATCCTACCCACGGCGGCGGCCATCATGGCGGCATTCTGCTCGTGCCGCGCCACGATCAGCTTGATTTCCGGGTGGTCCTGGAGACTATCGTACACCTGGTCGATCTTGGCCCCGGGCACTTCTCAAACGGTCAGCACCATTTTCAGTGGTCCAGCGCAGGTGCGGGATAGCGAAGACGCAGGAACAACGCGGGAAGTAGAGACGGAATGCGCGTGAAGACGCATGGACAGATGACAGATGACCGCGCAGCTGCGACTCACCGCCAAAGACGACGCGGACGCCGGCATTGTAGAGACTGTTGACGATGATCTGGGCCACGGTATCTTCAGCCATGTTGGGCCAGAGGGATGGAGTGAAGTTTCAACAGATGTTGTATACCAAGCATCCAGGCGGTGTCTGCTGTCTGCAAGTCTTCGTCGCGGGTGCCTGAGGCCTCCTAAGCCTGCGCCCGACTCGGGTGACGTATTAAATGTACCTGTATGTACGGAGACATAATCCGGGACGTGCTTCTCAGATAGTGTAACTGTATACGGACCTACGGAGAACTCAGCAGCTGCTCAGCAGGTCATTTATTTAAGCGGTCGTTTGGTCCGTGTGCATCCGGAGAGAAATCGATGAAAGTTCATCTCCTCCTCCTCGCCTAGATTCTCGCCTAGATCCTCGACGCTCGACGCTCGATGCTCCACCCTCCACCTCAGACCTCAGATCTCAGACCTCAGATCTTGGATCTTAGACACTCGACCCTCGACCCTCGACCCTCGACCCGCAACGTTACCAGCCGGCCATGGCGCCCAACGAAATCTACCAGTACTCGCTGGTCAACGCGCTGATGTCAGGCGTATCAGACTCGGGCATCACGGCGGCTCAGCTCGCGGAGAAGGGCAACCAGGGGCTGGGGACGTTTGTGCACATGGACGGCGAGCTGCTGCTGCTCGACGGCACAGTGTACCAACTGCAAGCCGAAGGCAAGATTCGCGTGGCCTCACCCACCGACCAGATCCCCTACGCGGTGAGCACGCATTTCGAGCCACAGCAGACGGTGACCGGAGCGGCCGCCCGGCTGGAGAGTAAGGAGGCCATCGACGCCGTACTGGAACGCCACACTCACCACGCGGGCAACCTGTTCATGGCGTACCGCGTCGACGGCCAGTTCCGCCGGCTCAAGTGCCGCACCGTCCAGGGCCAGGAATACGAGGGCCAACCGCTGGCCGAGCTGGGCAAGAAGCAGTTTGTGGCCGAATACAGCGATGTTGAGGGCACCATCGTGGGCTTCCGATCGCCGCAGGCCTGGCAAGGCTTCTTCGTGGCCGGTGAGCATATGCATTTCATCGACAAAGACAGGAACGTCGGCGGCCATGTGCTCGAGCTCGAGGCCGACCATGTTCGCATCGGCATCGCCACCATCAACAACATTCATATCCAGCTACCGACGTCCGACCAATTTAATGCCGCTGTCATGTCGACGGACGACGTCGGGCTGAAGTCGGTCGAAGGTTGAGCGGGCAGCAACTAAGATCATGTCTGGTGGAGAGTGGGAATTCGCGAAGGGCCACCTCAGGCGTTCAGTAAGTAAGCTCCAGGTACGAATAAGCCTCAATAGATATCTATGTTGCAACTGTGGCCAATTCAGACATCCCATAACCACTGCTCCGCCGTGACGTTGCCAAAGACATCTTGGATGGCATCCTTCGTCAGCTCCACGCAGTCTCGCTCGGTTTTCTTCCATGTCTCGATCCGCCCCAGTCTTCGACTGTCACAGAGCCGGTCGGCCGCCGCCAAAATTGAACTGACGAAGCAGATACAGTTCATGCCCCGGTCCTCCTCCCTCGTATGTGTCACGTCAGAAAGTCTCGACACCACCTGGACACAGGCAGGGAACACGGCGAACAGATTCAGTCGAGGCGTCGGCAGGAGAGTCGACTCCGACTGGTCGCACGTGCGTTGAAGAGTCTCGGCGAGGGCCAGGAGCGGGCCGCTGCCAGGGTTGGACTCGGACTCGAGGTCGCACGCTGATGTCGAAATCGACAAACTGCCCCGGCGGGTCACGTCCCTCATTCCAACTCCAGGGTGCGTGGAGGCACGGTCCAAGTTGTACCACTGCTCGTCACTGAGGTGGTAATCCTGCTGCTTGATTTTGAAAAGCAGACAATCCAACCGTGACCCAGCGTGCTCGCTCTTTGAACCAAGCCCTGCAGCGCGTCTCGCAGCATGCGCGGGAATGGCCATGCACCAACTATCTCGGTCGTTACGCCTGTGGCCTTTTTTAAACTTTAGTCGAGCCCCGACGTACCGACTCCAACAGGCGCGGAAGTTGGCTTTCGGTCGATTGCCGCCGGGGAAGAAGACGCCACGGAGCTGTGTACACAGGCTCTCCAAAACAGGGATCTGCCCGAGGCCGCCGAGCTGCTGAAGGACGTTATAACAGTGCAAGATGGCCGCGACATAGTGGCGATAGTTGACCACCCGCATCCCGTAATAGTGACACAGATCGAGCATCTCCAGAACATGATTGCCTGCCACCCAAGGCGCCTGGAAATACAAGTCCCAGCACCGGTGTTTCGTGTACGCTCGCAGATCTGCCTCGAGGTTCTGGAGGTGGAATGCGAGTGTCTGAGTACAGCGGCATGGCCAGCACGTCTTGTCGTTCAGGAGTGTGGCGATTTGAGACGAAGCCTGTTGTGCCAGCCTCAGAGCGGTCAGGCGACATGTTGAGATGGCGTTTGCCGAGTCAATCGACTGCAGATAGCTCCTGTATCCCGCGGTCAAGAGATGAAGCCCGAGGACCGCGGACCAAGACTGGGCTTGCTCCTCCAGACGGGTAACCACGTAGCCCGCATCAGCGTACACAGGAGAACTGTTTCTGACAATGCTTGTGGGAGTATCCGAGCTTGTCACGAGGTGATAAATGTTGTCCAGGATCGCTTCAGCAAGACGGTGTCTGCCTGAGCAGTCCTCGCCAAGAGGCATCTGCAAGTAGTCTGCGGGTTTCTGGACGTGGACGCAGGTCGGACAAGATCGAATGTCAAAAGACCGATGCCCGTCTCGATAGTGCAAAAGAGCCTGTTCCATGTTCTGCAACTGGTCTAGCAGCACATGTCGGGTAGTGGTAGTCTCGTCGTTCTCGGGGCTTGGGCACGCTCCACCCTGACTGGAACGCTCGAATGAATGAACTGTCCGATGAAGTCCCGATACGGTGAGGGTCTCATCATGCTCAAGCAGCCCAATCCCGACTTGACGAATCGATGCAAAGGCAACGTTGGTGACCAGTGAGGCGACTGAAAAGGACAGATGATTCTTGCCGGCAAGATCCCAACATCGTTCCACGGCGGAAGTCATGTCTTTAATTCTCTGTGACGGTCAGCCAGTCTACCGGGATAGATTCCAAGTCCAAGTCTCTCTCACCTCTACAGCGGCGGTCGCTTCTAGGAGTGTGCCGAGTTCGTCGTCACTGAAAAGGACTTTCAGGCGCCCGTCATTGCACGAGGGCGGAGTTGACACCGTACACTCTGGACAAGTTGACAAGGCTGGCACATGCTCGTCGCCCTCGTTGTCATCGGCGTCAGCGTCTTCAACCGACAGACTGTTGTATGCATTGACCAGGCCGGTGGGAGGCTGTGCCAACTGGTGCTTGGATCCTGGCTGCTGATGAGATGGAGAGTTGGCATGGCCGCAACAGGCGCAGAGACTGTCGTATATTTGAGCAAGACTGCCGGATCAGTCAGACACTTTCCAGAGAGACAAGGAAAGAACCTAGTGTTACGTTGTAGTGAAATGTTCGTGATTGACCGTATCTACATCCTCGGCCGATTCATCCACGTGTCCCCGAAAGTATTTGCTGAGCTTCTTGCGGGCCGCAATCGTCTCTCGAAAGTAGAAGTGCACATGGTCAGGGAGAGACCGAAGCTTCTTGGACGCTGCCTGAGCCAGTGATTCCAGTTCCTTGATCGGAAGACTTTTCACTCGGCGATTGGGTGAGGGACTATACTGGAGGAACCAGGCCACCAAGGCACGGGTTCCCTTCTTATAACGGACGTACGCATCAAGCACATCCGGCGGCAGGCCACTAAAGGTGATCTTGTGTGACGGGTTCAGCAGCATGGTGCGACCTCGTGGCCGTGGCCGTGGCCGTGGCCACCAAAGAGAAAGGGATTATCCTGACCTGACGGACAGAGAAGGAAGAGAAAGGAAGTCTGGGGGACGGGCTTCAAACGAAAGGAAAAGGGAAGGGGAGAGGGAGGGCTGCAGGGATCGTCTCATCATATAATCATGATATAATCGGCCACGGCGACTGCTAAATCTTGAGATGCGACGACACCTCTCAGCTCTCGGCTCGCAGCTCTTACCACTCACCTCTCACCTCTTGTCGATGCAATTGAGGACCATGGTCGCGCGATCCACCAGTCATCCACATCCAGGTGCTGGCCGAGGAGAGGTCTTTGGTCCTTCCTCTGATCGAATGCATCATTGGCTTGAGACTGACGTGCTGCCGGCGAGAAGCTCCGCGATTGACGAATGAATGAATCGGAGAGAGAGAGGAGTTTTGAGGACCTTAATCAGCTCAAGAAGAAGTCGACGAAATGGGAAATCCCGTGACTTCACTTCAATATCGTCACGTGAGCCACCCCCAACCATGTACTAGATTGAACAGTGACGATGTACGAAGGACATCCCTAGATACCTAGCTAAGGTGATTCGATGCCTAAGGCTATTGGGAAATACATCCTATCTAATACAGTACAATTGGCGGGACGGAGCACCGAGAGCTTCGTCTCATGTCTCAACCAAAGTATCAAGTCCGCCTCTGCCCCATGACCGTCCCCTGCACCGGACCTTCCACAACCATTCTCATACTCCTGGGTTCTTGCTCAGCCATACTTTGTTTGCGCTTGGCTACATGCTCTAGGCTGTCGCTCGGCCTGTGGTGGCACGGCTGTGACCGGGCGCGTGTTCGAGAAAGATTCTTGGTTGGAGTCGTCTCTTGCGGATATGGAATGCGGCTGCGTGGTGCGTTGTTGTCAACTGACTCCTCACTTTTCGTCTTGTTCTTGTTCGTCTCATCCGCGTCAGAGGTGTGTCGGTCCAGTGGACATATGCCGTGGTCGTGCTCGTTGTCGGAGGAGGCAGAGCCGATGGAGAACAGTCTTGACTTTGGAGGCAACGAGAACTGAGTCTTTAGATCGTCCTCCTGAATATACATGGACCAGAGGACGTTGCTATTCTTTCGGGCCCAATCACTGGTCTTTCGCTCGACCACTGCCCCCACAGCCTCGGCTGCTCGAGATGCGAGCTTCCTAGCCACCATTTGTTTCCAGATTCTGGCCAGCACAAACAACACACTCAGGAAAAAGACGACCGAAATGATGGCAAGGACAAGGATTGCTGTGGTGAGTGACTTCGACGTCATATCACGAGTCCGGAGCACTCGGTCGGGGATGCTAAAGGAATCAACACTGGCGAACTTATCGATGATTTGGATGGGTGCCATTTCAACGGGTCGGGTTCAAAAGAGAGACTGACAGCTGCAAGTGTGTAAGGAGTGTGGGATGAGATTCAAAGCACGCACGAAAGAAAGTGTAATGAGCGTTGTGATGTGCAGGAAAGCTTCTGAGGTGCGCTGCTGACAACGGGTATATATAAGACTTCGAAGCGACCCTGCCCTCGGACGCAATGGAAGGGGCTCGGGCTCGGGCGTAGGCTTCAGCGTGTCACATTCCAGGCGACCGCGTCAGTGGTGGCGGGGGACGGGAAGGCCCATGCCTTCACACCTCCCCATGGAACGTAAAATCTGGAACCTGGAACGCAGATGCTCCAGAAAGTCAGTTGGAAGTCAGGCAGCTCTCGTCCAGACCGGGCCTGCCGGTCGCGTTTGGAGTATTGAGACTATGTATTCTCGTGTCAACCCAACCACCCACAACCGTGCAAGCCCAGGGCCGGAAGTCGATGACATAGGAGAGAACCTTGGTATGAGAGGTCAGTGGAAGCCAAGGCATTGCGCCACCCTGCAGGCTTGCGACGGTAAACTCGACCGTAAGGAGACACGGCCCCGTACATGTCGCCCTCCCGCATTGTAGATTCTGTTGGAATTGGGACCGGGACCGAGAACAAGCTGTCACGAAGGTCTTCAAGAGCCCAAATCTCCTTAGCCATGTTCCATCACCGTGGTTGATCTCCAAAGTATCTCGGTCCCTCATCTCCTCACTGTGTGTGCTGAAGTGTGGAGAGCCCGTTTGGCGTACCACACTTCTTCAGCTTTAGCTCCAGGCGATGGGCGACGCACTGCCCCAGATCGGCTCGCGACATTGCAACGGGTCTTGAGACAGCGGCCTTGAATTCGTGGCAAATCTGTTCGACAGGTATCGCGACACGACAAGATCTCCGGAGCTTGGAGTCTGTTTCCTGGGGGATGTACGACTCAGACGGGCATGTAGGATTTCTCGTTATCTTTTTCTATTCCACATTGGGTCTGTTCCAGGGTTCCCTGGCGCGCCAGAACCCCTGGACAATAGTCTTGCGCCCTAGCATTCCCTTTTAAGAAGCTCATTAAGCCAATCCCACCGTGTTGTTGGAAGGGGAAATTTGATGGCGGAAGCCATTCTAAAAGGTCCGTGTCTGATCGGATATCAGATATCTCATGGGACTGGGGCAATCATGCAAGGAGAATATCCTGGTCTTCAGTTAGTTGTAAACACGTCTTGCGATGAGAATCAATCTACGAGCATTGTCAATTGTCAGCAGCACAGCCTTGTCGTTCACGTGATGACTTCCTTGGCGGAGATCATATAATCAGCCTTGCTCAACAGCCGCCAGTCACGTGTTCGGTGTCTATGTTAGGGCGGCGTCATCCCAGTCCCAGAGATGTTTCAACCGTGGACACATTTCACAGAACAACGAACAACATACCGACGTGCTACCTTTGCAGCGGGCCGTCATCGAGGCCGACCTAGTATTTGGAAGCCAGCCTTTTCGAGCTGGTATTTGGTATTTGTTATTTACCAAGGCACAAGCTTCTCCAACCCGTCCTGTCAGTCACGATGCAGCGTGCACCATTCTCTCCGCCTCAAAAGTCCCCCGAACTATTTCACCCTCGACCGCAGCACATCTCACAAGTCCCTAATCTGCGATCACCACCGCCTCCCGTTCCCCAGCAGAGCTCGCAACAAGCCCAAGTGAATAGCTATGGAAACCCATACCAGTCACCACCTGCTGGCGGTGGAGGGGCCGGGTTTGCCCCGGGCTTCAATTTCATAAACGATCCGGCTGCGCAGATGGGATTCCAGGTCGGACAAACGGCGATGAAGGCCGGACAAGAGTATATGGAACAAAACGTACGTCCCAGCTGCGTGACACTTCCACCAGCAGCCTCAAGAGCAAAACACAAGGGCGCTGCACCACACGGAATTCTTTGCTGACCACCTGAACGGCACAGTTGAACCGCTACATCTCGGTGTCGGCTCTAAAGCACTATTTCAACGTCTCCAACTTTTACGTGGTGCGGAAACTGCTGCTAGTTCTGTTTCCCTGGCGGCACAAACCCTGGACCCGACAGCAAGCTCGGATGACGACCTCCTCGACCGGCGCAGACGGGACCATGACCCAATCATCCTACTCGTTCAACTATCTCCCTCCACGCGATGATCTCAACTCTCCAGACATGTATATCCCCATTATGGCTCTGATAACGTATATCCTCCTCTCCACCGTCCTGGCAGGAATCAGAGGATCCTTCCACCCCGAACTGCTGGGCAGCATAACCAGTACTGCAATCGCGGTGGTTGTCTTTGAGATCATTGTGCTCAAACTCGCCATGTACATGCTGAGCATCACCAATGACTCTCAGCTACTTGATCTGGTCGCCTACTCAGGCTACAAGTTTGTGGGTGTGATAGTCACACTATTCTTCAGCGAAATCCTGACCGGAGGCAATGGGACGAACAACTGGGTAGGCTGGACATTGTTTTTGTATACGTGGTATGCAAACGCTTTCTTCCTGGTAAGTGGACCCTTTTGACATGCGACTCCGACCGGTAAATATGGCTAACATGTTTCTCATGTGCAGCTCCGGTCCCTCAAATATGTTCTTCTACCAGACAGCTCTTCAGATCCCGGGGCCATGCGCGGTGGGAATTCGTACACGATAGCCCGTGCACAGAAGAATCGCCGGACATATTTCCTCGCGTTATACGCATTTTTCATCCAGATGCTGTTTATGTGGATCCTCAGTCGTGAGGAGGCCGCCGTCAAGACGGTTGCAAACAAGATCAGTGGGCCGAAAACTTAGGTCGATCCAAATTGAGCCTGCTGACTCGATCCGCCGAAGCTCACCACCATCGAGTGCCGTCGTCGAAGATTCAGGACATGCTGATGAACGGTCCTGCTATGTTGTCTACCATCGTCCACACTAGCAGCTGAGGACTACTACCATAACAGGTAAAGGTTCGCCTGGGTTGCTCCAATAAAAAGTCCAGCCTTACTTGATCGCATTACTCAGCCTGGATCTGTACTCCTCCATTGAGATATCGGCTACATATCTCATCTATTTTCCGGCCCCTCGTCAACCTTTGCCACTGCGTCTACCCGCTTCCCCATCTAGATGTGCCTGAAAGCATGGGAAATGTCAAGCATGGCGCCGATCCGAGCCACGGACGAGATCATGAGGTCAACATAAGGGAAGCTTATGCGGGAATCTCGCATGGGACATTGCAGGGACCTGCAGGAATGAATGATATCCTGCCTCGCTCACGCTTTGTCCTGTGGCTTGTGCCTGTTCGGTAGACTCCGATTCCGTAATCAGACCACAGGGGTGGTAGTGAGGTGAGATGAGATGAGGAGGGTCGATCTAGGCAAAGGCTAGATAGGTAGGAGGGCTTAGGGTCAGGATAGATTGGCCTAAGGCCCTTTCTTTGGCTTTGAGATGAAACAGGCAGCAGTTGTAGACTATACTATGACTGTGTTGAGCTGATCGTGGGTTGTTCTCAGCTGGCCATTAATATCTGGGCCCGACTCGAATCAGGCACCGTCAGCACTGTGTGTCTGTGCTTGTGCCTGTGCCTGTGTCTATACCTATCCTGCGTGGCGGGTACAGTACACATAGCACATAGCACATAGCAGGATCCTAATTGATTAGATGAATGCTGGGCGTGGCGGTGGCGGTGGCGGTGGCTCATATATGCTAGTAATTGATTCGTTGCGTTGTTTAGTTCTTGAATGCCTCCGTTAAGTAATACTGTACTTGGTAAAGTTGTCTAAGACAAATCCCAAGGTTCCTAGGGACCGTGACCCTTCAAAAGTGAGTGACGAGATGAGATGATGTACGTGCCTCAGGCGTCATTGGAGAAAAGAAAAGTTGCTGTGTCTTGTCTACCTTGCATGCCCAGCATGTCATGTCATGTCCCGGCCATGACGGTTGGGATTCTCTATGTATGGTATGCTCGAGCCCCAGTCTGTACTGTGAATACCTGATCCATAATACCTGACACCTGATACCTGATACCTGATCCACAATACCTGACACCTGATCCATGATCCATGTCCTCAACTCCGAGGCTGATATACTCAACACTCTGCTGCAAGCCTCAGGCGTGCACCGTGCAGGCGCACGGTTCCGTTCCGAATAAACAGGGCACCCACACGCTGAAGTGAATATCGCTTGAGAGTGAGTTGCAGGCTGAGTGGAGTGGCGACGTCCGCGTCCGTCCCAGGCCATGCATGCAATGACCCCCCCAAATCAAAAATCAAAATCGAACCGGTTCTATCTTGAGATCTCGAGACCTGCTGAGCTCCTTCCCTTCCTGTTCATCCGATTCGGAATGAACATGATTCCCCCGTCATTGTCCAGTGGTGCTGGGTGGCTTGTCCCAATGTCTGAGCATCTGCCTGAGGGCTCGGGTCCATTCCACGACGCAGGCACTGACGAGTCGGTCGAATTCGGCGTGGGTGGGTTGTCGTCCTCCCCAGGTGCTAGCCTTCGATGCTAGAGCGCGTGCATATTTGGTCAGAAGATTCCTGGGACAAGTTCAAGTCAGCTCCGTGCTATGCTGTCCAGTACGCTTTAGAGAGCAGGCCGGAACACAATTTTAAAGAGCAGCCGGAACACAAATCCCCCGCGGGCGGTAGGTTTGAGAACTTACTCTTTCTCAATCTTCACCAATACCAACCAGCAGTAGTTCCAGCTCCGGACACTGCTCGGATCCCGCACCACCAGCGCCTTCGCTTCATCCAGGCACTCGGAACTGAAGGGGTAGTCGCGCGTCAATCCCCGAAGTTCGTTGAGAAGATTGTTCGAGTTGACGTAGTGAGCCCAGGCGGTCGTCATGGGCTCGGTAACTTCCGCAGAGTCCAGGTATGCGAAGATCTTTTCAATCCGGCGAAGTTCCGTGATGGTGTTGACCTTGTGCGTGCGCAATGAATGAATCAACTGGTCCTTGTTATTCTGCAAATGTGGTCAGTATCAAGGCTGGCATCATATGGGATTGGTTGGGATCGGGATTGCGCCAAAGGATACAGCGTGAAAAGAAGGGAGTTAAGAGGGAAAGGAGAGAGACGGCCGGGGTTCGGGTGCTGGACTCGAGGAACTAAAACACAAAAGCACTGCACACATAGGAGATATTACAAAAACGAAACCGGGACTGACTTGGCTCATTGCTCGTGGATCAGCTGGTGCGCCGGGAGAAACAAGTTGATATTGCTGTCGGGGAGGTGTGGTGCCAGACATTGGATGCTCGGGGAGTGATCCGGGACGATATATTGCACTCGCTTCTGCTCGAAATGCCAATGTCGACTGTTTGTGTGACGGAGCAAGACTCGATGGTTTTGATGGTGGCCTGGGGAGGAATGGGCTATTTAAGTAGTGTCCAGCACTCTGATGGCGTCGCTGGGATCTGGCTGTCCTCGGGAGAATCGCTCATCGATAGCAACCTCAGCAACACTGTCCGGAACCCAAATGGGTGGGTTCGTGACCTTGAGTAATCGTAATAATATAAGGCGCTATCTCAAGCAAACAGTAAAGAAACTGGGCACGACTCGACACACAGAGAGAATGCAATATTTGTCAGAGCGCAGAGACCAAGGGAACGAACAGAGACACTTGTGAGAAACAGTGCAAGAGCTTGCGCTGAATGAAGGTGGCAAACCAAGATATAGCAGCAGGCTGACACATATATCCTATCGATTGATGGCGTTTTTGGCAATAGGTGTGCCCAACCAGACCTGCACTTTTGGTAGTGTTTCCCCATGTAGAAACAGCTTTGCCAACAACGAGTATGGAAAGGATCAGAAGCTGTGCTACCTGCGACTGTTTCTTCATCTCTCCATCTCTCCAGGCCACCCGCTGGTGCAGAAAAGTCGTAATCTGGAGGACACCTGCGGCAGATTCAAAGGTGTCTAAGGCCATGATAGGAGGAATGTGAAAAAACTATACCTCCGCTTCAGGACGTCAACGGACACTCGGCGTCATACCGGCCACATCCTGAAAATACTGGCCACGCGCTAAAGGGTAAGATCTGACGGGTTGCCGTCCCAAGAAGTGGCTTCGGCAACGGGGGTTACGGCCAGGAAGTAGGGGCCGAATCATGAAATACGCCACAGATTGCTGATTATGATCGAGCCAAAGTCGGAGATGGCGATGTAGGCAACAACTCGCACGTAAGCAAGGCCAGATTGATGAGGCGTGGCGAGGCGAGGCGAATTATGTCAAGCGTGGTAGGAGGTCGTGGAAAGGAGAGTAATCATCGCTTATGGGCCAGAATCTTGCCACTGGCGAAATCGACGTGGAGCAAATCGACATGGAGCGCATCGACCGATCAGATGAATGGCAGCGGGCCATGAAGCGGGCGGTCCGTAGCTCTCAGGCCAGCGTTGTGGGTGGTGGTAGTGGTCGTCGTCGTCGTCGTCGTGATTCTCATCACTGGGGAGAATGAGGTTGGTGAGGTTGAGCAGCCTGGCTTAGTCAGTGCAGATGCCGACCATGCCGAGGCTAGCCTTGTTCGATCTGGTTCCTCGCTCTCAGCCTCTCAGCCTCTCGGACTCTGAGGCTGTGTCGCCAGCACCGTGCTCTTTACCCTCAATCTGTCATTCTCCGGCTCTGTGTCAGCCCTACTGCACACGGTTCTAGTCGTTTGTCTGGGCCTTGCGTCTCCCAAGGAAGATCTCCACCGGAGCCAGAGCCCAAGCCCAAGAAGCTGACAATCAGCCACGAGCTCCTTCTTTAGAACTCGTAAAATGTCAGATTGCCGACCGAGGTTGCCTAGATATCCGTAGTCTGGCTTGGGTGGGAAGCTAATCGAAACGTGCCTACGATCCCGACTGACACGGCCCGAAATGAATCCTGATTGCTAGCGTTCAAAAGAACTTGCTTTACCGGCCACATCGGACGCAAGCCTCCCAAATCGGGGGACCGCAGAGAGAGGCCCTCGGGCCAGAACAGCCATCAAACCTGTCTTTAGCAGTGTGCTATGCGGTGCTGCTGAGACGCAAATCCTCTTGTAAGATCTGTTTATGGCTGCCGCGTCTAATCGAGGCTGATGAGGAGGGGTAGAGAGCCTCAGCCTATGGTTGGAGTGACGGCCGTCATCTTGGACCTCCAGGTCGGTGTCGTTGTTCCCGGTTACTGTATTGGTTCGATACCAGACCACCGCCTGTAGAGCCAGCGGTGTAACCGTAAGGATCTCCGGCTGGTGATCCTGTTGCCCAAGGCTCTGATGCCGAGACATAGGGCTGAGACGACCCATTTCGATTCTGACTTCCAGACCTCCCGCCCGGTGCGCCATAGGACGCCTGGGAACCATTCCCTCCACTGCCCAAGCCAGCGGAGGGACTGCTCCTTCCACTGCTAGTGCCCCCTCCTTGCAAACGTGCACGGAGGCGATCACGAGATCCCCGCGCTGCTGTACTGGCGGTAGGGATCGTCTGATGGCTCCCAGCCCTTTGACTAGGGAGAGGCCGGGCTCCCATCCCGGGACCGTCGAACGATGCTGTTTGACTACCACCGCTCGACTGTGACCTGCCGGAGTCGTGCGAACGTAACGAATGCGGCGTTATACGGGCGGCTCGGAGGGTTTGAGGGGCGGGCGCCGCAGGTGCTGATGTGGTATCCCAAAGGTCAGATAAGCCGCCTCCTCGCCCTCCCGATGAATCTCTTGAATGCGTTTGTTGACTGCTGTGATGGGAGCCGAAGGTATTGCCGTACTGCCCATACGAGATCTGTGGCTGAGGAGGGGCAGTGACGGGCTTTTTGGGATCCGGTGGAAGCCATTCAGGGAAGGGCCGCCCTTTTTCCGTGTAATAAGCCCGCAGGACATTCGAGATATGGGAGCAATCTTCATTGTCCGGGTCGTCTTCCTCCGAGTCTTTCGTCAAAGCCTTTCGCAGAGTCGCTATGCGTGACGAGAATGTGGTTGACCATGTCGAAGTAGCACTAGGAGTTGAAGCTTGGGATGAGGGAGCGCTCGCGGTGTGGGAGGTGAAGTAGGATAAGTAGGACGCCATGGTGTTGCCAGGTAGAAAGCTTTCGGGCAGGTACAGTGATTAGAAGCTGGACAATAGCTGGGGACGATTGAGTAGGGCCCAGCGGCCGTGAATCTTGCAACCAGGGCTCAAAAACGAGGACCAGGACTTGCTCTAGGGTACGGAGTAGGTGAGGCTGTCATGGGTAGATTTGAAACGCAGTTGAAAGTACCGAGTACGGGTGAAAAGGCCGCCGAAAACAGCGGCCGTAGGCGCCGCTTTTGGCCCCTAAGCCCCCGAGCCTCCTCTGCACCCGCACGCGTGTCCTCCTAAGCCTTATGGTGGGTGCAATTTATACGCGCTCCAACTGCCACGGAATGTCTTGTTGATCGACATTCTACCCTAGATCTTACTGTCCTCTGATGCTGAAAAAGCCCGTTCCTGAAATCAAAGACAACAGATGGCTAAAAGCCGTCACCAGCTTCCCACGTCTCTCCTCCACCGTACCAAATGCGACCCCTTCTCACCTCTAGCCCTCTCTCACTACCGACAAACCATTCTCCGGCGGCATCCGGCATAACACCGTCTTTAGGCCAGAACTCCTGCTCCAACCGAGCATTGATCGTGTCCAGCATCTCAACCCATTTCACAACTTTCGAGTGACTTAATTGTCCGTCTGCCGCGAAGTCGTCGCTGCTAAGGAACCGAGCAATAGTCAAATGACAACTCGTTGTAGCATATCTAGCAAAAATTCGCACTCCCTCACCGTGGCAAACACGAATTAGGTCTCGCCGTAAGTGTAGGTACGTGTAGTCGTCGCTACAGCCATCCAGTCTCGAATCTCCTGTCGATACAATACTGGGCTCGCCTGCTGCGGGGACAAAAGTCAGTGCAATAGCCGCATCGTCGAACGACAGTTTAGGCTTGACAAGACGAGTGCGGTGGGCCATGTGGTAGGATGCCAGTGTGTGGACAGCAGGGCTGATGCGGTTGTTAACAGCATTGAGCTCTTCCGGCGTCAGGGATTGGGCAATTTCCAACACTGTCATGTGTAGGCAGTCCTGGGGCATCAGCCATATATCTGGACGGGCCTCGGATTCAGCTATACTCCAAAGATACGTCGCATCTGATAAGATCAGTGCATGCTTACTTGGACTCATCTGCTTCAGCTCTTCCTGGCATCTCAAGACTAGATCCATGACTTTCCACGTTGGCCGAGCCCACACGCATAGATTGTTCCTCGGATCTGTAAAGCCAGCCACATTGATCATATTGAACAGGATTTCATCCCGCTTGAAGCCCTTGAAGCCAGGGTCGAGAAGCTGGATGCGGAATTTGGCATTTCGGCTCGTCCGTTGATTCTCACAGAATGCCTGGACCCTGACAGGATCATTCTGATTGTCTTTTAGGATGTCGTCGTAAGGGTTGTTGGGGCTCGTTGTCGGCATGTGTCAAGTCTCTGATGGTAGTGTTAACGGCAGATCCAGCTCGAAACACGCACGAACAAAGGTGAGTGAAGATATCAGATATCCCTCATTGCTGTGCCACAGGTTTCCACCACCGAGCATCAAATGTGGGGGACGCGCAGCAGACGGGCGTACGAGTACGAGTAGCGGATGGAATGAGAAGTCAGTCACCACACGCAAACTTGGCAGAGCTGTTCGAACTCATATATTTGTGTAGGCTGGTGGCAAAATGGCACCTTCGGGGGAATCATGACGAGATGCGCTACTGAATCGTAAGATACATATCGGCACTGGTCCAGGCGCCGAGTTATGTAGGAGCTCCCTCCTTGCCGTCAACCCCGCCGGGCATACTCCGTACCGAAAGCGCCTACAGACTATGACACCTGCAGGCAATCCAATGTCATTACCTAGGTAAGAAAGACACAGACGAATTTACTGGTTACGTTGAAGCGGAGGAACTCGCCCTTCAGTGCAGGAGTTCGTTGTTTAGGTGCGTGGGTGAGTCTACTGTGATGACGTGTGGGTTTCCGCAGGTGTCAGGTGTGGCTGAACGGGCGTCGGGCAGTGTTCGAGAAAAGGTGCCTCACCTGCCACATTACTCTTCATACTCCGTACAGATGCACAAATTCGCATGATGGACGCTTCAACAATGGCAACCGTGTCTCGAGCCTCCTCTTCCTCTGTACCTAGGACTGGGAACCCATTTTATGGCGGCGCCCTCCTTCGAGTTTCCGACGCTCGACATTCCTCGCCTCGAGTACAAAACGAGTCTCCCATCCCGTTCCTGGCTTTCTCGCACCGAAATCCCCTCTTGTTTCCCCAGAGTTCGACCCCGTTGAGCTATGAGCGGGCCACCCTCTAGGTGACCCCCTTGTAAGTGACTAGGGCAAACGCTAAAACCAGCGCTTATAGGACTTTTCGTGCACACCTCCGCCAGGTTCCCAGGTCCTTCCAACTATCGCCGCTGCTCCCATGTGCTTCACCCGGAGAACTCGTGGCATTGACCCAGTTCAGTGTTCACTAACCTCGAGCTCTCTGTTCCAAATACTCGTAACCATTCTCTCATAGGCTATCGCCATCCACTTCCTTCTCGAAAAGCGTACGACAACGCACCAAGTTCAACGGTAGCGCCGGTCAAAGCGTTCAACCTAATCCTCTCGAGCTGTGGAAAACACGTTGCTCACCCTCGGCCACTGCCGCCCCGCCGAGGGAAATGGAGAATGGTGGCCTACTAAAACCTCTACGGAGTAGATGATCCAATCATACAAATGTCTCAGGGAGGGACTGGACGAAGATTGCAAAGGGGCCACCTGGGGGCGCGGGGGCTAGCACGGCCATATGGCATACTCAACAGCTGATGACTGCGAGGCGGCGCCACTTACCCTGTACCTCTCCGTCAAGTTGGCAACACGAGGGACGGGACGAATCTTTTACGCTGTCTCATTGAAAGCGTCAATGAGGGTTGGAGCAACCCCAATTCCGCCTTTAAACTACGCCCCCAACTAGACTACAGTACGGAGTACACTGTGGGATGCGAAACAACACGATTATGCGCGGTCCTTTTGCTTCCGTCGCCGCCATTGAGACGTGCTCAGGCCCGACAATCGTGAAGGAAGATGGTGTGGTACGAATATGGTGCACAGCCCGCGCTTCCTGCATCCATGCCCCAATCATGGTCACCAGTTGGGTTACACACATGGACATGTGTCACAAGATTCAGCTCTGGCTGCTTGCACGCCCCAAATTTCATCCTATGGTTACTATCATGGCTGCTCGCTCAGCGCAGGCAACGAATGGAATGATCCGCGTGCCGACAACAGCATCTGCGCCCGACTGCAGTGGGCAACAATGCTGGGCCGTGCGGTTAATCGATTGACTGTCTATTGTCTGGCATCTCGAGACGAAATAAAAGACCAACACATCTTTGTGTCAGCCGTGTCCATTCTCATACCGTCCAGTGTAACAAGATCTTATTTTTGTCATGCCTCAGTGGTTCAAAAGAGCAAGCGATAATGATGGTGGAAGGCGCAGATCTTCAGGTGCTCAGCCTGATGCCGCAGGATTATCTTCCACCCAAGCATCGTGGGGGATACTGGAGCTCAGTCCGGGCACAGATCCTGTCGTAGAGTCAGTCTTCACCAACGTTTCACTGTGCATTTGTCATCAACGCTGATGCTGCCAGTATTGTCTTCGTGCATGGCCTAGATGGTCATCGTGAGCACACTTGGACGGCAGAGAACGGGACGATGTGGCCTCGAGACCTACTCGCAAGCGCAATTGCAAATTCTAGACTGGTATCCTTTGGCTGGGATGCTCGGACACACAGCAGAGATGTGCTCGCCACCACATCTCTGTCGCAGCAAGGAAATAACTTGCTTCAGGAGCTCAGCATCTATCGCCGTAGCACACAAGTGAGTACCCTGCTCCATTGGCATCTTTTTCTGGCACGAGTTTTTACTAACATGCTTCCAGACAATACGTCGACCTATTATCTTCGTACCTCACAGCCTAGGAGGCCTCATATTGAAGAGCGTATGCAACACCTTTCGTATAAACTCTAATCACAAAGATACATCCCGATGTTGACTTATTGCAGGGACTGGTTAACGCCAACTTGGCCGCCGCTGACCATAACCCTCATCTTCGCGACATCCTGACGTGTACTTACGGAATCATTTTCATGGGTACTCCCCATCAAGGCTCTGCTGCCGTTAGGCGTGGGGGCTTTCTGTTGTCCCTCAGCTCCATATATTTCAACACGAACCAGAGGTTTCTGAAACACTTGGAAGCGAAGTCGGAGTGGCTAGAGAACAATATGGTGCAGTTCACCAATATCAGCAATAAATTCCAAACCATCTTCTGTTACGAAGCTTTTCCGGTGGAAAAGGCTGGTTCGAAGATCCACGTATGGTCCATTCCCATGCCAAGGGACATGGATTGACATTTGGCAGGTTGTGACATATGACTCGGCCGTGGTGTCTGGACAGCGAGGGGTGGAAACACGACAGATCATGAAGAATCACATCACCATGACAAAGTTTGACGACGAGCACGACAATGACTATCAAGCTGTTCTCCAGATGCTCAAAGAGATGGTTCAAGCAGCAGCTACATGGACTGGCAGAGAAGAGGGTAGGTAGGTTACCCGCGTAAATGTGGGCAATCAAAGACCTATACGTACACGTGCTCATGCTGATATACTAGACCTCTGTTACAATGAGAGACACCGGGCTGCTGCTGGTGCAGGTATTCTCCCTGCCGCTGACCTTGGATCTGAGAAGTTCCATGTTTCGTTCGATTCTGTTCCCGCGAACAACAAATGCTTTACTGGTCGCAGAAACGATCTTGAAAGATTACGTGCTTTATTTCTGCCAAGGACTAATACCGGTCAGCAGGTAATCGTCGAGGATGATGGGCATTCCGAAACCGAAACCAAGACTGTCGTTTTACAAGGTATGGGCGGCGTTGGTAAGACTCAGATTGCCCGAGAATTTGCGCACTCTTACCGGGCTCGTTTCACGTCGATATTCTGGCTCGACGCTCACAATCGAGAGACATTATTGTCAAGTTTCGTGCAGCTCGCGGAGCAGCTCATTCAGCACTACGAGAGCTTGCTTTATCGCCACGTGCGCCCGGAACAAGCCCGTGTTCAGGCGGTTGCTCAGCTCAACCTAGTCGGGTATATCAATGAAATGGGCGAGGTATTGCCTAACCGTTCGGAAAAAATTGTTCAACCGGTCAAGAAATGGTTCCAAGCTCAGGGCAACGGGCAATGGCTGCTTATCTACGACAATTATGACAATCTACACTGGTACAGTATCGGTGATTTCTTGCCCAATTCACAGCACGGAGGCAGCGTGTTAATCACGTCCCGCCGCGACGACTGCTACAGATTGTGTGGCGCGGAAAACTTCATAAATGTAGAACTGATGGAACCTTCAGACGGCGTTGAGCTGCTTCTTAAGTGCTACGGTGTGGCTGATAGCTCACGTTCCAGCCCAGGTCAGTTCTTTGCGTCAGTGGTTCTCGCGGGCAGCTCTTCTGACCTATTTCCAGAGTATGAAGGGGCGCCCCTGATTGTCAAAGAACTGGGAAGGTTGCCGTTGGCAATTGATCTTGCCGGTACATACTTGAGAAATCGCAGAAGCCCACTCAAAAGCTATCTCAAGATGCGGGGTAGGATGAGAAAAGCACTGAACTTCCAGCCCTCGGTGGGTGAACAGAACTCGTACCAACACACTGTATACACAACCTGGGAGGTTTCCTTCGACGAGATCAAAAAGGAGAATCCAGACTCGGCCGATTTTCTGCTGCTATGGGGTTTCTTGTCGAATGAGAAAATTCAGGTTGAGATGCTGCAACGAGGGATGGGCCTGGAGGAGGACGAAGAAGGTAAACATTCGTTTGCTTCTATCCTATCCTGAATATCCCCCACAAGTACGACCCTCCTCGCGAGAGCACAGGCGCTAAGACATGAGCACAGTCCGAGACAGGATCGCACCACTATTGTCGTTTTCTCTCGTTTCAAAGACCGGAACCCGGGGTGAGGATGCGTTTACGGTCCACCCGCTTGTGCATGAGTGGGCTCGGATTCGTCTGCCCGATCAGAAGCATCGATTTTCTGCAGAGGCATTGTCTCTTGTGGCGTCTTCGGTCTCGCCGTCCGAAATATGGACCACTGGCTTTCGAAAGAGTGAGCACTGGGCATTCGAGCGACAGATTATGGCGCATATTGAGGCTACGAGTCAGCACGTACGTGAGGCGTGGAACGACAAGACGTTCTATCAGCACGCTGAATACTGGATCAAATATGCCCATGTGTACTTCTACCACGGACGGTATGGCAAGGCGGAAGAGATTTATCTCGGCGTTGTTGGTGCGTACCGGAGCCATCTTTGTCCTTCCAACCCCGAGCTGCTGAGAGCGATCAGGGGTCTTGCAACCGTCAACCGTTTTCAAAGCAAGTATGGTGCTGCCAAAAGCCTTTACGAAGAGGCCATGGATGGATTCACAAAGCAATTGGGACCAGACGACATAGAAACACTACAGACGATCCAGAGTTTGGCTGTGGTATATCGCCATCTCGGTCGTCTGAAAGACTCGATGGATCTGTACGAGTGGGCGCTTCACGGGCGCAACCGCGACGACGAGGGCTTCTATCGGAAGAGTGGGCCAGACCACCACTACACGATTCACACGGTCTTGGGCCTGGCGATTGTGCTCCAGCACCGGGGACTATACGCACAGGCGGTGAAACGCTACAACGAAGTGGTCGACCATCGGGTGCGTCAACTTGGTCCCGGCCATCCGGACACCCTTGTTGCCAAACAAAACCTTGCCGACGGATTGGGCCGGTCAGGCGAGTACGCGAAAGCGATGCAGCTTTTCCACGAGGTGCTGCACTTGAGGATCAACCAGCTCGGGTCTCAACATCCGGATACTCTGCGTACTATCGACAGCATCGGAATACTGTATCGTGACCAGAAGGAATGGGCCAAAGCGCAAGATGCTTTCAACAAGGCGTATAAGGGCAGAAAGGAACAATTGGGTGACCTTCATCCTGATACTCTGGCCACGGTTCAGAACATTGCCATCAACTACCGGAAGCAAAGCACCAATTACCCTTACGATACCGAGCAGTACAGCTCCTATCTTAGAGAGGCCGAGATCTACTACAAGAAAGCGCATGCGGGCCGTAGGCAGAAGCTAGGCGACGATCATACCGATACGATGAAAAGTTGGGAAGGCCTGGCGCTGGTGTCCGAGGCTCGAGGGGATTACAAGACAGCACGAGACATCTACATTGATGTGAAGAACGGCTTTAAGAAAAATCTGGTGCCAGAAAGCGAAGATGTGAAGAGGGCGCTCGAGGCGCTTATTCGTCTGTCGGAACATTTGGAAGACGTCGAGGATGAAGTCAAGGAGCTAGGTGAGGAGCTCACGCAGGCCAAAATATCAAATCAAGGTGGTGTTCGGAAGTTCAGTACAACCACATTTGGAGTTTGAACCCCGTTTGTTGCCAGTCTGCTGTCTGAAAAGATAACAACATTTCAAGACAATCAAGTAAATCAACATGCGCGGTCGAGGTTTTTTCGGCTCTCAAAATAACTCGACGAACGTCTGAGGTCGCCACAGATGCGACTCACTTGCCCAAGGTCGCAGAGGACGCATTGACAACCACTCCCAGACCGGTTCCATCATCGACTTCATCACCAAGCTCAAGGGGCTTCCTAGTGAAACGCGACAAACCGGAGAAGCGCCTGCGCAAGAGATCAGCACGTCTCGATTTGTCAGGAAGGATGAAAAGTCAGACCAGCCTCGCTCGGCGCCATTTGTCAAGAATGAACAATCGCAGTTGACGGTTAGCGACCACAGGCCGAGATGCTCGTTGTCAGCCTTGGACAAAGTCTTGATCACATTCGGAGCATCCAGGTTCCTGGTGTAGGTTGAAACGCCACAGGTGAAAGCTCCAATGGCCTTGGTCGTAACATCCTGATGAACACGACCGAGGAGCACATGGCCAATGGCGACCACCACGGCGGCGTGGCTGCAGAGCAGAATCGCACTATGCCCCTCTTCGTCGGCTCGTGCAATCAGATGGGTCAAGATTCCAGCAAGGCGGTTGTGGAGCTGCTCGACATCTTCGCCGTGGAGGATGGGCGGCGACAGGGAAACATAATCCGACGAACAAGCCGGGAATTGGTCTTTCAATGCCGAGAGAGAAGACGGCGTGTAGTCGTGAGCGCCATCAGCGCCGAACCATTCGCTGCACAACATGTCAGCGGCCAGCCTGCCTCAGCCTCAGTAGAAGCAAGATTCGTTCTACCCTAGTCCATGCTCGATGCGCAGGGGAATTCGGTTCTTTCCCTCTTCAGCAGCGCGATTGACGGTGGGCGCAACCGTTTGTAAACATCGGATCATGGGGCTCGAGTAGATGGCGCCGACAGGAGGATTCAGCCTGATCGCATATGCCGCCAGCTCAGTCGCTTGATCGAATCCGTGCGGTGAGAGGGATGCGTCCGCCGGGCCAAAGATGCCTTGCTCTCGTGCGGCTTGACCTTCACTATCCGGCCATGTTTGTCGGAACTAGAACGCAGGAGCGATTTTAGAGCACAACCAGAGCTTCGATCAGGAAAGGCATGATGAGTGAGCACAACCAGAACCCGAGATCAGGAAAGGCATGATGAGTGAATGAATGAATGTACACAACACAGAAATCACTTACGCCGTGCCTCACCACGTAGATGGTCTGGAGACCCATGAAGACCACCAAGTGAGGCTGTTGTTCTCACTTCCACTTCGATCGAGTTTGTATAGGTAGGTACTAGGTAGTCAGGACGGAACACAAGAAACAGAAACAAAAACAGAAACGGGGAGCTCGGGAGGATCAAGAACAAGAACAAGAAGGTGAAGGTGAAGGTGGTAAGAGGAATGTGATCCTACTAGGAGTAGGTGGCCGTCATTTGTGTGATGTGATCCCTGCAGGTGCCTGTCTCGTTATGTCTCCTACAGACATACATATTTGTGACGCCCATCCCGCGACGGATTCACATGCACGCTCACGCTTACGCTTACGCTCGCTCTGGATTGACTGCCTTGCCTTAAGAAAAACATTGACGAACCAAGTGCCTCACAGACGTTGGTGCCTAGGCTAAGGGCCTTAAGGGGCTCAATTGGCATTTGTACATTTGTACGTATATGTACGGATACGTGGCAACCAAAGTTTGGGGAGCCAAGGTGCGTCAGGCAGCCACTGCCACTGCCGGCTTAGGAGGCTCGGTTTCGGTTGGCTGCTGGGCACGTGCAGCTTTCAGGATTTAGCCTGGATTGAATGGACCGGGTTTGTCGTTTGTCCGGGCATCCTGGAAAACTCCTCGCCTTTTGCCTTGCAGGAAAATCGTAATACTCTCGTGTGAGTCCTAACACGGAGCTCGTTCGGACGGCACTATATATAGTACGAGTAGCTAAGGTACATACTCCGTACTCGTAGTAGATGAAAGAGAGAATCACGTGGCTCAGGCTGCGATCCGCCTTGTATGGCACCTTAGCCGAGCAATTCCCCTTTTGTCGAGCGACGAGGCTGCTGCTTCTATCTCGCTTGGTATGTGCCAATGCAGGTCTACTCCTAACATTCGGACATGTCTTATTACACTTTCACGATTGATCTGGCTCTGGCTCTGGTATCAGAGATCATCAGCTACTCCCCAGCCCCGCCATCCTCCCTCCTCCCTTATCAACGGTGGGGAGCTAACTTTTTGGAGAGCACTCCTAACTGCATTTCGGATGACTCGAGGCAATCAAGACTCTGAAGGCTCCAGGCTATGCTCTCGATCGCCGAACACGGTTCGTTCCTCCCAATCGACCTCTCTCGAGTCCAGAGGCTCTATGTCAGCCTCCAGGGGGGAAGCTGCGTCGAAAGCGGGCATCCGTGGGGTAGCCATTTCGGCCTCATCATATGTCGTGTTGTCTGATGTCTCATCGCGAGCCGGGCTCTCTTCGTCACAGTTCCAAAGCTTGTATTCCACGACGCAGAGAGGGCCGAATTTCTCGGGCTCCTGCCACACGCGCACCAGTCTCAACCCACTCAGCTCGGCCAGTTTTTCCCAGTCACGCACCGTCCGCTCTTTGCCTCCAATGCTCATCATCATGAGATCCAGCCAGACGGCTCCAGCATCTCGCAACGTGACCGGCTCGGGGATTGCCATGTCCGAAATGATAATGCGGCTATCTTTTGCCATGGCGGGGGCAATGGCTTTCATGATCCGCGCAGCGTCTTTATCCTGCCAGTCATGCAGAACACGACGAATATAGTACACCTGTGCATTTTGGACAGGTTGTTCTTGGAAGAAGTCGTGTGGCATCTTGGTGACTCCGGGTAGATCTTCGGGCGTGATGTCGTCGAGAACATAGGGACGATCCTGGAGGATCAATTCACCCTGAAGGTTTGGGCATCCTTTCCGTATTTCAAGCAATGCAAGGCCTCTACCGCCGCCTATGTCGACCATGAGCGGGCGATCCGGCGAATTGCCATGTTGCAAGACTTCCGCGAAGGGAAACATGGCCAAAACGGGATGAAGAGCGTCGAACAGCGCCAGGCCTCGAATGAAGTTTTCCATACGGTCATGAGATGAGTTTAGCACCTCCCAAAAGTTCTTGCCCATCATGCCATAGTACCAGGAATGTGGAGTCTCTGTGTAAGTGTCCAGCAGGGAATGATTGCCAAAGCGGCCAAGATAATGATTCAATCGATACGTTGCCGGTGCCATCTCGTCGAGGCTTGATGGATGTTAGCTTGAACGCTCTCTGGCCGTGAGGAGTTGCTTTTCTGGTCATCTGACGGTCACTGTGGGAGGATCAAACTTACGACACAGTATACAGCCATTTGCCACTCATCGCCCCAACATGTTCACTGTGCGCGATGGAAAGTCTATTATGGGCCCATTCACCCAAGCGAACCTCATTGAATATGTGGACACATGTCAACTGACGCATGAGACGAACTTGATTCTGGTCAGGCTACAGACATAGAGCCGGAAATGATGCCGACGACGTACCTATGAGCTCCTCGGGAGCATCACATCTTTGGGAAATCTCTTTCACCGATGCTGTACCAGCAGGAGGGACTGCTTCGAAGACACCGAGCTTGGAACAGGCAAGACAGGCTGCGATGGTGTATCCCTGTCGCAGGTTGGTCAGTCAATCAGTCGTCGCATCTCAACGGCGAACATCGACGCATGCAAGAAAGAGGGCTTACGTTGACAATGTGATCCATGATCGCATCGAACGGATCCTGGACTTGCCAAATCAACTGCTTTGCTTGCATGACCAAAGCGGCGGTTTGTTGTTTCCTGAACATGGGATCTTGCGACGAGGTTACACTGTTTGCGAGTTGACTTAGCTGGCCTGCGAGGGCACTGATCTCTTCTTGTGATGGATCCATGGCGGCCTGAAAACGTTGGGAATCGATGTGGATTTGAAGCAAGGCGAGACGATTCAGAGCTGAAAGCTGCAAAGTGGACGAGCCTGTGAGAAACTGGTGTTGGTTAGAAAAGACAACTGAGCTCTGGGCAGGTCGCAGGCTGAGGCTTAAATAGTAGCAGTCGTCTTCACCGCAGGTAAACGGGCCCTTCACTTGAAAACAACAGCCCCTGCGCTCGTCTATTATCCTTAGGCCGAGAAGGACGAAGTGAAGAAGGAGAAAGTTTCTGCAGGATATAATGATTTTGTCACAGGGCTCGTCACCCAGCAGTGAAAACCCATCGCCACGGAACCACGGTTCTTCCAGCTGCCCTGGACGGCAACGGCAACGGCACCTCGGACTACAGTGCAGGACATGGATGCTACGGGCTGAAGAGGAGAAATCCAACAAAAGAATAGGCCAGACCGGCCATGACTGGAGGAGACAATCGAAGAAGAGTGGGATCTGGGATTGATTTGGCCGACACAAACATGGGCGCTGCTGCAAGACACCAGACCCGTTGTAGAGGTGGAAGCAATCCCACGAGGAGAGGGGCTGAGAAACTATGTTGTGCTCCATCCCCAGTGCAGCATATGCAGAGCTAGAGCATGGATTTCCTGCGGTTTTAGTTGGCATGGGATCGAGATGAGTCTTCGCGGTCATCCGTCGTGGTGGTGGCGGCGGTGGTGGTGCGAGGATGTTTTGCTGCAAATTGATATCCAGCCAGCCTACGCCTCGTTCACCTCGTTCACCTCGTTCACCTCAACCTCACTCCCATTCTCCCTCCCACGGTACAATACTACATACGGTACCTTCTTCCTTCGCCACAGCGTAGTCGAGCTCTCTCGTTGGGTGGATAAACTCTCCACCCTGCTACAATTCAGGTCAACCGATCCTCAAGCAGCAAGCATCAAGCACCCAGATTGCAGGCTGCCTCGGTGCAGTCGTCCAGCTCCTCGGAATCCCACATCTTCACCAACAAGCCAACCAACCCGAACGGGCTCAGGCCAGGCTAATGCAGCTGCCGCAAGGATGGGCTCCTCAGGTTGGTCGCTCTGTCGTTGGGATTTCAGTTTGGATATTCCTCCTGCAGTATCAATTCGATCCAGATCTGTTGTCAAGAAGACGTTTTCTGCCCACGCGGCCAACAACCGTTCCCTCCTACGCTGTCCTTCGTCAGTCGGCTGCTTGCAGTGGCCTCTGCTGCGTTTATGTGCCTCTTTCGGAGACAGGCCCGGCTGAAGCTCACCACGTTCAGACGCGAGCTTACTGCTCCTCAGGAACCAGCCTGCGTCCCAAAAACAAACCATGAGAAACGGGACTGGTGATGGAGCGCTCACCGAACGTCACTCTCAGCCTAGCACAAAACCAAACAGACACCCGCCGACGATCCAAATTCCTGGGACTGGCCTTCCCGGTCCAGATGCACGTCAAATGTTGCAGGTAGGACCAGGATGGCTCATAGACATTTGGTATCTGTGTCCTCCACACTGCACGACACTGCAGACTCCGGCTACTCAATGGCTTGGCTGGTGTTACACTCAACCTTCCACAACGACAGGCAATTGATATTCCAGAGCACAACTCACCCAGTCTTCTCCTGGTTGTCGTGCAGTCCCCATGGACTCACCAACCGGCTCTGACTTGGTGGAGGACGTCGTGGGACCGGCCAGTGCGGCCAGCTGACGAGCAACGGTCTGACATCTTGAGTGGTACAAGGAACGCTGCATGTTCATTCTGGTATCGAATCGCCTGCCGCGAAATTGGAAGCGCTCAACCGTCCCGGCCCAGCAATCCCGAAATGTCCATCATGCTACGATACTAGGTCCTTCGCTCGTCTCCCCTGTTACAGTACATGAGGGTCACGCTCACAGTACAATGGGGATGCCACAGCCAAGTAGATGATACACATTGCTCAACTCGCAGCCACACTTCGCGCGGCTATATCCCCTGTACTTTACGATAGTTGGGCGGCTTCCACATTCGCCTGATAACCTTGCCTCCCCAGACAGGAACAAGACTGATGGCTCCCACCGCAATGACTCTCCACACCCAACTCCAGCTAGCGACATATGCAAGGTCGAAATAGCCACCCAAGAAAGGTACACTAGCGGCATACACGGCAGCTGTGCCCAGGATACATGCAATCATGATGGGATGCCACGTGGTCACTGCCACGGCTACCATGATGAGCTCGTTCAGCACCAGAACCGTAAAACTGACACTCAACATGCGAGGACCATCGACTTCCCCCACCAGCAGCTGTGTTAGGCCCTGGATGATGATACCTTGGTACACCGACACGAGGACCCACGTGAAGAATGTCTTATAGCTCAAGCTCTTTCCTGATTTGAGTTCCTTGTAGAGTTCGGGGTACAGGTTGGCTACCTGCTCATCGACGTCCCGGTCAAGCACCAATGAGAAAACCGGCGCCATCGTGTAAACTGTGGCGTAGCCTACCAACAGCCAGTCTTTGAAAAGCCCTTTCGGATCAAAATGCCCTGCAATGTTATACATGGTCTGGCAGACGCTGATGATCAGTCCGCGGTGAATGATGAATTGCGCCAGTTTGGCCGATCTCTTGTAGCTGTTGCGGCCATGCCAGACCAGGAGTTTCGTGAGATGACAGAACTGGGTGATGCTGAAGTCGGCGGCCAACGAGGCCTGGCGTCCCTCCTTTCCGACGATCCCAATGCCCACATCCGCGGCTTGGATCATGCTCACGTCGTTGCCGCCATCTCCGATACAGCAGACTCGCTTCTTGGTGTGCTTACGAATGAGTTGAGCAACCTCCGCCTTCTGCGTTGGCGAGCATCGACACGCAATGACGGCGGGAAGTTGGACTGCCACGGTGATGAAATCTTGCCTGAATTGGCTGAGCATGAGGGCCAGGGACTCGCCGTCAATGAGTAAACAAGACTCGATCTGATTACGCATCATATCCAGTGCGTCTTTGCCCTGACCCTTTGCCTTGAGCTTCGCCATGGTTTGGATGTGTTGACCTCGCGTGACCAAGCGGGCGGACACAGCCACGCAACGGGCAGTTTCAATCTTGTCGCCTGTTAGCATCCAAATTTTGACACCGGCGTTGCGAAGGAGCTCGAGGGATGGTTTGACATCCTTCTGAAGCCGGTCCTCCACGCCAGTAACTCCCAGGAGCTCTAGATCGTGCTCGAGGTGGGATGTGACGACGGTCGCCATGCGCCCATCACGGTCATGGAGCACAAGCGAGGCATCTGCATATGCAGAGGCAAAAGCGTCATATTGCGATTGAGTGAGTCTCTTGCGACCAACAACCAAGGTACGCAAACCTTCTCGAGCCATGTTGGCAGTTTCCTCGTCCAACCAGTCATTCGCAGCCACAATGGACGCCATGACAGTGTCAGCGCCTTTCTGGAAGAACCAGAGTTCATCGGCGCCTGACAGGCCAGGAATCTCCGACGAAATTTGCACAATAATCCCCATGCGCTTGCTATCCGAAGTGAAAGGGAAAATGTCTTTAATCTCGGCTCGGATAACGATGCGGCTGGTGCTGACGGACTGGAGGACAATATTCTCCCGGTCTCGCTGGAGGACGCGAAGACCAACACTCTCGGTGAACTCGACAATGGCTATCTCATCGGGCGAAGAAGCTTGGTACGACACCACCTTCTCGCCGTCGATTTCATCTGTCGTGGGGGTAACGTTGTGGCATAATGCGAGGGCGAGCACGAGATCGCGAACTCGGATACCGATTTCTCGACGTGTCTTTGTTGTAGAGCCAGGTTCCATCACTCTGGAGCGCTGATCATTGCCAGGCGCAAAAGCTTCCTCAACGTAGGCTGCCACTTCTTCCATGGCCTCGCCTGCATATGCAACTGTGCCCACGTGGATCTTTCGCAACTGCATTTCGTTCTGAGTCAGAGTTCCGGTTTTGTCTGACAGGAGGTATTCAATCCGGCCTAGGTCTTCTGGAATAGTGCTGGTGCGGACGACGGTGTCCGGAATACCCTTGTCGTGTTCAATAAAATACGCGTACACCGACTTGCCGAGATCAAGGTTCACGCGCAAACTAATAGGGATGATAGTAGAAAATAGGATCAGATAGATCATTATGGCCGCATACCATGGTTTTCTGTTGGATGGCTCGAAGCCTTCGAGTGCGACAAGGACGATGGAGAGAGTAAGCGTCATGATGCACAGGATTTTGGTCAAGTTGTTGATCTCCACTTCGAGTAAGCCGGTCTTGGATCGTGATGGCGCCGTGGACAGAGCAGATCGAGTTTGACGGCCAGTGTACACGACGGCGCAGTAGGTCGTGGTGCTCGAGGCCAGAACTGTATTGGCCCAGGCCGTATTGTCGATTGTGAGCGGTGCGGACTGTGGCCTGCAATGCGCCGCTCTATCCAGATCAACCGAATCTAGGGCTCCCTCGGCAGGATCTTCCTTCAGCACGTGAGGATCATAGGCGGCATTTTCGCTGGGCTTAAGTTCCAGAGTTGCAACAAACTCGTTGACTCTCTTGTCAGGGGCCCCAGCAGTGATTTCCAGCCGTCGAAGGTCGCGTAGGCTCAGGCTCTGACTTAATGGACTTGGCAGTCGAAGTTTCCAGTCCGTCTCACCATCAAGTTGATCTGTCCTAATGAACGTCTCTCCTGTAGCTGGAGCCGCCGGAACGGCAGAGCCATCAACATTCCCATTAGTTGTCAGCGCATCAAGTCGCTCGCTCAGATGGCTCTGAAGAATGACAACGTCTGCGGGAACTCTCTGATTCTTTTCAAGCTTCAGAACATCTCCGACCTTGATGTCTCGAGCCCGCTTCTGGACTTCGACGGGGTTGTTGCTAGAATCTTGTTGCCGCGCTGTGTCGAAAGACAAGACAGTGAAAAGTTCAGAATTCGCCTCGGCGTCCCGTCGTCTTCGGGCGATATCGTCTATCGCCTCCTTCCCAATCGTAATCGTAAGTACACACGCTAATGGGACGATGTATGTCGACATGTAACCGATCCGCAGGTAGGGTATAATTTGTGACAATGCAACGAGGAGAAAATAGATGTTTAGAAAGAAAGAGAATTCGTTGTACAACGTCCGAGGAAGGAAAGACCAGGCGGTATATTTGGCATTCGAGACCTTGTTTGTCGGAAACCGCCGTTTCTGAGACTGGCCAACGCTGATGTTGCGGGATTCCTTGTTGTCAATGTCTGGATGCTCTCGCATATCTGCAAGCTCTTGCCTGACAAAGTCCGATAGCTGAACACTATGGCGAACGCTCGACCGACGAGAGGAGATTTCCCGGCCATGTGACGCGTTCGGGCGCACGGAATCCTGATGTTTTATCTGCCTAACATTCCAGCCGGCTTGTTCTTCAGGCCAGCCTCTCGAGTGAGCATTTCCTTGAGACTGTCCGGGCCAGCTGCCTAGTAACATTTCTGCATCTTCCTCGTCCCGGTTTGCGTTGTTCTGCCGACCTTTTGCGCGCCACAAGCTGCTCCCGCCAAATCTTTGTAACCTATGTAGTGGGATATTGGAGGAACCATTTCCGAGGCGGCGGGGGCCTCCCTTCGTGGCTGGTAGGCTCGGGGTACTGCCCACCGGGTCGAGTTCGTCTAGGTCGAGATCATCATCGGATGCCGAATCTGCATCTCCCACAGTCTGGTATGGTCTTGACTGGGACATGCTCTCGACTGCTCATCCTCAAACGTTCACTTGAAACCTACTCGACGGCTTGCGTAGTTGAATCGGCCACCTAGCACATCCGTTGTAGCCGCATTTCTTTGCGGTGGGTACTGGGTACTGGGTACTGGAGGCAAGGAGAGACGGAGGCGGAGGTATGGCACAGGACAGTCAAAGAGTCAGGCGTCTGAATGGGAGGCGCAAAGACGTGTTAGATGTACGGAGGACCAAAAATAAGACAGGGGTGTCTTTGGAGAAGACATGGATGTCAAGTACGTGGTCACGCCTGGTGTTGTCGGTAACGGTAGTACGCAGGCAGAGCGGCGCGCCGAGCCGTAACTCCGTGTCAAAAGTGTCTCGAGAACAACTTGGCCTCCCCCGTCTTTCATCGCCTAATCAATTCCACCAGCCGTCTCTGCGCAGCCTCGACACCTTTGCTGCGCCGGTGGACACCCTACTCAGATCCGTCATGTATCAAAGAAGTCTCTGAGAGATCTACCTCCTGTTTGCCGTACGAGTGCGAAGCCTCCGCGCCCCCCTATATCTCCCTCTCCGCTGAGCTCGGCCCGTAATTGTTGGTCCTGAAGAGTCGAGATGGAAACCGCCAACCCTATCAATCACGGCTCTTCAGGGATACCGGCCTCTGCTCAATCAGGCCACTGGTTCCCAGCCTTTCGCCCAGAAATCCATGAAGAAACTAGCGATGACACACACGCCGGAATCCCTTCGGAGGCGAAGTCAAGAGACAGGGTCAACGGCGAGATGCATACTGTCCCGTCGACGCCTTTCTCGGCGCGACAGGGTACAGATGTAGCTCCAGAGAAGAGTACCTCTACAGTTCTGACATCCGAAGGGCCTGGTGCGGCGAGGACAGAATATCGTGCGGATGAACCTTCATCGCTGTTATCATCCAACCAAGCATGGCCATCTGCATCACCGGACGCGACCACCGGGGCTGATGAGATACCCTCAGACGACGACGATGAACGCTTGGACCCGGCTTGGGGAATCAAACGCCTAGATACATCCCACATCTTGGACAGCATTCACCGTTCGACAACGTTCCCCGAGCTTGCTACACCTGACCCTTCGGGCGATCATGTTGACGTCAATAAGCGCGATGAGCCCGAGGCCCGAACGCTAAACGAAGGAGCGGAGGAATCCAGGGGCACAGAGCAAAACGATGTTCAAAACGAAGTTGCTACGGAGCCACAGAGATTGGACTGGCTCGACGACAGTAATGAAGTGAATGGCGATGCTCACCCGTGGACAGCACCCGAGCAGGTCGAAGCAGTCGATGAGGGGGCACAACGTTTCGATGAAGGCGTTCCTCTGATACAAGCAGAGGAGAGAGTCGACACTGATCGGGCCAGCTCACGAAACGAACCCGGACCTAATCCCTTCGACACAGTCGCCGACGACGAAGAAACCCTATTCTTTTCTAGCATCACGAATTCTGCGCCAGCTGCCGACAATCCCTCCCTAGACCGAAAATCTACGGCTCAAGTACTGGACTCGTTAAATTTCTCGGCCAAAGACAAGTCGGAGTTCCCGATTGCGACGGAACAGGCAGAGCCTTCGTTTTTCGACGAGGTGGCTAAGCTGCAGAACGAGGCCACTGAAGGCCCACCTCCGGAAGATGTTGATGCAATGTGGGCGGCCGCACTTGAAGACGACGAGTTTCTGGTCGAGGATGCCGACGATCTCCTTCCTGACTCCGAGCCTGGTTCTCCCTCCTCTTTTCTTGCATCCATACAGGAATCGGCAGCGTTACCGGACGAAAAGTTTGATATATCTAGCTCACAACCTCCGTCCAATACTGCCACCCAACAGAACCCGCTCGAGATACAACGACCGGCAAATCCTTATGCTCCTCACCAACCATCCACTTCAGATCTGCTCCAGTTATCACCTACCGCACGTACAACCCATAATAACATTGGGATTTCCAGACCAGAACTGGCGCCCTTGACTTCATTTCAATCGCATCTGCAGCAAGACGCTCCCCCCCAACCAATGAAAAGCTTTGTGGACCAGGCCAGAGATGGTTACAAGTCACCATACGATCTACCTATGGACATTGCAAAACACAGGAGGAGGCCACATGTCCCTCACCCTGTTCAGACAACGCGACCCGTGGCTCCCCCTCCAAGAAGTAGCAGTCTGTCGGAGAATCCCCTTCAATCACCATTTTCTCCACATGTTCCCCCGGCGCCCGCTTCAGCTGCCCTGCCACCGACCGAGCCAGTGCCCATGGATCCTCCTCGGAGCGTCTCAGCCTTCGAGCAGCCGGCGAGGCCAAAGGCTCGGTCAGGATCTTCGAGTTTTTTTGAAGAATTACCCATCAGCTTCAAGCCGAGGCATGCTTCAAGCCATGCTTCAAGCCATGGTCATTACATTCCTCACCAACATGCCTCCGTTCCTCCGCCACCGCTTCCATCCCAAAGTCAGCCCAGCATGCCTCTATCGCCTCCGCTACAGCAAGTATCTCCACCTCGTGCAGCAGATCCCTACTCTCAATACCAGCTTCGTGCGCCTGAGCGTCTAGACCCCTATGCGAATGCGCCACTAGAACCACCTGTTGCGCCGCCGTCAACGTTGGCTGCAAGATATTCGCCAGCGCCTGTCACATCAGCACAAGCTCCACGGATGGGACCTTCTCCCCGATACTCTCCCGCACCTCCACCTCAGACAGCCCCTTCAAATTTGGCACATCGGTATGCCTCGAAGCCCGCCGCTGCTGCTCCGCCTCAAGCGCCGCCGACTGTGCTGAACAGACACGTATCACAACCCCCGCCCCACCCCTCTACAGCTGCCAATATCCTTCCCTTTCAGCCTCGCACGTCAAGTCCTCTGGCATACCACAAGAGATCTGTCGATGAAAGCGCGAATGATATACCGATCTCGACAAGCTATCTCCCCAAAGCTCCTCAGGTCTCTACTACGGGCGTTCTATCACACCAAACTGGACCAACTGATGAAGACATACGTTTCACCCATTCGACTATAACTACATCGCCGCCCCAACGCTCTATGCCTGAGCACCTACCGCCTCCGCGCCGATCACAAACCCAGTCTCCGTCGAAACAGCGTCCACAGCCAAACTTTCCTACCTACAGTAGCGATGTGATCAATCGTCCAGCCTCAGCGTATATTCAGCCACCGGCGGATAGGACCTTGGCACAGTTGGACTCTGTGCCACCAAGGCCCGATTTTGCGCCGAGAGGGTTGGCGCCAGAATTGGAATTCGTGCGGCCTCTAGATGACACTCAGTTTGACCCATTGGAGCGTTGGAAAGGTGCTCCCATCTTCAAATTCGGCTTTGGCGGCTCGATAGTGAGCACTTTCCCGAAGCACGTCCCCAGATATACTGCGGGTGCAAGCAGGCCTCAAATCAAAGCCTCCCCGGGAGCGGTTTCAACACGAAGTACGAAAGACATACTTCCGCACGCCGAGCTCCTGAACAGCTTCCCCGGACCTTTGAGGTCGAAATCGAAGAAAAAGGAGCTCTTGACCTGGATGTCGAACTACATATCTAGTCTGGAGGCCTCTGTGCCCGACGCTGCACCTATCCAATCTCCACCGGATTTAAGCAGACATCACCACGAGAAAACCCTGCTCTGGAAAATCATTCGTGTTCTCGTGGAGCATGACGGTATCCTTGATGGTGCGGCCTTGAAAGCGGTCAACCCGATTCTGGCTCCCGAAGTTCACGCTGTGGACGAACCAAGCGCAAGTCAATACCACGGCGACCAACTGTTTTCAGGAATCTACCGTCCTGCTGGCGGTAATATACGGCCGGAATCTGTTGATCCTATGGCAGTTGAGGTCCTCAGAAAGCAACTTCTTGCTGGCAACAGGCAAGCTGCGGTAACCCATGCTATGGACAACCGATTATGGTCCCATGCATTGGTTATATCCTCTACCATGGATCGCTCGATGTGGAGCCAGGTAGTGCGGGAATTCGTCCGTCAAGAAGTCAAGACTGTTGGAACCAATGCCGAATCACTGTCTGCCTTGTATGAAATCTTTGGCGGCAATGTTGAAGACAGCATCGATGAGCTCGTACCACCCTCCGCTCGCGCAGGACTGCAGATGGTGAGCAGAGTCGATGCTGCTGGACCGACCAGGAACGCCCTTGAAGGGTTGAACCGCTGGAAAGAGACACTCAGCCTCGTTCTGAACAATCGCTGTCAAGGTGATCATCAAGCACTGGCTGTCCTTGGTAAACTACTGGAGGATTACAACCGAATTGAAGCGGGGCACATCTGCTACTTATTCTCGAGAAACCCTGCAAAGCCACTCATCGTTGGCGGGCTCGACGACGAACAGACTCCTATTGTGCTATTAGGCGCCGATCACAAAGCAAAACCGTTTGATTTTGGTCGCGATCAAGAAGCAATCTTGCTTACCGAAATCTACGAGTTTGCAACAAGTGTTCTTGCACCGGGGGCACCACTCTCGTTCATGCCCCATCTGTCGGTCTACAAATTACAGCGGGCGACGGTTCTGGCGGAAGGAGGTTTCAAGTCAGAGGCCCAATTGTATTGCGATGCCATAGCTGCAACATTCAAGTCCAGCACGAAAGTGTCGCCATACTATCATCCTTTGTTCCTATCCGAGCTAGATGACTTGTCGAACCGTCTCAAACAAACCCCAAGTCAAGGCTCGTCATCCTGGATTGGGAGACCTAGCCTCGAAAAGGTGTCAGGGTCCGTATGGAATAAATTCAGCAGCTTTGTCGTAGGCGATGACAGCGATGCAGAATCCAAGGGTTCGGGCAAGGACGCCGCCGAAGCAGGACCGTTTGCCAATGTTACTGGCACGCCCTCAATCAGCAGATCTGGTTCCCAATCCGATCTATTTGGGTCGTATCCGCAGAACGTCGCTGCAGCTGGGTCTAGATATGCTCCGAATGGGATCCAGTCGGCCCGCTCTTCTTCGGAGCTGACCCGAGGGCGGCCTTCCTTTGACCAGCAGCGATCACCTCCTACCACTTCCTACTTTCCCGCCAATCGTCAATATGAACCCTTGAACATGCTTCAGCAGGGATCGACCGCGCCACCTTTGAACCCGTACCAGGCTCTCGCAACATCTCCACCGCAAACCTCATATCCACAAAGCCCTAGGAAGTCTTCCTATTTGCCGAATAATGTCAGTCGAGCTCTGGGATCGAATGAGCCTCCAGTGCAACAACAGACGTATTTGCCAACTCCGTCATCCGAAGAGGTCATCCAGCAACCTTATGGATATGCACCGGAGCTGGTGGCAAGCTCTCAGAACCCCGAGCCGGCAGCATACGGCGCCTATGAGCCAATGCAGCAGCCGGAAACACAGGCACCTTTTCAGCAGGGACAAGGTTATGGGGGCTACGAGCCCCCTACCCAGTCCTACAGCTATGAACCTCCATCTGGCGACGATGGCTATGTTCCTTATGAACCAGAGCTTGATTCTCCTGAGGAGGAAAGGGAGACGAAGCCCAAGAAGAAGTCGTTTATGGATGATGACGATGACGACTTTCCTTCAGTGGCCAATCAAGCTCCGCCATCTGAGCGCAAACCCACAGCGGACGAAGACGAAGCTGCGCGTCGACGTGCAAATGATGCGGCTGCAGAAGCAACGTTCCGTGCAGCTGCAGAAGCAGACGCGGCGCAAGCCAAAGAGAAAGAACAAGCTAAAAGGGCATCATCCTGGTTCGCGGGATGGCTGGGAGGCAAAAAGGGTGCAGACGGGCTTGATGGAGCCAGCAAGAGTGCCGAGCCAAAGGTCTATAAAGCCAACCTGGGAGAGTCAAAGATGAAATTATATTTCGACAAAGAGCTCGGTAAATGGGTGAACCCAGACAATCCTGATGCTTCGAAGAAGACCGCAACACCCCCACCTCCGCGAATGGGTGGAACGCCTGCCCCTCCGATGGGTGCAGGTGGGCATTCGAGAGCTCCAGGCTCCGGTCCTACCTCGTACTCGAGTCTCCCAAACATGGCCATGGCTCCACCTTCAGCACCCTCCAGCCGGACAGGGACCCCCGTTACCGGGCCTGGGATTACCAACGTCCCGTCACCGCCTACAGGTCTGTCAGGTCCACCAAGTGGTTCAGGAACTCCACCCCTGGGCGCGACGTTGTCTCATGGCCTCGCTCCGCCGCCTGGACCGGGCTCTCGTCCTGGAACAGCGACGAGCAACGCCAGCAGCATTGACGACCTCATCGGACCTGCGACCGGTCGCAAGAGTGCGAAAGGAGGAAAGAGAGGCAAGACAGGCCGTTATGTGGATGTCATGGCAAAATAGTAACCTAGGACGAGGATGATGCAGCCACGCATGACGATGGATGATCTATCTTGGTTGATCGACTGTACAAATAATATTAATTGGGTGGGCCACGTGTACAAATGGACCTCAGGGTCCTGAATGCATTTCAAACTCTGCTGCAGTATCCGTATATTGCTGGTGAGGCGGTCTGTAAGGCGGGTTCTGGTTCTGGTTGTGGAATTAGGATATACTTTCAATACCATAATACCTCACACAACACCCTCCAAGCGTTGGTGTTGTATACATGCGTGAATGTAGTCTGACATTAATTAATGGTTAGTCGTTGACCTATCTCCTGGTAGTCGTTGACCTATCTCCTGGCGGCGAGCGTGTGGTCCGTGATCCTCGCAGCGAGGAAACTTGAGGGAGAAGTTCAGCCTTGTCTTGAACGCCACACGTGATTGACGCCTAAGCCTAAGCCCTAACAGGCCCGGCGCAGGCAGGGATGATAACTCCGCAAGATGTTCTCCGAGCCGTCCCAAACTTGAAGGCAAGGCAGGGGCATTTATTTACTGCAGTACTAATTACTCAACCGTCGCACCGCGGTGAAAGAGCACACGACACTATGGACCATACAGAGAGATCCCACACTGCCTCCGAGCAGCGATAACTCAAGAATCCCACGCCGTTCGAATTGTCTAGACCCCGCCAAAAGCGCTATGAGATCCGCGGGCTCGTGGCACCGCCGAAATCTATAATTCATAGCACTTTCCCTCCCTCCGCCTTCACTGGTGTGCAGCCCTGCAATAAGGAAACAAGGCACGGCCGGCGGCGAGATTAGCATCGCTCGTCGCAGCCCGCCATGGCCACAGCAGCGGCGGCCTCGTCCGATGCGCTCCTGTTGGACCCGAACTCGTCGGCTCTCGTCAACATGTCGTGCTTCGACCTTCTCTTGATCGAGCTGGTCCCGCTGGCCGAGCGCATGGCCCGATCGTTCGAAGCCTCTCTCGACAAACCCGCGCTGGAGCCCTCATCCTCGTCCTCGTCCTCACTCACACCTTCCAAGCGCGGCACCGTCAGCACCGCCGCCACCACCACCACGACAAAACCTGCGAATGCTCCTCCTCCTTCCTCTACATCCAACAACAGCACCGCCACTACGGCCACGGCCACGACCACTACTACGAGCGCGACCCCGACCCCGGCACCGGCACATGCAGGAGCTGGAATCGTTCTCGCCGCAGACGGACTGCCCGAGACAGATGTCTTCAGAGACAGCGTCTACGTGCGCTTAGAAAGGTTGGGCTTCCGAGTCGGCGAAGGCCTGAGCGAGCGGTTCTCGCGAGACCGACCGCGGTTCACCGACCAGTTGGACGTGATCAAGTTTCTGTGCAAAGACCTGTGGACAGTCGTGTTCAAGAAACAGATTGACAATCTCAAGACCAATCATCGGGTATGTACGCTAGAGGGGTCGAGGCGAGGTGGCTTCCGCACCGCGGTCGCGGGTTTTGAGCGATCGGGAACGTTGTGGTAGAATATACTGACTGATTTACTTGTTTTACAGGGCGTCTTCGTCCTTACGGATAGCAGATTCAGGCCGTTTTCGCGGATGAGCATGGCGAACCCCGCCGAGGCCATGGCAAGGGCGCAGCCACATTTGTACTTTCCGTGCGGTATCATTCGAGGTGTCCTGTCAAGTTTGGGCATCAAAGCAATCGTTCAGGCCGAGACAACCGAATTGCCCTCTGCCACCTTTCAAATCAAGACGATCCCAGCCAAATGATGAGATCAATAAAGGCAAAGCAGCTTGAGTGTGTGGGATTTTGGAACTTAGCCATGCAGCTAACTTCAACTATCTCAGGGTCCTCATGCTATCGCCGGAAGCGTAGGACTTTCCTCTCCTCGCTCTGCAAAGGAGAGTCTGAAAACTATGGAATCATGTTGCAAGGAAGAATCCGCGATCTCACGCCATATTCATAATCTGCTCCGAACACCCTGTCAGTTTCCGTGGCTGCTTTTGTCTTTCTCAAAGCCAACGATGTCGGATATTCGTGGCAGGCAGGCTCATTCTAGAAAGAAGTCGCTCACATCCTACCTGCGAATTCGTGTCAGGCAACTGACACACAAAGAGAAGGCGGCCACACCTACTTGGAAGGCTTCTGGATGAAGTTAACACCAGCATCGATGTTGGTCTTGAGGGCCTTGATTGCTTCATCCAACAGCTTCTTCTCGTAGTCGTTGGCCTTGGAGATGATGTTGATGGCCTTTGCAGCTCCGTTCGGCTAACGAGAAGTTAGCATACTTGTTGCAAAGAATAGAAAATAGAAAATGGAAAGAGGGGAAGTCCATGGGGCACTTACGCCGAGTTCAACAGGAACCGCAAAGTAGTCAGTGCCAGTGGCCTTAGCAATAGCATCACCACCCTCAACGCCAGGTAGATAGACGAAGGTTGGCTCGACGATGCCTTTCTCGCCTTTGGCAGCTTTCAAGACAGCTTCGGCGAATCTGAATCCGGCGTAGGCCATGGACAGAGTGGCAGAACCGGCACCATCTTTGGCCTTGACAACTTCGTCACCGCCGAACTGCACACGATGGACCAAGCCGTCGAGCTTATCCGCAGGGAAGTCGACTGGAGGCTGGGTCTGGCTGAACAGTGGGACAATTGTGTTGCCGGAGTGGCCACCCACAACGGGGATGTTGAATTTGCTGGAGTCTTTCTGGCCGAGAAGGTCGGCGACAAAGTTCTCGGCACGGACAACGTCAAGAGTTGTGACACCAAAGAGTCTCTGGGGGTCGAAAACGCCGGCTTCTTTTAGGACTTCGGCGGCAATTGGGACGGTTGAGTTGACAGGGTTGGAGATGACCAAGATGAATGCCTTAGGGGAATATTTGGCGACGGCGGTAATAAGATCCTTGACAATTCCGGCATTGATCTTGAACAGGTCATCTCTAGTCATACCAGGTTTGCCTTTTGTGCAACTGTCAGTCTCGGATAATGGTTCTAGGAACGCAGTACATACGTGGAACACCGGCAGGAATGATGACGATGTCTGCACCGGTCAGGGCTGCTTTCTTTGCATCTTCAGTCTCTTGCTGCTCTCCCTTGAAATCACCCTTGGCTGCAACAAAGCCTTCGACGTGCTGTACGTGTGGTTAGAGATACAGGCTTAGGTTCGAATGAGGGCAGGGACTGTACAGCTTTCGTGGCGATGTGAGACAGATCGGTTGCGACACCAGGACTGTTGACAACATCAAACAGTGAAAGCACGTCGATGAGAGGAGACATCTTGCAAAGGAGAGACAAAGGCTAGAAGAAGTCAGTGGTCATCACTCCTTTCGACGTCGGTATCACGCACCTGGCCAATGCCACCAGCGGCACCGAGCACTACAGCTTTCACCATCTTGTCTGAAGATGTAGGGTAAGAGAACTATGATGGGAGTTGAAGGTAGTCCTTTGTTGCACGCAAAGATTCTGAAGTACAGCAGGCAACAAAGTGGTTTTCCAAGAGTGAGAAAGGAATCGAAGAGTGAAAGAGAAAGGGAAAGGGAAAGGTGACGCAGGAAGATGTGGGGAGTCAACAAAAACGAAAGCCGTCCCACGTCTTCTGTGATATAAGAAAGTGAGCGCTTGGAGCCTAAGCCCGCATCCCCCGCCCAAGTGAACGTCAAACTACTATAATAAAACCTCGCACCAATCCTGCCCCGCGTCGTACTTTCAACTCGCCGTACCCGATTTATTTCCGCCTAACCGTCTAATCCTGTCCCGTAGTACAGCCGCATTACAGGTGGAACATTGCCGTGCTGAGCGACTGGAAGGGTTACCTAGGTTCGTTTTCGCAAACGAGAACTGACCGGATCAGGCTGGGTGAAGTGTCTTGGAGAGGTCTTTATTTGTTTCCTCGAGTAATGTTATTTGTCGAGCATCTGTCTGGCTGCATCCCGTCTACTCCGTTCACAGTAGTGACTCGGGCCGAGTTTTCGGGTTCAGGTCCGAACAGCTAGAGGCATGAGGCGATCTACTTTGAAGCATTTTTTCATGCCATCATGTCGCAGTAACCGATCTCGGAGCACGACATCTCAAGAGTCCTGTGGACACTTGCGGCGCAGCGTCCGGATCGTGCGCTCACTGCACCATGTCCCTTGGCTGCTCTCAGAAGAGAAACCACGCAGCTGCATCCACCCAACCTTATGCTTCCGTCTTGCTCGCCTTCGATCCTCGCGGCTTCCTCTCGGGAGCGTCCTTCTTCGGGCGCTGGGAGTCCTTGATTGCACTGGCACGAGCAATGGCACTTCGGTTCAAGTCGGATCGGTATGAGTTCTTGCCCACGGCGTTTGCGATGTTTTTGTAGACTCTGGAGGACAAAACTGTATCAGTACTTCATTCCACTTCCCCAGCCTCCAACTTTACAGCCGCAAAACTCACTTGCGGTTGGACACGGTCTTTCCGTAGGCGTGAACATTGTGCTGAGACGCTGGCGTGCTGGCCTTGCCGGGCTTCTTGGTCTGCAAAGTGACACCGCCCTTCTCGTTGGGCTGAACGGACACAGCCTTGTCGTTCACGAAACCGGCATTTTTCCTCGAGTGCTTATTGACCAGGTTGAACGGGTCCCGAGAGAATTGGACGCCTCCGCCCGAATTTCGCTTGACGAGGTAGGCGTTGTTGTGGCCTACAAAACTTAGTTATTTCAGCTCAAAATGAAGGAGGAGACGAGACTTACGGACAACCTCCCAGAGAAGGTCGCCGGAAATGTTGGAGCGTTCAGACATGGCGACGGCTGGGGTACTGTTTGGACTGTCTGATTTCGAGGAATTTGTTCGTTCAATCGTCTGCGTCTTCGTGCGCCGGAAGCGTCCTATTCTTGGCCTACGGCGGATTATGTGACCTCAGACGATGTTTTAGCAATCGCCTACAATCACCTACAATCATCCAACAAAAAATGTCGTAGAGTCTCGAGGGCGACCGCAACTTCCTGCACATGTCGTGTTTACGTTTTGCAACCTCAATGAATGATGATGCCAAAGGAGCGAGACCCTGTCAATGCTGTTCGATAGAGGGAGGTTCGAGTCATGTGACCTCAATATATTGCTCACTGCCAGCCAAAAGCTCCAGCGCTCGGCCCTACTAGGACAGATCCGGTCTCCGCAGGCTGACGACAACCAACACCAGCCTCATCTTGGGAGAGATACCAAGTCGCTGTAGCCTCGCTTCGGTCACCCCGTCTGACGCGACCTCGATGCACCGTACCATGGGCACAACCTCTGATCACGCCTGAAGCAATTTCCACGATTGAGTAAAAGACAATCATACTCACCCCTGCATCTTATCCATTGTATCGCATTGCTAGCCGGGTCGTCCGTCCTTCACATAACCCGGCAGTGCAGCAATGGGCTATCTATTGTACTCGGTGTTCTTCGCCTCGATAGTCCTGGGAACAGGTAAGGGTTCCTCTACTTCTAGCTTCCCCACCTTCGCGGTTCTAATCTTCGCCGTACCAGCCCTTTATCTCACGCGCGCCCGATGGACACCGTACCTACCTGAACGAGTCCAAGAGACCCTCACCTTCACATATAGCCGGCTCCCCAGCACCTTCATGGGAGATGTCGAATCCGGCTTCACATCAGCGGACTTCGACTTGTCAAGCAATATCATGGAAGGCGATTCTCGCGGCGGCCTCGACCAGAAGGCTAAGCGCGACATCCAGCGACTGATGAAGATCCGGAAGATTAACTTCGACGAGGCCAGACGGTTGTATATGGAGCAGAGGTTCAAGAAGAACGGCATCGGCGAGGACGGCATCCCGCGCGACCCGAAGTTTGTTTCGTTTTCGTAAAAGGAGCAGCAATGGACACTACATCATTCAACACGGGAAGCACTATCAGGTTCTGTCTATACAGAAATACCGGGTTCGGAGGTTTGGACAATGCGATATGTACGATGTACTACACGTCTTCGCCCGGATCCTCGGATTTTGAGGCCAACCTCATGGCTACACACTGAGAATTATTCCATGCCGCCCTCTCATGACTATTTTATACAAATGGCATATATATTTGGAAGTTCCCAGTGATGCCTGCCTCGGCGCCGACACAATTCGATTTCGCCCAGAAGGGCAGTCATGGTCTCTTTCTATTGTATCTGCTTGCACGAATGCATAGAGTAGTTCAAGGTTATTGGCGCCAAAACGGATAGATATTACCTAAATTATCTGGAAACTTGCGTTGAAACACGGGTACATACTCCAAGGTATCACACATAGTTTGGACAATGAGTAGGCTGGGGGTTTAATCGCGCCGCCCATTCCTCGACACGGGCTAGTGCGAGAGCAGAGATCCGTATTCGAAGGGAGGCAGGTTGTCTTAACGCGGTTGAGGTGAGTGTATGGAGTAGGTGAATGGGAGGTGAGCAGATGTTAAAAGCGGCGCCGATTGTAGGTGTCACGGTGATTAGCATCTTGCGCCGCCAAGCGAATGTTGAGGCTGCGGCCTCGATCTGCGCGTCCCGGCAAAGTTTCATGTTTAATTCATGAAACGCGCCAACTTGGGTTTGCCTTGACTGCAGCGGTGTTGTTGCGAGCTCATATCTCTTCACTGTACTGTTTCCCGTTCTACGCAAGCATAACTCCTTTCGCCTCATGGCTGACTACGACCGCCGACGGAGAGGAGGAGGAGGAGGAGGAGGTGGTGGTGGCCACTTCAACAACCGCAAGAGAAGATACAGAGGTATGCCATTTCGCCGCGAGATCCCCAGGTTCCTGGTGGCTGATGAATGTAGACGATGATTACGAGGATCGTCGTCCTCAACGCCGCCGCTACGAAGAACCCCTCGCCGTGACGGTCCGCAAGCAAGTATTATCCATCGCCGAAAGTGTCAGTTTAATTCTCAATGGGGTTGAAGCGCAGGACTAACATGTCCACAGCCGGTTCGAAGAGTGGAGGACGATGTGGCGACCATCGCAAAGGCCCTCGCAGAAAATTACTTCGATCATGACCTGACGTCTGGATTTGTGGATCTTGCTGTACAGCTGTAAGAGCTGCGCGGTTCCCTGGTGATGAGCAAGAACTGACCTTGAAAGAACTGTCGAGCAACCTCTCAAGATACCGTTTGTCGCCGCGATCGTCCTTCTTGCGAACGTCCAGAAGCCTGAATTGACAGTCGATGTGTTGAGCAAGGTGGGCGAATCACTTCAGCGTCGATTAGACCTTGGAGAATGGCGCGAGGTCAAACTATACCTCCGCTTCCTGGCCTGCCTGCAAGGCATTTTCGAGGGCGACGGTATTTTCACCATACTTGAGGAACTTTTCTCCAGGGCAGCGGACCTTCAAATGAAGTCGTCTGAAGATGTACGCTGCCTCTCTGACGCGAGACTCGAATTTTGGCTGATCCTGCAATAGTCGTTGGGCCTCGAGCTTGTCAAAGTCATTCTCATGACCATCCCCTATGCCATGTCATCATCGGCCAGCGGATTTGAAACCCAGGCAAGCGCTCTGTTAGAGAAGACCGACATCATTGCCTCGACTGCACACCCTCTAGAAGCTCTAGTCGACCCTTTCCCTAGCGCTGAGGTCGGCGCTCCCACGAGTTCTGAAAGCGCGCTTGCTCTACTGCAAAAGCACATGCAGGAGGAGGCTAAAAGCTCCTGGGAATTGTCCTGCTTGCCTCGCCCCTGGAAAGGCAATCGATCTTCTGAAGAGGAAGATGCTTTGAACGCTGCTCAAAAACACCCATTCCCACAGGTCGCAGTTCCACAGGTTGTCCAAAATGGTGCACGGGCTATCTTTCCCGAGGTCTATTTCTCAGTCTATGGAGAACAGGAAATTGAGACAGTGCCGGGCCCCACTGACACTGCTGCCCTGCTGATCCGAGACGCGTTGTCTGACACGATAAATGTTCTGGACTTCAACAGAATGATTGCCGCAAAATTCCTCACCGACGTGGATTGCTACTTTGCCCCAGACACTTTCGTGAAACGGGCCACACCGTTTGACAAGTTACGAGAAGTGACAGGAGACAAGGCAACCTGGAAACCGGAAGATGTCATCGTTGATGCTGCTTTCGGCCAGCTGATGCAACTGCCCTCCCCCGAACACAAACTGGTCTACTACCACTCTGTACTGACCGAGACTTGCAAACTCGCACCGGCCGCTGTTGCGCCCAGTTTGGGGAGAGCGATTCGATTTCTGTACAGGAACGTGGACAGACTGGACTTGGAGCTTTCTCAGCGCTTCTTGGACTGGTTTGCTCATCATCTCAGTAATTTCGGGTTCACATGGAAATGGACTGAATGGTATGTACTTTCCTATCGGCGGATGCAAAGACTAACAGGCAATCTAGGGTTGACGATGTCAACTTACCCGAAGTCCATCCGAAAAAGGCCTTTATCATCGATTCTTTAGACAAGGAAATCCGCCTAAGCTTCTCCAAACGTATCAAGGGCACTTTACCTGTACCGTATCAGGCTCTGATCTCTGAAGCCAAAGACAAGGATGCGCCCGACTTCAAATATAACGATGAGTCAACGCCATTCGCTGCCGAAGGAAAGGAGATCGCTCAGTTGATACGCCGGAAAGCCGGCAACGAAGAGTTCACGCCAATTTTCGAGAAAATTGAGCAGGATGCCACTGCCTCGGGATTGAGCGATCCGGCTCATGCGTCGACTGATGCGTATGTCACTTCGATATGCTGGGTCGGTTCCAAATCATTGTCCCACGTACTGGCCTGCATTGAACGTTGCCAGGAGCGGCTTTTGGCGCTCAGCTCTACGAGCCCTACGTGCAGAAAACAGATAATCACATCCGTGATGGACTACTGGAAAGACCAGACCGGAGTGGGCGTGGTGATCTTGGACAAACTACTCAATTATCAAATATTGACCCCTGCCAGTATCCTCGAGTGGGTGCTCATCGACAACGTCGCCCGGGGAACGTTACTCGCCAAAACATGGAGCTACGAATTGGTCAGCCATACCACGAGCAAAGTGGCAGGGCGTGTAAGGAGCATCGTCGGTGCAATCAGGCAACCCGGTCTACCAGGCGAGCAACAGGGCGAGCTTCAGCAGGCGCTGGCTCGTGAACTGGAGACGATGAAGAACCTGTTCAGCATCATCCAAGATGCAGCAGTCAGCATCCGTGACGGGAATCAAGATGAGATGATGGAGAGTAGCGATGCTCTCCGTGCTCAAGAAGAAGATCTGCTTAAGGCATGGGGAGGGAAATGGGCCAGGGTGTTCCAACGCAAATACGCGGTCGAAGATAGTTGGGTGCGTGAAGAGTTGGCGAAGCCCATCCCGGAACCTGAGACAAAGGTCGACAATGATGCGAAGATGGAGGAAGTGACAAAGGCAGAGGACGCGGAAGGGGAGAATGGAGCTATGGTCGACGACGTCGATCTCATTGCATAGTGGGCCGTTCTGTTCTTTGGCAGGAAGACGGTTCCGGAACGAGGAATGTGCATTCTGCCTGTAACAACTATAATACAAGGATTGATGCTATTTACTATTAGCAAGGCTCGAGCAGCTTCGACCGTCTATCCGACTTGGGACGCTGTGGCTGCTTCGTGAGCGGCATTTATAGCATATGTAATTATACTGCTCTAACGGGCGAACCAGAGGAAACAATGGACGGTGGTCTGATGGATAACCCGAACGGCTTGATATCCAGCTTGGGTTATGATCCTTGAGGCTCAGGGGCCTAGCTACCTAAGCCCTTCACTCATCGCAAGCTCGAGTGTGCCCGAGTGCGTCTGAACAGGTAGTTGATGCTCTGTAAGCGAGGACATCCGACTGCATCTCCATCTCCATCTCCATTTTGCCTTCGTACAATCCAGTCTGGTTCATATGATATGCACTCCATGCGTTTTGCGTAGCCATCTTGAAAAATGGCCCCTGTCGTGCAATGGCGAGGAAAAAAACGTCGATCCTCAAAGTCATAAGGTCTAGACCGAGCCGCTACAGTCCATCATCAGCAGATACCAGACAACTAGTGTGCCATGAGTTTCCCGGCCATGTGTGTGCTCCATGGCGATACTATCGAGACTTGCTGGATCGGGGGTTCAGGTCCGGATAGGAGCCCTGGTCGTGGCCCTGGTCCTAGTCCTGGTCCCGGGTGACCGGCTCACGACAAATCTCTAAACTTGCATTCCCGTACCTGCGGTGCTTCATACTCATTCTCAGGCTCAAGCCCCCCGAGCTCGTTCCCGCTCTTTCAATCCTCCGTCTCAGCCGGCAGGACTCGCACCCTACCTCGGTTCACCCAGCCTCTTTCACCACGGGCATTGAAGGGCGGAGATGGGGAGGCTTTTGCGCACGGCCACGGCAGGGAGTGGTTGGTTTTGACGAGGCGAAACTTTCTCGGCGGTCAAGCTACCCGAGAAGACAAAAGACTCTGGCATGGATGTGATGTGAATTCCTGCAATGGGTCGTGTTCCGTGGCTCCAATTCGTCGTGGGCGTTTGATGGCATGCATAATTGCATCATCCTATGGGAGGAACGTGCTCTGTATTCCATGACAGCGACTGAGGGAGTGCAATGGATCATCCGGTGAAGTTGACGAGATGATGGCTGTCGTACAAGGCTAATGCTGCTGTGATAGAGACAATGGCCTCGTCTTCTCCGCGCAGATCATACCTCGCCAGCATCGCTCCAGGATCCAGGAGGCCCTTATTTGCGTATGCCATATCCCGAAAATCCCGCCGGTGGCATAACAGGCTGAGGCGGAGGAACTGCACCGGCTGGCGGGCCACCAAAGCCGGGAGGAGGAGCGAATCCGGGAGGCAAGCCGTTTGGCTGGGGGAAACCTGTGGGCACCTGGTGCTGGTTGAACCCTGGCGGCACGAACCCTTGCGGTCCTCCGTATCCCGCCTGGCTTGGTGGAGGGCGTGCCGGAAGACCAATCGGCGGGGCAGCAAGTGGCACACTGGGGGGAGGAGGTGGTCTTGCATGAGCTGGCGGAGGAACAGCTTGGAAATTGCCAGCTGGCGGTGCAAAGCCAGCAGGAGTCGGGGGGGTCTGAGGCACGCCCCCAAACACTGGGCCGCCCATGGGAATAGTGGCCGGAGTAGGCTGGACCCCGTGAGCCTTGGCCTGGGCAGCGAGCATTCTCTCCGCCTGGTCGCCGTGCCTTTCGCCCTTGCCATCCTTCTTGTAGGCATATTGAACGGTCACCTCCTTGTTCATGAGATATTGGCCGTTCATGTTGGCGATGGCATCATCTGACGATTCAAAGTCGCCAAAGGAAACGAATCCATAGCCCTTGGACAGGTTGCTTTCGTCACGGGCAATCTGTACAACGTTAGCAATCTGTCCCGGCGGAGTGGAGGACCGTTCCATACCTTTGGAGCAGCCACAAGGGTCCCAAATCGGCCGAATGTCTCGTAAAGCATCCTCTCGTCGACCATAGGATCCAGGTTGCCAATAAACAGCTCAGCACCAACTTCAACCGATTTCTGCTTGTCGGCACTGGCTTTGTTGACCCGGATCGGCTTGCCATAAAGTCGGACTTGATTCATTATTCGGGCCGCATATTCTGCATCTTCCTCCGAAGTAAATTCGACAAAACCATATCCTTGATGAGTTTGAGTTACACGGTCTTTGGGTAAATGCACATTCACAATGCGGCCAGCCTGTAGAAAAAGTTCCCAGACCAAGGCATCTGTGACGCGTTCATCAAGGTTGCCGATGTATATCGTCGAGTCCTTGTCTTGCTCCCAATGCCTGGCACCGGACATGGTGTTGGGGTTAGGGTTGGGGGCTCAGATCGGAACTTTGAAGGCAATACAAGTGAGTTCAGTGTCCAGGTCTGGCGGAGAATTTGCACAGAGTGACCAGCGCAAAAGGCGAATATAGGATGAGATGGTCGACTGCTTCCACAGAATATTTTAGAGGTGAAGGCTTCAGGTTTCTGAATATCACGGAGCCTTGCCTCTTCAGGTTTAGCCTCGATAACGTATCACGTGACTGTCCCAATTCGCCAATAGGACTGCGCTGCACAGCTTTGCATCACCAGCATCACTGTAGAATATTTATTGCAGCAGACACTGCGACGACACTGCGACCTCCTCCATATCGATTCCACAAGCCGTCCGAGGACATATCATTAGCCTGCTTCTTGTACACATACTCTTTCAATATTAATCTACACGATGGTCCAGTTTTCGGAAGAGACCAAAGTAAGTTTGTCGAGACAGACCAGTGTCGGCATCTTCTAATTTTCGCTCCAAGGAGCGCATCTCTAAGATCATCGACATCACGCGCGAGGTGGTCCACTATGGCTATCTCCCTCTGATACTCTACCTGGGTACGAGACGTTGGTTTTCTGCTTGGGCTTGTCACGAGACTAACCAGTGCAGGTTATACGCGAAGTGAACCAAAACCGGCCTTGATCAGGTATCCTCCTTCCAGATTACCAGCTTCTGACCAGGACTGACCTAAACCAGCTTGATCTCTCCTTTTGCGAACTGAAACATCTCCAATACTCCAAAAACACCTTGTACAATACTACCGCAAAGCATGGGCGCGTTGCAACCGATGGAGGACATGTGCAATCCCATGGCTAGTGGAGGAAATTTATAAAGATGGTCGAGGCTTGCGTGGTGGTAAGGAAGAGTCTGAGACAACAGTCGGCATGAAGCTGTGGTGAAAAGAAAAATGTTGGAATGTCGAAAATAGGATACTCCTCGGACGGCCGCACACGGAGTAGCAGCGCGTTGTATATCAGCTCGAGCTTCCACCTCTTGACTCTATTACTGTTTCAATGTGACACGTTCGGTCTGACAATGGGGCAAATCATCCCTTCAGTGGGTGCTGGAATCACTCGTGCCAGATCTTCAGATCTCTACCGAGATTTAGTTAAATGTGTCGTTACACGTCAATACATCTCCCAACTCTGACCGTTCGGATTGATTATAACTGGAACATTCTGCGGTCTCTTGTTGTTTGTGACTTCATGACGTCGACCCAGCCAGATTAGGCTCCTCCTCCATCATGGCCCTGCTAGATCAAGCAAGATAAGGCGTGCATGAATGGCTCGTCAACGGTAAAGACACGAGACACCAAGAGACTTGGACATGCAGCATGTGCACCATCCCACCAAGCACAACGCCTCCCTATTAACGCGGCAGAGATACTGTACAGAGTACTCCGTATATACTCTGAACATACGGCATTAGAGGGGCCGTGATAAAGAAAATCCCGCAAAGGACTTGCCGCGTCCCAGCTGGTGGCTGAGGCTTCTTGCATAAGAACCTGGTCACTTTCACTTTGTCCACTGACAGCACAGCACAACCCGTGCTTCTACAGGCCCAAAAGTCCCAAAGTCTCAAAGTCGGCGGTGTGCTGGCACGCCTAAGGTAGGCTGGCTGCATCGAGCTTACGAGGCTGGCGCCTAGATGGTGTCCATGTGCCGACTGCACATCATGGGTTCCACAGAGCTGGTCCGAAGGCTGAAGCAGCTTTCCCACACTGGCACACTGGTTGGTTTTCCGTGGCCTTAGGCCTTTAGGCTTTGCCTGTGGGTGGCTCTGGTGGCTAAGGGACCCCGCCAATTGCCCGCTCGGCAGAAGATAGCGGTGATGCCAATATATCCGGACCACTGCAGGGATAGTCCCTCAGGTAAGCTACAAGCTGGGACCAGCCAGTGGCTTAGGCTCTCGCAGCCAGTGTGAAGCGGATCTCTCGGGCGTTGGCTCTTGGTCCGGGATCCTCTTTTTTGGCTTCTCTGGGGCGCTGCAGCCTCCTTTTGAGGCGTGCGGCACTACAGTTACGGGTTACGGTGTGTTTGTCCCCATGCCTGGCACCCCCGGTCGGGCTCCATCCCATCTTGAGCGTTCCTCTTGCTCCCTGTTCTGCTCCTGCTGGTTGCTGGTTGCTGGTTGCTGGTTGCTCGTGCTGCTGCTGGTGCTCCCCATCGGCACGCCTTCTTTTCTTCCCCTTCCCACCAGCCGTTACCTCGCATACCACACTCTCTGTCTTCTCCCCAGCCTGTTCGCCCGTCTTGTCTATATCAAGGCTCGCATCGCTTTGTCAAGCACCGATATCCGTCGAACTGCATTGTCCCCATCTGCAGCCTTGGTCTTGTCGCCTGGCTTGTTATGAGCTTGTGCCCATTTTTCTCCCCTTACCACTAGCGCGCTCCCGCCTGACCAGCCCGTGAAAACGGTACCTGCGCTGGTCGCAACAACTCTTCTCCTCTTCGACTTGTGTCCTCTATCATATCACCGTTTCACAGATTCCTTTCGCCCATATCGGGGCAGTAGCTGTTTCCTCCCCATCTTCGATCCAGCCGTCTCCCGCCGCGTTCACCATGTTCAATGCTACCCAGCATCGCGGCAATCCCAATTTGGGACCCGCTCCTCCTGGACAACCGAACCATCGTCTTAACGAGATCATGGACTCTCTCCGGGCCGAATTTGAAAACCAAAGTCGCGCGTCCGAGCAAGTCGAGAACCAAGTCGCCCAGCAGATCCAAGAGATGGAATTGATCCGTAACAAGGTCTACCAGCTCGAACAGAACCAGCTGAAAATGAAACAAGACTACGAGGCTGAAATCCGAATGCTCCGCCATGAACTGGAGTTGCGTGGAGGACCCCAGGTACAATCCCATCTCGCTGGCCCTCCACAGCACGGTGGTCCAGCGCAGGCTCCTCCGTCTCTGGGACATGGCCAGGGTGGTCTATTTAGTGGAATCATGGCAAACCAAGGTCAGGGCGGACCAGGCCTTGCGCCTCCCCCAGAACAGCCTCCCCAACAACAACACCCCCTACAGGCACCGCCACCGGCGGGACAACCTCAAGGCCCACCTCAACCACCAAATTCCTTTCCGGGTTATCAGCAGGGCCCTACATTGAACGGGTACGCGCCACAGCCACAGCCACCGACAAACTCGCCCGGACTGGGCAAGAATCGGACAATGGCAGCCAGAGGCGGTCCTGGACCGGCTACGCCTCAGCAACATCCCAACCAACCACAGCCGATGCCCTATCAGAATGATCCTCGGGCCTCGCCTCAGATCCCTCGACCGACGCCTCCGGGAAGTGACCTGCAACTTGGACCTCGTCATCAGATGCCTACCCAAGGACAATATCCTAATGTAGGCAACGTCCTAGCGGACCTCAACCCTGACGATCTTCCAGACCACTTGAAGCGGACTGGCCCCAATGGCGAGTGGCATGCCGTGTTCAATCCCAATGTTCCTCGGGTGCTCGATATCCAGCTGCTGCACAATCTGGTCCATGAGTCCGTGGTCTGCTGCGTCCGCTTCTCCAACGATGGTAAGTACGTCGCCACCGGCTGCAACCGTAGCGCTCAGATCTTTGACGCACGGGATGGGCGCAAGGTGTGCGAGTTGTTGGATGAGAGCGTTCAGGACAAGGACGGGGATTTGTACATCCGTTCGGTGTGCTTCTCGCCTGATGGTAAGCTGTTGGCCACTGGTGCAGAGGATAAGAGGATTCGTGTGTGGGATATTGAAAGCAAGCGCATCCGCACCACGTTCGACGGCCACGAGCAAGACATTTATTCGTTAGACTTCTCGCGCACTGGCCGGTTAATCGCCTCCGGATCGGGCGACAAGACTGTAAGGCTGTGGGACATTGAGTCCAACCAGCAAGTTATGGTCTTGTCTATTGAAGACGGCGTCACCACAGTGGCTATGTCGCCCGATGGGCGATATGTCGCTGCTGGGTCGTTGGACAAGAGTGTTCGCGTGTGGGATTGTTCGAGCGGATATCTCGTCGAACGCCTTGAGGGACCCCAAGGCCACAAGGACAGTGTCTACTCTGTTGCATTCTCGCCCAGTGGACGCGAGCTTGTCAGTGGCAGTTTGGACAAGACGATCAAGATGTGGGAGTTGTCGCCACAACGCAGTCTCGTTCCAGGGTCAGCCGGGAAAGACGGCAAATGTATCCGCACCTTTGAAGGCCACAAGGTAAGCTTTCGAAAGCATCATATCTACCGCGTTGCCATTGCAGTCTGACCTTTTTGCAGGACTATGTGCTTTCAGTTTGTCTTACGCCCGGCGGTGAATGGGTTATGTCTGGGTCGAAAGATCGTGGAGTGCAGTTCTGGGACCCCAACACAGGCAATGCCCAGATGATGCTACAAGGCCACAAGAACTCGGTCATCTCGGTGGCACCGTGCCCAACCGGTCATTTGTTCGCCACCGGATCAGGTGACATGAAGGCCCGGATCTGGCAATACACCACCTGGAGAGGAGCGCACCAGGGCATCTAGGAAGCAGGCGAGGTATGGTACTGTGCCCAACGTCCAAGGGGTGAAACAGGCTAGGATGGGCCAGCGAAATAAAGCTGTCCATGCCGCAACAGGATGACGTGACTCCCCTCGACGTGAGGACCCCGGGCTTGACCCAAGGGCAACTTTCTTGGACATGAGCAGATTACAGCCGGCAGGCATGTTGGCCGCACTGGCAAAGAGACGCTCAAGCTCAGGGCACATGTGGATGAGCAGGGTCTTTTTGTCGGTCCGTCTCCGCTGGATAGCTCTTTTATGGAAAGCTTGGATGATGTTTTTAGGGGCGTGGGAGGTTCGCATTAGTGAGAATCTGTATGGGTGTGCGGGTGTGTGTGTGTGTGTGTTCGTGTGTGTGTGGGCGCACTGGGCGGCGGTTTGATGAGCAAAGCCGAGGAAGGACGGTATTGGCTGCCCACGAGCCAGATTTTCTTTGGGATTACTGCTCACTTGAGCTCTCGTTCATTTCTGCTTTGCATTGCTATATAAAAGAAACGATTGAAGGGCGATGTCAAGGAAAAGGAAACCGCGCAATACAAGGCCGATGCCGATGCCGATGCCGACGCAGTGTGGATTAACGCATTTGAGGAATCAGATATAATGATCATCCAATTTACATTGACTTACCGCTCAGTTCATTCAGCTTGAGGTAGCGTTCTGGTACACTGGCACGAGAAGCGTCCTGAGTACTAGGCACCTAGCCAGGTAGGCTGCCGATGAGAGCCGGAGTGCGTGACAACAACAGGACCGGCCGGCTTGTGGGACGCAAGTGAGGGAGATTTATCCGTACTTGACGGCCTATTGTTGTACGAGTAGCTTCAAGGGCTTTATTAGGCTGCGTTGGGTGGGTACTGGGGGGTTCCCCTTATGCTGTAACGGAATGACAGGCCTTAGCCTTAGGGCCCTTAGGCAATGGCATAATTAGAGGGGGGCTTAGGTGGATTTCCAGGTGAAAGTTACCGAGGGGGTCCCCCCCAAAGCTAGGGACCACAGGACCACCTACCTAGGTGCCTAGAGGTCCTTCCTTGATGCTTTCTTACTACTGCACAGTATACGGAGTCCTCTTAAAAGACCCATCCGGGGTAGATGTCAAGCGGCTCGCGCACCTATAAGGCTCGAGGCCTCCTATTGCTTCACCCATAGGACATTCCTACTGGACGTCAAGGTAAGGGACGCAACCAAGCACATAGGTACCTGGGTGCTCAGTGTTCGGGGATAGTACACGGAGTAGGTGCTCTATTGTCACATCGCAGGTACCAGTCACCAGTAGGGTTACTGAATTATGTACGTAGGCCCCTTACGCCTTAGGCTCTTACCTTACCAGGTAGGTAGGGCTGCTATTATTCTCGCCTTCGCCCTTCGGAGGCTGCCGGGCGGGCGCAGCCGCGCAAGCGATCTTCAGGCATGCTACGCAGCTACGCAGCTACGTCGTTACTCCGTACTCCGTACTGTCACTGGCAGTGGTGAGGAGGGTGGTGGGCTTCTTTGGCATCACCCGTCATTCTGTCCATTAGGTACCTACCTAGTATTCTTCCGTGGTAGCGCTCAACCGCTTCAATCCATCAGTCACCACATCCAAACGGCGTGGTGGTTCAACCATCTATCTCGATTGTCAATCAAGGTCGAGCCAACCATCCCACCCATCCCTGTCTGATTAATCGAATCCTTCACTGAACCATTTGCGTAAAGACCAGAACCAGATGGCATTTCTCCCACTTTGGGTCTGGTGCAGCACCTCCAAAAGAGGGGGCGTGGGATGAAGAGGAAAAATTCGCGTCGTCTATCATTGTCCTTGCAAGTTCCAACTGCCAACGACCGATCCTGCGAAAGGGCCGATCTTCCCTAGGACAGCCCATGCCAGCTGGACAGGCCCCCAAACACTCCTAAGCGGGAGTGGCCGTTGGCTGGTGCCCTAGAGTCTACTGCACCTGCACGAAGGAAAAAATTTTCACTGTGCATGGACATTGCAAAAGGAGAGGGCGGAATATGAGATGAATCTTTATCAGCTTCTGCAAGATAACCAACAGCCCGGCGCTATCACCGGTGACAGGCAGGCCGCGGACTGGAAAACCTTGTACCTGACGGCTAAGGAGGCCTTTTCCTTTCCCTTTCCCGCATCGGTCCAAGCCTGTCGGGCCCCAAGCCCCTACTATGGTGCGGTGGTCAAGCCTCCAGCAGCTAGCGGCATTCTCGGCTCCTTCGTCTCCAAGGCTTCCGTGGAGGGGGGAGGGGGGAGGTGGGAGGGAGCGACGACATGACGCGAGAAGCAGGGTCGGCCAGAGAGACCCTCGCTTAGTCCTGGCAAAGCCACGAGCTGGTTCATGCAACGACTCTCCTGTTCCGGCATAGAGGACCTACGTCTATCCCCAATCAGTGCCGCTCAAATGAGGCCATCGGCATGGGCCACTGCGACTCTTGCGTCGTGCGAGACGCTATGCCGGCGCCAACATCGATACGGAGAAGTGTGCTCGAGTTCCGTCTGATTAGCCTTTTCACCTGCACGCTCGAGTCTCCAGTCTCCCAAATAACTCTCGTTGAAATCTCTGGATTTGCTACCAGAAATCATGCGATCGCTGGCGCTATCCGCCAATCCCTGGTCCACCACGTCGCTGTCCGGGCTGTTTGGTGGGCTGCTGCTCGGCTCTCCGCTCTGACAGCCCTCCCCCTTGCACCCTCCTTCATGCACCTCTCATGCCTTCCCGACATGATCTGACTGGCCTCGAGCCTTACCAGCTCGAGGACACAGCCAGTGAGACGCGCGCCATCCAGAAAAATTTTTCATCTTGTCACACGGCGTCTCCTAACCGGGTAAGCACAGGCGTATTGAGGCCTTGTGGCGCCTGTGCTCCTGCACATCCCTTCAGGCAAGGCTGCATCTCTTGCTTCATGCTTTAGCCCTGACGACACAGGGCACTCGCTTCTCGATGGGGTCTGCAATCTCTTCAACCTGCATTGGAATCAATCCATGGCACTATGATGGTCCAGTTAGCTTATCCCGTTCTGTCAAGCCCACGCCTACTGACTGCGGTATCGACTCTCGAGACAACCATGAACCGCAGAGGTATAAACCCGAGTCTGTTCTCATCGTCTTGATTGATCTTGTCCACCCATCACCAGCCCAGTCCAGCGTGTTGCTTCCTGCTCTGTGACCTTTGACCCTTTCTGATATCTGCGTCGACGGGGTATCCAACCGTCTCGTCCACCGATCTTCGCTCCTCGCCCGATCAGCCACCCCACGCTCTGTTGTGCCCAGATTATATCCAATCCGCAAACCCTCCTCGTTCTCCCCACGGCCATGTTTCAGACTGCCATGTAGATATCCGTCTCTGGTTTGGAGTGTCTTATCACTACCTGGCTCCGTGGACAGACCAGCGCCTACTCTTGCCCACATACCATCCACGCATTACCCCCCAAAACACAGACGCCCGACGGAGTGAGGATGGCCTTCAACCCTACCGCGAACCAGATTGAGTGGCACATGCATCAGTTGCGACAGTGGATGGTGCCAACGTCTGTACCTTCACCATCCAAATCCAACTCGACCATGACCAGCCAATCCTTCCCGCCGAATTTCTATCTTCAGCCCGTCCCAGTCGATGATGTGTACGAATATGATGCGCTCAGCGCCTTCGAACCGGCACCTGCCACTCTCCAGCGTGCGCATACCTTCGCGAACATGTCCGAGTTTGGTTTCACCTCCTTAGAGTTCTTCAATGGCCAGGATCCCTTGACTCCGGCGAGTTGGGCTGGTGAAGAGAAGGGCAACTTTGATGACGGCCTGTCCACCTATTCAGAAGCCCCCTCGAGTTATTTCTCTTTTGATCTCTCAGAACGGCCGAACCTTGACTCCATGGTTTCGTCTAGCCGGACGACGCCTCCTATCCTGCCACAGCAATCCTCTCCACCAGAGGCGGCCTCGGAGGTCGATTCGCTCATGAAGGCGATACTGCCCGCCCCAACGCTTCCTCAACCTCAGCATCAACTTCAACCCAGCGACTCCAGTGGGAAACCCAAGAGGCACCTTTGCCCTCATCCCGATTGCGGAAAGTTCTTTTCTCAACAAACCCATTTGAAGATCCATCTCCGTTCCCATACCGGGGAAAAGCCCTACACGTGTTCTGTCCCGACATGTCGGCAATCCTTCTCTCAATTGGGCAACCTGCGGACTCACGAACGACGGCATATTGGTCAACGACCCAATCGCAAGAGATCTTCGTCTGATCCTGGGGCCCGGGGCCGGAAGTATGAATGCATCTTGGACGGTTGCCGGGGTGTTGAAGAGGGCCATGCCGGCAAGGTCTTTACACAATTGGGAAACCTCAAAGCACACATGAACAAGTTTCATAAAGAAACATTGGCGAGACTCTCCCAACAATTCGCTCAAAATGAAGTGGACGAGGAGGAAGCGGAGTTGAGGAGGTATTTCCAAGACCTCTATAAGCACAGCAACAAGGGAATCAAGGGACGGGGGAAAGGTCGCAAGGTCGAGGTTATCGTTCATCCCGACCAGCCCTGAACCCGTGAACCGTCTTGAGACAGCAGCAACAGGATCAGACTACACAGCACCACCTCACTGCTTCACTCGAGCTCTAAATATCCAGGATCCGGTCATTTCGGCACGGTTGTCATCCCAAGCTACTGAAGATGAATGTCAGCTGTTCATATTTCGACTGCCTGCGCGCCTGAGGGATTGTTCCGCGAAATCGAGAACGAGCCACAAAATTCCCAAGGGTCATTTTAAAATTGACCCAAATGACTGTCGTTCTCGATGATGAGCTTTCTGAGAAGGAAAACCATTCTGTTTGTTATGAGAAGCAATTGTATGGTGGTTTCTTGTGAGCCGAACATGACTAGGGAGGATCGAGGAAATTTCGAGGCGACAGCGCCATGAGGGAACCTGTACCTGTACGGATACTTGGGCCGTTTCCCTCCCTCTCTCTCCCAAAAAGCGATGATAGCGCCTCTCTGAGGGGTGGCGCATATGTATTATGTGACTATGTTTCACGAACTTCTCCTTCCCTTGCTTTGTTTGGGTGGTTCGTCCACCCTACCAGTATATCGACAGCAGGAACAAAGACCAAAAAAAGGGGCCAGCATACCTTGGGGAAGGAAAAAGTTGATAGTCTGTTTTGGTGCTATTTGTTTGATTTGGGGTTGATTTTGATTTTGATTTTGATTTTGAGCGGCCGTCCGTCGTTACTGAGCGAAGATACCTTTTGCGCGTTTGTGGTTTGGTTTGGTATGGTTGAGGGGGTTCCTTTTGAATCATACAGACAGACTGTCGCTGCCGAGCGAGGATATACTGTACTTGACAATTTGATCTGTTCTGAAAAGCCGAGACTCTGGGCGTGATGCCGGTTGCCATGACTGGTTGCTAAGCGCCTTACTGGGTATGTAGACCTACGCAGAATGAGACTCGACAGTGAAGGAGCTGCATTCCAGGTTGTCGTCTTGTTATTGTCAGTCTAATCCACAGGAGGATCACCACAGGAGATCACTATATGTAATTCCTTCGCCGGGACGAGTTGACATACAGAGCAGAACAGAGGGGAAATGTCTATGTCTATACGAAGAGTCATGTTACTACAGTGTACAGTACATACCCCCTTCCAGAGCACAGCGTACAGAACAGAAGTATGTAGAGGCAGGTGTAGGTGTAGGTGTAGGTAGGTGCAGTGCAGTGGGTATCAGTAGCGTCGAAAGTCAAGTCTAAACTAAAGTCTCAAGCCCACACCACAGCCCCAGTAGTATTGAATAGTTGGGTACGTACTCCATACGTCGTACAGTAGTGGTGTCTGGTGTCTGGTGTCTGATCTCGATGTACCGATACATACGGACCTAACACAGTAATATTTAGTGGAGATGAGGAGCGGTCAGTTTAGTTTAGTTTAATTTGGCCGAGTTGAGTGCCAGGCTGAAGCAGCCGTGTCCACTGTCCACTGTCCCCTGTCTGGCGCTAGAAGAATTCCAGAAGATTGCTCTGTAACACCTTTGGAAGAAAAATGGGAACGGGATCGGTGGGACTTGGTCACTCACTTCTCCATCATAACAGCCGACGCCGACCGACACCGACACCGACACTGACGGAGCCGTAACATATGTAGGTCACCTACCTGCGATAATTAGGTGCCTTAGGTGTCCTAGTGACCTCCTCTGCTCTGGTGTGTGCATATATGAGGCTACTAATAGGAGGTACCTCCCTAGGTAAAAGCCTACCTGACCTATGGCAAGGCAGATTTCCCTAGGTCTCTGGTAGTCAGTCAGTCAGAGTATGGGGACATCGAACTACGTACGTACCTAAGGTACCTACGTACCTCAGAGTGCCAGTATGGATACCGTGCTTCGGAGTACGGAGTAGGTACCTATCAAGTACAGCAAGTACCTAGGTAAGTGGTAAGTACGGATGCAATGCGATGCAATGCATACTATTCTGTACTCCGGACGCGCGCTTCATGCTTCGTAGTGCACTGGCGATTCGTTGTGGGATGGCCAATGCCTAAGGAGCCCACTATCCATCCGTACCGATCGACAGAGTAGCGAGTATGGAGTACAGACTACAGACTACAGTATCCGTACAGACTCCAGAGTAGTTTGCATCCGTCCTTACTCGTACTCACTCTGTAGCATCAGGAACAGGGATGGCTGCAGGGCAGGCCCACCATACGAATGTAATTCCGCCCGAATGCCTCAGGTTACAGTAGTACTGAGTACTATACTATACACAGAGTATCTGTACATATTACTCGCTCCACGGACCTTAGGGCCCTAAGCCTGGCGCCGCCACAGACAAGGGGCACCATGTAGTGCTGGCTGAGGACCCAATGGTGCAGCAAGCCAATGTTCAACTCAGCAAGAATCATCGACATGTCTCGACACGATAGCATCACAAGACAGTCATGCTGCATCTTGGGCTCCTTCTTTCTTCTTTCTTCTTTCTTCTGGCGTTCACCGTCCTTGCCAGATACAATTTGTCCCTTGTGACGTTGCGCTATTTACCGCCAATGATGCATTGCAGAGAAATTGCTTTTTCGTTTCCTCCCACCTGCCCAAGACGTGCATTCTCGCGAATCAAAAGTGTGGTGGCGCAAGGACAATCCCCCGGAACTCGCCTCTCGCGTCGAATGCGTCGTGCCGTTGCAAGCTCCCGTCGTTGCTCTCGGGACGGCTGTTTTAGTTTTGACCACACCACGCACTCTCTTAACCTGGTGTGCGGTGGCCGAATCGGCGTATCTCCTGTCGGAAGATAAATTGCTCAGCACATCACGCTAGGCCCGAGCCCTGAACTTATGCATGCAGGTACCAGAGGGCCAGGATGACGCCAGCTGTCGCACATCAAAGTAGAGACGACCGTCGGATTGAAGCGTTGCACTTCAAGAATGCTGTCTCGTTTAACATCTCTGATGACGATGACGCCGTCCATTCATCTTGCTGACTGCATCTCGTGACCTTCCAGAAAAACAAGGGTGATCAACGGAGTGAGGCTGGAGTAAGGCCACCGGTCCGGAGGTGGCCGTGGAATGGTTTGGATGACACCGTTATCCACACAGCGTTCCAGTCAGTTGATCCTTCTCCTGGCATGGATTAGGCCTAGTGCGCCGGTAATGGGCACAGCAGTTGTCGACCATGAGAAACAATGTTCCACAGGAATAGATGGGGTTCAAACTCGCCCTTGAGGGTTCAAACATGCAGTCGCTTGTCTGCTCTTATAATGTCTTTCTTCTCCGCTTTCCGGGTCAAATCCGTGGCAGTGACAACAAAATCATGTCACATGTTCGATCTGGCAAGGGAAAAAAATACCAAAAAGGCAAAAAACTTATTGAACCAAGCTGACCTCCTAGCAATTTCCCCGTTCTTAGGGTCTTCTAGAAGCAGGTTGGAACCAAGTGAAAACCCCGGTGGGTGCTGTACAACACACCGATCTTGTCTGGCCAACGGTGTTTTACCCCAGGAGGGGAAATCACACGCTCTTCTACCTCGCAAGACCGGGGTTGTACCCAGGATTTCTTTCGGGAGGGCTCGAACTTTTTTGGTTTGCTTAGAGAGAGTGGTTAACAAACCACCGTCCAAACACCTAGACCATCGAGGCCTGGGTTTGTCTCGGTGGATTGTTGGGAGGAATCTCGCGGCAATAATATATGAACCGGTCATTATTCAGCTGCGGTGAAGTGTTGGGTGAAGTGTTGGCCGTGATGCTGTGAATGTGGCCGCCAAGGCTGTGGTGGTGGTGGTGGTGGTGTGTAGTGACCGTGGGTGAGGCAGAAAAGTAGACGAACACAAGGCTGAGCATTGGTGCCACTGCAAGCTACCTACATGTTACTCTAGCGTACCAAACATCCTCGGGAGACTCCAACGAGCATTCTCGTATACTAGAAAGGTCACACATGTGCTCGGGACAACACGGAGGAGATTAGGAAACAGGCCTTTGTAATAGCCCACGATCCCTTCGTTATACCAGATCTGTTTGATCAAGGCGATGATGCCGGGTCTTCGGACGTAGGTGGTTGCAGTTGGGTCGTGTGATTGCAGTCGGGCACGCACCAACTGGTGTGGGTAGGTCAACAACCCTGCAAATATCTTTGACAAGGAGGATGTCATCAGAGTATCCATGTTGCTAAGTTTATCCGTTTTCTGAGACTGTCTTCGCCAGAATTTGAGCTTTTCGTATGCCACAAAGTACAACGCTCCGTGACTAACCCCTACAAGCGAAGGGGTTATCCCATGGAAGAAGCCACGGACACCCTCCGTTCTGTATATTGAGCGTAGGCCCGAGACCAAGCCCTGGTATGCACCCGTTTGTGTGGCCGAGGTGGAAAGCATGCGTGTCTTGACTACCCAAATCGGGTTTGTGAGTACTGCCGATAGGGCACCAGAGAGGGCCGACGCAGACAGGTAATCAACTGATGTAAGTCGCTGATCTTGTTGGTACCCTCGAATTTTGCGAATCACATCTTGAGCTTTGCGATACCACAAGAAGTATAGGCCCCAACCTGCAGAATTGCCCACCAAATTGGGAGTGAGCCCGCGGTATAGGGCTGAAATCCGTGCAGAACCCTCATTGCGCCAAATGTCACGAAGGACGGACCGGGAGGAGTTGAGAAGAGGATGGGCAGAGGTATCGACTGGTACAGGCCATTGTCAGTCCAATTCTCGCCAAAAGTTTGGTCATATAGCCTACCTTGGAGCCTCGTCTTTATCATGTCCAGGGGATGAACAATGATGGTTGCGACCAAACCTGCAGAAAGGCCTGCAATGGTCTCGACAGAGGCAGGTGAGAGGCCATGCCTGGGTTGGGACGTCATGGGCCAGATATCATGGGAGTGAGCTGCGGGACTGAGGGATTGATGCAGCTGGAACCCCCAACATCGAGGTGGTCACCATCTCGGGTCAAGACGAAAGACGAAAGACGGTAGAGCAATCGTCGAGAGACCCATCGTCGAGAGACCCATCCATTATTGTGTGGAAGTTGAAGCAGCGCAGGACAGAGAAGCAGTCATGTGACGTGAACTGAGGCTTCACGTCACATGACAAGGCGGGCCCCAGGGAACCAAGTCATGCAAGGCTGCCGGGAGTTGGGACGAAAGAAAGCATCCCGACAACAGCATGCGAGAGAGACTGGTCTCAGTCGTACTATGTCTAATTAATATTGATTGTCTCATATACGGAATACATGTACAATATACAAAGCTACCTCTGTAAACCAATTGCCGACCTTGCCCTTCCTCCACCGGCTCCCACTCACACCACCGCCCGGCGCCCGCGCTTCGAGCACAGGCGTAGGCTCACGCCGGCAGTGGTCCGAATAATGATTTGGTGGAGTTTTCCTGCCATACTGAAAGCCCGTTATCGGGGCTAAGGGGCTTCGGATCTGCCCTGAGCCATTTCACGCCACTTCTATCCTTAATTAATATTTATTTTAGCTGCCGCGTTTCCCTCCCCTTCCGTCTTGATGAGAAATACAATCCCAACCGCATCGCCGGCTGACTTCGCCCTGCCAGTGCAGCAGATATCCTCCTGCACCTTACCCGGCCTGCGCCAACCTCTGGGAGCTTCCTAAGACCGAACCGTTCAAAATACATTCTAGTTGAGGGCCGACCATCCCTCCGCCTTCACCATGGATATCGTCCTCGAAATCGCCGACACCCTTGTTTTAGACCGCCTCTACGCGACCCTGCTACCTGCAAGCCCATCCTCATACCTCTCATACCAGTTCAGCAATGGAAGCACATCCACGTTTTCGAGTATGCGGGAGGGAGCAACCGCGGCGCCCCAATACACCTACGTCTTTGAACCCGCGTCAAGGTATATCAGTCTCCAGCCTACCGACTGGACCTACAGCAGCGCCTGGCCGCGAGACAACATTTTCAGACAGGCCATCAGTCTATTCTTTATAGTGTGGTGAGCGTCTATGACCTGGAACAGCCGTCCCTTCAAATGCTCATGGATTTTGACAGGATTTTCGGCATCATATTGTATTTTCTCTTCGCCACGCTTTCCTACGTCTTTGTCTTCGATAAGAAAACCTTTGAACACCCGAAATACCTCAAGAACCAGATTCGCTTGGAGATTGCGCAGACTCAGAAGGCCATGCCGGGCATGTCCCTTTTGACCGCCGCGTGTATGCTGGCCGAAGTACGAGGATACTCCAAGCTCTATGACAGCGCCGCCGAGGCGCCTTTTCGATTTTATAACGTCCTCCAATTCCCTCTCTTCGTCCTTTTCACCGACTTCTGCATATACTGGATCCACCGCGGTCTACATTACCCGCCTGTCTACAGAGTCCTTCATAAACCACACCACAAATGGATCATGCCGACTCCCTACGCCTCTCACGCCTTCCATCCAATCGACGGATTTGCGCAATCTATCCCCTACCACCTCTTCCCGTTCCTCTTCCCTTTACAAAAGTTCGCATACATCTTCCTATTCGCCTTCATCAACATGTGGACCATCCTCATCCACGACGGAGAATACTATGCCAAGTCTGCCATTATCAATGGAGCCGCGTGCCACAGTCTTCACCATTATTACTTCCGGTGTAATTACGGACAGTTCACTACCCTCTGGGATCGACTGGGTGGCAGTTATCGCAAACCAAACGATGAGATGTTCGATAAACTGACCAAGCTGTCTAAACTGGAGTGAACGAAGCAGACCAGGACCGGGAATCTGGGGCGATCACCCAGGAGGTTGAGGACGATGGTGGCCGTGCATCTCTCGGCGGAGTGCAAGAAAATCCGGCGATGATGGAAGTAATATGTAATTGACCAGCGATTCTTGGACGAGCTGGCGTAGATTGGCGTTGAATTAGACCTAGACCTAGCACTACCTTGTACAGCATTGGGACCAGTATTCCGAACGTCAATCCACGTGGATATCCAGCGATTTCATTTAGCCGGAGACCAGTCCAGGTATGAGTCGCGTCTTTGTTGCTTCCGGTGTCATCTATACGTCAAAGGCATTCGGGATATCTATGCCTCGGGCATGTCTCCATCGGTAGGGAAAGGAGAGAGAAGGCGTTGCCCTGACGAGGCTAGCTTTTCCGCTCTCGATTTCCCTGCACATATCATATTGCCTGCCTGCCTGCCTGCCTGCCTGGAACAGACGGAGTGTTAATTAATATTCGACGTCGGGGTTGGGATGATGGCTCCCCGCTTGGACTCGACCGGATCCCTCCCGTACGATCTGGGTGGTGACTGTTGAGAGCGATCCTTGAACTACAATTGATCATGATGGGGTACAGGGAGGAAAATCGACGGTTGTGGATATAGCGTGAAATGAGACGTGTGGAAAGTACAGATACATCGTGAGTATGGCCTCCAGTGTCGATCGGGAACTTCTTGGAGCGTTTGCTAAAATGAAACCCTTTCCCTTTCCATTTCATCTCCAAATGGCGCCTGGGTGAAAACGAGCCAGTCTTCTACTCTATGGGCTGGGAGTAATTGTAGGATAAGTTCGCACCCAACAGGGGCCCTCTCGATTTTCTGTGATTGAAATCGTCTAAAAGCGTCGTCCTCCTCGACGTGTACGCAGTAGCAATATACGCACAGCTGTGTGCCATCCGTTGCATATTCTGAGCACAGAACCATCTGCCCAATGTCTCAGCTCCGGTTCAAATTTCCCTCCCTCCCATTCGTAGGGTAGACACGCTGACCCAATAACCAGAGCACACTTTCCCTGCCGGACCAGAAACGGTCGATTTTTGTAAAACATCCAGCTCAACCCCGTTTTTGGAAGGTCACTCACGAGCCTCCAGTCCCATTTGCGACCTGCAAGAAAAAGCCATTGGCTCCCGTTCGGGACAGATACCTTCTCACTCTGAGAGATATCTATCTAGACACATGATGACTGAATGCTAGCTGTAGCAGTCTCCGATGCATGTTGCGTGGACGCCAATGAACCTGCATACAATGATGGGCACATCAATGGACAAAATCCCTCTCGGCGTCACGTCGTAACAGATTTTGGCTGGGCTTGAATCAATCAAGTCGAGCCATCATTTCCTCCTTGGAAAGTGGAGTCAAGTTGTCCAGATCGATACCCTTGGCTGCCAGGAGTGATCGTGCATGGGGTGGGACGAGTTTCGAGTTGAGATGGGGCGCAATCGATAGTTCTGGACGACAAATTAGCCTCATATATGCAAACACCAGAGTAGAGGAGGTCACAAACCATGTCGGGAGAAGTCAAATAGAGGGGGAAGTTCGCGTGGAGGTCCGCCAGCATGACGGGAATCAGGAAGGCGGGTGCTGGGGTCTCTCAATTCGTCAAAGAAGGGGTGGCACATGGCTTCAATGGCGGACAGTCGTTGAGTTGGGGTATATTCCAGGAGAGCAGAAATTAACTCGATCGCGTCGGGCGTTGCCTTCCGAAAAACCTTATTAAACGGATGAGGCTTGATCTGAGGGAATTTGTGCTCCATGTAGTTTGGGTTCATGGTACGAATCTGATCCCTGGTTGGGGTACCAAGGACTTTGATGATCTCCACGAGTTGATCTATGCCTGACTCTCCAGGGAACAAGGGTTGACCCAGCATCAATTCGGCCATAACACAGCCAGTTGACCAGACGTCTATGCGTGTTAGTCCGGAAACTAGATAGGAAGAGACGCCCAAGGTACATACCGATCTTGGTGGTGTAGTTTGTGGCACCAAAAATCAACTCCGGAGCACGATAGTAGCGAGAGCAAATGTAAGAAACATTTGGCTCGTTCTCGACCAAGATCTTTGCACTTCCAAAATCACACAGCTTCAACACTCCCGTGGCTGGGTCAAGCAACAGATTCTGCGGCTTGATGTCCCGGTGACAGATTCCTTGCGAATGGATGTAGGCCAAGGATCGGAACAGCTGGTAGATGTAAAGCTTGACCTCCAAGATGGGCATGGTCGTCTTCATCTTGTTGAAGTAGCGCGAGGCGCGGTAGACTGTCTCTGGGACATATTCGAGGACGAGATTGAGGTACACTTCATCTTTCTATGAACGGGAGGTGGTTAGTTGCGGTATGGCAGAATCTTAGTGAGGGCGAAGGACGCATACCCGTTCACCGTTTGAATAGTAGAATGCCTTCAGCTCTACGATATTCGGATGGCGGACAATGCGCATGATCTGCAACTCACGGTTCTGCATAATGTCAGTGGATGCTTTTGGGATGTCAGTGGGGAGATGAAACCCAGCTCGCTTACCTTGAATCGTTTGTCTTGAAGGACTCGCTTGATCGCCGCATCCTCTCCGCTGGGCGACAGCTTTGTCTGGAAGACTACGCCAAACGAACCATTGCCAACTATCTTGCACTGGGTATATTGCATCTCTCTTGTCTCGCCCGTGAGGCCGTCCTGCACCTTTTCTCGTACCACCTCTGGGAACAGTTGTCAGCGCACGTGCCCCCAAAACACCACCAGGCGTGTCGTATCACAAAAGGAGAAAAGGAAACCTACCACCCATGCGCAAGCCGGAGAAAGCTCCTCCAGGCCTGTTTTGCGACATTGTCGAGTGCTAGGGGAGTGTGGGATCCACCTTGGCGACGGAGTGGTTGGGTAGACAGGCGGCAATTCTGAACAAAGGAGCGACGCGAGGAGGTGAAGGAGCGTTGGCAGACGAGGCGAAACAGACGGGTACCGAAATCTCGAAACCGGGGACGGCAAGGCTTTGCGGCGACCGCGGGAGGATTGGCGATGTCGAGACTCGAGGGAAAGAGACGGTCGAGGGTCAAGAGGGTGGAGGAGCAGGTGAGGGTTGGCGGAAGAAGCGCTAATTTCCCCACTTTGCGTAGGTGAGGCTTTCAGAAATGAGGTGTGGGAACCTGCGCAGCGATGATGAAACCGGGGAGACGAGGGTTGTTGACAGCAGGCGGAGAGGCAGAGCGTACAGCCCGGGTGCGTAGGGTGGCAAAGAGAACGAGGAGTGGTAGATGGTGAGAGTAAGGATGAGGATGAAAGAGTTCTGAGGTAGAAGAAGTAGGTCTATGACGGTAAGTCGACTCAGGGTGGAAGAAGCAGGGACGAGGATGAAGGCGAAGTGACTTGGACAGTGGCTATTCCTCGCTTGACGAACAATAACATGAACACCACCTGTTCTGTTGGCCTCGCAGAAGAATGTTGAAGGGGGAAGGGAAAGTGCAGCGCAGCGCAGTTGGAGGATCTTTAAAAGAAGTAGTAATGTCTAAAGGAACGGGCTCTGGGGCACTGCACCTGGGCAGGGCCACTGTACAGCACTCTATGCTCACAAGAGCAGTAGCTACGGTAGGGTACTGTAGGCCAGGTAGGGTTTATTGTTTTGGGCATATGGCCCTGTTAGCGCAGGACAGTGCAGCGCAGGCACAGGCGCAGCCAGCTGCAAGATGCAGCTCAGGGCTCCTTAGGCGGGTCTTGACGGCGAAAAATTCACAACTGTGCCCTGGACTGCGAACACCAGGAATCATGCCCACGGCTGACTATTCTGTAGGTACGGAGTACTGGCTCCTGCTATTGAGCCCGAGAGATCTCAACAAATCCGGACAAACATGAGATTGACTTGTTTACAGACCCGGCCTCGGAGTGGTGTCGCACAGAGCAATCGAGTTGAAGATCCTCATGCTCAACAGGCTCCCTAATTCCTCTCGAGACATCAGCATCTCTGACCACTCTCACGCACCATTCGTCCGCCAATAATGCGAGGAGTTCAATCTAGGGACAGGTTGAAAGGGCCAGTAACAGAAGGATGTGACAAACTCATTCGAGCGACGACTCTAGTAGCATGAGAGGTGGAAAACAGGCGAGTAGGGGAGCACACCAGCAGACCTGCAGAAAAAGGCGAGGCGAGGCAAGGCACTGGAGGTCCGAGGAGCAACGCAGGTCAGATGATGCCCCCTCAAAGCCCGCACTGGTGCATGATGTCCCCATCATCACTAAGAAAAAACCACACCTTGACCCAGGAAATCCATTCATCGCTCACGAATGGCTTTAGGCTCGCCTGCTGAGAGGGTCAGGTCCACACTGACTCCCGACCTCCCGTCGACAAGCCCCCCCTCCAGGGCCTGGCAGCGTCTTGACCAGACAGATCTCACCCATTTCCGAGAGAAGAGGGACCTAAAGACTCTGTGGCATCGCTCTTTGACTGGATCGTCTGCTAAGTGCGAATAGCGCTCTGGACAAGAAGTCTCCCTCCACGTGCTCCTCCAGTTCTCCTATGGCCACAACCAATTGAAATCCCAGCGCCCGTGCCTTGACACGAATGAACATCTTTTTCGCGGCGCCCCTGCCCTTGTTGCCAGCCGCTCGAAGCTCGAATGTGCAACAATTACCGAACGGCTCTGTGAGTTAGAGCAGAGGATGGCCAGAGCCATCGCTTATGCTGCCAAAATCGGAGATGCAGCCTGACAGCTTGCAAAAACACCTTTGGAGGTTAGTAGAGGGCGGGCGCCTGGGGAATCTCAGTCCAAGCCCACAGGCATGGCACGGGCAGCATAACATAAAATAGAGCATGCGACTGTATGGGCCCGGCGGGTCGCTTCGACGAACAGTGGCCATACAGACATGATGGTTGCCAGACTACAGGGATGCCCTCAACGTCATCCGGCGCCCGCTAAAAAGCCTTTCGGAAGCTGAGTTTCGACAGATCAAGCCTCCCAACAGCCACTGTCGAGGCCAGGTGAAAAATAGTCTGGCTGGACTTCTCCATCATGCTCCATACTCTGACCGAAACTCAAAATACTCGTTAAGTGGCGGGCACGAGTAATCGTTGTTGAAAGGTGGATAAAATAGGCCAGCAACGAGGATGCTCACAATTCTCGAACCCTCCACCGAACGGCGCGAGAGTCGCACGATCAACTCGGTCAATTGGCAAAGTTGAGGTGCAAGAATATCATTGCCCAGATCTAGCCTCCGCCACTGTAAGGCTTTCAGCATGTTACAGATTATCGACGCTCCGATAACGTTCGGGAGGATGCGTAACATCCTAGACGGTGGACGCGCACTACCAATTGATACACGAGACAGCAATTTGCGGCTGCATGCCAGAGAGTCAGAGACAGTTGTCGGGCTGACCAGTGCCAGCGACGGAAGTCATCCATCCACTCGCACGCACAGCCGCTCGCCCCTTGGCCATCCCTGTTTTAATTGCAAGGCGGGAGGCGTCGTGTCGCACAGGTGATCCATCCTTGTCGATCTCTTGATCCATCCATGGCTATTCTTGTTGACAATTTAGCTGAATCAACACATCAATAAGGAAAATGTACCTAAACGGTGTGGCCGATGAACATGATAGGGTTTAAGGCCCCTTAGGTACACACAGGGACGCAGTCAAACGTGCAGAATTGCAGCAGCTCTATCGCCTGTTCAATGCAGGTCTCCTGGCTCTGTGCGTCATGGCAGGCATGCAATCCACGGAGTTTACTTTGGGCGTAAAAGATGATGCATGCGGTGCGACTCGCACGGGGTTTAGGCAGTCTAGTGCTCGCCTCACCTTACAAACCTACAGCTCCGGTGCGTTGACTTTTCGTCCCAATGACATCGCTTCGCGCACAGCCCGGTCCACACCCATTCCAACAAGTCACTCGGACCGCGAGGTCCGGCTGGTTGTGAGGCTTGTATGGACCACCAAACCCTCGTTTTGTTGACGAGGCTGTCGAATCTCAACCCTCGTTGAACGATCTCCCGGAGTTGATCAAAGATTTCGAGATTTCAACCCATTAAGTCAGCTGTTCTTTCCCCCAAACCAACCGCCCCTTTTCCCCCTGGACGCATCTCTCTTAGCCTCAGGAGTCCCTCGTCCACACTAACCAGCTGCAGAAAGAGTTGAGCAGAAGAGGCGTCGATCAGAGGAGCAGCTGACTGGAAGACAGCTATGCCTTGCTCATGCAGAAGCACCAATCTGGTCAGTGACCTGGCAAACTCTGGCCTGTTCATGCATGCATCGCATCCCTGCCCGGTCGACTGTATCCGACACAGGATCATGCCTGGCGCCCTGCTGTGCGGCCCGTCCAAGAGCCAATCCAATTGCGGTCGCTGCCATAGCGCACTATTAAGGCAGTGTCAGCTGTAGGCGAAAAATCGCTCAACAGCGCGTCTCCTTTCTCTACCAAATTGACAGGGTACGAGTCGTGAGAGGCTGGTTGGTGAGCTCTGAAGGGCGCCATTGCTTAGACTTAGAAGGTGGCTGCTCTGCATCAAGAATCCACAATTTACCGGCAGAAACTGGACGTGGCGAAGGAGGCTGGGTGCACGCTCAGATTGACGAGGCAAGAATAGGACCAGCTTTACACATCCAAAGGGGTCCAACTGAGTTGTTGGTACAAGCCTTCTATTATGCAGTATGTCAGATTCCGTGGCTGAATCCATCCGTCGCGGCTTTTGAATCTCGCGCCACCAGATTCCGTCATGATCCCATGTACAGAAAAGAGGCCAGGCATCCTTCTCAACAATAATAGTGCCCAGTTCGATCATCCTTTTTTGCTCCCCTGAGGTATGCCAAAGACGTCACAATCAGAAAGTCAGAACGCCTTCACTAAGCAAACGGGATTGGATGGCTTCCGCTCGCCAGAACAACCGATCGTGACTCTTTTCCCAACGGAACTTGCGGTCCGGCGGGCTTGCTCAGGAGTGAAGAGGGTAGTAAAACAAATATTTGAAGAACGTGGCTGAGGTAGATGCTTCTGGAGCAGCCGCTACCAGAGATCTCATCTGGCCACTTACGCTGAGCAGTACAAGCATCAACAGAGCGGGCAAGACAGCTTAGATAGGCGGAGGGAGCTGGTTCTGGGTATCAGCCCGCTCGGCAATCTCTTGCAGCTCTTCTGGCGCGCCCTCGAGGGAGACTGCGAGGCCGAGCTTGTGGGTGTTCTATAGCACAAGTCAGTAAGCATGCTCAGGAGACCTCTCTTCAATCCACCACTCACCTTCCACTGGTCTATCTCGGCGGCGAAGGTCAATGTTACAGGTGGTGCAACTCGCTTTTCGAGTACGACACCAAATTTACCCGCACTATCGACCTGCGCCCGGTAGACGGATGCGGCGAAGTTGTATTTGACGCCGACCGTGGTGGTCCCTTCACGACGGATGCCTCCAAACATACCAGCACCCATGGCTGGAGCGAATTGCAGTTGGCAGTCAACACCGGCTTCCACCTTGTCGCTTAACTTTCGCCAGTATGACGCTCCCAGTGATCCTTGCGCAAGGTATTGAGCGCTGGCGATCCAGTCTGTTCCCTTGTATCTGGCACAGTAGGACAGGGCAGTCTCCGGCTTGGTGTTGAGCCCCGCTCTTTGCCACACGCCCTCGAGGCCGAGCGCGATTCTAGGTGTTACCGATTGCAGATAGCTCCCAATGACGATGCCAGTTAAACCGCCCTCAAGGATTGAAGGGCTGATGGCCTTGAGAGAGGCTGAGAAATCTTCACCAGTATATTCATTTTCGATCTGCACCATTGCCTGCGCCTGTCGTGCATCGATTGAGGTTTGCGTTTTGGTCACAAATCGGGGGGTCCATCTCAGATTTCCCCATGCCGTCAGAGACTTGTCGCTGGAGTAGGCGGCTTGCATGAAGACCTGCGTCGTACATTAGCCAACGACCTCAATTGACGAGGCAGACGGAAGGTACATTTGAAGTGCCATACAACGCCATCAACTGCCAGGGCGGCAGAGCCTGCGATCCCATTGCCAATCCATGCTGTAGCCGAAACAAAGGAGAGATGCTGAAGACTTTCTGGAGGTCGCAACGCAGACCGGAGAACATGAAATTAGATAGGAGGACATCTTTCTGTACTTCGCGGGCGATGTTGTCCACAGTTCCGGGGTTCTCGAGCCCTAGAAGTTTCCTTCTCTCCTGCAGGGTCGAGTAAGTGTCTGAGAGGGCCGCAGAGATGGCATTGTCGGTCAGGAGAGCCAACGGAGATGACGATGATTTCTCCTCGACCAGCGCCATGACTTCAGGGCTTGACTCGATTTGGATGAGTTGAGCACCGCCTGTCAGTTCAACCGTTACCTCCTGACGTGCAAGGTGTTGGCAATGAGGTATAGGAGGCAAGGGGAGAAAGGATGAAGAGCTGGCGATGCTCTCGTGTACTGCCTAGATAGTATTGGAGATTGCTGGCTAGTAAGGTCATTCAAGAGCTCGACTTTTTGCTGCGCGCGGGAAATCTGAGAACAGAGGCCTGCCAAGTAACTCCCTTTGGCCAACGAGCCAATGATGAAAAAGAACAGTGGCTGACGCGGAGATCCGTCCGATATGACGGCCGAAGGCGTTGGTCCAGGGATAATTATTTTGTCAGACAGGCCCTCACTTCCCCCGGTCTTTTATCGTACTTGGACGAGGTTGCTCGTTGACCAACGCCTCGGACAAATCAGTGCTTCCCCAGGCGCTGCTCGCCCAACAGAAGACTATATATCTCTCCGGGGCTGGCCTGCTTATCTTGTCAGCAGATTCGTCCCCCTGTCGATGTTGGACTTGTGACGAGACGCCCAGTGGCAACGACGACACGCCTGATATATCGAGCGTCTTCTTTGCTCGACCAGGTAATAGGCGCAAGATCCGGGTTCTCTGAGCTTGCCGCCGGTTCCATGTTCACCGAATCCATATCCATCTGAGCAACGTTCCTCCACCATCATGGACACCTTGTTGACCGCCGAGTCGGCGGTGAATTCACCTCGGTACCGACGCAAGTCGAGTACATTTGTGGACGCCATCCACGACCTTCCTGAGAAGAGCGAATTGGCACCTGCCCAGCTGTACAGCACTGAATCTGGGCGTCTGTTTCACTCTGGGCGGATCGCGATTGCTACGGTAGGGCTGCCTGCCCGGGGCAAAACACATATTTCCGTGGCCCTTGCTCGATACCTTCGCTGGCTCGGAGTCAAGACGAGGATCTTCCACCTGGGCGACTATCGAAGAGCCATTGTAGGTCCAGGAACGGATGTGCCTGACGACTATTTCTTCGTCAATGCCTCCGCTTCATCGGTCTTGCTGCGGCAGAAGATCTTGAAGAAATGCAGAGAGGATATTTATCATTTTCTCAACCACGAAAATGGGCAGATCGCGATCTACGATGCAGTCAACCCGTTGTCGGCGGGACGGAGATCTCTGGCCAAAGAGTTCGCGAAACACGATATCAAAACGCTGTTCATCGAATCCAGCTGCGACGACCAGCGGATAATCGAAGAGAATGTCCGCAGTGTGAAAATCTCCTCTCCGGACTATGTGGGATGGTCGGAGGCAGACGCCGTCAAGCATTATCTGAATCGGATCGCGGCCAAGATCCCGCACTTTGAGACCATGGAGGAACAAGATCTCGACTGGATTAAGATGATCAATGCCGGCCAGAGACTGGTGGTCAACAACACCAGCTTCGGCTATCTCTCGCATCGGATTGTCTTTTATTTGTTGAATTTACACATCAAATCTCGGCACACATACTTTACACGTGCAGGCACAACTCTGGAAGAGGAGTCATTCAAGGCCGACGCCTCCTTATCGCCTCAGGGAAGAGACTACGCGAAGAAAATGACGGCGACGTTGCTAAAACATCGGGAAGAGGAGAGAAAAGCCATTTTGGAAAAGGGGGGCACTGAAACCCCGCTGAAGCCGCTCATCGTGTGGACTTCGACCCGACGAAGAACGGTGGAAACTTCTACCTTCCTCGAAGCCAAGGGGTTCAAAGTGAGACAGAGATCTCAGATGAGTCAGTTGAACCCCGGGGTATGCGAGAAGAAGTCAGAGCGAAGGATCCGCCAGGAATATCCCGAAGAAGTATTGAAGCACGACCTTGACCCATACCATCACAGATTCCCACGAGCAGAGGTATGTTGCAAGACTTTGATGTCAAGGACGCTGGCTGATCTTCCAAGTCTTACCACGATGTCGCTGTCCGATTAGAGCCTGTGATCCTGGAATTGGAAAGAGAGCAGAATGATCTCCTCATCATTGCCCACGAAAGCGTGCTTCGTGTTTTATACGGCTACCTGATGGCGTGCAATGCCGCCGACATTCCCTTCTTGTCTTTCCCACGAGATGAGATCATCGAGGTGAGCCGGACCGCACTCATGCAATGACACTGACCAGTGCTGACGAGCGGACAGATCATTCCTGCGAGTTATAACAACGAGGCCAAACGGATCAAAATCCCCGATCTGCCGCCGGAGATCATCCCAGCATCCCCGGAAGGAATCAAAGCACCTGCTCCTCCCAGCGGATTCGCTACACCCATTCCTGGGTTAGGAAGCGGCCTAGCGAGTCCTCTTGGGCCCGGGCGAGGACCGGGGACACCGGAGCCGTCTGCATCCGGTTATAAGACGCCGGAGGATTCTGAAAATCTGTCGGTTCGGATGCATGATGTGGTGTGATGCCGTCCTCGGGTTCGAATCCTCTGGAACAATGCGGATTCCAACCTGGGCGTGGGGGCGGATGTGCGCAATGTCAGGAATCTATCTGGTCGCACTCGATACCTAGTATCTGGCCCATTGCTGCTGCTTAGATCGTAGTGATTGAAGAGTCTCAGCCACCGTGCAGAGTCGAGACGAATAGGATGTTGTCACGATTTTGGAGTTCATATTCATGCTCGCCTTCAAGCTCCCAGTCAGAGTCGTTGATAAGAACAAGAATACCAGGTCGGCTTGAGACGGCAGTGTTAGTGTTAGTCTTTGATCCGCGGCGAGGGGGTGGGCACATACACTGCTCCATCCAGGACGAAGAGTTCCTTCCGAGAATCCTTCATCAGCTGGTCACAGATGTACTTGACCAGGTAGCCGACCGTGGGCGCTTTCCCGTCGGTGTCGGCGGCGTGTTTTGAAAGTGTCAGCTCGTGCTTGGTGACATGATCGAACAGCATCTCCAAGCCGCCCCTTTCACCGTCAGAAGTGGCCAGACACGCGAGATCAGCTTCGCTTACGAGAATTCGACTGTAATTGTGACGGTGTCGGACATCACGACAAGAGCAGAGCGCGACAAATATGATTACTATCTGTCTCCGGCTGCGGGCGACGATAGATGTGGCGGCGGCGTAGGCTCAAGGTTCAAGGTTCACGCCGTCGCAAGCTCCGGTAGACAACCTCGTTTGTACCTGCGTGGTGTCGGGATGGTGGAGGAACAGGAACAGGAATGGAATCTGCAGAGTAGGAGCGGGATGATGATACACCTGAGGTTGAGAGGTTGAGAGGTTGAGAGGTTGATGAAGTTTTGCAGCACAAGGCTGGGGCTGGAAGGCTCCTGTCTGGTCGGCCAATCAGAGTCTGGCGCGGCGAAAATACTGATACATGTAATTGCTCTACTAGAACAGACTCCAGAGTATCCAAAAATATCTTGGCCGGCATGGCGAGGCTATTTTGAGCGGGTGATTTCACGTTGTCGCTGTACCTGCATTCCTGGCCTTCTCCTCTGTTCGCCAGCGCGTCCTCCTCTTCTCTCGTTCCAATTCCAATGCCTGCTGATATTGTGCCCGAATATCTCAGCGTCGGTGGCAACAGACACAGCGCAGCCGCCGACTGGTCGGCGTCCTCGTCCTCGGGCCTCTTGGCCTTCGGCGCTGACCAGAACGTCGCCATCTGGGAGCCGTTGCACGATACTGGCCGCGGAATCCACGCCTTGCTATCGGGGCATTCTTCAAAGGTCACAGCGGTCAAGTTCTTACCATGCCACCTCGTGACGGGTTCTGCAAGTGGCGACCTCCTGGTGTTCGAGTTCCACGGCCACGGTCCTTCTCAGAGCTGGACTCTGCTGGACAGGGCCAAGGCCCACGATGGGACGGTCAATGCCATCGCCACTTTCGACCGGGGCAACGCCTTCGTGACTGGAGGTGCGGATGGGAATCTAAAACTATGGTGGATCGGCCAGGAGAAGCTTGAACTAGGCGCAACAATTCCGCTGACCCCCAGATTCATACCCTTGGCTTTGGCTGCCGGTCTCTTTCCTTCTAGCGCTACCGACTCGGCTTTCCTGGTGGTAGGGGGGACTAGGAATGACATCCAGGTGTACGGGATCGAAGGATTGTCGTCCTCGTCCACTCCTCAAACAAGAGTCAGACTATGCGCAGCTCTAAGAGGACACGAAGCATGGGTCAGGTCTCTGGCCTTGACGCCACATCCAGAGGGTGGCTTCTGGCTGGCATCTGCAAGTCAGGACAAATACGTGCGCCTCTGGCGCTTCCAGCCGGGTGACGCCGTGCTCGCACAGAGACCCGTCGGCCCGACCGTTTCAGCAGGCACGGGGGACACATTGACGGCAAAGGTCCAGACTGTGTCTACTTCTTACTCAAAGTACTCCATCACCTTCGACGCACTTCTACTCGGCCACGAAGACTGGGTCTACATGGCTGCATGGCGTCCCCACGCCTCGAGCCCTCAGCTACTCACGGCCTCAGCGGACGGCTCTCTTTCAATCTGGGAAGCCGACCCAGCTTCCGGCATCTGGATCAGTATATCTCGGCTGGGCCAGATTAGTGGTCAAAAAGGAGCAACGACAGCCACCGGTTCATCCGGGGGCTTTTGGACCGGACTATGGAGTCCCGATGGCGGAATGGTCACTAGCCTAGGGCGGACCGGCAGTTGGCGCCTGTGGCAGTATTCCGAACAAACGCAATTTTGGACACAACGACATGCCATTAGTGGGCATGTCAGTTCTGCCAATGGAGTCTGTTGGGCGCCAGACGGAGGCTATCTACTCTCCACCAGCTCGGATCAGACGACAAGGCTACATGCGGAGTGGCAAAGAGGCACGAAACGGAGCTGGCATGAATTTTCCCGGCCCCAGATCCATGGATACGATCTCAACTGCGTCGTCAGCACATCTCCCTACCAGTTCTCGTCCGGAGCAGACGAGAAATTGCTCCGCGTGTTCAACGAGCCGAAGGATATAGCAAAGATGCTACACCGTCTATGTCAAATCCCGCTGCCGCCGGAACAATCGCAGTTACCGGACACGGCTGCCATCCCCGTTCTGGGCCTGTCGAACAAGGCGATGGATGATAATGAGGATGTTACTCAGAATGTGACGGCGGAGCAGCTTGATTCGGACACAACATCTCACGGATCGGGGTCGTCGTTACTAGATATCCAAGAGCCTCCTACAGAGGACCTTCTGTCCCGACATACACTGTGGCCGGAGCATGAAAAGCTGTACGGGCATGGGTATGAGATTTCGGCAGCCGCGACACCGGTTGATGGGGGTGTTTTGGCTACTGCGTGCAAGGCGAGCTCAATCGACCACGCCGTGATCCGGCTCTACGACACGAACGACTGGCATGAGATCAAGCCGCCGCTGAGCGCACACTCTCTCACGGTCACTCGGCTCGCGTTTTCTTCTCATCCACCCGGCCATTTACTGAGCGTGAGTCGAGATCGGCAATGGGCAGTATTCAGACAAGGAGAAGACGATGGTGACCCACGGAGCTGGAAGTTGTTGGCAATCCACCCGAAGGCGCATGGTCGGATGATTCTGGATGGTGCCTGGCTTGGAAACCGCCACCGGTTGATGTTTGCAACAGCAGGGAGGGACAAAGTCGTCAAACTGTGGTCGGAACAGTCAGGGCCAGATGGGGTCGAGTTCACGTGCAAGGTCTCGATTGCCCGCAAATCCGCAGTCACGTCCATTTCTGCCCTGTACGATGGTGACAACGGCTCAGTCCTGGCGGTCGGCGGGGACGACGGGAGTATCTCACTTCACCGGGTCTACTGCACCGCTGATGGGCCCGAAGTCCGGGAAAGCATCGAGGTGGACCGTCGTTTCTGTCCGTCAAAGGCGGTGCACCAGTTGGCGTGGCGTCCGGTGACGGAGACGGGGACCGGGACCAGAGAACACCATGGGGAAGGTCAGCTGGCCGTGGCGTCAGAGGACAGCTCAGTGCGGATATTGAAGATCGACTTGAAATCAGAGCCAAACAAATGATACATATTGATTCTGGACGAGCTCTAATTCTAAAGCCGTAGCACGTGAGAGTGAAACATGTACGGAGAGTCCAGACACGGTTATGGTGTTAAGACCACATTTGCTCAGCACGGCGGGATGCTGATTCTGATGCTGCCGCCGATGCCGCCGTCGGTTCCGATGCCAGTTGCTCGTGATCTCTGTTGAAGATCAGACGGGGTATCTAATGCAATGAGAATGTATGCCTCAAACGAGATGTTAAGTATGCCCTAGCCCACCACATGCACCGACCCATGCCAGAAGCCGAATAGGAAAACAAACAAGCAAACGCCGCCCTGGTTCCATGACGGGCGTCCCACGATGGGCGATGGGGTGGCCCCTGAGCCCTACTGGTCGTCCTCGGCCTTCTTCTCGAGGCCATAGCCGCCCAAGCCCTCGAGACTCTCGTAAGTCTTTCCCTGGCCGGGCCGGTTCTGGTTCTGGATCTGGTTGCGCGGGCCGCGCTCGTGCAGGTCCTCCTTCAACCACTTGAGGACCAGCTCGCCGAGCTTGCTGTTGCCGCTGTTGGTGTAGCAGTCGGTTTCGGCATCGTACTTGGCCATGGGCCCCCATTCCTTGAGGCGGCCGAGGTGCATGTGGGCGAGGTGGGTGGGCCAGCCGACCAGGTTGTCGAGGATGTGGGTGGCGTAGACGATGGTGGCGCCGCGACGCTCGGTCTCGCCGCGCAGCCAGGCGAGGAAGTTGGAGCGGCTGAGCAGGTCGAGGTCGACGGTGATCTCGTCGAGCAGCAGCACGTCCCAGGGCCGGATCAGCCCCATGGCCAGCTGCACGCGGCGCCGCTCGCCGTCGCTGACCGCGTGCATGCGCCAGCTCAGGTCGATGTCCAGGATGCGCACCAGCTCGTCACGTCGCGCCGGGTAGAACGACCCGCCCACCGAGTCCAGCAGCACCGGCACCGCAATGTCCGTCCGCACAATCGGGTTCAGCACCCACTCCAGCCCCAGGTACGTCACCCCCTCCAGCCCCGCGGAGAACGGGTCGACCCCGGCAATCCGGATCGTCTGCGACGGCGCCAGTCGCTTGCCCGACAGCAGCCGCAGCAGCGTCGTCTTGCCCGCCCCGTTCGCCCCGATCAGCAACGTCCGGCTGCCCGCCGGCAGTTCCAGCGACACGTCGCGCAGCCCCAGTGAGCCGTCCACGAACTTGTAGCTCAGCCCGGTCACGCTGATCTCGGGCTTGGCCGCCGCCGCCGCGCCGCCTTGTCCTTGAAGAGCCGAGTCCTGGTTGGCCATGCTTTCTTTCTCTCTATAGGTCGGGGACAGGGAAAAAGGAAAAAGAGTCCAAAACGTCAAAGGTCGTCTTGGGATTCGTCGCTCGTCTCGTGTACTTAGTAACGTAGAACTCCAAGAGTGGCCAGTGGCAGACGGCGATGATTTTATGACATTACAATATCCCCGTCCACGAAGGGAAGTTTTTTTTCTCGCTCAATCGACTCCACCCTCCGGACGGAGTATGCCGCACACCTTTAACACGCGCCTAAGCCCAGTTCTACAGTACGGCGCCGTGCAGGCTTAGGAGGCCTGCAGTTCCAGTTCTGTCTCTATCTCATGAGAATCTCGTAGTGATGGGTCCGGCTGCCACTTCCAAAAGGCAGGGCGACGTTCACGCACTGCAACTGTCTCCTCTCCGGGTCGACCGGTGCCCAGGTAGTAGGATATCTAACATATACTCCGCCGTAGAGCCGGGCGGTGGCGGTGAATGCCAAGCCCGTTCCGCCCTGGTCTGCCTTGCCTGCCACTGCGGTGTCACAATATCATACCTAAGGTACATGTACCTAATATGTAGTACTGCTAATTGGGAACCCGCGACCGCCCAGGACGGACCGCGCCGTCTTAGGTACATAAGGTACAGCGGAGGCCGTGCCGGCCAAGAAACATCGCAAGCCGAGGAAGTGCTTGGAGCCCTTCGGAGTTTTAGATGAGACCGGTTAAACTGAGTGTCGTTTTCGCCCGCCCCTGGCTTGCCGCTCTTTTGAGCCCAACGAGTACTCCGTACGCAACGCGGAATGGAAGAGTCATGCAGGATGACACCTAAGACATTTCCAAGTGAAGCTCAGGTTCAACGATTTTCCGTGATTTGGGGTATATCTTTATTTGGGGGCATATCTCTTCACATCCCAGCCAACTCTCGTCCTCAACCTGCAGTACTAGTACGCCACACAACGCCTTGCTTTGTTGGCGTAATCAATCAAATCATTCTATGCTTTCACTTAATGCTCGCTCTTGACCTTTGGGCAAATCTTACCCTGCTCTTGATTTACCTCATCCACCCTTGGATTAATTCAAAGACATGTTGAATTCTGATCTGGTCTTTAGTCGGCCTCACGCTCCCACAACGTTTAGCTTGTTGACTGCTGCAATGACTGTCACTGACAATAATTGGCGGGAAATGCCCCCTTCACCCCTCTCAGCTCGCCTTGCCACCAATCATCCGTGCTCTCCGTCTTTTTGAGCACTTTGATTCGGTCGCCTTCGCGGAACACGAGATCTCCTTCACCTTGGCCTTGAAAGTCGTACAGAGCCGTCACAAATAGCGCTTGCTGGGAAGGTTGCCGTGGAGGCGGCGGCGGAGGCCGCTTTTTCTGGGCAACCAATGCCGCGGTTGCAGTAGAGACGGCCGAGGCGGTGGAGGGTTGCCGGTCTCGAGAAAAGTAGTCCGTGTTGGGAGCAGCGGGCGAGTAAGACATGGGAGTTTGATAGACCGATTGTGGTGAAGGACTGGGCAGGATATCCTGAGGCGTCACAGGGCTCAGTAGGGAATTCCCCGGTGATGCGGCGATCTTCGGCTTCATGTCATGAGATGGAGAAGGAGGTAGGGCCCGTGCAGGCGAGACAGACTGTGTACGACTGAAGGAGGAGTTAGCACTGGGTCGTCGATACCCATTGACGGGATTCTGAGTGTTTTCTTGGTTCATGGGTGCCCTGACGGCTTTTCCATTGGCCAGAAGCACCAACGACTCGGCCTCTCGTTGCACAGGCTTAAAGGCATCGTCCCACAGTCTGATGACTTCGTCCATTGGGGGACTCGGAGAAGGGAAGCCTTCCTCCGTACAGTACCCATGCAGCATGGTGTAGTAATGCCCAAGCAGGCTATTCTGGATCTGAACCTGAGCGCCTAGAAAGTGCGGGAGGAGCGAGAAGACGGACGTCAGGAGACGAGGAAGACAATTTCTCAAGTGTTCGTCAGCGGCAGAGTACGCCTCAGTGGCAGCTGCAAGGTCAGATTGGGCCTTTGCCAGAACCGCATTGTCTCTCTCGGAGCGTTTTGTCTTCTTGAGAGCCGAATCCGCCCTGTTTTGGTATCTCTCGAAGTCTAGCTTGCGGTCCTCCCTCTTCTTGATCGTTTTCCGCATCGTCTGGAGGCTGTCTTTGGCATCTTGGGCCGGTTTGATCAACCTGTCATCCACTTGAGCCAAGTCATCCGTGAGATCTCTCTTCAAGTCCGCATATTCCAATTTGATTCTGTTCGCCCGACGGAGGATGTGTTCCGGAGTTTGGGCTGGGACGTGGCCCTGGTAGTCGTCGCCCGCTCCGATAATCGGGGTATAGAGGGTTTCGAATTCTTCAAAGACACGGTGTTGATGGGATAGGATGGAAATCCACGCTTCTCTCCATGCTTTGGACGCCTCGATGATCTTTTCGGGTCAGTGGTCCGAGTACAGCCTCGGGGGTGCGGCAGCATGTCAACATACCTTTGTCAACAGCCGATCTGCTTCCTCAAAATCCTTGAGAAGGAGTGAGACATGTTGCTCATCTGCGCTCCTCTTCATGTATTTGCCAAAATGTCGCTGGACGCTATGCATGGTGGCTGCTGGGCGAGGGCAGAGCCGGCACAGCGGCCCTAATTCTGTCTCTTCAAAAGATCCAGGATGTCAACGGAAGTACAATGGTACGAGTGGTCTGTAGAACTCTGGACCCTGTGAATGGTAGGAGTTTGTGTAGCACAAGGCCGTCAAGGAGGCAGAAAGTTCAAAGTTCGATGTACAGTGTCTGTGTAGTTCTGCTTCCTTTCCTTTCCTTTCCTTGCCTTGCTTGGGTAATGGCTAGAAGCGGAGTCTGGAACATGGGCTTTCCGCAATGCAAGAGAAGACGCGTCACGCAACGCCGATCACGTGAATGTGGAGGTCATGGTACTTCCTAGTCCCAAGAGTTTCAGGTTTGAATGTTTTCTCGTTTGGCGAGCTGCCAGACCATTGTCTGGGAGCCTGATTTCCGAATGCCTTGGGGGAGACAACAAGGAGAATATCGATCCTGCAGGTGCCGCAGCAGGACAGCGGCGCAGCGGATCGGTCCTTTTGCGGCTTGATCCCAAGGCGCCGCCGTAGAAAGGAGAACTGCGCTGCAGTGCGGGTACGACGGAGCACAGCGACTCGGCAGACACGCGTTTCCCTCTTCACTCCGTGTGTGTAGGTATGCATATGCGTTCTTATGCACATGCTGCATCGTTAGGATGCGGCAGAGGTCCATGTCTTTGACACAGTAGCTGCCGACCAAGCACAATGTCGCTGACTCCTGCGCTTCCTTCCAGTAGTTGTGAAAATGGCAACTACTGTGACCTCAACCCCCCGAGGGACTTCAAGCCTCACTGTTGCTCCGACACAGAATACCGCCCCGGTCCATGAATACCGCTGCCTATATACACGCGATCTGCATAAGAAGGCCAAGAAATGGCACGATGGCTCTCTTCGGTTTCACACCTTCAATCGACGTGTCATGGTCTACGATGATGCGAAGAACTACATTGGAGACCTCCACTACACGCAAGAGGAGGAGTTTGCTGATGGGGTCGAGATACAGCTGGATCGTGGAGTCAAGGTCGAAGTTGGTGAGCGACTAGGAGAAACCCAGACTGATCTGGCTCCAATCCTCGAGAGACAGCGTCCCGAGAAGGTAGGGCCGCAACCCAGGCAGACGGCACCTGTCACAGCACGCCCACATTCAACGGGCTTCACTCAGAGCCGAACTCAGAGGCCTAAGTCGTTGCTGGAGGTTCTGGGCCCGTCTCAAGGTCGACTTGGCCGGACAAGATTGCCCTTACAATCACCTTACGAACAGCGGCAGCCAATGCCTCGCACTGAGGCTGCCCAGCCGCCAGCGAAGAAGCGAAGAATATCCAGCGACAAGGAGAATCAAATCAGTGGTGATACCCAAGGGACCAAGCCCCGTCCACCGCCCCTTCCGCAGCCGGTCCAATTGAGCGAGACAAATGCGCCCTCAATCCATGGGAGAGAGGCCCCAGTTGACTTCGAAGAAGTGCTTGATATTTCATCTGACGAGGAGCTACAACGACCGCGTGGAAGGATTGGCCGTCCACAACCCATGCGAAGTGAGGTGGTGAAGAATGTTATGGAGAAGACGAAGCCTACCTCTGCATCTACAAACCCACCTCGGACTGTCAGGAAACATCAGGCGGAAATTTCTCTTACGAGCGGAGCATCAAAAGCTGTTTCTCGCAGACACAACAATACTGCCTCTAAACACCAGCAATCGGGAACACTTTCCGTGACTACAAGCTCGCGAACATCTCTGCTGGGGACTGCGCGGTTGTTACTAAGCCAACCCAAGCCTAGGTGCAAATTGACGTGTTTGCTGCCTCTCAGAAGAGATGTAAGTATGAGAGGTACGGCTGACACTCCGAACGGCCGGAGCATATATCGAATGAATGATCTTGAAGCCGTATCAAGTGAATGTTCAGGATTGCTTATCCGACATCAAGAAACGGAATCCGACGGAAATGATGAACGCCACGAGCCCATCCAGGTCTCGAGCTCTTGCGCGTCTTCGCCCCAGATATCTGACCAGAGCAACCATATTACTTCCAGCCCACTTTTCGTACCAGAAGACAACGCTGGACACAAACTATCGTCTCCGAAGCCGATACCCACGCAGGAGAGCTTCCTTTTCACTGACTTCTCTGGCACTGGTCTGTCACGGGGCTCAGAAAGACAGCATGAGTCGCAAGAAGATATCTTCAACGTTGAAGACGCACCAACTGTAAATCAAGGCCAGATCCCTTATTCAGAAACAGTTGCCTCGCCGTTTAGTACGCATTCGAATACTCAAGAAGACACTCATCAAGGAAACGATACTCGCCCGCCGGATGTTGCAAGCCCAGCGTACGATACTGCCGGACGCACATTCCGACGCGTCTTCTCCGAGAATGATGCTGTGGATACCGAGGAAATGGGTCGGATTCCTTGTCTTCCTGTCGGCGATAGACGGACACCTCTAAAAATACTGGACAACATAAACTCGCGGCGAAATCCAGCGAAACCCAGGAGTCCAACAAAATTATATCGATGCGTATCAGACGCAACTGTGCCGGATCATGCAGTTGACGATCCCGCGCAGGGGGTCACATACGAGCCTGCGAAGGGGGAAGTAGGACCTTGGACCTCAGAAGAAGCCTTTCTGCTATTTGACTGGTGGCCACCTGAAAAAGAGAAGCCGGCATTCTGGGATGCGCATGTGAACGAAGCAGGGGTAAAAGCTGCCGTGTCAGGACCTGAACGGGGGTGTCGGACGGGCATTACCACAGCCCGACAGTTTCTTCGTGATGATGTAGATGCATTATGATGAAATGAATCATGATTGATACAAGTCAAGCCGTCTTGTCTTTGCCCTTGATTGCGTGGCTAGCTGAGCCATATTCATAGATATAGATCAGCCAAGACTGCAGGATCCAGTCCTCTGACTCTTCTGCCATGGCTGTACTCCGTACTGTATCCGTATCTCACTCAGCCTCGTCGCCGGGCGGAGTACTCCGGGCCCAAGGACCCGCGGACCTGATACGGGGCCTGTAGGTGGCCTGTACAGAATCCAATCAACGTCTTTAGGGATTGGTGGTGATATGATAGCGACCCTAGGCCTGGGGCGAAAGAGTCCGGGGAGCTGGCAGTATATGAATCCGAAGGACATGGGCGTCGGGCCTCATTCGACCATTCTTCCCTTCTCACCACTCACTCCCTGCTCCCCACTCACGACTCACGACTCACGACTCACGACCTCCACGACTCGAACATTGAGCTGCGTGCCCAGGCTGTCGCCCCCTCTCGCCCGTCTGCTTCCTTCTGCTCTCGTCATTTTTGACCGGCAAGAGATCAGCCCGCAGCCATGGCGACCTCGACAATGAGTCCTCAGCCGGTGCCCGACCCTCTATCGATGCACGCTGCCAGCGGCGCCTCTTCCTCCTCTGTTCCTCCCCCACCAACAGCGCCGGGCGGGACCCCAAGCATTCTCGAAGAAGTGGCAGCCGCGCAGAGACATCTGCGCTCCCGTCTCGCCGGGGCGCTGACCAAGCCACCGCCCGGAGTGGCCGTGGCCGCGCTGCCGTCGGTGCCGCTGATCGACATCGGGCCCTCATTCGACGGGACTCTCGAATCGCGCAAGCAGGTGGCGTCGCAGATCCGCGAGGCGTGCCTGACGACGGGGTTTTTCCAAATCAGCAACCACGGCGTCAGCGCGGCCGCCATGGCCGGGGTGCTGAAGCAGGCGGAGCGGTTTTTCCACGAGCTGTCGGAGCCGAAAAAGCAGGCCATGCACATCAAGCACTCGGCCCTGTTCCGCGGCTACGAGCCGCACGACTACACCTATGTCAATCCCGACGACATGGCCGGGGCGGCACCGCAGCAGGAGACGAAAGAGGGCTTTAACTGGGGCTACGAGGAGGCGTTGGACCCGACCGGCGGAGACGGCGCGTATGTCGAGCTGGACGGGTCCCGGCCCAGCGCCGCGGGCGCCACGGCCACCACCACCGCCAACGGCAATGTGTGGCCCGCCGAAGAGGATCTGCCGGGCTTCCATGCCGCGATTGCTACCTACTATGGACAAGTGTTGCAGTTGGCGCGGCACCTGTTCCGGCTGTTTGCGCTGTCGCTGGGACTGGACGAGACGTATTTCGACGGCCTGATGACCCATCCCGGCGGCATCGCGCGGCTGCTTTACTACGCCGCCCAGCCGGCGGTGGAGGTGGAGGTGGAGGTGGAGGATGAGAGCAAGAAGGGCGCGGACGAGGGCGAAGGCGACACCGATGGTCATGAAGAAGCGGCCAAGCTCGGCCTCGGCGCCCACACCGACTACGAATGCTTCACGCTGCTCCTGTCATCCACCAACCCGGGCCTGGAGATCCTGTTCCCGCCGTCCGCCGTGTCGGACAACAAGCCCATCTGGCGCCCTTGCCCCGTGCGCCCGGGCACGCTGACCGTGAACGTGGCGGACTTCCTGATGCGCTGGACTAACGGCTTGTACAAGTCGACCATCCACCGGGTGATGAGCAAGCCCGGCGCCGGGGAGCGGTATTCGGTGCCGTTCTTCTTCAGTATCAATTACGACGGCGAGGTGGCCCCGCTGCCGGAGCGCTCGGTGGGCGAAAGTCTCTTTGTGCCGTTGAAGGCTGGAGAGTATATCCTAGAGAGGCTGAAAGCGACGAAGCTGTTGGAGGAGAGAGAAAAAGAGAAGCCATAGACAGCTATGTTGGGACTGGGGAGGGCTTTCAGTCATACAGCCGAGATCATCCCGTGCGTTTTTTAAAACTGGATGGTGAATGCAACGAATCTGAATCCAGCTTGTTAGTGCACCTCAAAAAGAATCTGCCCCTGTACCATCCCTACCACCCACGCCTAGCCCTCTCTGCAGCCGAGACCTGAAGCCTGAGCTTAGCGACAGCCTCGTCCGCCTGCAATGCTGCCTCATCCACCGATCCACCGTAGCACGATATGGTCACCAATTCCTCGAAATGTTGATTGGATTCTGTATGCGCATCCGAATGCAACATGTGTTCTATCCGTGCACTCCGAGCACTAAGTAATGGCATATACCGAAAACATGATTCCAAAAATCGAAAAACCAAAAAAAACTGGAGGAGCGGGGAATCGAACCCCGAACCTTTTCCAATCGTAGTTAAACGATTGTGATGCTAAGGAACTGTATACCACGATGAGTAATTTGTTATGTTGTTGCAGGGTGAGAGAAATCCTTACACGTCATACCACTAGACCACACCCCCTTTGTGTTATTTGTTGACGAAAAATTGACTACTTTTAGATATGAATGACTGTTATTTTAGTGGTTATCCCGATGCCCTAGGTGCCAAATATCACTTACCGTCCCTAATTGGCTTGGCATCCTTATGTCCACAACTCAGGTCGCAAGTTCCTCCCAGGCCGCTTCAGCTTCGAACAGGTCCGAGTATTGCCTCGATTGTAAGAACGTTATACTACCCTTAAGAAAATCTGACTTTTAGGAAGATAGGTCATTTACCACGACTGGGTGCGTTTCGACGGAATATTGGCAGCCACTGTGCATTCCAGCATGAACTACCGATCTTGATGAGTTCCTGATGGCGGGCATGAAGTTCTTTGACACATTCTGTACTCTCGGAACGGTGACTCGATCTCGACGAGGTGACAATGGCTACAGCTGGCCCCGCGGAGGGAGGGTTGTCGAGGAAGCCATTCTGGAGAGCATTTTCAATGAATGCGTTACTCGAGCACCTCCCATCGATGAGTGTTGCTTCCTCCTGGGTTTCGTTGTCATTCTTCTCCCTCTTGCAGTTCTTGAGTACTTGAGTCTAGCCCCGAATTTTGGGCACATGCGGCGAGAGGCGAATGCGGGATCGAGATAGGCCATTTGCCAAGTTAGCTATCTGGTGAACGAGCCGGACAGACAGGACTGACCACCAATATTTGGGGGAGCTGTACTCATCCCACAACAGAACAAAGCGCGGGTAATGCGAGCTAATGAAGTCATTCACATGTACGGATAGATAATCAATTATAACCCATATGGTTCGGACCCGGGCGGCCTTTCTCACTCATATCAACGCCGGGTATATAATGTACTTGGATATTCTTCCATTATACTGATCCTGATCTAGTGGCGATTTAGATTGCTGGCCCAATTCGGCTGGACGCCGCAAAGATGTACGTCTCGTCTCGTCGTGATTCTGTTCGTGATTCTGTGGCCTGCTGTTACTTTCTCCCAAACTGCGCCATCATAAGATGCCATGCTATTGCCGTTCAGCCCAGGCCACCCAGCGTCTCACGACCTCATCCACGCCTTTCAAGCCAGTCCTGGTCGCCTCGATCTCGAACCACTCTCTGTGCTCACGGCCACATTGCGCGCACTCGGACTTGACGACCCGCCGCTCGGCCAGCTCGAGATGGATGAGCCTCTCGACACGATGGACATGAGGGACTTTTCTTGCCGGCACGGGATTCGACCTGGAACTGGATGGCGATGAAGCCGTGTATGGATAGTAGCGGATGAGCGAGATGTTCTGGCCGCACTGCTTGGTCCATTGAGCCATTCGCCGGTGGACGTTGGCTGCACGGCCGATTTTCAAAGTGATTGTGCGCTGCGACCGCGAGTGCGAACGAGGGTGCCTGATGGAGGCGTAGCGCGTCAGCGTTTGATTCGTCCTCTGGGAGCGTGCAGTCAACAGCAGCGCATCGTCGTCGTCATCGTCATCTAACAGTGACGAAGCCGTCTCGTCATCCGGCTTGGACGATTCCGTCTCCGGAGTCAGCCAGAATATGTAGATATACCCGGCCTCATCGGCCGAAGAGATCGGTCGCGACAACTCGGCCAACAGAAGTGAAGTGGTCTGCGGAGAAAGCTGGGCGGGGATGATGGAGAGCAGTGTTTGCGTTTGAGACTGACTTGATGGTATTGCAGTTGGTCCTGGGCGTGTAGAGCTGAACGCCTGGGTCTGTGGGACAGGGTTGGTGTATACCCGATCGCGTGACTGCCTCATCTCTGGCCTTGCAGGCCGTATTGTGCCGGCTTCTTGCCTCGCCCTGTCTGGTCTCACCCTTGGGGCAGGCAGGACATCGTCGTCATCATTGACCTGAAGGCAACAGACCCACGACCGGTTGGAACTGGATCGTGGAGGCGGACTTCGAGGTTTTGGTGGTGGTCTGCGGCGGATAGCCTCCTCTGGTACAGTCATCAGAGGACTTTGCATCTGACTCCAGCCAGACGGTAGTGTATCTCGCCGACGGGGGCGGTGGCTGCCTGGCTGCTGCTGCTGCTGCCGACGATGCCGCTTCCGCAGGTCGGGAAGCTCGTCATCGAGTTCTAATATCCCAACTCGCTCGACCAGAGTATCGATACTGGACTTTTCTTTGAGCGGATGTAGACTCGTTCTCCGGGCACCTTTCGCGGCCAGCTGTTCGGCTTGGTCTTTGTGCTGCCAGCAATAGAAGGCAGCTGCATTTTGTTCGTGCAGCACCGCAAGCACTCCGGCCCCACGACTGGGCGAGGCAGCCGGGGAATTCCTGGGCGACGCCGCTAGGGCTCGCCGACATGGTCGTCCGGTCGAGGTGATTCCTCTACATGTTGTCGCTGGATTCTTCGAGTCGGAGCGCGGGAGAAGGGATTCTGGAGTACGCCCACTGAACGACATGTCTTAGAAGACGGTCTAGTCGAATAGGACGGTAGTGTAAGGACAGCCATATCCAAATGGAAGATGTTGAAAAGAACGACGGGCTGAGCAGAAAGCAACGTTAGTGCGGGTCAAACATGGTCTACAAACGAATGAACTTCACTGGCCAGAGACACGGCATGCGGAATCAAAGACACGTCCAAACAGGCCCATTCATTGTCTGGGAAGGAGATATGAAGGAACCGAAGCAAAGCTGGAGGCCGGGAACTGGATAGAGTCAGAGTACTCCACAGAGTGATTGGATACACGTCAAGAGTCAAGAGTTCGATGGTGGCGGGTTTGGTGGCTGGGCTGAGGAGGCTTGGGCTATCAGAGTGGGCGGTGGGCTTAGGAGGCGGTGCTGCCGCAGCGCAGCCTAAGGAGCCGGAGCCTCAGGGCAAAGGGGCCAATCAAATGCAATCCCGGGAATCACAGCACAAGGTGACAACCGTCGACTTCAAAATGCATTGTATGTAAGATATAGGACATAGGATATAGGATATACAGATACACAATTATTCTGCTCAAGCTATACAATGCGAGCCTGCCAACGCCATCAGGGTATCTCTTTTATGGTGGAACTGGCGTATATTGCATCAACATCCTCCTTGCTCAAGACAAGCTGAGTCCGCTCAGGAAATCCAAGGCATCATCCTGAGCACTCTCCAGTTGCGAGATGCGTTGCTTTAATGCCGCCGACTCCAGTTTCATCATGCCAACCACGTCCCATGCTTCCGATTCACTGACTCCGTGACACCGGGGGCAGTTGTCTCTGGTGTACCCCATGTTGGTGGCGCTTGACACCGAGGTCGCCTGGGACGGTGCGGCAGACACAGCCTCCGAAAACACACTCACGACCGAGCTTACATCTGAACCGGCTTCAGACTCTGCCAAAGTCGAAATATCAGAAGAACGGTTCCTGCGATATTTGGGATGAGAACTCAAGTCAAGCTCGCAGTCCTGGTCAACCAATCTGATGCCATGGTGTGGTGCTTGGCGCGATTCATGGGATGGTCGCTGTGTTGCCAATTGTGCTTTGAGGTCTGCGATGGCCTTTTCCTGCTCTGCCGCTCTCTCTGCCATCTCCTGGAGTTGAAGTTTCAGATGCTCGTTCCTCGTTTGCGCGGCCTCCAGCTCATCGGCTTGGACATTTTTGTCGGATATGGCGGACCTCAGCGACTTTTGCTGATCCAAGTAGGCTTGTTGGAACCGGCGCAATGTCCCTTCAGCATTGAGTTGCAGATTCTTGAATGCGGCAGGTGAGAACTCATCCGGGTGACCATGTGGGAAGAGAGCGTCTTGGATGTCTAGGTGTGCCAGCTCGTCCAAGTCAATACCGTCTAGAGAAGGTTGTGCAACTGTTGACCGACGGAAGAAGCTAAACCTCGAGGCGTTGGGGGGAGCAGGGCCCGACAGACTCGGTCTATTGGGCTTTCTCGTAAATGTGTCTAGAGAATCCTGACTGGCAGAAAATAAGTTCTCCATTGTCCCAGTCTCATCGATAGGATCCAGCTTCTCCTTTCGAGGCGACGGGATCAGGGTGATATTGACAGGCTCGGATGAACCATCAAACCAGCTTGCTAGTTTCTCAACCGCTCCCGACTTCCTTGGTACTGGTGCTTCGGACGGGAGCTGGGAAATGGAGCCTGCTTCTAGGGTAGGCAATCTTTCTGGAGACAACGATCGGGTACTTTGGGGGCGAAGAAATGGCAGGAATGTGGAGGATCTTGTTGGTGAAGAGGAGGACGCTCGGGCGAACAAGGGTGGCAAGTCGGTAGCAGTTCGAGAACGCTGGTGGCCTCTTGTCGGTGCGGGTGGAGGGAGGGTCAACGAAGAGCCATCGTGAAGAGAGTTGCAAGGCAATAGACGGGAAGGAGGAGGATGTGCGAGAGCACCGGGGAACAAGTCTTGCGACATGTAGGATGATGCAATGTGGTGAGAGTAGAGCAACGGTCTGGATCGGCGGATTCGCTTGTTCTCGAGGAAAGATCGTCTAGCGGTCCAGGTGCGATAGCAGAAGCTGAGACCAAGTCGCTCCAAGTTCAGCGGTCTAGAACACCTGTCTCGGGGAGTTAGGTGTCTGCAGTCTGACTACTCTGCAACTCAGGTTGAGTGAGGTTCTCAATGAAGACTGCCCCGCCCTTCAAATCGCTGACTGGAAGTTGGCAGAGGGTAGTGGTGGTGGTGGTCACGTAGCAGCAATACAGGACAGAAAATCTGCTAGGCAAAGACCTCACAGAAATATAGAAGAACAGGAGGATAGGCCCGCACTTGCACAGTGCTCGAAGCCTGCCTTTCTATTTTCCAATCCCCGGCGATGCAGCGGTCGAAATCGAAGTGGTTGGTGTTTTGGCGGGGCACTTGGACGCCACACATTGCACGGCATTTGTCGCTTATCGGCAGGCTGTCACCGCCACGCGAGGCTGGGAAAATCACTGCATCATAAGATCCATTTACTCCGTACTGCGGCTCAAAGTGTTGTTTCAGACCATCGAGATGAGCACAGGCCTCATGACTAGACCTGCTCAAGTCATTGCCTGTTACATAATGAGCGGGGATACATCTCAGCGTCACGCTATAGCCACCTCGTCTCAAGGCTACTCAAAGTCGCCTCGCTCCTCCTTTCTGCTTCACACGGAATACTCCGTACACTGTGCTAGATTGTTGGAATGGGCGCTGAGCCATCACGATACAACAGAACAGAACAAAACAGGCTCGAACCGAGGAATGATATTCGGGTATTAGAAGATACAGCCATGTAGGCAAGAAAGATACGGTTGTCTGGCTGATCCATCAACCTTCTTGACTGTGCGATACTTCAGCTCCGGCACCACCCTTTTGAAAGGTGGAAAAAGCAGTCAAGCCTTCCCTTCTCCCTAAGAGCATGCCTTGCTAAGAGAATATCGACTCCTTCATCTTGGATTGCTGAGGGAACTGCGCTGAGCTTCGATCTAAGCAGCAGCCACCTCCTCCGTGGTACCGTTGGTACCGTTCTCTTGGCCACTCTCAGCAGTCTCGTGCTCGTGCTCGTGCTCATGGTCATGGTCCTCCTTTCCTGGGCTGTCAATGGCGACCTTGACTGCAATCTCACGACCCTCAATCTGCTTGCCGTTCATCTCCTCCACGGCCTTCTTCTGCAAGTCTTCGGAACCAAGAGTGACAAAGCCGAAGCCGCGGCCCTTGCGAGGCTCGTTGCGAGCTTGAAGCTTCTTGATCATGAATCGAGGAATGGGACGAAGAGCAATCTTAGCGGAAACCGGCTCGTAGTCGGCGAAAAGTTCTTTGAGCTGTGGCCTCATGTTAGTTTCTGATTGTCTGTGGCGGGATGGATGATCCTTACCTTTTCCTCGCTGAGATCGTATGGCAGGTTGGCAACCATGACCTTGGTCGTGGACGGGATTCCATCCTCCGGTGGTCCGCGTTGCTTTGGGGGACGGGGAGTGCGGGCTTTGGCGTCTGGGTTGATACTGGCCTTGTTGGCATCGGCGGTGACGTCGGTCAAGGGAAGGGGGTTCTCTGCGAAATCGGTAGTGGCAGCACCGTCCTGTGACGTGTCAGTAATAGTTTGCAATACCGACGTTTTGCGTGTGTGACATACGGCAGCTCTCGCACCTCCGCGAGCACGTCCACCACGGCCACGGCCACGGCCTCCACGACCGCGTCCCGAGGATCGCTTGTGCTCGGCACCTTCAGCACCTTCAGCGGCGCCCTCAGCTGTGGCAGTCTGATCAGGCTTGCGAGCGAGTTGAACAGAAACCTTGCGCTCAAGGATGTCCTTGCCAGACAGGTTTTCGATAGCCTTCTCGGCCTCTTCAGCAGTTTTCAGATCGACGAAGGCATAGCCGACAGGACGGTTGGTCCGCGGGTTGACGGGGATGGAAGTTGACTCTCTGAGAAGAAGTGCAGGTTAGCGGGTGGTGGAAAAGAAAGAACAGACGTGTGGCAACATACACATCGTAGCCTGAAAAGAACTGCTTGAGTTCCACCTCAGTTGTCGCATAAGCGAGATTCCCGATGTACAATCGACGACCTTCGGCAGCAGAAGCAAGGACAGCTTCATTGTTTGCAGCAGAGTTGTCCTCGATGCTGGCGTTCTTGAGGTTCTCGGCGAGGTTGTCGACGGCAGAAGACATTGTGGCTGAGGCACAAGTGTTGTTGTTGACCGCGAGGGACAGGACTTGTGAATGGAAATAACTCAGGTAGCTAGAGGCTGCCTTGGGAAATCAGTTGGATGAGGGGTTTAAAGGGTAGCTGAGTGCCCTAGATTCAGAGGTTTGTTTGAAGATGAGCTCGGGTTGTGGTCAGAAGAAGGATGGTTTGGTTGATGGGAGACAAAGAGAAAGGGAAGATCCAAGGGGGCGTCGCAGGCTGAGAAAATAATAAAATTAGTTTAGCTGGGAATCAAGTTAGTGGCAGTTGCGGTGGGACTTCACTAGCGGGAAGGAGCAGGCGAATAGTCAGTGACAGAGCCGCGGCAACTACCCGGAATGGGAAAAGCCAACTGACATTAACCACCGGGGAGGGGAAGTCACCCGCTGTATAACATCCTGTGCAACCCATCCCGTGCTAGCGACAAGAACCGTCATCATCAGTGAAGACGCAAGACTCAGAGCAGCACAGCAGAGAAGAATCACAGGCCACACCTTTCCCAGCCTGGACTAGGGCGCTGCGTGTGTTGGCCTACCGTGCGATTGTACCTGACAGATGCCTGCTGTTTGGTGAGTTCGTGTCACCAATCACTACTAGCAGAAGACAGTGTCGCAGCCTCACTACCTACTATGATGGGCACTCTTCCCCAGGTCTAGTCACTGTCGTGCCTGATTACACGTTGAGCTCAGTGACATGGAGCAGGGCTTGAGGGCAAGCATAATGCAAGAATACCAGGTACAGCTGGTCAGCCTTGTGCAAACCGTCCAGCGCACTCTGTTTTGTTTGCATGCTAGCCAGACCAACCAAGGCAAACAATTTCGGCGAGGAAGATAGTGTCCAAGTTGCTGTTGCTATTGCCGTTGCCGTTGCTCTCTGCACTATACGTTTGTTGTATGAGGGGGAATGGATGTCTACCTAAGGTAGGTACGTAGTCGAGCAACAGTGTGAGCATCTACCGGCTCCAATCCTGTGCTCGGCATAATACTGATCGCTCACGAAATGACCTGGGCGTACCATGTGCCCTTCGCCTAACTGTATGCAAACGATGCTAGATCTATGAGCCTCTGATAAATTTCAGATGAGTCAATGTACGGAGTACTGGTCGGGTATTTATCATAGAGAGTAATACTATCTGTTCTGCTGGGTTAAAGCACTCTTACCAGTCTACTGTTCGGATGCATGTACGAAGATGGGACTCTCACTTGGATCGAACACACTAATCTTCTACTACACCGTACCTCTCCACAGTACGGAGTACTGAAAAGCATGCTCCAATGCTCCATGCATCTGGTACGTCTAGCCAGCGAGATTCAGCCTGACGGTGCCTAACTTTAGGTACGGAGTGGGCGGGTGTTAGCGAGGCCTAACCCAGACTGCGCCACGCACCCGCTCAGCCTCACTGCGCACCTCAGCATGGCGCTCGATTGGAAACTGAACCTGCGGCAGTCTTTCATCTCACATTCATATTTCCCTGAACAACGTTGTGTCCTTCGTTTCTCCTCTTTCTAGACCTTTGGTTCTGTCTTCTGTCCTAACAACGTTCCCTAAGATCATTCTTCAAGCTTCATTCCTTTTCCTACAACATTGCTTTACCGTCCCATCCCATTGTACGAGCGCTACGACACGAATAGCCTAACTAACCACTTCTACTACCCTCTCTACGCCTGATTGCCTCGCGTCGAGGCTTAGTCCTCGATATACACGGACCTTCTTGGACAGATATACCCCCGAAAATGCGTGTCCCATTAGATAAATATGGCCGCATAAAAACCATCGTGCACGGGGTCCAAGCGGCTATCTTGTTCCTCGCCTGGATCCTCACAATAGCCCTCTTCACACGGAAAGGGCATACGGATGGCCGAGTAGGCTGGTACTTTGGCCTGGTATGTTCAGTGGCGTCACCTTAGATGGCTGCTTCCTTAGCTACCTGTCATCATCTTCTGACGTGAGTCTAGTGCTGGCTTACGATCCCTATTCTGGTCTACCTGGTAATGGTGCCGATGTGGTCGCGCGCCCGACGGTTTGCAAACGTGTATGCCTTTGCCTCGCTCGATGGGCTTTCTGTGGTTCTATGGCTGAGCGCCTGGGCGGCGGTCGCTTCATACGTGTCGACGGGAAAAGGGAAAGGCGACAAGAATGACGCCTCAGGATGTGACAATTTCAAGTATGGCACGCCCGGGCGCTGCAAGCTCAGCGAGGCTATCATCGTGTTCGGCGTGTTTGAGATGCTCCTGTTCGTCGCCACTACCTTAATTTCCTTCCGTGCAGTCATGACCTACAAACGCACCGGGATGATGCCTACCACCCATGAAACAGGAGCGGATGGGAAATACAACGAGGGCTCGGATCCCACTCAAGACGCCTTCTCGAGTAATATGCGGCCAGAAGAGGAGGACCTTGACGCTGACCAGTACAATGGCGGCGTCAGACAGGAGTATGCTTATACAAAGACTTCTTTCGACAACGAGGCATATGCTCCAATTCACCAGGGCGACCACGACGAGCTTGCGCATATGGCACCGCAACAGCCGCAGAGTCCTTTGAACCATAACGGCTTGGGAATCCACGATTATGATACAAGCTACACTGGCGCGTACGGAGCCCAGGGCCAACACTTGCCGATTCGATGACCAGCAGCGGTGGCATTCCTTTATTTCGGTCATTGAACGCATGTGCTGCTGAGAGATGGGCCATTATCTGACCCCAACATCATTGTGATCTAATCATACATGTATTCATACTGCAGGTCTTTGCCACTCCGAAGTGGTCGAGCATTAGTACCCGCTTGCCACGGGTTTGGATATGGCGGCATATCATGTCTATTACAGCTTGGAGTGTATAGCCGTGCGCCTGGAAACATATGGTGTTCGGCGTTTCGAGTCATCAACGATCTTGGACATCTGACCGGTAGATCTAAACGTCAAGATCCGAACCTTGACCTACACGGATGGGCAGACCATGTTAGAACAGGTTGTTCATGACCAAGAGTGGCCTGTTACTCTCAATCCAATTGACGCCGAAAGAAGTATTGCCTTCAGGAGCGTACAACCATTGAAACTCATTGCCGATTTCACGTTGGCAAGGCCCCTTTGTCCTACTTCTCGCCCCTGCTACATGCTCAATCGTACATATCATTCCCACTCCGAGGTCAAGCTCAAAGCCAAGATCCGTACAGATTCTTGCTCTGTCATCTGAAAAAATGCCTGTCTCTGGGGGAACCCTTGAATACTCCCATTGTGCTGTCACCGCTTATTCCCTTTTGAGTCCATGCCTTCGAGAGCCTGTCTCCCTCAAGCACTGTCATCTTCGTTGCCGATGGTACAATCTTGTTCGACGACCTCAAAAAGAAAAGTTCAGAAAGTTGATAGCACGGTGTTCCAGTCCTAATCTTTCCCAGAAGCCGATCTAGCTGGTAGAGCCACGAGAACTTCCTATCGTTTTGTCTCTTCCGGTTTGCGCCTTGACACCTGTACAGGTCCCGGGAAAATTCATACCGTTCCGTCGTAGACCAATTGAAGAAAAGACCACATCAAGTTGCCATATCAACCTTTGGACTATTCCAAGTCACAATTTCCACTGAAATCCTCCAAATCCCGTAGAGCATGGTTCTCAAAGCTCCGCCGAGAACCTGACTGGCGGGAAACGAGGCTTGAATAACAAAACATCTCGTTGAGAAAAAAAATGGCGATGTGCACAGAAGAGAAATGCAAAATCGTCAAACGGGTCATTAAAGGGGTGTCGGGGAGGCAATGCATATCGCCTGCCGTTTTCGTACCCATGGTCTGTTGCAAAACAATCTGAAAACCGATTTGCCTGGTCTCATAACAGGATCAAGTAGTTGCTAGGTGCGATGCCTGTCTCGCCACTCTCTTTTTTCGCCTGCCACCAGCGACCGCTCACGTCCGAGACTTCGAGAATCTCATGCTTGCTGAAGCTGATTTCGTTGGCATCATCTGGATTTGCCTCATAGCTGTAAATGGCCTTGGCTCGATAGGGGTATTCAGTGGGTTGGGCTGCTGCCTGTGCTTCAGGCGAAGCGCTTGTATTGGAGGGTGGTTGGGTCGATGGCCGCGCCGCCGCTCCTGTAGGTCCACCTGGGTATCCCGAGATAGGTGAAGACGTTTCGAAGCCATTCAATTGCGCAGACGTGTACATTTGTGGCGGCTGAGCAGAAGCTGTGGTTTGTGGTCGATCGTAGGCATTGGTCATGTTTTGTGCAGGGCCACGGAAAGCACCGCGATCTTTGTGCAGGGCAAACTGGTCAATGAACTCGCGATGAGCGGCGGCGGGCGCGGAGCCGAAATAGAAGATCCAGATAATCTAGATGTATTAGCCTGGCACGACCGGTGACGCGACGATATACGTACAGCAACCATGGAGAGCAAAATGTGACCAGCAGCTGCTGCCTCCATGGCACCCTGCGGTTGATAGACAAGCGAATTGACCGCAGATGTTGTCATAACAAGGCCGGCAGCGAGGTAACCGACAATCTAACCGTGTCAGTCGAGTCCTCCCAACAAACAGGATCGAGTATACTTACGGCAATCGCGTAGGTATTGCTAGAGTTCGTCGCGAATACGAACAAGATGCCCAAAATGCAGCAGAGCATATATGCTACAGTCCACCAGGCATATTTCGGGAAAGGATCTTGGATATTTGCGACGATTGAGGAGATAAACGCGATCAGCCATGCGAGCTGTCTTGCTGTCAGTTCAAATCTTGCACAGGGACTTCGAGTCTCTTACCAGACCGATTGATATTGTTGCTAACGCGAAGGGGTCGCCAACAATAAGGCCGAAATCAATTCTGCCTCCTCTTCGAGCTTCCAACATGTTGTGCTTCTTCAGAGAGGGTGAATGAAGAGATCCGTATGAGGGCATGAATGGTTAACAAACGCGTGCAGATGCGGTTTGGTTAACAGGGTGCCGACACAAGCGAAACCGGGGCAGACAAAGAAGACGACAAGATCGAAGTTGTGGTGTCAAGTCTGAAGAAGTTTAGGTCCAGGCGCAGGCTGGCTGGGAAGAGGTCCGGGCGCAGGATGGCTGTGCTTCGGTTGGTGGTGGGTGTTGGTCCGGGTGGTTTGAGTGCACTCGACTAGCAAGAAATAGATTCGAGAAACGTAGTCGCCGATCAAAGAGAAGAGGCGAAGATAGAGAGGAGAAGAACGATCGACGGTCGGCTGACACTGGGCAATGAAAGTTGGTAGGTAAAAGTTGGAGCCTGAACGAATGTGGGTGGTTATTGCTGTGGTGTGGTGTAGTGATGCTCTGATGGGTTCGAGGAACAAGGGATTGAGTCTAGGAGGAAGACTTGATTGGAGAAGTCGAAGTCGAGATCGAAGGAAAGGCGCATCAAAGGGATAGAGGAGGTGGTAGTAGTAGTATTATGGGACACCAAGGGATGGGGGAGTTGAAAGAAGAGGGAGAAAGAGAAGCTGGATTGGGGAGGGGCCAAGCAGGGCGGCCGCCTCCTAGACTGATGAACTCCCGGTAATAAGTCAGTTGGTTCGACAGCCCCCAGGCCCTATTCGCGACCACTAACATAGCAGCTACCGCCCTTCCCATACCCAACACCTGACAGGCCTTCATCGAGCCCTGCAACGCGTTTCAACTCGCGGCACATTTGTTCAAACCATGCACTGTCTCCAGATTTACAATTCTTCCCTTGACTCGATGCTTGATTGGTACCTGGGTATGATCGCCGACTGTCTGACCGTTGTGAAAGCCTGTCAGTGTGCCAGCTGATCGAGGAGCTCCATCCTTCAGTTTTCACACTCAGACCAGCAAACGCCTCTATCAACCTAATTTCTTCCATCGTCAATGGTCCTGGGGCCCTGCTTCCGTGGCACAAGCCACGCGCTCGTCTACGCTGCGGGCATGCGCTGTGGCACAAGCACTCGATTTGGACCAGCTAAATTAACATGGATGCAATGCGATCATTCATCCAAATTGCCTACGCTAACACAGGCAATCATCTCGTTTCCTGCGTCGTCAACCTCCCCATGTAATATGATGCCACCCCTACATACTTTTCGACCCGGATGGCTTCCTTTCCGACTTCATTCCTTGCGAGGTGAAACGCGAAATGCACGTCCCTGACTACGACGATTGGGTGAGACACGACCGTCCCCTGATATGGCTGATCCATCGTTCTCGACCAATGCTGGCGACTCCACATTTCGCCCCTGACACCGCCACAAGCGTGCTCCCGCAATTCCAAGTCCCACAGACCATTGTTTCCTGTGGCGGGCAAGATGAAGTCCGTGGGCACTCGGCCACACCCAATAGTCGACAAGAAGGCTGGTGGCCGATGAATATCCCGACCATGTGATATAGAGGCCACAAAATGCACCCTTACGGTCGTCCTCAGAGCGCAATGCTTTGCACATGCTAGATCCCTACGATGATCTGCGGGGTGACGTTCCAAGCCGTTCGGAGAATTCCCCGAGAAAGGCGCAGTTTCAGTCAGGCGACTCTTCGAGCTCGGTTGCCGGTATCAAACAGATGGTTGAGCTTTCATGTGGTCCATCCCAGTACTGGGACAATTGCAACAGCTCTGCATATGCCACACTAAGCCGAGTCGGACCATTACCTGTGTTGTCGTCAGACGCCTCCTTGAGCCGCGTGTTCCAACAATTGTCATTCACAAGTATCCTTGTTCTTCTTTCGCTCGTCGCTCTGAACGGATGAGGTGTCTCTCAACCTCGTGTAGTCTTCTCTCCCAGTTTTCATACAAGTCTCCCGTCCCAATCACGCCAACCTTGACCCACCATTCCAAACATCTGGCGCTACGCTCTCGGAGCTCTTGAATGTCCTCTTCGAGGCTCTGTTCGTTCTCCTTGCATTGGGCAAGTCTCGGAATCAGGGACACCAGCTTTGAGCTTTGTTCTGCAGACGGGACTTGAAGAGTTTGCAGAGATGACAGCCTGGACGCAGTTTCCGGGAATAAGGTCGCATGTGAGAGGACAATTGAAGCAAGCGTGCTCAAATCTTCGGATTCAGGTATCTCGGAGGTGCTTGTCTGAGGAGAAAAGAGATCCGGATACGTAGACGCTGGAGCAGGTATCAGTGGCCTTCCTCAAGTTGGTATCATCTTTAGAATTTCTTCTCCTACATAGACGCTCTACATTGCGGACAACTTCACCCGCTGGACCAGTGAGCTTCTTCAGCTGGCACAACTTAGCCTCCAGAGAATCCAACTGTGCCCAAATCGTCTCGTTGTTGTGGGTAGGTGCTGTAATTGACTCGGGCCTGCCCTCCTCATTGCTTTTACCAGAGAGCAGGAATTCCAGTCGGTCAAGGCGGGTTGTCAGGAGAGCGAGGGTGCCGTGAGCGGCTGCCTCCGGATCGCTGGTGTCCGTCGCCATCACGACTGTCCTAGGCTGGACTACTATCCTCGTTCCCAGGGCATGTGGTGAGTTCAGGCCAAAGGCGCAGCCAGGAGAGGGCAACCAGGGCAAACATGTCAAACAGTGCTCCTCGGGCTTGGCATGTTTTGAGTGTTCCTCCCAGATGCCCAGAGCTGCATCCACCTTCAAGCTGCGTCTGTAACACCATCACCATCTTTTCAAGGGCCAGTTGAATGTTGTACCACCATCAATCGTCCAGGTCGGCCGCCGGAACTCGCTTGAGACTTGCAGAGGTGGAGTCCTGGCCTTTGACATGTGCAGTTGTCTCACCTGAAACAATAGCACCGGAAATCGGTGGCTGGGAACAATGATTTGTTCAACCACGCCATCTCCCTTCCGCTAAACGAGATCCCGCGATCGTGCCCTGTTTTGTGGCAGGAACTGGACTGGCTCTTGTGCGCACCCAGCCGGCCATAGTCAGCTCCGCAACCTGCACGTAAGCGCATTGGCTTGACTTGGAATTGAGAACTTCGGCAAGCCACTGGCTGCGTCTCCGGAGACTGGCGATCAGGTAAACAAGATGCTGGCGCACGATGTTGAGATGCATGTTGTTGCATTTGATCCAGTAGTAAGACACACATATTCCCGACGAACGAAGCTGCTCGGATCAGAGTTGGCCGACATCTCTGCAAAGCTTATCAACCACCACCACAGAACCCTAGCGACCACCCATGTCATCTCATCCAATGTCTCCTCTCCACTACCTTAGCTACCCTGTTCCTCCCCAGCCCATCTATATCCAACATGCCCTCTTGCAGACTTCAGTCATGAGACCGGGGCCATGGTCTTCGTGGGACCTGGTTTCCGGTTTTTGGTCCATGAGTGTATGTGTACCCCTCGCTTCCTACCTTTGCCATCGGAACCTCCTCAGCACAGCTTGTGTCTTTTCTTTGACACCTGACTACTTCTGTGCCAGCATCGCGTGCTCTATACCGACAGGAGCTTCCCCTCATTCTAAGTCATAGATGTGATGCGGTCTGACCACCAGGCACGAGGTTGCGAAACCTGCATGATGGCACCACCAGACCCCTTTCGTTGGACATATACCGACTACGTCTGTTTCCTGCGAAGCCATGGCTTTCACAACCTTGCCTGTCTTGACGAATACCTTCAGTGGGGAGTAGAAGCCAGTCGAAACCCCAGTGCCCAACGACCTCAGCATTCAACAGCGATTCTGCTCGAATTTGGAACGACAAGTTTTAGAACATCAGACCTCTCAGACACCACAAAATTGAGGGTACTGTTGAAGGAATGGACCAAAAAACCCGCAACTGCTCCAGCTCTACCGACATCCGGTGTTCAGGGCCGCATCATCATGGTCAACAACATCAGTCCTGAGGTGGTAGATAGTCTGGGAGGACTGCTCAACATCGAGCCGGCATTTTTCGCCTCGCATCTTGCTGACCATGGCATTGGAAGCGCCGGGGAGGTCAGCACGGTATCTCCGCTCGCGTCTCAAAATCTACGCCACCAGAAACAGTTCTTCACGATCGAATACCCTTGTGCATTTGTTGCCGCGAATTGCGGAAAGGATGTCGACATCGACAAGCTCTACTGCAAGGGAAACTATCGTCGGAGGGTGGAGGTATGTTCGAAGCACGGTAAACAAAAAGTTGCTCTCGCCCGTCGGAAGATTTCATTCTACATGAAGACGACTCTCGATCCGTGGGTATGTGTTGTCCTCGTCGATCCACCAATCTCATACTTCACACTCGGACTCGAATCGACGTTTGGAGCGTACTCCCCTACGCAACGTCTTGATGTAACGGGCTATCATGGAGGCTATCTGGATTTTATCGAACACCGACGACCTCCAAGCAAAGATGGGCATGACTTCCGCGAATGTGGAGCAAGGCCCATGTGTCCCAATCCATTCGACGATCTATGTCGACACTGGCAGATCATGGCCCGGGACGGCCTGATCAATCCGTCGGGCCGAAACTTGCTCAACATCATGAAACCGGCCTTCCAGATCGCAGCAAGTGAATGCAGCAACTTCTTCGACTACATACGCGCCACACTCGAGACCCAACCCATTTCGACATCCCTCACAGCCGACCCGCCGAAGACGAAGAGGACGCTCGACAAATGCATCTCCCTCGACTCGATGCTTAGTCGGTATAAGCCCATCCTCACACGCATCAAATCCTTCGTGGGCGCGGATGCGGACCTGAATGAGGACTACCGCAGTCTTCTGATCGACTTACACCACTACCGTGCCGAGTGCGACTCACAGATGCAGCATATCCTCGCCGTCTCGCAATGTCAAGACACCACGTCTCTTACCTCGATCAACGGCGAATCTGTCCGCCAGGCCGACTATTCGCGGTACTTGACAATCATCGCCCTAATCTATGCACCGTTTGCGCTCGCCTGCGCCATTTTCAGCATGCCACATGACTTCGCACCTGCCGCGCACTATTTATACGGCTTTTTGCCCGCCACAGCTGGGGTGACTTTGGTATTTTTGTTGCTTGTTTTACCAGAGGCTAGAGATCCCTTGCCGAGCCTCAAGTCGGCCTTTTGTGGCAAGTTGACGAGGAAGAAGTTGCTCGCAAAACCGAGCAGTCGCAGCATGCCGTCTATGGTGAACGAGAAGAGATATACTGAAGACGTTTGAATGGTTGGACAGAACGACCCTTGTAACCGATGACTGGACCAGGTCTCACAGTAACAACGTCTGGAACTTATCGGTACAAGATCGGGTTGTTGTCAAGCTGGTTGCACAGCCCGACACTCAGACTTTCCGTCCAGATTACGGTTGGAGGCCTTAGCACCAACATCAAACAACGGAAAGGAACGATCATCAATTCCTTATCTCATGAAAGGCACACCTCCAAGGTTCAAGAGTCAGTTATATATTCTCGTACCTGATCGGCGACTACGGACAAGAATCAGGCCAGACTCGTCACACAGAGCCGCGCCACGACATGAGAGGGGCCATGCAATTGCGCATACCCCATAGCGACATGGTCTCACAAGATCCGGTCCTAGGTATGAATTAGCAACTATCACCTGCCTTCATGTCCGAAGACAAAAAGGAAACAGTTACCTCCCACCAACCAGCCCATTTCTCAGAATCTGCCAGACATTCAGACACACCAGACTGACATACATACCATGCCGGAGACAGATACGACCAACTCGATACAAATCCAACACAGCACGATGACGACATTTACGACCGTATGATTTACCTTCTCCCATGGATGGCGGAACATCGGCTGGAAAGGACATGTCTTTTGTATGCGTGCTTGCTTGCACTACCTGATATGATGGAGTAGGGTAATGCAGTATAAGATCTAGGTATGGAGACGAGATGCATCTGATGAACATGTTTTGGGCATCCCGATTACTCCTCGGGCCGATGATCGACACCGTCACTAGTGATAATGACAACACCAACAAGATGGGATTGAACAGGCATAAGGAAACGAGACTTTTATTTAGCAAACATGAATTCAGCATTTTCCGTTTCATCCCGTTCTGACAGTAGTAAACCTAAACTTGTTTCCTTTTCGCTCCCTCGATTCCGGGTTCGGTCTTGGTCTTGGTCTTGGTTTTGTCCTTTATTCTATAGGTATAGGTAGGACTAGAATATCCAGTTGGGAGGCCCGGAGCCCTAACTGCATGGATAGAGAACGGCGAGGTTGGCAAGCTGGGGGTCCGGGTGCCCGATTACAATACAACACTCGTACGGGTTGACCACGAAACACCTTGAGAAGCAACCTGAAGTCGAGCAAGTCGAGTTGTTTTCGAAACTTGTACTGAGTTAGTTGACTGATGTTTGACTGTTTTGGAAACTTGTAGTTATGTAGTTGACTGATATATGACTGCTTCGCTTCAAGGGGATCGAAGCTGTGGATCGACCAGTCCAGTAGTACTCCGTAGAACTATTAGCTGGTCTTCTGCTTCTGTCCCTTCCCTCTCTGTCCTAGGAGCTTTCTTTTCCTTAGAAGGAAGGATTCGGAATCCGGGAATATACACAGACACACATATAATATACACACGACGATATCAAGTTCCTTCCATAGTCTGTCTTGAGACTAGATCGTCTTTACAGGCGTCAGCCTCGTGGACACCTTATTCGTCTTCGTCTCCGTGGCCAGCAGAGCACGCAGGTCAGATTTGTGTATTCCCATCGAGGCAAACAGAAAACATGAGACGGGCCGCAAGATACAATACAATGTGGTGTGTTTCTCCGCCCTAAATTTAAATCTTACAGGAACATTGCCCCAAATCAAACCTCTACGCTGGTAGGGATCTTGACTTGTCCCTTCTTCCGCTCCTGGCTGGGCACGCCGTACCTGAATCCTGGAGCCTTGGTGCCACGCCCGTCCAGTCCCGTGCCGGTCCTGGTGGCGCGGACCTCCGTGACGACAAACTGCCAGCGATCCGTCTCGATTCGAATCTTCTTCTTTTCTTCAATTCGGGCCTGGCGTTCTATGATTGCCTTACGCTTGGCATCTTCCTGCTGTAGTCGTTCGACGTAGCGGGCCCGAACCTCGTGCGACTTGATTGTCGGGTCGAGCTTGTCTTTCTCGTAGGCCACCAGGTGCGGGTGAGGGATGCGCGCATCCGCGGGCTTCAGAACCGGATGCTCGTGGCCTGGTTTGCCGACGATCTCGGGGGTGGTGTCTTGCCAGGGCTCTAGGAGTGGTTTGCCATCTTGTCCCCTTTCCTGCTCGTCTGGAAGGCGAGGAGCGCCACTGAAAACGCGCCCAGCGTCCGTGCGGGTGAAGGCTCGCGACTCCGACGTGGGCCAGAAAATCTGACGGTAGGTCATGGGATGTTGTTCAAGGTCGTTGATCGGCTCGTGCTCCTCAACGGGCTTGCGTGTCTGAGGGTTCAATTTGTTCACTGGTACCATGGACTGGATGGCTCGTGCGTAGGGAATCGCGAGGGATTTGCCCTAGTTGAATCGAGGACTCTGTTAGCATCTTGTCTCTTCCATGAGCAGAATGTGAGGGAGCCTCGATGTTAAGCATTCAAATACTGAATCAGAGAGTTGTAATTTGTTTTTTTAGATCACCATGGTGGAAGTCTGGAAGACTAATCGATTTTGGTTGTTCATCATAGTAGAGGGTGCAAGGGCGAAAAAGAAATGGGGCCTTCTTGGACATACCTCTGCGACCATTCTTCGTTCGACCTCGACGAGACGAACGACAGCGGCTATTCTGCGCATATCCACGCCCATCTCGACCGAGACCTGGCGGACGGATTTGCCGTCTACTCGTACTCGCTTCCAGATTTCTTCGCGGAGCTCGTCCGACAGGATGCTTTGTGAAATGAATGTGTGGTTTAGCGGGAAGGGTCGTAGGTCTTCCTCGTCTTCTTTGCGCAATCGGGGTTCTTCTTCCGCAGCTTCCTCGAGAGCGACGACATTTTCCGTTTCTGGTCCTTCGGAGACGGGCTCAGGAGACGAGCCTTGCTTCTTGTTCCGATCGCGTATCAGGTTCCCTCGCCGATCATATGCCGAGAGATAGTTTGTGGAATTGGCCAGAGGCTGTCGAAAATTTGCTCCGGGCCCTTGAAGCCAGTTGAACATGCGCTTTCGAAGTTGAGTTTGGGAAGAAGGGGTGGAAGAGAATGCGCGGGTGAGGCATGATTTGCAATGGGTATGGACGGAGGGACGAGGAATCGTAATTGAAGCGGCCGACGGTGGTATTCGAGGAGGCATGGTGGCCAGCTATCTGACAAGGTATGAGAAGGAACGGATTACAATGTTACCGCATGATCTCAGAAGGGGAATGCTTTGACTTTGGCAGCGGTCGTAGCTGGGAAATCAGTAACCGGACCAGCTTGTTCTCTGCGTCGACGACGAAGGACAGAATGGGATGGAGGAGACGAGACACAAAATTGCTTGCAGAGCTTCAGAGAGACGGAGTTAGTGCCCGGCAGACTTGCCTTTCTGGAAGGCCAAGCGTGTCTAAATACGGCAATAAAATGACAAGGATGACAGCCTGATTGCTATTGAAATTCATATACTCTATTGACAGACAGAATTATTTATTGCTGATATCAACATCCAGTGTACAGTGTACGGCAAGACCGGAAGAGTTAACGGGTGAGTGTTGGAATTTAATCTGTTAATCTGTTAATCTGTCTCCCTGAGATACAAGAAGCCAGTATGAGTATTTGCCTGGACACAAAGCTGAGATCAAATGATTGCATGATTCATGGACCAACAGAAAAACTTGGCCAGGTCTTCATGAACAACACTTGACACATGACCCACGAAACGAGCATTCTGATATCCGATAATCGAGGTCGAGGTCGAGCGTCATGAGAGCCAAAAACTTTGCCTACAAACCCCTCGAGCGGAGGTTGTAGGGAAGTGAACCTGTTTTTTACTGAGGGTTTTCGGAATGGTCGTTGGTCGTGTAAGATGATGATCCACCAGTTGAATTGAGACTCTTTCTAAACGCTTGTGCGTACCACCCATTGTTGTCTCTTTCTATACCACTGCGCCATCGGGACTTGAGAGGAGGGAATTGGCGAATTACGATATGAAGTGCGGCAGTATAGATTATCAACAGGTGAACAAGGGCCCCAGTGCCGGTGTTGGTTCGCCCACAACGGAGCCTGCATCCTTCGCACTTCACATCGCCCTCAATCTTCAATGGTATGTCTATCAGGCTTTTGCCCCTTTATCTACTTGCTCCCCTTCGAGATGTAACCATACAATTTACGGGAGCTGGATGAGATGGTCAGAGCTAAGGCTAGAACCACATCCTCTTCGGGCGCTGGGCCGATGCCATGCCCATCCAACTGGACTGCTGCCAGCACTGGGCTCAGGTTAAGTTAGCAAGAGAGAAGACAACATTTGTTGACCTGAAAGCCACGTCTGAGAGCGATCCATCTTCAGAACATCACGCCGGCTGGCTTCCTGCTGCGCCGCGGTCTCCGTCAAGCGGTTGGGCAACAACGAAGTGGTTTGAGGCGGCGTCAAGACGTGGCCATCAACTGGGCTCGCGTACAGAGTGGCTGACCATGATGGACTGTGTATGGAGTACAGGGCAGATTCATCTTGGCGTTGAAACACCCACGTTGTCCCATTCTACTTTCAAGGTATAGATAGATACTATGTATATACAGATGCGAGTCCCGGCGTGGGCTGGGAATTCTATACAGTGGGGGGCAAAACAAGGTGCCGCCTGGATATCTAGAATCTAGAGTGCTGAAACACTGGCAAAGTTCGCTTGAACGCTGCATCAGACGGGAAATAGGAGACAGGCAGCAAAATAAACAAAACATCAAGGCACGAGGTGTGATGGATCAGCCAAGGCGGACGTCCGTCCCTTGAAAGGTAGCAGACCCCGACCACATACCTCTGACCAAGGGTAGATTGACGTCCGTAATCGGCTTGCCAGTTGAAGCGGCGACTTCTTCGGCTTGCTTCTTGTATGCCGGGTCATTGTTAATCGTCATGTGCCCATGAAAGACCACCATACCACCTCCCTTGATGATATCCAGGCCACCGGGCCCAACAAGATTGGCGTCGTTTGTGACAAGCAGAGGGCGACCGGACTTGGTATAAGGACCATTGATATCTGTGGCCGTGGCATAGGATACGTCGTACTTGGGCGTGGTGTAGCAGTTGCTGCTGAAGAAGAGGAAATAGATACCTTCCTCGGACCGGTGGAGTGAAGGCGCTTCGACCAGAGGTCCGTCAAGGTCGTCTCTGTCGAGAATCTGAATCACATCGCCGATTAGAGAGACGCCGTCAGGTCCTACTTGTTGAAGCATGATGGGAGTCGGGACGATTGGAGCAACGGTGTTGCCACAACTGCCGCCATGGCCGATTGAATTGCCGTCCGTCTTATAGACCACATAGCGCTTACCCGTGGAAGGGTCGTGGAATCCATCGGGATCGATAGCGCCACCCTTCGTGTGAACATCTGGGCAAGCTAAAGGAGAATCAAGGGGAACGTAAGGTCCCAAGACATTCAGAGAAGTAGCAGCGCCCACACAATGGAAGGCTGGAGTCGTTACGAGTGCATCGGTGTAGTAAAGAACGAACGAGCCGTCGTCCTAGTCCACATCAGTTTCTGAGAATCTCCGTCAGTTGCAGCACAGCTCAAGCTCACAAGTTGTACAACATCGGGCGCCCATACCCGGGCGCCAGTCTCCCATGCGCCGATCTGCGGCAGGGCGTCATGATGGGTTAATAACGTCCAGGTCTGATTGTCTGTGGAGGTGGCTATCTGCACATGAATCATGTCGGCACCCACTCCTCGGTTGTTGGTCGCAAAGGCGTAAGAAACTCCATCCACGTGAATGATGCCTGGATCAGCAAAGTTGGTCTCGACGAGGGGTCCGATTACCGACGCAAAAGGGTTCGTCGACGGGCCCCCGGCTGCTGATGACGTTGGCAGCGGTTCTGGTTGGGGTGAGCGAATGACTATGTCGCGAGGCGTCAAGGGTCCCAGAGAAGAAACGGCCGAAGAGGCCAGTAGATAAGCAGGGATGGCAACCATGGCAATAAACCTTTGATCCGGAACGAAAGGGGGAAGAGACGACTGTCTTGGGAGGCTGACGAAATATTCGTCAAGGGCAGAACGACTGACTCATTGGAAAGAATGTGTTGTGAAGACCGAACACAGCCCTGACGCGAGCGCGTATAGTGAGGTAGGTAATAGATCTAGGCCGGCTTTCTGGAGAGACCGCCATGCTGTCCGAGGGTGAAGGTACGGCTATTATACTTTGCCAGGAATGGATCCGAGGGCTTTTCTGTCGCGCCAGATGGTAAGGCTGTGCGGCTAACCTGCACCTACGCTCCTACGCAGGAGGTCAGGGGCACATAACTGTAACCGGGTGAGCAGGGAAGACTAGCGCTGTTTGAGCGGAGTGATTGGCCCCCAAGAACTCTCGACAGGTGCAGCAGTGTTGTGACACTTGCGGGCACGGAGCTCGCGGTGGTAGTCTCGTTGAGCTATTTGAAGCAGAAGCACCCCAGAGGGTCCCAGTGGCAGCTAGGGATTCCTCGGTCTCAGTCGGGAGCGACAGATGCCAGATGCCTGATGCTAGATGGGGGCGCAGCCAGAGATGGAGACTTCGAGGTGGAAGAAGCCGTAGGCCATTTGGATCTGGGTCTGGCCCGGATGTGCCGCGAGTGATCTTGGATGACATTATCGGATTAATAGTACCGTCTGCCAGAGGTGCCAGAGACTCGAGAGGAACTCCGTCCACTGGTGACTGTACCATCTCTGTACTATACCAAATAGTATGCTGCTAATTGCCTGGTAGAGGAGCTTCGGTATTAACGAGGAACGAGTAGTAACGGGCAGTCACGTCACGTGCTCGCGCTTCGTTTTCGCGGTCCTTTTAGGTTTGGCCAAGCTTCGAATGCCAAGTGCTCGCATCGCTTGTCTCACTATTCTATTGCTATTTCGAGACCCGACTCCATTCAACAACTCAAACTCCCACTTGATGGAGCCATGAGCCATGAGCCATGAGCCATGCCACTGAGACTGTACGAGAAGCCTGCAAGAGAGCGGTGCATCGGCCGTCTTGATGTAACTCCAATCATTGGTATGGTCCTATCGCCAAGCAGACTTACACTGCGACCCCCCCCTTTGATACCCCTGAATTATTCTAGACGGTGTAACGGAAAAACGTTGCGTTATCGCCCGCCTCTCTCTCCGCAAACTTGTCTGCGGCCGTGTATTGGTCCAGGCTCTTATATTCGCGGTCTCGACGGGCGTTCTCGCGCCGTAGGTAGATGGTCATAAACATTGATAGAACTGTACTCATTGCGACCATCCCGATCAAGATAGCATGGCCTTTTGTGAACTTGGGAGAATCCGTAGACAGGTAGATGAAACCTGAAATCACACCGCCAAGATTCCCTAGACCTGGATTTAGCTTTGGCTGGTCTCGAATACGTGCCAACCCTCTCAACAGGTTCCGGCGCCGGCATGTAGACATTAGAAGACTTACCAAATCCCACGTGCATGGCGATCCCCACCCCGCGCTTGACGGTCCCGCCGATATTGTTGCCATTCCAGGCAACGCCTTGTGGAACATTGGCATAGATACCAGCAGTAAAAAGGAAGCAACCTGCGTACTTGACATGTGGGTTTTGGGAGGAAATAAGCATGATAAGTCCGGTTAATGCGGTGCAACTGAAGCCGATCATGAAAACGCCTCGAGTCTTGAGTCTATCCGCCGCAAAGCCCCCAGTAATACAGCAGAAGCAAGCCATAATGTATGGGGGGACCGTCATAAGCTGAGAAGTCGCGTTCGTATAGCCGAGAGTCTTCATGATCGTTGGTAGGAAGAGCGCAACGGAGTAGAGAGAAGTATAGATCCTGGCGCGTGTGAGCAGACCAAGCTTTAACGGGAGAAGCTGACCCTAACCCAATGGTAATGAACATGTGAACCCAGATTTTCCAATCTTTGATAGCATGCCAGAGATATTTCATATCAAATTCGTCGGCGAGTGAGCTTCGGTCCCGCTCTAGACGGCGGGTGACTTCTTTTCTCTCCTCAGGAGTCAGGAACTTTGCAGTAGACGGGTAATCATTCATGACAACGAAAGCCACTCCAGCTGCAGTGGACCGATAGTCAGATCATCGATCCCGAGCGAGAGGTGAAGATCGCTTACCGATGACAAGCGTAAACAGGCCCTCCAGGATGAAAATCCATGCCCAGCCGGGTTTGCCGCCGACCCCGTCCATCACGATAATACCACGGGCCAGTAACCCGCCGAACGCTCCAGCAGCTGTTGCCGCGGAGAAGAAGATGGCCTATTTCAATGTTCATGAATGAGGACTTCTTGCAACTTGCCACGCCGACGTTGAAACCATCACTCACCATCCTGAGGCCACATTCATGTCTCTGATACCACCTGGACACATGCTATCAGTAGGCAGCTCCATTTAATCTCGTTGGCTCACCCACATTGTGATATAAAATGTCACTCCCGGAAACAGCCCTCCTTCTGCAATACCCAACGCAGCACGAGCGGCAAGGAGTCCAGCAAAGTTGTGGACAATGCCCATCAGACTGCAGCAGATGGCCCAGGTGACCATGATAGATGGTATCCAGATTGAGGGACGGGTTCTCCTCATCATCAAGTTAGACGGCACCTCCGCAGCAACGTAGAATGGGAAAAAGACAGCAAGTGCAATCTATCTGATGTAAGAAACCGTCGATTCAAGAGCAGAAAATCAGCGAAGACGAACGTTGTAGTTCAAGCCTGCCATGCCCAGGTCCTTCTCCAGCCCATCAAGGCGAGCGTTTCCGATGTTTGTTCGGTCGAGGAACGAGAGTAGATAGAGTAGTGCTAAAAATGGGAGGAGAGTCCAGTCCAGCTTTCTGATTAACTTCTTGGTAGCCTTCATGTCGAAGCCGAGCTCCTGGGTGCTAGTAGAAGCCGATTCCAACATGTCTTCATTCTCCCTGCTCGGAGGAACTTTGACAGCAATCTCGCCCCGAGAAGGATGCATGTTCATCTGCCAGCTCGCTCGTCGATGAACAAAGCGACATCGACTTTAGAGACCAGTGTGGTATGAGTAGGAGAGGCGAGAAATGAACCGACTTCAAAACAGGGAGAACGGAAGTGAGGATGTCTCGTGGCGAATGCACGGGGTTGAGACACAATCTGGGTCACAACAGACGATATATAGATTTGACGATTGACTGTGATACTCACACTTGGTGGGGTACACAAGGAACACTGGCCACAGAAGCCTAACTCTCCGTGCCACAAGACGTCCACGTTGCTCCAGTCACCTCCCCCCTTGGATCCAACTGCATGGTGTAAGGCCATCTCCGGCCTTAGTCGTCGGCAAGGTGTCTCAACAACTCCAGCAAGACTTCCGCAACAGACAGACTCACTTTCATGGCCGAAAGTGCCGAAGAGATATACTATGGATACGAGAGATGTTTCCGTGATATTGTCATATCCATAACTTCGGCTAGGGCACGGCGGTCTTCTCTCGAGATAGTGCACAAGGAGGTCATACCAGGAGTTCAAGAACAAAAGGACATTGTCTGAAACGGGGAAATCCATCAAGGGACGCCGAGGTTTGTGGCTGAACTTGACACATCGGATCTCACTTCTGGCATGTCCGCATTCTGACCTGGAAGATAGTTGTTACGCGAAGATTCACGCAAACGCCGGAGGTGGCGGAATTAGTGCGTCCAGTCCCCGGAAACGTCGCCATATTAGTATGAAATAAGTCAAACGGCGGGAGCGACAAAGTATTTATACCTGGACTGGTCGGCTCCGAGGAACAGGCTGAGAGATCTATCTGCCGACGGACAAATGGGCCCTCATCAGGTAGCAAACGCAAACAGGTTCCAACCGCAGCCTGAAGCGCCATGTCCAGCCACATACGGAGTATTAAATTGGTTCAAGATGGTCAAGAAGGATTAGCAACGGAGAAGAGAGAGAGGTCAAGCATCCCGCCTTCGTGCAGTGCCAGTCACGGTGAAGTCGTGTAGTCGTGTCGTCGTGCCTGCAGTGGTTGTTCGAGGTTATCAATATGCCAAGACTTGACGCCAAGACTCGGAGCGGGATTCAACTTCAACTTCAACTTCAACACCAAGTTCCAGGCACGGCTTCGAAAGGACAGTATTAGTAGTAGTAGCAGTAGCAGTATGCATCTGGTGGAGCCGTGCTGGTCAGCCTAGCTATGTGGTCGGTGGTGTAGGAGCAGACTGTTTCGTGGTCGTAGACGACTGAGAGAGACTCTCTGTTGGCCGGTGCGTATGAAGGCATACTACAGTACTGGGTATAGGTAGGTAAGACCGAGTCACACCAGTGAAAGGAATGCAAGAAGCTGTGAAAACGTCTTGGGAGGTGTTGTGGGATGAAGAATGGAGTTTCTGATCTCTCAACAGGCGGTCTGCGTCCATCCGCACCCCAACGACGTTGCTGCTCGGTCACCTTCCCCAGTGCGCCTTTGCTCACTGCACTCTCCAAAGTCACAACGACTCGCACAGATCAATCACTCTTGTAGCCCAACCCAAAATTGGACTTAGCCATGAGCGGCAGAATAGTCAATTACGCGATGACGATGACGTTGATGGAGGCGACCGTTTTCTGCATTGCCCGTATTCCCTATCCCCCCAAACCAAAATGTAGACCGATCCTGCTCTTCCTCCTGATTGACGAGGCTCGATCCCTGCAACCGTCCAGAAATAGACCAAGTTCCTCAATTTCCCGCAACGCCGTGCTTTGCAAGGACCATGTCACAGCAGCCCAAAAGCCCAGAGCCATGCCCGCTCAAGCAATCAACAGTAAATGACGACAACCGCATACCAGCCCTTTTATCGATTCCCGCCTTGACGCAACCCCCCTCTCCGAAGACGCATTGCATCTTGACTGACAACAAGCTCCGGAATGCGACCAAAATGATTTCAGACTCAGGCGTCCTAAACCCAAAAGCCTCCACTTTTGATGTGGACAATCTCTGCCGTGTTCCACTCGTCCCCGTTGCACCAGTTGTAGAAACTCCATATCCCCCAGCGCGAATGAACGAAATCGCTTCGAGTGAGATCTCTCCCCGGAGAACGCTGTGCAGAAGCATCAAAACCACACCAACATGCATAACCAACATTGATCTCTCCACCTTTTCAATGCACTGTACACCGAAGATATGCTGGAAAAGACAACACAACTCCGCTCATACAAAACATATCATGCCTTGGTCATGTCTTCGTAGCTCATTCAACCCCAGACCGAGGTGGCCCCGATCTTGTTAGATCCCCAGACCCCGCTTCCAGTGCCCCAAGCTCCTGTACCAGAATTCGCAGATGACTCTTTCGTCGCATTAGAAGTTGAGTTCGCCGAATTCGCTCGGTCGGCGTTTTGTTCGTTTGAGCCAAAACCATAACCCAAAGACGAAGGAAGTGGTGATGTAGTTCGCTTGTTGAGGGATTGATTGGGCGCTTGTTGCGCATTGGGACGACTTCCAATAGGGCCCATACCACCAGTGCCTGGCGCCATCGTGGACTTGGAGATTTGTCGGGAATGAGACGATTCCTCTCCAGATGGTGGTGTTGGCGCCTTGCCAGAGGATTGCATCGAGGGGTCGAAGTTCCCAAATCCGGATGATGCTTGTGCAGAAGGCGAGGCCGCCTTCTCGACCCGGGAGCCATCTTGACCTGGAGCGCCTTGCGCAGTGCCTTCGCTTTGTTGGACTTGGCCGGAGATACCGAAGGGATCGACTCCACGAGGCGACGGGCCTCGAGCAGCCCCTGCTGAGCTGGTAGGAACAGTGGCTCCTTGGTCTCGGCTGGTGGCGTCGTCGGCGGTGAACGGAATCTGACCGACAAAGGCGGAGTTTTCGGCGCCGTACAAAGCACGATGCTGACGGGCAATCAATTCCCGGCGGCCCTCCTCGCTCAAGGCGCTGGGGCTCATCGAACGATCGGATTTACTGGACGACATTTCCGCCAATACACCTACTGAGCAGTCAGTACCATTGCTCGGTGTCCGGAGCGGATTAATACGCTTACTTCGATTGTATTGTTGTTCTTGATGGTAATTGCGAAGCTCGCGCTCTCGCTGAGCCGCCATCCTCCTTTTTGCTAGTGCAATCTGATCGGGATCAGGTTGCCGCCCTTGGTGCCTTTGTGAAGCATAAAAGTTTTGGAGGTTTGCGCCTGTATGGGGCCGAGAGGGGTCGAAGTCGGTATGGCGTCCGCCATATACACGAGGCCCTTTTGCTATTAAATCAGTATTGGTGCATGGCCCATTTGCTTGAGAAGGCGTACCGAAATCTCCTCCGGGCCGACCGCCAGGCACAGACATGGACATCGGCCTTGGGCCTGGAGTATAGAACTTGCCGCTCTTGAGAAGATTATCCGTGGCTCGGTCCACCTCTATTTCAAATCAGCATCTGAACTGTGAACCGGTATGAGGGTTGGACCTTCGAATTGGATGGCGAAGGCGTTGCCATCTTCGCGTTGTGAGGTGGAACTTGCGCCTAGCAAGACTGTCAGCTCTTTCCCTGTTAGAAGTGTCGTTCCAAGTGCGACAGACCCGACCTTGACGGCGGCGGGGGTTGTTCCCAAGACGCCTGCCGGACAGGAGCTTGCCATCCCTGTGGCTCGTAAAAAGACATTGTCCACCGAAGGTTTTATTGACACGGGTTGACAGGAGGATCGAATGGTCTCGGGGAGGACAGAATTGCTGGTCGGTAAAGGAGCGCCGTGCAGTATTCGCGGAGCCTCGAACTAAACCAAAGAACAAATAAGTCTGTTGGCTTCAACAACCAAAGGTGATAGATGACAGATGCGACTGGCTGGAAGATGATGGAAGGGAAGCACGCAGTTGGACGGGGAGAGGAGGTGGACATGTGGTTGTATGTCTGGCTTGGTTTGGTGCGAAGTTTTGGGTGGGGAGAGGGCATTTTTTTCGAGGATCAGCCGGCTCGAGCCAATGATGAGTGCAGTGGAATCGGTCAACTTGCCCGCGACCACTATTGGGGCAGAGGGCAAGCAACCCAGTTCAACTTACGAAGACGGACCGGGCGGAGGAATTGCTACGGACCGGATGAAGTGAAGTTCAAGTTGTCCACCTGCGGGCACTGCAGCAGAAACGGCAGACGACAAAGCCGAGGAAAGGGGGCGAGACAGAGCAGGAGAACCAGGAATGATGATGATAATAAGAAGTTATTATTACTACCGAAAAGCTATCGTATGGTGGGGAGAGCGAGGGTCGCAGCGGGAGGAGGAATTTCGGAGGAGAGTCAAGGAAGCCGAGCATTACTGCCTAGTGGTAATTGTGCCTATGCTTCTGTCTTTTTGCTGGTCCTGAACCCCGTACCTCACTGGCAGTACTCCGTACTCTTGAAGAGACACGTACAGATTGATAAATCCATCCATTATCCGTCTCCTGCTTCTCTCCATTGCCGACTGATGCCGTTGGACACTGTCCCCCCTTGTTGCTTCCAGACATGATCGAAGCACCACAAAACGGATACATGCCTGCTGCATCCGCCTCTTGCAGAGCTAGCACCCAGCGTTGCGTTCTTCGCGTGCCGGAGGATTCTGGACGCCGAGTACACAGTGGGTGAGGAAGCGCAGGCGGGACATTCTTGGGCCTAGCGACGACCGGCTGGGTTGCTAAAGCGGCACTCCTCTTAGGCAACAGACCTTCCACACCCCACAGCGAAGAAGGGTCCTTGATCCTTGATGCCTGAGCAGCGCCCCCTCAAGTTCGGGTTCCGGCCCAATGGCCTACTGTACGACCTGCAACCACTCGCCGCGGATGGACTAAAGCTCGCAGCCTCTGAATATCAATATATCACTATGGTCGCTCCCTTATGGGGTATTTGGGTAGAAAGAGAAAGGATGCTAGAATATGTTCCGGGGACGGCAGCTATACCCTTTACACCCGGCATTCCGAGTTCTACTCCAATGATAGCAACCATGGCACCACTGTATCACAAGTGACAAGGCCCATGCGGACGGACAGCAATCTAGTGGAGCCAGTGCCATGTCGGTAGGGTATTTCGCGTGCTTGGGTGTGGGGGATCCAACATGAAGAATTCAGTTTGCCAATCTCCCTCTGCCGATGGCATCCCCTGCGACCATCGACCGGCTCCCCTCTCTAGTTTGGCCACAACATAATGAAGGACGGTACTCTACTCCGTATCTATGCTGGCCATCCACCATTATTGACGGTTCAGGGTATGTATATCCGTATGCGTATCCTACAGGTTTCGATCTCCAAGTCCGAGCTCTGCTTCGAGTGCCACAAAGTCATGAAAGCGCATGAGGCTCATGAAAGCCTTTTGGCATGAGTACCCGTCGGCCCCAGTCTGCACCTCGATTCTTGCAGCTTCGAGCAAACACGAGCGCTTCAGACTTTACTTCTTCGTGATGAACAGAGGAGAACTACGAGCTTTTCGCTGTGATGCAAGACCTTTTCACCTTCGCAGCGCAAATAACTGGCCAGGGGACTTGACGCCAAAAAACGCCCAGGCACGTTGTCGCACGCATGGCGCTCCAACGGACACGAGCCGTTCAAGCGGGGATCCAGATCATACAGTTTGATGGCGCCCAGGAGCATGCCAATCGGTCCTCCCAAAACAGGTATGGGCAGCCCGGTCACCCTGGTCTGACCTGACTACTCTATAATAACTGCTGTACAGATATGTACCAGCGTAACTGACGGGTTGTGGCCCATGTTCGTCACTTCTACGGAGTACTTTGTTCTTGGAGGTGATACAAGCTGGTGATACCACGTGTGCTGAACTAAGTGATGAGAAGAAACTTAGAACCCGATGAAGGTCGCTCAACTTTTGTGATTCGGCCTAGCCTGAGATTCCGCTCGGTCCTCAAATCTCGCACGGTTCCACAACCTTGGGTTTGACTTTCAGCCAGCGTCCAAAACGTCTCCTATACGAGGGTAGGCTCGTGTACAGGGGCCCTTCTTTCAATTTTGGGATGCTTCTGTGATACCAAGTTACCAGTGGTCATTGGCCTGTCATTAACTAGCCTGATGGGATTCGCCTCGGAATTCCACCTACGGAGTACTGGTGATTCGTGACTACTAGGTACATAACAGACTGTCCAAAAATCACGAACCACGACCACGAGGCTAGCGTACAGCGCGGTAGGGCTGGCGATGAGTCTGACAATAATTGATAGTCGACATTATTATTACTGCTTCCTAGTTGGCAAAAAGGAATTGAGCAGTGTAATTGTGTTACGATCTTGTTTCGACCCTCAATCCCAGATTGCATTGAACAGCATCATCATTAGCTCTGGTACACGTGCCCCGTGCCGATGCTTGACAACGAGGCCTGAATACTAGTACTTCGCAAAACTCGTGTCTGGATGGGGAGGATCGTCGAGCATTGTAGACTGATGAGCGGCCTACCCAACCCCTGTCTGTGCCTGCTACGCAAAACGGCTTTCAGACATTGTCTCAGTGCAAAGACAGCGCATGCTCGTGAGAAAGGAGACGCCCAGTCACTGTGCGCAAAGTCGATTATTCCTTACGGAGTACATACAGTAGGAGGAGACGAATGCCTAGCAGAAATTCCAAAGATTAGATTATATCTCATACAGACAAGAATATTGGAGCTCCATACCGTAATCAGGCCTACTGAGCAGTGAGAGATGAGTTTGAGCGTTGGCTCTGGCACGAAAATACCATTTCAGGGCCAGATCCATTTTCAAAGCCACCCAAAGCGTGGAGGATAGCGCCGGTCTATAATTGGCATCGACAAGCAGGCTGTCTTGGTCAGAACGCCTCCGCAACGCGGACATAGACGAAGGAAGACACCGCCCTGGCATTTGGCAGGAGCTGAGGGAAGCTGAGGGAAGCTGACGAGATGCTGATACGTAGTACCTCCGTCCAGTAAGCGGGTGGATTTGTTCGCGGTCCATGACAACAAGCTGATTGTGTTCTGCACGTGTGCACCGTCATCTGAGAGCCTCCTTAGCCGTTCATGATGGCGCGACTACGGAGTAGTCAAAGAGACCTAAACACCTTGGCTGTGCTGATCGACAAGTCCAATCAGTCTGACAGAAGTACACGCTGACAGAAGTCAACATAGTATGTATATTATATAATACTAGAGGGCCTAAGAGGTTGGAGCATCGCGGAGATGTTGCTGAGAAGGCGCAGGTCGAAGAGAAGGCGGCTGAGCATGATGAACAGATCTCCAGCGGGCGAGCTCAACGATGAGAATGAGCACTTGTAGGAAACTGGACTTGCTTCTGGCGCACTCATCCCATCCCATACTACCCTCGCAATAATAGCGCCCTGCTGTGCACCAACACAGTCATAGGTCTGTAGGGTTGTGAGGCCGTACGAGTTCAATCCAGGACGGTGTGGCCTGCAAGGCCTTCCCCGCCTTCTCCAGCTGAAGACGAGGGCGATAACTGGACATGAACCATCCTGGTCTTTTGTAATAAGCATTAGTTCTGTGAGTCTGGTGGTGACCCGAAGGAGACCATGGTAATTACCTGGTTGTTCAGGTGCAGGAACCAAGACAATCTCGAAGCCTGCTGAAGGTGGACTAGAATCATCCCTAATAGCTAATAGGTGTACTCCGTAATAAATTACTAATTAGTGGTATGTTAGTATCATCACTGCTACTGCTGCTGCTAATTACCACCTACCTACTACTAGGTAGGTGCCTACCACCTAGGTGCCACCTAATTAATAGTATTCCCACTGCGATGGTTTACACAGGTAGGTAGATACCTATGTCTACCTAGGTACCTATAAGTGAGGTACCTAGCTAACCTAGTAGGTGACTGCTGCCACTGGCAGCCTATCTGGCCTTGGCGACAGAAGTAACGCGACTCACGCACTGGCACGGGCACGGGCACGGGCACTGGCACTGTACGCACGCGACTGGGCAAATCCAGTATTGTTCATCGTCTTCCTCAGGGAACCTACGCATAGGTAAGGTTACCTACCTTATGGCACCTATATGGTACCTGATGTAGGCACGTAGGTAACCCCCTACCTAAGTGACCAGTGTCTTATGAATCACCAATAGTGAGCAAGTAGTTGGTAGCCGGTAATTAATTGCAGGCGGTGTGCTCGATCATTCGGTGGGCGGTGGTGCCAGTGGGCGGCGTCAGTTGCACAGCTGCTCCCATTGACTGCGGCCAATAGCCAGGATTGCTCGAATACCTACCAGGTGCCTACCTGCTCACCACTTACCTAGTAATACCTAAACCACCTAATACTGGTGCTACTAATCTAGAGTACTCCCGCTACCACTGCCTCCTAAGCCTCCGTGCCTGTCCTCATCGTAGCAGCCAGGAACAAGCGAGGATCGCCTGTTGCAGACTGCACCTCGAAATCACTCTCACCTTCTACAACTCCTGCTCCTTTCCACCTCTCCCGCTTCATCCTCTTCATCTCTCCTACCGACACGCGTCTAGCTGCCTATCCTGCTCCTACTCGCATCCTCATTCCTGTATATCGCCAACTTCGATCCGTATTCTCCCTTCAATCGCCCCCCCCAGAGAAGCACAATTTCGCTGGCCTCGATCCCGCCGCAACTCCACCACTTCTTGATCCCTTCACACTGTCGCTCTAGAAGACTGTGCGGCGACCTCCTCACCACGTCCATCTGGCATTGGTCCCCGCCGAATCCTTGTGCTAAAGCCGGTTCTCCTTGACCCGTTCCGAAGGCTTACTCAGACCATTCGAGGAGTATTTACATCGCACCCTTTTCCCCTTTCGCCAGCCAGTGGCCCTTCGCTTCAAGGCGACGCCCAGTGTTGCGCGTGCTACATTTCGCAGGTTTTTCGTGGCCCCTTCACTCAACGACGCACTGAATATACACGCCTGGCTCGCTCTTTCGACTACGGCCGACGATCTTGGACCACCGTGTGCGATCTGGGACACTCTCCCGTTGCTAGACCTTCCCTTGGATTGAGAAATATACGCATTTCGACCTACACGCCTGGTACTTTTCCAAGCGGTCTCATTGTTGGAGTTGTCGTCCAGCCGACCCGGGCAGTCGTATGACCTATAAAGCGCCGAAAGATGGTGGAAAGAGTGAACCAACACCAATGACTGTGTCATATACAACGGCTACCTTGTCAGAGATGGAGGGGAGATCTCCAGTTAAGGCGCCATCTTCCTCTGAAAGGCGCCCAGGCCAACTACCCCCTTTTTCAAACTCAGGACCCTCGACCCCATTTCAACGCCCACAGTCTTGTTCGGAGAAAAGAACATCGCCATCACCAGAGCCCGTGGGGAAAAGCGTCTCCCCACTCTCGCTACCCTCTGACAAGAGTCAAACGCCACCTGCAGGCCGAAAGCAGTATGGAGGCTGTAAATACGAGACAGGGATGGCGAGGGCAAGACGGCGCGTCCCATACTCACTTGGTCCCGAGCCGCTGGAGAAGGTCAAGACGGAGTTGAAGACACGATTGACCCATGAAGAGAATGAAAAGCTTACTGCAGACATGCAGACGCTCTACGAAGCGCTACAACCCACCGCTGAAAGTGAAAAACGCAGGTCGCGATTCATCGAAAAGCTTGACAAGATCCTACGAGGGAGATGGCCTACATCTTCTATAAATGTCAACGTTTTTGGTTCCACTGGGAACAATCTTGGCACTTCTGACTCCGACGTCGATGTGTGCATCACCACTGACTGCAAGGAAATGGAGCGCGTTTGCTCGATTGCGGATCTGTTGGCAAAGCATGGGATGGAAAGAGTTGTATGTGTATCCAGCGCCAAAGTCCCCATCGTCAAGATCTGGGATCCAGAACTGCAAGTGGCCTGTGATATCAACGTCAACAACCCTCTCGCACTGGAGAATACTGAGTTGGTCCGAGCCTACGTCGGTATTGACAGTCGAGTGAGGCCCCTCGCCATGATAATCAAGTACTGGGCCAAGCGGAGGATATTGAACGACGCCGGTATGTTCTTCCTGGGACCCTCACAATCCCACTTGGTACTGATTATCTCAAAGCGCTCGGAGGCACCCTAAGCTCCTATACCTGGATCTGTTTGGCGTTGAATTTTCTGCAGACCAGAGACCCTCCTATCTTACCAGCTCTGCAGCAGCAACCCAAGTTGGAACCCAAGTTCCTCGCCGGCGTGAACGTGGCCTTCGATCGGGATGTCCAGTCGCACAAGGACTTTGGCTCTCGAAATAAGTCCTCACTAGGCGAACTCTTGTTCCACTTCTTCCGCTATTATAGTCACGAGTTTGATCTCGAACAAAGCGTGGTCTCGGTTCGCCTAGGTCGCGTTTTGCCAAAAGTCGAGAAATCGTGGCATCTGCTTCAGGATAATCGTTTGTGTGTTGAAGAACCCTTCAACATCTCTCGAAATCTGGCCAATACTGCCGACGACACGTCGATGCGAGGTATACATCTAGAATTGCGCAGGGCATACAAGCTGATAGGGGAGGGAAAACTGGAAGATTGCTGCGAGCAGTTCGAGTATCCTGCCGAAGAGATCAAACCCTCTGAACATTTCGTTCCCCCATCGGCACGGCCGGTGATTCCGCAGCTCCCGACGCAGGCTCCCACACAGGCATCAACCACATTGCCCCGGCCAGGGCGAAATCCTGCCCGCGGAGGCAGACATGCAAGCCACGTGAACCGCAATAGCAGTGGTCGAAGATCCTCGAACCCTTCAGGCAGGAGTTCGACCTACTTGCGGAATCTCCCGTTCCAGATGACGACGCAAGAACTGCAGCTACAAGCCCAACATCAGCAACATCTCCTCCACGACCAGCTTTTCCAGCAGTACCAATACCTGCAATTACAAGAGCAGGAACTGAGGATGCAACTACACCAACAGAATCTTCGGCAAAGAGGGTTGATGGCATCTGCTTATCATCAACACCCGGGGTATGCACATTATGCCTCGCACGAAGATGGCCTCGACTTTAGTACCAATGGGCAGATGAGCCGCGCCCCAATGTCCGCACCTTTGTACCAACAACGTTTTGCTCCTTCCTCGCCTTACCTAGCATCTTCTCACCCTAGTCAAGGCGTCGCAACGAATCCTTCGTCTCCAAGGCTAAACTCCGCCATTCCAGACTCGCGACGGTACTCGCGGCGAACCTCCGTAACACAGTCGTCGGGGGCTGCCTTACGGGCTCAATCTACACCCGCCCGCGCAGTTCCAGTCTCTTCCTTGGGCCAGATGCACTCGAGACCCGACCGCTCTGATCTACAAGATGCTTCCTTGGGTCGAAGGTCCTCCGCGTCCTCAACTTCCCAGGACCATTTTCCTGGCTACCTGGAAAATGGCCTCGGGATATCCGGTGCAATCTATGACCCAATGAGAAGGCCGGCCGAGTATCTTGGCTACTATGTTGGGCAGTCTCCTTCACTGTCGGCTTATACTCAAAGCACTACGATTTCTCCGATCCCTTCTCATGTAGGGTTGGCCATTCAACATGGGGGGTTGTCTCCACGGCTGATTCCAGCGTCGACTCGAACTTCTGGGACAACTCAAACGTCTTTGTTGCAGACAGTTCCAACTCATGCCTCAGAGAATCAGGAGGTCGAAGAAGCAGTTGGGAAGAACTCCGAGGGCGTGAACGGCGAAATGGTGCTACCCAATGCAAGGTCAGGGCCTCTGATCGTTGATGGCTCAGTCAAGTCGCCACGACGCCAACGGACAACTCAGTCGTTCAACGAGCCTGATGAGCATGTCAATTTCAGCGCCTCTACCTCGGAAGATTTGGCATTCGACACTCCGTCGAGTTCCGATGAACAGTCACAGGCAGACACTCTCGATTCTCACACCCGGGAAAGGAGTCCATCAGGCAGCCTCAACACCGCCCATAAGCAAATTACGCAGTCAGTAGGAGCTTCAGAATACATGATTGGACACCTACCACTGAGGACATTGGGGAGCAAACCTAAAGAGTCACACACGAAGGGTACAATACTTGCAGATTCGGTGGCGATGAATACACCGGGCGTTGCGACCAAAGGTGGAAACGCTGCTTGGCCTCTGGATCGACAGCTCTCTTCAGTGGAGGAAGTTCGAACTCCCTCACCCAGGGTCGAAGGCTTCAATCGCGAATGCCTGTCTCCCAAATTTGCCGGCTCAACCAGCCAAGATCAATCCCTGGGAGAGGCAGAGGGGACGGCTAACGGAGATGCTGCAGGACCCGGCCCAAGACCATTGGCTGCCCGACCAAACGGCTCGGTGGGATCATCTGAGCCGACAACGAATTCTACTGCTGGTGTATCCTCGGCCAATGACTGGCAAACACAAAAAAAAAGAAGGAAGAACAAGAAGACGGTCAAGTCAGAAAACGACGCTCACCTTTTGAACATTTCCGGCGGGGAGTCACTGCCGGCCGATGAGTCCCTACGAAAAGGTGGCTAGGGGCTCCTTTGCGGATGTTCATAGTTCAACCAAACTTGGCTTATGCATGGTGTTCCCCTTTGTTCTCGCGCTCTGGATGTTTGGCTCGTGCTGGATCTGGTGGGATACGATACGGGTCGGCCACCTTGGCCTCTTTTGGGAGCATTTATGGTATCGACAGCATACATCTGGTCGTTTATATTTCTTGGGTTATGCATGAACAAAATCTGTTGGCGTTTGTCGATCTAACCCAGGCGGTGCTTTGTTTCAGGGCACCATGGGGCGCGGGTGGCTTTGCGAGCGCTGTTCTGGACGTCAAAGCGGCGTTTTGCGTACTCTCGACAGTGGGAGACGAGCATTCACGGAGTGATTCATTGAACGCGGACGACTCGAGGCAGGGAATATTAACCCCTTCGGAGACGTTGGGAAAGAGCCCCAATCGACGGCCACGAGCTCTGGATTTTGCATTTTGAGGCATGGACCAAATGGTCATGAGATGGCATTCAAGTGGACGCAGTAAGAAGCGAGCGATTGTGTCATTTTGACCACTGAGGTTGCAAGGAAGAGACTGCGCCACGGAAGGAAACGTTGCACAAATAGGGAGACGCTCCCTTGTCGAAAAGCTACAAACGCAACCTAAAAAAAAAAGAAGCGGATACAAGGAAGGATTCAGCTGTCTGTTATCCTGGGCAAGGAGAAACGTTGGCGAGAAGTAGATTAGCAGACTGAATGAAAAGAATGTGACCATTATTAATGAAGCGCGGCCGTTTCTCATGTTGGTTCAGTCAAGGCCGCGATGAGCACCAGGTGTGAAACGGGCACGGTACATGTACGTATGGGATCAGTGTTGGAGAGTACCTACTTGGTACCTGTACCTAGGCAAGGAGTTTGAGGTTCTGGAGTGCTGTATGAGATTACAGAGCCGGATACACTACTACCTGTACCTAGGTAGGAAGGCACCTACCAGGTACCTAATAGTGAACGACGAGGTGTGCTTCTTAGCGAGGCTGAGAGACGTTCTTCAAGTTCAAGGGGTTGATGAGGCTGAGAGATTCCATTCAGGAACGGGGGATAATCGAGTACAGGTGCATGAGGCTGAGGCTCCGGCGGGGCTAAGGGCTCAGGGGCCCCTAAGCCCTGAGCCCAAGGCTTATGAGGCTCCTGAGTCCTTAGGCTCTGTACCTAGGCTAGAGCCTGCTCGTACTAGCCGTAGCACTAGCAATGCTAGGTTTAAGTGTAAGCCTAAGGCCCTAAGGCTTAGATTTGCCGCTCGTACGATTCGGAAGAAGCGCCCCTGCCAGAATTTGTGCCTCCCCTGCCAATCACCTACCCAGTGATGATCATTCTATGCATGCTGAAGTAATCGATTCTGGCCTGTGCGGTCGTCTGTGAAGCAACGATCAATGCACATATCAAACGTGCAACGCAGTCTACTAAGTTGGCTCGAGTTCTGCTCCATCACACCACATCTCAGGCCACAACCCAACCCTTGTTTTTCTATTCACCGATATCCTTCATAATATAATTGATTCTAGCTTCACGCTCCTCCTTCTCCCTCCCCATCCTCTTCCCCCTCCTCCTCCGACCACCCAATGCCTCAGTAGGCTCTCGAGTGCGCCTGCTCGAACCTTGACCACCTCCCCTCCAACATGCCTCTCATTCTCGACTCATCCTCCGATTCTTCCATCCACTCCCAAGCAGAGCGGGAAAAGAGCAGGAGAATACATCACGATGCCGACGTTGTTGTCGTCGGCGCAGGGGTTCTGGGTGCTGCATTGGCGGTGGCGTTGGCAAATCAAGGGCGCAGTGTGATATTGCTGGAGAGATCTCTCAAGGAACCCGACCGGATAGTGGGAGAACTCTTGCAACCAGGAGGCTACGACGCATTGATCCAATTGGGCCTACAACATACCCTCGAGGGCATCGACGCTATCCCCGTCACGGGCTACACCGTGCTCTACTATGATGAGTCGGTGGCCATCCCTTATCCCACCACTGCGACGGAAACCATCCGTCCGGGTTCAAAAACATCAGGGAAGCCCAATAAACCAGAAGGGCGATCTTTCCATCACGGTCGATTTGTCTCCCGACTACGAGCTACGGCACTGGCGCATCCTAACATTTCGGTCTTCGAGACCGAGGCCACCTCGTTGATCACATGCTCATATACCAACCAGATCCTGGGTGTCGAATCTCTGACTGGCAAGATCCAGAAGGACTATTTCTTTGGCTCGTTAACCGTAGTCTGTGATGGGTACGCCTCAAAATTTCGGAAGTCCTATATCCATCATACTCCTCAGGTCAAGTCGAAATTCTGGGGCATGGAATTGCTGGATTGTCCATTGCCGACACCTCAACACGGTGTTGTGGTCCTAGGGAAAAATTCACCCGTCCTGCTCTATCAGATTGGAACTCACGAGACTCGCGTCTTGGTAGATGTACCGGAAGGGTTGCCCTCCACATCGACAGCCAACGGCGGCATCAAGGGTCATCTCCAAAAAGTTGTCCTGCCTTCTCTGCCTCCTGCAGTGCAGCCTTCTTTCCAGATGGCATTGGAGAAGGGTGTGCTTCGCAGCATGCCTAACTCTTTCCTGCCTCCGACCATGAACAGGACTCGCGGTCTCGCAATTCTCGGAGACGCCTTGAACATGCGCCATCCCCTGACAGGTGGCGGAATGTCCGTCGCGCTCAACGACGTGGTTTTGATATCTGAACTCCTTTCCCCTGAGAACGTGGCGGACCTAGCCAACACAGACCTTGTCCTCAAGCAGTTCAGATTATTCCACTGGCGCCGGAAAGCCCTGACCGCCATAGTCAACATTCTCGCACAGGCCCTGTATTCCCTATTCGCTGCGAACGATTGGCAGCTGAAGTATCTCCAGAAAGGCTGTTTCCGGTATTTCCAACTTGGTGGAAGATGCATCGATGAACCGGTGGGCCTGCTAGGCGCCCTCATTCGACGGCCATTTGTGCTGCTTTATCATTTCTTCAGCGTGGCGTTGTGGAGCATTTGGATCCTAATACAAGAGAATGGTCTCCTCCTGTTCCCTCTCAGTCTCGTTCAAGGGTTGCTGATCTTGTGGAAGGCGTGTGTGGTCATATTCCCATATATATTTGCAGAATTGAGGAGTTGAAGGTCTGGTTGTGATGGTGACCATTCCGGTCTTGTTATATAGATGCTGGTTCCGAGTCACGCGATGTCCACGACGGCGAATGGAATACTAAGCGACCAGCGGTGGAGGGAGGAAGAGTGCACGTGTGCACATCGTCACAGCCGCAATTACATATATTGCAATTGAAACGAGTATCCCTGGGCACCATTCACGAACATCTCGTTCCACTACAATCTCGGGTCTCCGATCTAACACGAGGCTGTCCAGCGCCACCGCCTTTCCACCCGGTTTTCCTTCCGCTCGCTTTCAACGCAGTTATTGCGCCAACACCAACGCACCCTCGCTGAAGCTTGTTGGCCACAGGGCCGTCATCCTTCCGACCGACTTTCGGGCGGTTTACACTACCGGACTCTATCAGCCTACAAAGCCTAGCATACATCTTCTCGTCACCTCTAAATGCAGGAGAATTCAATAGTGGTCATGATCGTTCAAGGTCCCGTGGGCACGAGAAACCTCCACTGCTTCTGGCCGCAAATGAAATCGGCATGCGGCATGGTTCTTAGACCAAAGAGAAGTTCTGCGTATACCATTACGACGCCGTCTACCCGGACGGAGGCATAATGATCACGACTTTCAAGCGTCGAGATGACTTTGCACTTTTATGTTACGTGAGCAGTATTGGCTTGTGGACGGGCACCCCGATCCTAGATTTCGGTCAATTAGTTTCTATATAGGGGTTGGCAGTAGCATGGCAGGTCTGGATCGCATTCCCCGATGGAAACGGTACCTCCAGATGTATGTATGCACATTCGTTTCGATAACATAGTTGTTTCTACCTGCTTATCTACACGCAGCAACATCTTCAACCTCGACGATTCCCTGTGCCTCCTTACCGGGTTCGCAGTGACAAGTTGCCTTCTCGAGACCCAAAGATCGGGTTTCAACAACTGCCTCTGGATTGACCTCACCTACCCACAATACTCAATCAAGAACTAGTCTTCTTTTCAACATCCGAACGAAAATATAACCGGTCACACGCGAGAGACGTGCAAACCCAACTTTTCTCGCTGAACCAGGCCGCTTTGTTCCTGTGGTCGCTGACAAGCGGTAAAATCTTTTTCAAACTCCACCGCCATGATCGCTAAGCAAACCGATGGAAAGACTCATCACATGCGCCCGGGCATATCTCCACCCCAAGCGCTACCAAAATTGGTGCTGTTTCTTATCCTCAATCTCGGCATATCTTCATCTGCTTCTTCCTGAGCAGCGTCCTGTGTTCCTTGGGGTGGCTCCGAGGGCAGTTTCTCTTCTGTGCTGGGGGACAAATTGGACTCCTGCCTAGATCGGTGCGCCAGCTCATCCTCCAGTTTGCCATCCACAATATCTAGGAAAGTACTAGCCCCCTCGGTCTTAGCACTGGGATCGAGCATGAGTGGGCCTTTGAGAGCGGGATCGTCCTCAGGTTCAAGGGTCGGTTGTTCCTCTAATTCTGGCTGTTCAGGAATACTTTGTTTGGACAGATCATCCTCGTTATTAACAGCAGACGTGAAGGAAAAGTATGAGTCTGAGTTCTCAGAAGGACGAAGGGGAGGTCGCTTCGTGGGAGCGGGCTCCAACGGTTGCTCTTGCGTGGGAGTCAGATGGTCTGCACTCTCGACGTCGGAAGACAAAGTGCCATCAAAGATCATTGGCGTATGGCCTGCATGCATCTTCAACTTGGCATCCAATGGAGACAGCAGAGCCTTGACATCGAACTGCAAAAGGCTGTCTGCGCCTTGCTTTGGCTCGGCTGACGGCGACTGAACTGGAGAAGCAAACTTTGGACTGGTGATTTTGGTATCAAAGGAGGAGGTCAAGGCGCCTGACTTGAGGGTGATGCCGTCGAGAGTGTTGTCCACCTGCTCAATTGGCACCGGGATATTCTCCTGGCGGGTCGAGGTCGGCGAGATTTCATTAGATAAAGACTCAAGTGGTTCATCCTCAGATATGCTGGGCAGGTGGGCAACATCCTCCTCACGAGTAAAGACTCTGGTGACTGGTGGAGTAGTCTCGGGACCCTTCCAAACGGGCGACGGTGCATTTGCTGGTTCGGAAGCAAATCGGTCTCGGTGAGTGCCGTCGGTACCAAAGTAGTGGAAATCCGACCGAAAGGAATGGATGGCGGTAGTTGAAGAATCGTTGCTTGACCTCCGCTTGGGATCTCTCGCTTTGTTCAGTTTCCTTTCAAGTTCAGCGATGCGTGCTTTGAGTGCAGTCCGTTCTATGGCCCACGCCTTTCGTTCAGCTTCATGAGACTCTCTCAATTGTGTGTTCCACAAACGACATTGCTCCATGTAAGCTGTTATGTCTATTTCTGAAGTCGTATTCGTGATCTGGAATCCATACTTTGGTAGCTGACTGGCAGAGAGTACATGAGGGAGAAGAGGAACATTGTCGGTAGCAATAGAATGGCGACCCTGCGGCCGTGAGACGGACTGTTCCAAGAAACGGACGGCTCTAGAGATGTCTTCGCTGCCATTATTGTCTGAGGGCACGGCCGTTGAGTCGGGCTGGTTGAGAGGGGAGAAGTTGTCTGGGTCATGCTCAAGAGCCGGGGTGGGATCGAAGGCGTGGGTTGGAGAAGGCGGACCCATGTCTGCAGAAGGGCGTGTAGTCGTGTAGTCGTGTCGATCGAAGGCTCGGTCGGAGGTGTCTGAAGGCAGAGGATGTAACAGATGCGAGGGAGCCGAATGCAAAGTACCGTAGCAGTGAAATTCCGAAAAAGAGAGACAATATAGTTCTGTCGGCCAAGTGGAATGGAATATGATGTGCTGGCCTGGCCGTCCAAGCCGAGGTCGTCGATGTATGAAGTAATAGCAGGCACTAGACTAGTATAACATCAATAAGATGGACCACGTAGAAGATGCAAGGGTGATGATGCGCAGGATGACTGCATTATCGACAGAATAGAGTCGGTGATTGCGGAGGAGAAGAAGGGCCGGGAGAGGATAGAGGATGAGCGAGCAGCAGCGATGGAGAAATGAGGCAGCAGTAATGGGTGTGAGGTTGTTCGTAGTAATAGTAGTTTAGTGTATGGTAATGTTGCAGGCGCAGGCGCAGCCGCAGGCTCAGGGTCTCTGGGGTTCATCAGTTTGTGAGTGGAATTGCGCACGATGGCAAGCCAGATCGCCCCAAAATTTAGCACGACCCGCTGCAGCGCCACTTAGAACTCGTACGGGGACTTACAGTGCTTTCCTCGCCCAAAATGACGTGGGCTTGCCTGAAGATTTGCATGGCCACCCGAAACAGCCAAGCAGGGTGTTTCAGGTGGGCCGGAGCTGGCTCGAATAGGGGGGCGTGGCCCTGAGCTTAGGGGCGCCTGCCAGTGAAACTTCTACCATTGCGGTGAAGCTTGAGGCCGGGCAGGGCCGATAAGCATTAGGGGACCTGAAGCTTCTGGCGGTGTGAGCCAGTTAGGGCGCCGGTGACCTGCCTCCTAAACCCCTAAGCCTGTTGATTGACGCCTAGAGCCTCTAAAGCAAAGAGCACCTTTTAGTCTTGCGACTGTATCCGTACTTGGTACAGATTGGAGGCCTCCTAAGCCTCCTAGACCAGTCTAGTGGACTGTACAGTCCTAGTCCTGCGCGCCGCAGCTGCGAAGAAAAAAGGGGTCCATGTCCTACAAAAATTCTCCGGCGCACAGAGCAGGCACACGACAGCAGTTCCCGCCAGCGCCCTGTCCGACATGCGACATGCGACATGAGACACGAGACACGAGACAGGATGCTCAACGACGGCAACATACACCTACTGACGCAACCCACAGACCTCCACGCACCGCACGCATCGTTCTGTACACGTGGCAACTGTGCTCGGATGTCGAAGAATGCCCTGCGATGCTTACTCTGTAGAGCCTCGCCACAGGGCCACAGCACCTGAAACCAGATGTCAACCTCGCCATCATCAGCCTCAGGAGTGGCCCTGGCCCTGGCCCTGGCCCTCGATGCATCCCCTACATTGCTCTCCACCCTCTGGCTACGTTGTTCAAGAGTCCTGCTATCCACACTACAGAAAACTTGTTCTCACTCGTCCAAGAAGGAAACACATATGTGGGATATGAACGTAAAAGATTGCACCACCTACCTAACTGTAACGCTCGATCAAGCGAAAGAGGCGTGAGTTGCAATGGCCAGCTCTGGGTTGTACAAGGTCAAGGTAGTGCACTATCCTGTTTGCCAGTCGACCGTTCCACTCCGAGTCGAAAGCATCACTGTGTTGGTGTACCGCTACACTTTGTCGAATCCACAGTTGCCTCATCTCCTAGATGCATGAACATTCATTTTACTAGGAACCTTGACCAGCGGCCGTGTCTCTAGAAGTTCTCTCCGCTTCCGCATCCTGCAGAAACAATCTCTCCCCTTGCCTAATCTTCAGTAGCATTGCTTGCAGCGGAATCAGCATGGGCATCCTAAGAGTTACCTTTGGCATCATCATTGTCTTCACGAGTCAGGTCCGCCTTGTTCGGACAGCGTTGGCACGAGATTTCCGAGCTCGATTCGAGGCTGTAATCAAGCCAACCGAGTAATTGCGGTGTCCCGGTTCTGATCTCGGGCGTTCCTCTGGACAAGTATTCACACTCCTGGTAGCTTGACTCTGACTGTGTCTTCTTGTTGCCCGCAATTGGCTGCATCTGCTTTTGGTGCTGTTCTAGCTGTTTGATCAACCCTGCGATAGATGGTGAATCTCCTTTTGCCTGGTTGATAATAGAGCTACAACCGATCACGATCAATCCGTCGCGTGCCTTACTCATGGCAAAAGCCTGCAGACTTGTCCATTGGCAAGTCCTGAGTCACGGAGTCAAACTGAATCACAGTAGGAATTCTTGTGTGAAACGAAACGTAGCAGTGATGGTTTGTTCATTGAAGCAATTATCAATAGCCAGTGGTTCGTTCCACCGTGTCACCGCAGCTTCACGGGTAGGCGACGATGCCGGTCTCTTGAGTCATCCATGGCCCTAGACATAGATCGGCTACCTTGCACAGTAGCCACCGTCCACATTCACCATGGTGCCCGTCATCCAGCTTGCGCCATCACTGCACAGGAACAACACGGCCTTGGCCACGTCTTCCGGGGTGCCCAAGTGCGGCCATGGAGAGGCATCGTGCAGCTCCTTGTGCAGGGCGGCGTCTTCGAGCGCAGAGCGGACCATGGCTGTCTTCAGGAACCCAGGACATACCCCATTGACGTGGATCTTGTCTGGAGCGTAGTCGACCGCCACCTGTCGGGTCAGATTCGTCACGGCGCCTTTGCTGGCGCAATAGGATGCTGCTGGCCATCAGTCTGGGAGACAACGAACGATGGGCCGCGAGAGGGTGGGAGCAAGAACAAGAACAAGGACAAGAACAATGCAAAGAGTCGAAGACATACGTTCCATTGACAAGGCGACCAGGCCTCCGATCGAGGAGATGTTCACAATCCAGCCCCGATCCCCGGACGGACGGGGCGGCTGTCTCATCATCTGGGCGATGGCATATTTCATACCAAGAAAGGTGCCGCGAGTATTGATGGCCTGGGAAGAATCAGAGGGGGGTCTTTCCTTGGAATCATCGCCATGTTGCGGACTATCGCACCATGGTTTTATCGAAGGCCTCGACCGACTCTTCTGCAATTCGGTTCTGCCCACAGAAGACTCCCGCATTGTTGACCAAGCTTTGATACCGTCAGCGCCTCTGGCTCAAGAACAGATCCAGCTCCCAGAAAGACATCTCTGGCTGGGGACGTTGCGCGATCTCACGTTCTCGCCGTCTCCGTCTCACCTACATGTCTAGTCGGCCAAATGCGGCCACGGCGGATGCGACCAGGGCCTCGACGTCCTCGGGAGAGCTGACGTCGGCCTTCTGGAAGATGGCCTTTCCGGTCTTTGCGATCAGCTCGTGGGTAGGTGCTGTCTCTTCTTCATATCCGCCCGGGCGTAGGTCCGGGGTCACATCGCTGCACACGACAGAAGCACCTTCGCTCGCGAGGGCGAGGGCAATCGTGCGACCAACTCCGGAAGAAGAGCCCGTGACAATGGCGACCCGGCCGTCGAGACTGGCAGGCGATTGATTAGCATTTGGAGATTTGCATCAGATGCCGGCCAACTCTCTTACTTCAGGATGCGAGACATATGGGATCGCCGGCAATGGAACCGAACCGAGCAGAGCAGAGAGAACGAGAAGTGGGAGGGAGGTGCCGCGTGAACAAGCATTGCAGGCACCGAGACATATTGCCATATTTAATTCTTTATCATGTACTTGGCCCGACCACCGTGAACCACACAGAGTAGACACAGTGGACGAAGTCTGACTGGCGGTTTCGCCGTCAGCTGCCTCAAGCATCGAGGCCATTCAACCTTCTGCCGTGGATGGGCCCTGAGGCTGTCATCATTGGCTTATCAGCCTCGCCTCCCCCCCGTCGCCCATGTGGATCCCTCCCATGCTTTTTACCCACAGTCGCTGATTGCTATACCCAGACGCTCATGTCGACCATCTATCCTGACCATCTCTGTATCTGATTCAGAAGCCAGAAGCGTGCTTCCCGATAAGTCAAACAGTCATTCATTCAGAAGATCCAAAGTTTACAGCCATGGAGGTGCTATCAAACATAAAATATACAAGGGGTGCCGCTGGCTCCTCCACCGGTCCAGACCAGCAGCGTGCTGTATACTCCATGAGAACTGAAATGAGGCCTCCTGTATCTCATAGCAAATGCGTTTTCAGAAAGGCCAACTGTCTCTCAATGTTGACTTCGAACGCGGGGCCGCTGTAGGGTTCGAAATGGCCGGTTTTCGGCAGGAAAAGCAGTTCTTTAGGTTCTCCGGCTTCGCCAAAGACGGCCAGCTGGGTTGGCACATGAACCGCAGTATCATCCTCGGCAACTACCATCAACAACGGCGTCGGGGCGATGCGACGGATGTAGGCCCGCGGCTCATTCTTGAGCAACTTGAATAGGCTCTGCAGAGTGATCTTGTTCTCCCAAACGATGCCGTTGGGGAGCGGGTTTTCGACAAAGAATTGGTAGGCGTCCGGCTCAGGAAGGATGCTGTTAGAATTGCCCGCCTTGGCCTCGGCGAGGCTGCTAGCCACGACTTGGGTGATCTGGCCCGGCTTGCCGGCTGCAATGTCGGCGCGGTCGGCGAGAATGGTAGGCATCAGCGGCAACAGCGTCGCCGCGTTGCTGTTCCCTGAGACAAAGGGGACCTGTGCAATGACGGCTTTGATGCGCCGGTCGACGGCGGCGGCTTGAATGACATTGCCGCCGCTGTAGCTGGAGCCCCAGGCGGCGATGCGCTCGGGGTCGACCTCGGAAAGACCCGTGGCAAAGGTGATGGCGTCGTGATAGTCCTCGACCTGTCGGAATGCATCGACTTCATACCTGGGCAGTCCGTCACTGGCGCCGAAGTTGCGGTTGTCGTACACCAGACAGGCAAATCTGTTGGCTTGGAACCGCGCCGCGAAAGAATCGAGGAACTGCTCTTTGAGCCCGGTCAACTAGCAGCGTCCGTGACAAGTATTAGCAGTGGAATATAGATAGTAGGCATGTATGTGCTTGAGCTTGAAAGCTCGAGTAAATGGGGTAAAACGAACCCCGTGGCTTAGGATCACTGTCGGGGCCTTGTCGCCCGCAGGATAGAACCAGCCTCTCAACTCCAGGTGATCAGCGGTGCGGAAACTGACACTGCGGCGCGAGGGAGACATGGCTGGTGTTAGATGGACAGCTCGGTTGTGGTATCTTCAGAGTGGTGGCTAGGTATACGCGACGAAGTTGATTCTCTCGGTAGAAATGGTCGACGCTCTCGTCCATACTAATAGCAGTAGATGTAGATGGGAGCAGGTTGCCCCAGGGGGCGAAAGACCAGAGCCCTAAGCCCAGAGTTGATGCTCGTGCGGGCTCCCCACCATTGCAGAGCATGGGTATGGGGTTTGTGAGAGATCCTCCATCACGTACGGAGTACTGTGTGTAACGGAAGGGGATGAAGCAGCCTGTTGAGGAACTCGACAGCGAGGCAAAGGAGGCAGCGTGCAAGCCAGCCTGGGGTTACAGTAGGTAAGGTGGTGGAACTCATGCCTATCCGGGGCCAAGCGGCCTAAGGGCCCTTAGCCTTAGGCCTATAATAAGCCCCTAACCCCAATAATAGCCGCGTCATTCAGGCATCCTGGGCCCCAAGCCTCAGCCTCAGGCCTCAATCAGATCGCCGTCACCTGCTGCTTTGCCTTGCTCTGGGCCTACGACTCCGGACGGACTACTCCGGACTCCGGTCGTCTGTTCGAGCAATCACCGGCATGCCTCCTTCCATCTTATTCCCCCCTTATTCGGCCTTAGCCCTACGCAGTACGCACCCAATACTCAAACACCAAGGCTGGCCCTTCTCATTGAATTGGGACTGAATTTGGCTTTGTTTCTCCATAGCACGATAACAACTAGAGCTCGCGCCCTCATGTCCACTCAATGACAGCCACCACAAGGCTGCAGGTTGGTCAATCGTCAAATCCCCCATCTGCCTTCCTGCCAGACCACGTATCTGTAGCTTCGGTACCAGCAAAAACTCCATGATCTCCCTCGTTTCTCTCGATCTCGTGCTTGCACCGTCGCCCATGTCGTTTCCATTCGAAGCAAGTGCACTTCAATATCAATCCTTGGTCTCCAAGCCTGTGGATGCAAAGGGGAAAAAAAAAATAACGGTGGGTCGCGAATCCTTTCCAACCCGGTCATCCTCAAACTTGTGCTTGGGTCCAGAAGTCAAGGCTAGCAATCACGTCTTCGCCGTTCTCGTCTTCGTATGCGTACAGAATCTAAGCCATCCGTCAGTGAAACGCCCACGACGAGCAGAAACATGCCCAAGCCTTACCTCTCGTGTACTCGAATGAAGCATCCTGACATTCTTTCCTGTCATAACGTGAATCAATTCGCTGGTCTCAATGTGTCTGATCTCGATAAAGCTGGGCTCAAACGCGAGAATGTACGGGTAATTCAACGCAAACGCCTGTGGTGTGCCTTCCCAAGTGATTTTCCAATCTGGCCGAGCACGCCAGCCGTTTCTGTTGACGAAGAAACTGAAGTCGGAGTAGTTTAGCAAAAACTCGCCGTTCAGCCGCTCAATGTGTATGGGCTTGACGTTTTCTTTCCTCGTGACAAAATCCAGAGACGTATCCGCCTGATCCAGGAGAGACTGTCGCTCTGTGGTTTCCAACGAAACAACCTCGAATCCTCTGGCACACCCAACACACAGTGTCGATCGTAGATAGTGTACCGACGTTGATTCTGCTGGGATGTAGAATTCCTAGACTACATTTAGTAAACTCATCTCTCGTTGGTAAACGTCGACCATTACCTTGAAAGGCTTGAGAGCATCTTGGCCACTGGCAAACATCTTGCTGATCGCTGGCTTCTTCTTACCCTTAGTAAGATCATCCATCGGCTCATACACCTTGATTGTGGTTGACAGTGCCGAAGTCTTGACGGAGCACACCAAATGTCTTCCCAAGCCAATTCCGGCTTTGAAAAAGTTGGCATGTCCTTGAATCTTGCGTGGCCTCGTGGCCAGGGGATTCTGATTATTCGCATCGAGTGCCTCAAATGGATAAGAGGTCAGTGTCTTGTTTGACAACACTAGAAGAAGTCGATACTCCTCCAGGGTATCAATTTGGGAGACCTGGGTTGCGTCGAGAATGCGTTTTGGCTTGATGGATTTGTCTTTCGGCCAACGATCTGCAACGTAAATCCCGTTGTCAGTCCCATAAATCAACTTGCGGCCCCCATCAGTTGGGACGAGACAGTTGACCCGATTCTGGGCATTGAAGAATCCTTCACAGAGAGTAGTTTTGGTGTAAAAATTGCTGCTTCGTTCGCGGAGCTTTCTTTGTTGTTCCTCAACCAGTTCAATGAACTTCTTACGTTGCGTGATCGACGTGGCGTAGAGTTGCAGCTCGTAGGCTCCCTTTCCAAGATGACGGAATGTTATTGGGTACACCTCCTTCTGACCGGGTGTGCTGGACGCGGATGATTTCGCGCCAGGAATCAAGCTTGATGAGGGACGTTTGGCGATGCCGAGACGTGGAATGACCTGGTCCATTTCGGCAATCACCAGAAGCTCCAACGGGATTGGCTTTCGGTACACTCGGAGTTCCTCTCTCTTATTCACATTTTTGACCCGGCACATCAGCACAGCATGGTCGAACAGATATACTTGGACTTCGGCGTTATCCGTCGGACTCTTCTTGAAGTTCATCTTGGTCAAGATGACACGGTTCTCTTCAGTCAGCTTGAGATCCGTATACTCTCCCGCGTTCCATTTCAATTGTTGGTTGAGTTGGCGGAGGTTGAAATGGTTCTCAGCCTTGCCGCTTTCAGTGTTGACACGAGCAAGAAAATCCTTGATGAGGCCAATAGCCTTCGGTATATCCTTTTTGTCTGGATTGTCGTCTTTGGTGTACTTCAAGACATTGTCTAGAAGGAGTGGGTATCTGGCCAACCGTGTGGTCGGTTTCGTAAGATAACCGTTCAGCTCGAGCTTTCTTGATTCTTTGAGTCGTTCGGTCTCGTCGACAAAGCGCGCGAAGGCGGGGTTTGCACCCTTTTCCTTCTCAAATTCGTACTTACCGTACATTTGATTCGCACCGTATTTGATGAAAGGATCGAACTGAGGCACCCACTTCAAGAAGATATCGCTAATGGAGTGAACGACGTGTTGCTCCTTTTGTCTCTTGGAGAGTTCCTCTGCAAATCTGCCGTTGACGGCAAGCACTTCAAGGCAGTTGCCAAATACCGTGCGGACAAACTTCTCTCTTCTCTCTTCTTTGATCGGGGATGGGCCAGGACCTGAACCGCGGAGTGGTCTTATCCAGAAATCGCGGAGGTACTCCAAGTCTTTGACAAAGTCACGCTCTGTGTACATGATCTCAGAGATGACTTCCTGTCGTTTCTTTTCTCGATCGTCTAGTTTATCGGCAACTTCCTTGGGCACACTGTTGATCCATAGTTTCTGTTCCTGATCGTCGTCTCCATGTAAGCTGCCTCTTGAATTGGAGTGTCGGAGTCCTGGTTGAGGCCTCAGGTTCAACCGCGCTTGCTGTTCAAGTCGTCTTGGGCATGCAATAGAGTAACAGAGCTGGTCTTTGGTGCAGGTGGGCGAATAGCATTCTGTAAGTAAGGTGAAGACACCGTTGACGTCTTTGGATGAGGCTTCTTCGCCCATAGTCTCTCGGAACTGGTAGACTTCTCCGGGCGCATCTCTCAGACGATGTTCATATGTGACATCGTGGAAGAACTTTTGTGCATCCAGAGCTCGTCCAAGGAGGAGTGCCAGGTTTCGGTCGGTGGTCTTGATGATGTAGGCAATCAAATCGACGGCCTCTGCACCGGTGAAGGCATTTTTGTAGGAGAGGTCATTCTTGGTCCTGTCGCCCACACCAATTCTTTCTTGGAAAGCGCTTGCCACCCGTGAGAGCAGAGCAGGATAGACAAGAGGTGATTTTCTTTGAACGACTGCTGTTGTCTGGCTCTGGCTAGATGAATGAGTCGTAGGAGTTGGCCTACTCATCATACTGTCACTGCGGGATCCATTGATCGTAGTCAAGTCAGACGAAGCCGAAGCGACAGAGGCTGCGGATACGGTACGTGCAGGGCCGCTTGCTTCACTGGTGCGCCGCAAATGCGGTATTTGACTGTACGCCGGAGAGTTGGATGAAATTGAAGAGCCGTTGAGAGAGCTGCCATCCGCGAATGGATCCGACTCTGGTTCACGCGGCCGTCCGGGTACAACCCTCCCACTTGTTAATTGTTGGGCATGATCGCGATCCAAAGAGTATGAACCCATGGACATTGCCCGGATGTCGTCCGGCCGTTCTGGTATGTGTCTTCCTTGTGCAGTTGTCCTCGAAGCACCCATCGAAGCATATGGCTGTTGCCTGAATGAACTAGCGGTTCCCTGTTGGAAACTGCTTGGAGGGGGCCTATGACTCATCGTGGGTTCCCCAGGTCTCACCATCGATCGCGACCGGTAAGCGTCGTTGTTTAACGCTGGAGGTGGCATGCGGTTTGGTACTGGTTTGCGATCGTACGGACCCATTGGCATGGACGGGGGCCCTCCTGGCCGAATATCAATCCGCTGTGGTGGTGGGTAAGGTCTCCGATCTGGAAACATTGGTGCAGGGTTGTGTGGTGGCGGTCTTGTCCCACTCGTCCCGTTCATGTATGGCTGCCCAGGTGCTATGCCATTTGTTCGATCGTAAGCTTGAGGCATTTGCCGATTCGGTGGCGGAGGACCCTGTCTCATGGACATTGTGTGCGGAGGCTGCGTCATTGAGTTCATACTGGGAAGCCGATCATACATCATGTTTGTTGACTGGGTTGTCATTGTCTGAGATCTCCCTGGAGGCGGCGCACCGCCGAATATGTTATGGAACGCAGCATCTCTTTGATGGTCGGCGGAGCCGCTGTAATTCATGGCCCGAGAACCATGATAGCGGGGATCGGGCGCACCATAGTCTGCCATGCTCAGTCAAGAGATAGCAGATGATGAACAGCCTTAAAGGGGGTGGAAGTCACTGGAGGTGCATCGAGGGAGGTGATCGGTAACGAGTCGGGGGTCGCAGGTACGATTATGCTCTGTCCTTCGTGATCTTGTCGCTTCTCCCCGCCCAGACACCAGGCTCTGGGGAAACTTCTTGTACACGGGCAGAGAGATGTTGGTGGAGGTGGACTAAGGCGGCTGATCTTAAGATTGGGTTATTTCTCGTGCATGGAGGAGGTTACCAGGTCGGTTGCGATTACATATGATATCGCGCAGATTCATGCTCTCCTCATGCCAGCAGGAACAGAGCAGAAAATAGAGGTATATGCTCTGAGGATATTGAGGGATAATGTCATGGGCAGATGGATTATGGTATGGGAACTTGGATTGAGGATCAACCTCAGGCTGCTGGTTGCATCTTCACGGGACGGACTACGCTAGGCTTGTTCGATGTTTATTGGCTGACGGAGTGGCTCCTGCCCGCGCCAGCTTGCCAAAGTGCAGTTGCACTTCCGAGTCTTTAGACAGGACCGCAGGCACATCATCGCATTGTTGTCGTTACAACTGCCTTTTATTACTTGTCTCCTAGCTTCACCTCCACGACCGCTCGTTCAGACCCTCGAATTCCTCACACGTTCTCTCCTACAGCAGCCCTCTACTCATCTTCCAACTTTCCGCAATGGCAACACTCATGGAAGGGCCGGGCAGCGAGTACACGCCCAAATTCGCACCCTTCTTTGGCATGGTAATTCTGTCTTGCTTCCTGTGTATAACTGAGCTGACGACGAGATAGGCCGGCATTGCATCTGCTGTACGTTAAATTTATCCCTCAGCGCGAAGACCCTTATCGCTAATGACAGCTTGATGATAGATGATATTTGGCTGTACGCATCCACCTCGATCTTGAATGGTATTTCTGGGCAGGCGCTGAAAGATATGCAGGTCTAGGAGCAGCATACGGTACCGCTAAATCAGGCATTGGAATCGCCGGTGTTGGAACCTATCGGCCTGATTTGATTATGAAGGTCTGGGAACAATCATTCAGTACCGGCTACCCATGCGCATCTGACAATTGGTCTAGTCGCTCATTCCTGTGGTCATGTCTGGGATCATTGCCGTCTACGCCCTAGTTATCGCCGTCTTGATCGCCTCAGATATCGGTCCGCCGCCACAGCAAAATTACAGCTTGTTCACAGGGTTCATGCACCTCGCCGCTGGGTTAAGTGTTGGACTTGCAGGTTTGGCTGCTGGGTATGCCATCGGCATTGTCGGGGATATGGGAGTACGATCTTACATGCAACAGTCGAGGGTTTTCGTTGGAATGGTCCTTATTTTGATCTTCGGTGAAGTGTTGGGACTTTACGGCCTCATCGTGGGCTTGATCCTGCAATCTAAGAGCTGAAGAACGACAATCGATATTTTACAAAATTGGAACTATGCTGCATGATGGGACGAGAGGGTCTTGTATGGCTTTTCGAGCTAGAATGGTGACAACAAAGAGGTCTAAAAGAAGAAGCTCTGTTTAGAGAGGATCGTACCTTCCTTTTCCTTGAGGTGATAAATGTCCTTTGGTGTATGGCGGGCTATTGCTGCAGAAACTTTCCAAGCGGGCCTCCAATGTGCTCTAGATCCAGCAGGAATGTATCATGCCCGAAGAGACTGATATCTTCTCCTAATTCGATGTGAGTGACTCGGCCATTTCCTGTAGCTCTCAAAGTCTCAGCAATTTCACGCTGCTGCCACGCAGGGAATAGGATGTCACTGGCTACACCCATCACCAAGACCGGATGCGAAGCCAAGGACGCCATTCCTTTGACCAGGTCCTCTGGTGGTCCACCTGCTGCGTTGGAAACGACTACCTCATCCATTGGAGCCGTCTGCGTCTGCTCTTCATAATTCTTGGCCGGTAGTGTGAGGCTGCAAGATGGATCATTCTGAATCTGACGGCCTTGGAGCTGGGTCAACTTGTCACTATTTTGTTGGCGTCGGCGCTTGACACTTTCTTGGTGATCATGCCCCAAATCGAAGAGATCCATTGCTTTCGAGACGTAGAGCAGGGAATTAGGATCGTACTCTAGGGAAAACCTTTCCCCGGCATGATCCAAGTAGGTCTCGATCAGGAAATCCGGGCATAATGCAGGCTGCTTGCTGGGGTCTGCTCGTCGACGACCGAACCTCTTCTCCCATTCAGGACCGCTCCGATAAGTTACGGTAGCAATTTCCCTTGCCAATTTCATCCCAGTGTGAGGCGGGATGCTGTCGTAGTAAAAGCCTCTATTCCACTTGGGATCCATCATTAAGACTTGCCTTTGAGTATGCCTCATTGCGATGCTGTAAGGATGGCTCCTTGCACAACCGGAAATGCTTACAATCTTCTGCACCCTTTCTGGAAAGTGGACACCAAAAGCAAGGCTCTGCATGCCACCCATGCTTGCTCCCACGCTCGCAAAAAGCTTCTCAATTCCCAGACCGTCCAGCAATCTCGTCTGCGCGCGTACCATGTCGTCCATGGTCAATATGGGAAATCTTGTTGCATATCTACGTCCGTCGGATGGATCAATGGAGGAGGGTCCGGTCGAGCCAAAGCAACCTCCCACAACATTGGTGCATATGACAAAGTATTTGTTGGTGTCGACGGGGGCACCGGGCCCAATGAACTTTTCCCACCAGCCAGGCTTGGGGTTGGCTTCGGTGCTGTGTGCATGACTTGACGCCGACAAACCGGTATGTAACAAAATTGCGTTGCTCTTGTCCGCATTCAGTGTTCCCCAAGTCTCGTATGCAATGTCAAACTCAGACAGAATGCCGCCCCAATCGAGCAGAACAGGTTGAGAGCTGTGAAAGACCAGATGCTTGCCGGTGGTATAAGAGGGCTCAGGGCCTGATTCGAGTGATCGGGTCTGAAGTGCAGCGGTCTTCATCTCTTGCGCGTCCAGACAAGGGAATGCCAGCGCAGGGTTGGTAGGTTCAGAGGTCTCCCATCGCTGTTCCTCGGCTGCGGCAGTAGCTTGAGCATGGTGCGTTGCTCGTGTGTGAAGTGACGGAGCAGTGGTCGTCCATTTTCGACCGATCGGATGTGGATTTAACTTGCGGTCGACTAGGGAAGAGAGATCTGAAGCTACAGACTTAGAACCTCGACTGAGAAGGCGAGCAGCGATCTGAGCACCTCGAGGAGCTGCCATGTTGGAAAATTGGTGAGTTCAAGCATGGGCAATGTTAGAAGAGCCTGCGGGGCCTCCTCTGGGTGCATTTGGAAGGATAAAAAGCCATAGTAGGATGGATGACTAACGGCCAGGCCAGCGGCATGGCAGGGCTTCTAAGGCTCTATGTAATCACGTCATTGGCCACCAATCAGCTCCCTTGGAGGTCCTGATCGCAAGACCGTAGGTACTCTTTACGTATGGACGGCCTTTGTACAACATACCAAGTGAGATAGATCTCTCAATCAGGATGCGTGTCTCGTTCTGAAGTGTGAACAGGGTCGGATCACCGCTCTAAGCACGGGTCCGTGTTGACAAATCTGCGGGAGGAGAACGCAAGTTGCACGGCTTGTGGCAATGGCTTGTCTTTCTGGGCCATGAAATGCTGCTTAAAACAACTCCGGTTAATTTGGCTCCGTATGACAGTATGCTGCACGAGCCTTAGCAGTTGCAACGTTGTGCTTCGGATACGACACTTAATGCTTAGGGCAACTGGAAACTGAAATTCAGGGCAGACCTCCCAAGGATCAATGAATTTGGTTGGGGGGGGTTCGACGGGAAGCAAATGATAATTAAACCGCATTCAAGTTCTCGGACACATCAGTCGATAGCCGAGCCTGCGAGGCGAAAAAGAAATTGATGTTAAACGTGCAAGGAATCAAATCAACCCTTGCAGTGTTCTCGTGCTACCGAGGACCCGGGTACGCGCACCTAAAGAGTGCTTCCGTACTCCGTAGATGTTGACAACTTGACACCGAAGATCTTGGGCCAGGGCCACCTGGTCAGCCGCAAAGCTTGACCCTGATGCTATGGTCCTAAGGAGCCCTGAGGCCTAAGGAGCCTCCATTATTGGACTCACTAGTAGTTCGGCTATGAGTGCTACCTTATGAACAAGTAGTAAATTAGTACGGATAAGTCCATTCAAGGTCTCCGAAACAAGGGGCGCTGTTATTCTAGAACCTAGCCTCCCGACCCTTCCGACCTGAGACTGGTGCCTCGTCATGGGTTATAATCGTGCTCTTGGAAAACCACCTTAACATTTCGCTGCGCATGTCCCTGCCGCTACTTCAGCGTCTTGCATCGGCTGGTTGACATACGGCCCACTGTGGCTCTCGCCTTGCCAGCGGCAGGTGTTGAGAAGTGCTCAGAAGGTCCACAGCTATTATCTGACGATCGGGTATTCTTCTCCTGACTGCGCGTCGACTGGAGATCTCGATGGTGCGGCCATATTGGTTGGACTGAAACATGCTACGGTGAAAATGTACGACCCCCAACCTTGAACACCTATCATGGTTATTATTCTTCCGCTCTTTTGAGTTGATTCGAACGGAGCGAAGCAATCCGTTGAATGCTCATTCCTCCATCCTCTCTCTCCAAGAAGCCTGCGCCCTCTCTGACCTGCAACCCCACACTAGACGGTGATCCGATTGTCTGAGAAGTTGCGGACAATTCATCTTGAGGTCCCCGAATTCGAGGTTATGCATCCAGCTAGGACCTCATAATGGCATTGTCGACCACCGTTAGAAGAGCAGCACTCGTCGCCGCGGTGCTTGTTGCACTATTCCTCCTTCTACGGATTTCCTCCCCATCATCGCCAAACCCTCTTTCGGTACAGTCAACGTCAGCGCAAACGGAGCAACCGTCGAGACCATATCCTCCTCCAAAATCCCCGAACAAGCCTCAGCCAGGCCAGAAGACGGTGCAAGATATTGCCTCCAGACCGTTGCGGGAAAGATTACGATACCATTTCCCATACGACATTGAGGCCAAGTTCCCCGCCTACATATGGCAGACATGGAAGACAGCTCCAGGTTCAGGCAAGTTTGAAGAAAGATTGAGACCATTCGAGGCATCGTGGTCATCATTACACCCTGGATTTGTGCATGAAGTCATTACCGACGACGCTGCGGCACATCTCATCAGTTATCTGTATGCCTCGGTGCCGGAGGTGGTGCAGGCATATGAAGCCATGCCTCTCCCGGTCCTCAAGGCGGATTTCTTCCGTTACTTGATCCTACTCGCTCGTGGAGGCATCTACAGTGATATCGACACACAAGCTTTACAATCAGCCACCGACTGGCTGCCGCAAACCCTTGACAAGTCTACTGTGGGCCTGGTGATCGGAATCGAGGCCGACCCAGATAGAGCAGACTGGGACGAGTGGTATGCCAGGCGAATACAATTTTGCCAATGGACAATCCAGTCCAAACCTGGTCATCCTATCCTGAGAGACATTGTAGCCACCATCACGGATGACACACTGGAGATGGAAAAGGCCGGTAAACTGCACAAGGGCAAGCAAGTGACGAAGAGTATCATGGAATTTACGGGTCCCGGCGTGTGGACAGATACCATCTTCTCTTACTTCAATAACAAAGAGTACTTTGATTTCAGCTCGCGAAATACCAACGTCACTTACTCGGACTTCTTTGGCATCACGGAGCACAAAAAGATTGGCGACGTCGTTGTGTTGCCAATCACCAGTTTCAGCCCTGGGGTTGGGCAAATGGGGGCTGAAGGGACTGAACATCGCATGGCCTTCGTGAAACATGAATTTGATGGTACGTCCCCGAGATTCTCTGCTCATGTGTCTACAGCTAGTTGACGAGACCTCAGGATCCTGGAAGCCTGAAAACGAGCGAATGAAAGGGGAATGAAGGTCACAGAGAGTCATCTGAGCTCTCGAGAATGTTTGATTATGATGCACCTCGAAACTGTGAGGTCCTTTTGCGAGCCCAGCTCTGCGGACTCGTTCGATTCATGCATGAAGTAGTATGACTACGACTTCGGGTACATACTGTGGTACGTACATAAAATAACCAGGACGGCTCGGTCATCTTGGAATGCGATGAAGGAAGGAGCACCAGCAAAGGAATGGAGAGGGTCTCCAAGATGGGCTATTTGAGGTTGTAGGTTTAATTTTCGGTACATACCATCAGTGACTGGTCAGCAAACTTCTCAGCAGGGATTTAGGACTAGTAGCTGGACTTGTGCGCAGGAGATATCACCTACCTTGTTAGATGTCTGCCTACGTACCTAGGTGTGAATGATCAGGATCGACATACCCCAATCAAAATGTTCTCTTCACGGTAAGCAAACAGTGATGGGACTCGATCCAGGTCATAAACAGGGGGCGACATAGGTACTCAGCTAGTAACCGGTCAATGACTTGCCAACGTAATTGTCCCTCCATACCATACAGTAACCGTATGGTGGTTACTACCTACCTAGGTAGCGGGAGCCAGTGCTCTCCAACTTGTGAGGCGACGAAAAGAGACACCGCATCCAGATGCAGTTCCAGGCCCGTGGATCTCGCCGCCCTACAACTACTGTCACTAGTTGCTGCCCAACATGGCAAGGTCGCCGAGCTCGGCCTTCACTAATAGGGTTGACAGCAGTACCTATAGTACTCCGTAAGCGTCTCTGACTGGTCTACCTACTGCTACGTACTGCTTCGAAGCAGCCCAAGTTGCTGGCCTTCCTTGAGGACAGCTTAGGCGAGCCTTTAGCATTTGCTGTAGCACTTGGGCTGCCTTGTCCCACACGAAAGACCCTCTTTTCATTGCCCTGCTCTCAGGCTGTCCATTTTTGCGGCCCGCCACTCTGAGCGTCCTTTCTGTCGTCATGGCCTTTCTCAGGGCTGCTCAAGATTTCTACTAGTACTTGGCGGTCAGGACCCCACGGTCAGCCTTCTGAGCGCCCGCAGTGATGGTTGACGGAGCTTTTCTGTTGCAGTGGCTGTGACAGGTATTGCTACAACTATTCTGCCACCGCCACCTACTCTGTACGGAGTGCTCATCTGTAACATTTTTCATCCTACGTACTCCGTACTTAGCAGTCCAGTTCCGCACTCCTGTCTCGCCAAAACTACAGCCATCGACCGCCTGCCTTGGATTCACGTCTCGCATGGGCTCAGCTAGCGCGTCGTTATGAGCCCCAGCCTCCACGGCCCCTAGGATTGAGGAAGATGCAAACTGGCTGCTCCGATGAGCACAGCGACGCTTCAGCCGTCGCAGCAACAGCCACCGCCGCGGGCTGCTTCTGCGCAAGATCATAGAGCGCATCTGCGACCGAGCAACCCACACAACTCCAGAAGCGCTTCGCACCCTCACCCAAGCCGTCAACATGAAAAGGACCTTGTCCTTAAGCATGTCGAGGCGGCCAGAGCAAGAGAGACCATGGCCCCCGAGGAGATTTCGAAGGATCCAGAGAACAAGCAGCTGGGCCACTCGTCTCGTCATCTGAAGGTCACCGACTTTGAGTTGATGCGGACACTTGGAACGGGTATGGGGTTCCCCGAGCCACGTCGGAGAGCTTTGATTGACTTGATTCTTTCTAGGCACCTTTGCTCGCGTATGGCTATGCCGCTTCGCCAGTCCATCCCCGCAAGATCGAGACAAAGTGTTTGCCCTCAAAGTCCTAAAAAAGGTGGACGTCATCAAACTCAAGCAAGTCGAACACGTTCGCAACGAACGAGATGTTCTTGCTGCGGTCGCCGGCCACCCTTTTATAACAACCCTGATTACCTCTTTTTCGGACGAAACATCCTTATACATGCTTCTCGACTATACCCCGGGAGGAGAGATTTTCTCCTATCTCAGACGAGCTCGCCGCTTTCCATTCGCAACCGTCCAGTTCTACGCCGCAGAAATAACTCTCATCTTGGCTTATCTCCATGAGGTCCAATTTGTTGCATATCGCGACTTGAAGCCTGAAAACATCTTGCTGGATGTAGATGGCCATTTAAAGCTGGTTGATTTTGGATTCGCTAAATATCTGCCACCTGTCCCAGAGCAGACATCCGGCGATAACCACCACAACAGTCACGCGAAGCCGAGCAGCGAACATCCTGAACCACAGGCGAGCGGAGCAGGAGTCACTTATACCCTTTGTGGTACGCCCGAATATCTCGCGCCAGAAGTGATACGTAATACGGGTCATGGTACAGCAGTGGATTGGTGGGCGCTCGGTATTTTGGTATACGAGATGCTGATCGGGCAGCCGCCCTTCTGGGATCAAAATCCTATGCGCATATACGAGCAGATTGTTGCTGGCCACATTCGCTTCCCTACTACGCAGCCTTCTTCCCAAGGCCACCGTCACAGTCTCCACGTCCCCAGAGCTGCGCGCGATTTCATTCTAGCATTGTGCAAAACGGACCCGACGCAGCGCCTGGGTCACATCGCCGGAGGAAGTAAACGAGTAATGGAACATCCCTTCTTCGACGGCATCAACTGGGACGACATTTACTACAGGAGAAAACGAGGCCCCATCATTCCCAGAGTGGAATGGGCTGGGGACGCTGGCAATTTTGATGAATATCCGGACCCCATCGAGGGCGAAGAGAGCGAGGGGGGAAGAGGTAGGTATACTGATGAACTACGTGCCGAATTCGAGGAGGCGTTCAAGGACTTTTAAGACCCTCTAATGATCAAGCAATACCGATGGGATTGGATGCTCACCCAGATTGCGTTTCAGGGCGTGTGATCTGGATCGCGGCTGGGATTCGTGTCTGCATGAGTAACAACAATCAAAAGGGCGTTATCGAGATCCGTGTGGTTTATTATAGGTCCTGGAATTGCCATTTTGGCCAGAGATACCATTATATGGCATGAGATACGAGGGCACTGTTCAATTATATAGGTATGATCTGTTATTTCAAATCAAATTTTTAGAGAATCACCCAATGTCGTTGGTATAGCAAGAGTTGGGAAGCTGTTCATTTTGCGGTGTAGTCGTACATGGCTTGCTCATCTCTTGATGAAGAAATTGTAGTAATTAGGCGGTGTGAGGTCGATGAGAAGGCCTGTTCAGTGTTTGGTGCCTACTTGGATTTGTCCTTGCGGGCGGGGAAGCTGTCCGGCTGTTTCTTAGGGCTAAGGCTTAGGATCCCAGCCTTATATGTGGCCTCCTTAGCCTCCTAAGCCTTCGGGCCAGCAGATTTGGGGAAGGCCGGCACTGTTCGTTTGCTTACACCGTGCAGCGTCACTGCCTTCACCACGCCTCACAACATTCACTGCCTGGCATGGTAGACAACTACAGGTCTTTGTGCTAGACTTCTGACCCTGCCGACCTCTACCTCACGAAGCGATCTCGTCTCTCCTCTGCCGACGTCTTCCTCTAATGTCCTCCTATCCGCCTAATCCAACCCCTCGAAATTCAACATGGCAGGCATAGAGCCCACCGCCGACCAGATTCAGCAAGTCTGCGAATTGACACAAGTTGATGAGTCCAGCGCAAGGGTGTTACTCAGAGTAAGGAGGCTAGGAGATCAGAGCATATATACAATACTGAAGTTGATTGCACAGAAAAGCAACAACGATGTCAATTCAGCCGTGAACGCTTTCTACGAAGATCCAGTGGGATCTGTTAAAGATGCAGTCAGTTGTACACCCATCAGCCTGGATCTCAGCTCAACTCCCACAGGTCTCTGCAAATGACTGGCAGCTTCAGGACAATCTTCCCTGTAAGGCACATTTTGACGAATTTGACAGAAGGACTTTGACACGAGCTTTTCAAATAGTTGCGGATGACTCGAGTATGGGAGGAGCGGCCGCCATGTCCCGTCCACCCTCAAGAGCCGACAACAACCGCCCGTTGCTGGACCTTTCATCCGATCATGCCACAGGTACCTGTCCAGGTTGTATTCGGCGGATTTCACAGATGCTGACCGTCTGGCAGCCTCAGCAAGCGCGGTGAAGACGCTAAAGGAACAAGAGGAAATGAATGACCCAGCGCTTCAACGTGCAATGGAAGAATCCTTACGGCAGAATCTCCCGGCGCAAGAAAATGGGGTCACCGTTGCTGATACACACTTTGGCCCAGCCGTTCGAGACTACTATGATCCGTCTAATTGGGCCATGACCACCTTTTCCTCATCCCGCGAGATTGTTGATCATCCAGCGCCTTCCAAACGGAGGCGGATAGGTGACGAGCCTGCATTTCTGCGTGGATCAAAGGAGACCGACTACCTTGGGCCCTTGCTCACAATTTATCATAGTATCCCACTTGCACGAGAGGCTTTACTTATGCCCAGTCTGAAGATCCACAACTATGGCTACGATGGGAGCTGGTGGTCGGGGTCTAGCAACGAAAACACCAAGGCTATATCGGCGGACAGTGCCCTGCAGATTGACAAAGATGATTGCAATCTTCTTGCAGAAGTCCAATGCTTGATGGCCTTTCTGGACGGAACAAATCGTGCGTACGGCAGTATTGATGCACTGGCTGATCTGCAGGCGGTCCGGCGAACCAATGAAGAGCTTAACTTTCTTCGTTGCTTAACAGCCTGGAGTAATGCCGCACTGCGCCAGGCTCCGCAAGAGCAATTGACGCAAATCTTCACCAGCGTTGCAATGAAAAACACTGGACCTGGTGACAGTCCTCCGGAGGAAAGATCGCTGTTGCATGTACAAGCACCCATTAATCGCATTCCAGGTGAATCTCTTGTCGATTTGCTCGATCACACTGTCTGGAATGACGCTATGGGTATCCTCGATGACGTTTGGATTGATCGCTGCGCTGAAGTCTTCACTGTACAAGTACGTGATCCAAACAACGGTAAAAGCGCACTCGACTTGACCATTGACCCTCTATGGTATCCGGATCGGTACATGTACGAATGCAGAGAAGTTATGCAACACATTCGCAAACAACTGCAGCTGATACGCCGAGAGATCGAGCAATGCACCAACATTCAGCGTCGTTGTGAAGTCCTAAAGCTGCCCGACAAAAGAGTCCTCAAAACTCGTGAAGTTCTCGATGCTGCAGCGAAGATTTCAACCGTGGCAGTCAGTCCGAGATCGATATCGAACAGTCGTTTTACCGGCCCGGCGGGTTCGACAGAGAGCTCTGTGACACAACCTGATTTAAAGCAAATCAAGTCGGAGCTGAACAGCATCGTGCAAAGAATTGGGCAGAAGTTGCAGAGTTTGGAGCAAAAAAAGACTGAACTCAACCGGAAAAGTCGACAGATCGCCTTGAATTTGACAAAGCCAACTCCACAGAATCCCAACTTTCCATATCGTAAATATACCTTGCAAGGAGTGTCGACCAAACCGGAAATCACCTATCTCCGTCTGCCCAACAAGGATCTGCTTCACCTTGATGATGATCAGGACAATTCAGGAGGCTCGGCGTACCAATGGTGGAGATGCTCATGGCTGCAAGATGACAGCCAGACCCTCTATCCATCGGTAACCATTATGGGACCTGTAACACAAGCCCAGGCTGAAGCCGCCAAAAGGGAGCAAAATGCTTCGGTGGAGAACAATGACGGCGACGGTGGCTCTAAACCTTACTCAGTCAGCAAGATCAGTGAGAGTGAAGTCCTGGAAGCTGCGAGGAGAGAGCACAGCTCTGTACTCCTCGTCTATGCCAATGAAAATGCGATGCATTTCAAAGGTAGTGAGTTGAGTCGCCCGCTCAGAATCTTTGTGGACCGTGACAATCAAGCCTTCACCGAAGAACTGCAACAGGAAGCAGGCTCGTTGTCGAACCTGGCAGGTGAGGGCGAGATTGAAGCGGAATTCGAGGACGTGCCTTTGATTGATCGGACGCGTTCCAGCAGCTCCGCGCGAGAGTTCACCCCAATGTCCACGTCGACTCCTGGACGTGACGAGGACGGACAGCCGTCGCCAAAACGAGCCAGAGGTGGCTATAGCCCCAAGTGTGCCGACCAGCCACCATCCTACGAGGAAAGCGTTGGCAAGCAAGAAATGCAGGAGAGGAGAGGTAATAAGATTGGCTTGTATGCAGAACAGATGCTCCAGAAGTACGGGGAGGAGGCCAATCAATCCACCAAAGAGTAGGAGACTCGAAAAAACCTCCTTGCATATCGAACACTTCGGGCTCGACAAGACCAAGCCTCGCAAAGCAAAGACAGTCCCGGCATGATTGTCTACGGACTCATCATAGCTTTACCTATGTAGCTGTGTGATAGGAGGGTTGGCGCGTGGAGGTAATTTCAATCGAGGAAGAAGTTTGCGAAACTCTTCGGGAGGGTTTGATCGACCCATGCACTGACATGGTTGAGATCACGGTGGCTGTGCTGCGCATTCACTTTGTCGGGTGGAAGGTTGCAGAACATTATTGGACTTGAGGTCAATCCTGGCTCCTATCAAGATTGTTCGAGTGCTTATTGGAAGGCTAGGGTTCAGGGGAACATGTCACACGAGCCCCTTAGCCGTGGAAAGCCGCGGGCGGATGTGTTGCCGACTGCTTCTCAAGGCATTCTAACGTGCTGATGAACAAGAGAGATTCAGGCTGGAGATACCGGTGCGGATAGTGGCTGTGCTGCGCCTGAGGACATGGGCAGGAGGGTGTTCCCACCTGGCTAGCAAGGCATGATGCTGGACCTTAACAAAGGCGCACATGTGTGAACTCACCACGGTGGTATCCGTACTCCGTCAAGCCAACTGACCCGGGCAATCTGCTCGTGCAGACTGCAAGGGCCGCTTCCCGTGTGCCGGTTGGACCGTCCCATGTTTCTGAGCCTGGGCCCGAGTCTGGGTTGCGTTGTAGGCGACGTTGCCCAACTTGGGCGACAAGGAGCAAGTACGTACTGTATCAAGTCCACTAGTTCCATCCGCTCACCCCTCAGCAAGCTTGTCAAATTGCAGAATGAGCCAGTCATGCTCTCTGTCGAAGATGTGATACGCCCCGATACCTAGCAGACGCGGACGGGTCTCCTTGCCTGGCTCGAAATAGCCGAATCGAATCATCACCCCGTCAGCCACACCGGGAGCGCACCCACGCCAACATCAGCTTCACGCACTGGCAGTATCCGTACCTCGAGGCTACAGGACAGCTCCAGACTAAGTACGGAGTAATGCTGCTAGATGCAGCTGCGGAGCCCTGCCACCTGTCAGCGGCAGCAGCATTCCCCGTTGACAGGCTGCGCCTGAAAAACTCTATTGGAGAGCATTGCATGAGAAAGAAGGAGCTTCAAGTACCTTGTACGGAGTACGGATACTGCAGCAGGATTCCCAGCCATCCTAGCCTTCCTAGGCACCGAAGCGACCGGCAATTGACAAGCTCCCACGTCTGGTCCCAGCAATGGGGACACCAGATCGGTCAGAGGTCACCAAACCCCACGGTCACAAGTCAATCCTAGCGAATGCAGTCCTGGCACGATATCCATCACATAGTTTTCTACAGCCATGGTACGGAGTAGGAGATAACGAAACATGACTCCGTACGGATACACAAGCACCCACGTGCTGAAGAAGGTTGATCCCTGCGAAGCGCGGCAGTGCCAGGCGCAACAGTAATAACGCGAACGGTCACCGACCATCCTACCACGGTACCAGGTCCAATCGATTGTTCCCACTTGGCTCAACAATCCGTCGAGAGTGACATGTCAGTGGTGGTGGAAAAATAGTGTCCATGGCATCAGCCCTGAAAGCTGAATGCTGAACTGCAAGACAGAGTGGTGGCTTTCTTGATCATCACCAAGAGAACAATAGGATGCTGAGCCTGTGCTCCAGTAACACACCCAGCTCCTGTGAGGACCGACCAGTTCGTTCACGAGGGGCGTGGGGAAGACTTGACGCGTAAATGACTATAACACAGCGCATACGTGCTTCGAGAGTCATCGACGGTTTTCCGGCAGAGACGCATCCTATGCGAACAACAGGAGTGCTGCCACGGCCCCCGGCCTGGAGGACGGCCCAGGGGTGCTAGCTTGGATGGGCGGACGAAGAAGTGCAAGCTAAGGGAGCATGCCCATCCACACTTATTCATGCTCCGAAGTCCCATATTTCGGTGGACTCGCTGGCGGTTCTGAATGGTCGTTGACACATCCGGCGCACTTTACCTCCCCACGGACACGACCATGAAGACTAACAGAACTGACTGGCCATTCAATTTGACCTCTAGCTGTCGGCCGTCTCACTAGCGCACCATCTTGTTCAGACGAAGACTCTAATGCTCTGTCGAGGGGCTTCATCTGGCCTTCATCTCTAATAACAAGGAACACGCGCTGCCTCGACCACCCATCACGCAACCTAACGTTAGCCAGCAAACCGCGACACCACGATTCTTTGCGGGCTCGCCTCTGCCAGCTACATATACGGGCGCATGTTATCTTCTCTCGGAAAGAAGCTTACACGCTAGTCGGTGTGGCCATAAAGGAACTTTGGGACGCTCTATTTTCTCTCCCCTGTGTCCAACTCTATCTCGGCGGAAACGGTTCAGCAGGGCTCGCCTGTCAGCCGCTATTTCCACTGGTGTTTTATCATTGGGACGAAACTAGCGATATTCGTGAGACGAGCCCGGATTCTCGACTTCCCACCCCTCCTGGATACTACTAGTACTATCCAACCCCGGCCAACGAACGGCACGCCCAACGCCGCATGCATTTCGGCAACCAGGTACACCAACATTCCCCCTCACCACCTACTTTGCGCCATCTTCAACTCCATTATTCTGTCTATCTCACTAGCGGACACGTCGAGTCCGGCGTGTCGATTCCCTTACTGCCCGACGATCATCGTCCCAAGGTGTAGGTTGTCGTACCCACCGCTGATCCCTCCGCGTTTACTGCGTCTCTGGGCAGACCCGTGGCAACTCCCAGCTTGACGAGGAGAGCCAATATCAGGTCCGAAATCAGTTTCTGGCCTCAAACTCCTGACCCTACGACCTGTTTCGCCCTGGCCGCTCGACTCTCCACCATCCGGTCGCCGCGCGATCGCGATTTGTATCTCGCCCTGCCACCCTGTGCCTCCAGCTTGGTGCTTGGGCCCGCCCCTGTAAGCCACACGGGCACCGGATTGGCACGATTGATCATCCTGGCTCAATGCCAAACACGGGCCTAGTGTACCTTTATCGCTGCTATCGACTGGCCACTTCTCGCCGCCAAAATCTTCCGCGTCGCTGAATCGCTATCCCACCTCCGGCACTTTCGACTTCCTGGAGCCTCTCTAAGCTCAGACGTCGTTCTCTCTATCCCTCACTCACTTCCCCCAAGTTTCCACAATCTGTATGCTCACCTTGGATCGCTGTTGCGTACACACAAAACGGTCTACACCATCCATTACAACTGCCAGACACGCTCATCCTTGACTTCTCCAACCCCTTTTGCGACAACTGAAGCATAGTCGAACCAGGAGTGGATCCTGTTATCTCGAGGACCATTCCTAGGTACTCTGTACTTTGCGCTCTGCCCTTGAATCGACAGCATTCTTGACTGTTCTTCCCAGGACACTTGTTTGAGTTGCTATTTCGACTTGTCGCGCACGAATTTTCAACAGGAATTGTCCTCGAAATCATTCTCGCATCGACTTTCGAATATGGTCCTTGACGACCTGGTTACTTTCAATTCGCTGTGGCCTGCTAGATCAACCTAGATCAGAGGAGCGACAGCCACCTCCAGTCTTTACGCCAGCTGTCCTCAGTCTGCAGAATAGGCGAAGTCTCAAGGGAAAAGTGATTCGGAATCGTCCAGGCAGCCTGGTCAGTCTGGGTAGTTTAGCATTCACTTGCGTCACGAGGTCGAACAACTCAATCTGTCCCCAGGCCGAGATAGCATGAGTGCTGTCGCTGTCAGTCCATCGGTGAATCGGCTGCACACTACTCTGTTGAATCCATACAATATGCCCTCGCATCCTGCAGGCTTTGAAGGAGTGTCAGGTGACCGACGGATGTCGAGTGTTAACGAGGCTCTTGTCGAATCTCCAACCGTTCTGTTGCGACGTCTACCACGGAACACGACATCTGAGGCGGTTAGAACGATGCTTCTCTTTGCCAAAGATCTCCAAGATACCGAAATTATTCCCAACGAGTATGAGGAGGACGCCGGATTTACCACGGCCATTGCTCGATTTGGGTCCCTTACTGGCGCCTCCGAAGCGAGGGCGATGCTTGATGGCAAACCCAATACGGCCGGACAGGCCAAAATGATTGTGGACGTGATAACGGGCCCCAACCTAGCCTCGATACCGCGGCGCAATACCATTGATCCCATGGCAGGGCGGAAAATGGCGCATTCAATCTCTCCGCCAGCCACGCACGCTCAGAAGTCGTCGCGGTTTAATGGGACTTTCCAGTCCATGGATAAGGCTTCGCCTCCCCTGGCTGGATCGCCGCTGGACCAAGCTTCGTCGGATACGAGCTCACAGTTGCAAACCCTCTTCTCGCCGCATTCTCCCGTGACTAGTGCGACAACTGAGCGCTCACGAATTAGTGGCAAGAAAGTCATCGACGAAGATGCCGGAGACGATGATACGGGAGAGTTGCTAAAAGACCCCTTGGCGTACATATACAACTCCTCTGGCACGGCCACAGGCAGAACACCTGCGAATCCACGTATCCCTACTGCAGCATTCTCGACCCTCTCCCTAAACACCAGTATGGCTAACGGGCCTTCCAACAGCTACGTGTCGCCACGGTCAGCGATCCAGTCTCGTACTCCCCAATCACAGTTTCCTCCCAACTTGGGATCCAATACCCCGTTCTCGGTGCCTCCTCAACCTTTCATCCGGCACAACTACCCGCCGGCCAACCCTGCCGATCAAAATCCGCCATGTAACACGCTCTACGTCGGAAATCTCCCCATGGACACTTCGGAAGATGAGCTGAAAGCAATTTTCTCGAAACAACGGGGATACAAGAGGTTGTGCTTCCGGACCAAGCATAATGGACCCATGTGTTTTGTTGAGTTTGAGGACATTTCGTTCGCAACGAAAGCCTTGAATGAGCTGTACGGGGCGCAGCTTCACAACAGCGTCAAGGGGGGCATTCGACTGAGCTTTTCCAAGAACCCACTCGGTGTCCGGGCGGGCCAACCTGGAAGCACGACGCCTACAACACCTCTGAGTGCCTCTGGGCCCATGAACTTGAATGGATTCAACAACACAACCCCAGCAGGATTTTCAACTGCGAATGGACCTCCACCGGGATTGTCAGCACCCCCAGGATTGAACATGACCATACCGAGCGTGGCTGGAGTCGTCCCTCCGGCGGCTCTTGGGAATCAAGGGTTTGGCGCTGGCAATGGTGGCATGCCCAGCTTGCGAGGGATGTCATTAAACAGCGGACCTAGCGCACAAGGTCTGGGCGGTGTGTATCCGGATTATATGCTTGGACGTTGATAGACAAGTTGGAGCCTTTGACTGGAATCTTGTACATGGGAGGGGGCTGAATGATTTTGATGAGGGAGGGTACTTCTCCTCTTACACGGATTTTTCAAGAGGAGATGATGCGATGATGCTCATTGAGGGCGGGCAGCGGGAATGCACATCTGGTTTCCGGTTTATTTTATTTTATTTACTTTTCGCGCATGAGATTCCCCATTTAGCAGACACCAAACACGCACCGAGCAAGCATTGAGCAAAGCAAGCCAGCCAAAGAGGCGCGCAGCCGGGAAGGTAAAGCAAACTGGCGTTCATCGATTGAGTTGGTGGCAGCGACGGCGGGAAGGAGCCGGAGGTACGGGACATTTATAACTTGGTTTCAGCTCACGTACAGTCTGTCATTTCCGGATCGATCAGCACGGAATCTGAGGGACGCTTGGGAAGAGGCGCATGGATGCAGACAGGATCGGGCTTGAACAAGATTTAGCTGGCAAGCATGAGATTCAATGGAGTGGCTGGTGGGTTGTTGGGACGACAGCATACCTACATGATTTGATGGACATTCCACATTCTGATTGCATGGGATTAGGACGGCAGGATTGGGAGATCTTAGGTATATATACATTAGCGAGTGATGAGGGAAGGTCTTTGATCTATTCGTATATCGCCATCCAGTATTGCCCGCTTGTCGCGGCACTTGCTGTGTAGTTGAATGTTCCGTGAGATGCTCGGAGCTCTCCATACATTTCACACAGGGATACAGTACTCTGTATGTACCAGACCTAATGCAGTGGAGTAGATGGATATGTGTAATCGTAGAAGTAATCGTAGAAGTAGGCACCTAGTAGTAGGAGTAGTAGTACCTACTGTAGTACTAGTAGTAGGCATAGAGGACATCCTAAGGCTTAGGGGCTTAGGCTTAGGTTGAGGTGGCTTAGGGGCTAAGGGGCCTAAGACTTGTTGTTACAGTATAATACTGATAGTGTCTTACCAGGTAACCATCCGTCGATTAATTATTTGTAGGCTGCCTGTCTGGTCTGTGGCGGCGGCGGCGTCAGAGAGGTACCTACTAGGCACCTACTAGGTAACCTAAGGTATACGGAGTATGTATGTATCCGTACCTACCTAGTAGGTACATACATACACCTACCTACCAGGTCTATTGTATGATTGTATGATCCTAATCCCTCTAGGAAGCCATCTCCAGACTCCCCCAGGTGGCGTAGCTCTGCATCTGCATCTGCATCAGCATCCACATCCACCTCAAACGTCGCTGAACCAGAGTCGATTAAGATTCATCCCGCTGTCTACTACTGTCTGCTGTCTGCTGTCTGCCGTCTTCAGTCTCCTCCCACCCTCCGCTCTGCCCTCCTCCTACAGACATTTCCTCCATGCATTCCATCTTCATCCTCCATGCCCTCCTTGCCCGACCTCCGCGGCTAAGGTCTCAAACGCTGCTTTTCCAGGCCTCACCGCGCCCAGCATAATCCGGGATGCCCTTGTCCAGAGGCCGCTCAGGACCGCACTTCCCTTTATTCCGCAGTCTCAGCGCCAGTGCCGCCAACACCACCAGTAACAACCCAGGCGACACCCCAGGTGACACCACCACCACCACCACCACCACCACCACTTTGACAACCACGTCGGCCAAAGCCACAGACGATGATGACAGCCCTCCCGCCAGGTCGCCATCCGGGTCCATGGGATTTAATCTTCCTACCTTAGCAAGTCTAGCCAACCTGAATATCCATCGCCGGAGTCGTGCCAAATCCGGGGCAAAGCGAAGGAGTTTGGATAGTCGATTCAGAAGAAGCCGGAGCAGAGAGCCTCAGCTGGAGCCAGCCCCGATTCCTGCTGATACGGATACTCCTCCTACACATACGAATATTCGTACACAGACTACTACGACTAGTTACACTGCTAAGGCCGATTCCGTCAAGCCTCTGGATCCGTCTCCGCCCAATGAGACAGTCGCCGAGTCCGATCCCGACACTCCAAAGGCACCAGCCACACCTCCATCAGCCATTCTTCTGCCACCACTCGAACCCACCCGAAGCAGCAACCCAGGACTCTCTGCTACGACTGAGGCCACTCACCTCGATCCTCCTGCGCCTGTCCCTGCTGCCACGACATCGCCCTCCAAGGCAATCTCAATCCGCCCTCGTGCTCCCTCGCCGGCCGCCGGCGCGCCCAGTCCAGTCTCCGTGGCTTCCGATCCTCCCCTTCTCCTCCTCCAGCGACCCTCCACCCCGACCGTCCATACCCTTCCTAGCAGCCTGCCATGTTCTCGACATGGTAGCCCCGAAGCAATGCAGAGAAAGATATGGGTGAAGCGACCCGGCGCCTCCCCTACGAGAGTCGAAGTGGCCGAAGACGACCTGGTCGACAACGTCCGCGATGTTATTCTGCGAAAATATGCCAACTCGCTCGGCCGGAGCATCGACGCCCCAGACATCATTTTGAAAATCGTGAGCCGCGAACAAAGTAACAAAATTGTGACCACAGAGCGGGTGCTGGGACCCGAGGAACCGATTGGGGCCACCCTCGATGCATACTACCCTGGGGGACAGAAGCACGACGAGGCGCTCGTCATTGAAGTCCCTCCCCGCCGAACTCCCCGTCCATCTCCTCGCTCCGGAAACCATCAGATTTCCTATATCTATCAAGACCAATACCGACCTGATGATGCCGCTCGAGAATACTTCCCCCCCATGCCCCTCCACTCTCCACACCTGGCCCAAGTACAACACAACGGCGTTCCTCATGCCATGACGGTTCTGACCACGGGTCAGCTGCCGCCGTTACCCAGCCCAGGTTCGCACGGGCAAAGGAGGCATGGACGACCCAAATATGGCAGGCAGCATACTAGTAGCCCCACCATCCTACATACCGTCCAACCCAACGGGCAAGTCATTGGTACGTTTGTCGCTCTCTACTCTTGGGACGAGAGGTACTGACCCCAATAGAGTCTAAATCGCAGATGAACGGCACCGTTCCCTCAGCACCTCCGCTTCCCACCCCGCCTGCGGCGCAAGGTTCCAACGAGCACAGTTCATCCATCACTCCCCCGAACCGAGTTTCGTCTCCACATCCGGGTCAAAAATCCAAGAAGAGAAGGAGTGCGTTCGCTGGCCGAGGGACCGGTGGTGACCCTCCGTCGTCTTCCCAGCCTGCTGCAGCAGCCCTATTGGATGGCACGGTTCCACCGATCAATGTCCTCATCGTGGAAGACAACGTCATCAACTTGAAACTCCTCGAAGCTTTCATGAAGAGACTAAAGGTCCGATGGAAGTCGGCCATGAATGGTAAAGAAGCCGTGGCAATGTGGAGGACTGGAGGATTTCATTTGGTTTTAATGGATATCCAGCTCCCTGTCATGAACGGACTCGAAGCGACCAAGGAGATTCGACGACTCGAGGCTGTAAATGGAATTGGTGTCTTCGGTGGAAGCCCCATTGACGCCGGTGCGAAGATGGCCGCGAAGAATGGGGGTCCAGTAGGAGAGGCCGATGCCCTACCAGACCGAAGCTTGTTCAAAAGTCCCGTCATTATTGTGGCTTTGACCGCCAGCAGTTTACAAAGTGACAGGCATGAAGCGTTGGCGGCTGGATGCAACGACTTCTTGACAAAGGTAAGCACTGCCCGCCACTAGGATCATGAATGGGGTGCTAACAGTACATAGCCTGTCAACTTTGTATGGATGGAGCGGAAAGTCACGGAATGGGGATGTATGCAAGCTTTGATCGACTTCGATGGATGGAGGAAATGGAAACAATATGCTGATGAAAAGGCCCAAGAAGATCCGGCTAAGAAGGCCGCAGAGGAGAAGGAAGAAAAGGCCAAAACCAAAGCGGCATTGAAAGCCATGTTCTCTCGGCCTCCACCCGGTGTAAAGAAAGACAGTGGAGGGAGTACTGGCTCGTCGACTTCAACGGAAAGAACGCCAACGCCGGTGCGCAATGGGTCTGCAAAGAAGAGCGCGAGTCCGAGTCCGACAGGAGGAAGCTCCCGCAACCCCAAACTGACTCGAAGCAATCCGGGCAGTGGGGGCGGAGGGAGTGGAGGCTTAGAAAGCATGGCGGAGGAGGACGAGAAGGGGTCATGACAACAGGGGTAATACTCCGAAGCGTGGCCAGGTCGAGAGGCTCTTCGCTGATTGTTTGGACGGACCGAGTGTCGGGCTTGTTTTGATTATTCTTGATTACAGCTTTGCAGCGTGTGTGCATTGCCTTCGGAGTTTTGACACAATCGGGAACTGGCATTGGAGGGGATGATGTCGTTCATGTCCTGGAGACTGTTGACGGATTTGAACCTGCCCCTGGTCATCTATCGCTCGTGTCTCGCATGGCGGAGCGGGAACCGAGGTCATTGATCTTTTCGACGAGATGGATTCTACAGCATCGACTTACCTTACCATTTCACGGCTTGGCTTGGGCTTGGGCTTGGGACATATACACGGAGCGGGAATGCATGTGGTAGCCTTTTTCCCCATCAAACGTCTAACAAACAACTTATTCATAGCACCGATTAGCTCCGCCTCTCCTCTCCTCGCTTCGCTTGACATCCCTATTACGTACTCCGTACATGACCTAAACTCGCTGCCCACGACAAGGCTGAGACTGCCTTTGGGTGTCGATCGCAAGGCTGAGGCTGGGGAGCCGCCAAGACGGCGGTCTTCCTAGCCAGATGACGTCGGCCTAAGCCTGTGCAAACATCCAACGCAGCCACGACAACGTGAACGTCCTACTCCGTCCGTACATTCTGCCTCTCGCACTCTGGGACCAGGTAGACTACCTTACACTCGGCTCACGCAAGCAGCTTGTCCCGCCCTGATGCGACCCTTTTTCCCACCTTCCATCAACATGTCGGGCAAAATTGCAAAGACCCTTGCTCGGCAAAAGGAAAAGTAAGTGGCACCGCATACCTATATCCACGCAACTCCCAAGGCCGTTCAACATCTACAACATGCCTGTCTGCTCAGCCGTGAAGCCGTAAGAACTGACGTCTGTCTGTTTTCGAATAGAATCGCCGAAGGAAATTTCTACGAGGCTCACCAGCAACTCCGCGTCATCACCGCCCGCTATCTGAAGGCAGGCGACTATCCTTCCGCCTGCGATGTGCTGTACAACGGAGCCTTACTGCTTCTACGTGCCGGTCAAGGCGGGTCCGGCGGCGACCTGGCACTCATGCTCCTGAACGACGTCTATTCCAAGGGTGAATGGGCGTGCACCGATGAGAACAAGAAGCGACTGATCGAAATCCTTCGCGCATTTCCCAAGGGCGAGCCGACTAGGAAAAGATTCATCACAGAGGCAGTCAGTTGGTCCAGCCGGTTTGGAGAACTGGAGAGGGGAGACGTGGAGATCCATCATGAGGCGGGGAAGGTGTATGCGGAAGGTATGGAAAAGAAATCCAAAGTGATGCAGAACATTCACGTCGCAGGCCGACTTGCTAACCTGCTCCACCTCCATCAGAAGGAGAAGTGTACGACGCGGAACGACACTTGGTCCTCGGCACACGCGAGTCCGCCCCGATCCTCGCCTCCCTGCATTACACTTGGTACAGACTGGACCAGCCGCACCTGGCGCCCATCTACGCATCTCGTTCCGTCCTGCCTTATCTCGTAGTCGGCGATCTCAGGTCAGCCAATACAGCACTCAGCACATTCACGTCGCATTTGACGGCTTCCAACCCAGCGCTCCTGGCCATGTCGCAGCCTCTGGAATCCGGCAAGTCCGGTCTCAGCCTGCGCATCTTCCCATCGATTCCGCTGCTCAATTTCCTATCGCTGCTGCTGATCGCGGCGCAAAAGGGCGATGCTTCTCTCTTCCGCCAGCTCGCCAAATATTATGCCCCGCACCTCAAAGATACCGAAGGTCTCTGGAGCGACGCGCTTGCGAACATCGGCGAGATCTGGTTTGGCATCAAGATTCCCAGACAAGGAGGGAATCCACTGTTTGATATGATGGGGAGCATGCTCTTTGGCGGAGGCGGCCCTGCAGCAGGAGCAAAGGGCACGCCCAAGCTTCCACCGGCCAGGAAGGAGATTGAGAAACCGCCTGCCATGGATCTGGATTGATTGAGGTTGCGCATTGTGTTCACTGTGGGGTGTTGTTACAAAGCTGGACCGTCCGGCTTCTTTGCTGGCCTGGCCCCCTTTATGGGCTGCGGCGCGACCCGAGGATTTTTTTAAGCCTTGATATCAAACCGGGTACGAAGGTATTCATTCGGTTAATCTCTATGTCTGTCTTTGTCTCTGATCTGCTGGCGACGGACCATTTCAGTGACCTAGTACGGGATGCTTCATTACGACCCATGATCCATGATCCGCAAATGACCATTGGCGGTGGTTTTAAATAAAAATAATAGTGCTATTTATCACCTCTATCATTTATTCCACTGGTCATGGTCATCGCGAGTCTTGTCTCGTGGTCACTTGAGTTCCATTCCCGCCCTTTGTTTTGAGAATCATTCATTCATTCATTCTTCTGTTCTTTGCACTTATGCTACAAGTATTCTGGACAGCTAGTACTGTCCTCTCTTTGTCTTCTCTGCGCTCTGTGATCTGTGCTCTGCGCTACAGTCATAGTCATAGCTCATAACAGTCATCAATGTCAGGGTCTGATCCCGGCCAATACTAAAGACCATGTTTTCAATACACTGCACGGGCGAGGCTGCGAGTGAGAGTGGGACGGTACATCGGCTGTTCATTCCCTTGCACACTCATTCGTCTATCCGTACCTTGAACAGAGCAAAGAAGTGGTCGAATCAAAAGGGACGTGTCGACAACTAAGTGGTAGCAGCATTCTCCACATGCTGATCAAAAAATGGCATATGAGCGTCCTTTTCTGGTATGACATTACCAAGGTTGATTTGACCAGCTGAATATATAGGTTAGCGCTGCTGTCCCGATGCAAGGAAGGATTCTCCAAGACACAAGCGTAGGTGGTTCAGTCGTCTGGGCCTGGCTTTAGGCAAGGAACCTCGTGGCTAACATGTCGGTCAGTCATAGACTCCGATTTCATCCCGTCCAGCCCCGGCTCCCATGATGGATGCTTCGCCAAACATCCAGGCCTCTTCGTCCGCGCGGTCAACTTCTCGTTGTAGACTTCCCACGATCAGACCCATAAGCTCCTCGCGCTCGGCTTCCGACTCAGAATCTCGATCCTGGTCACGACCATGGTTCCGAGACCTTTCACTGTGACTGGGCCCTTCGCTGTTGTCCTGGTCATGGTCGTGGCCATCATAGTCAAGGTCGTCCTCATGCCCGTGTGCATGATCAAAGTACCCGGTCGGGTCAATGGCGCGGCCTAATTCAGTGTCTGGTGCAGTCCGTCGTTGCGTCGGCAGGTGGTTATCATTGTTATTGTTAATGTCCCTCCGTCTCCGTGGGCCTCCTCTTATCTGAAAGTACGAATGTGACTGAGTGCTGTGCGACGCTGCCCCGCCACTAGAACCCGGGGGGACAGAGGATCCCTTGCTCTTCGCCCGGGCTCGTTGTCTGGCCATCATCTCCCTTAGTAATCTCTCAATACGTTCTCGGTCGCGCCGTTCTTCGTCTGCCTCGGCATCTGCCTCGGCCTCTGCAGCCGCAGCCATGGCCGCCGCCACTTGAATGTGGTCCTGGTCTCTTGTAGTAGTAGAATCATGGGCGTATGCGTGCTGTCTCCATGCTGCCGTATCGCCCCCTCGTCCTCTGCGTTGGTATGCTTGTGCCATAGCCTCGTCTTCGGTAGACTGACGCGCATCGTCTACATCCTCGTCTTCTGCTGCATCATGGCCATCATCGGAATCCGAGAGGCGTAGCCGGCACGGGAGAACAGGGAGATGGGGAAGTACAGGCCTGCCCGTGAGTGGGTTCAGGGCTATGATTGAGGAGTTCGGAAACAATGTTGCCGAGGACCGCGGGCTTAGCGGTCGATTGGGCGATATAGTCGGGTCATAGCCCTCGGTCAGAACCGCATGATGGCCTGAGGATGGCTGGAGAACGTGTTGTTGTTGAGTATGTAACTGCGGATATGGGGGCGACTGGTGCTGGTGCTGGTACCCAGATACGTATGCGGGAGGGTGGCCAATTTCAGGAGAGACATTGTTGAACGGCGATGACCGTGAAGGAGAGGGTGACAGAGACGGCGTTGAGACAGACCGTCGGTGTGTGTGGACGTGAGAGAGGGAATGCTGGTGGGTGTGTTGGTGTTGGTGATGGGGGTCCCGCGTCGATCGCGGCTGCACGGTAGTTTGGGGATTGATCTGCTCGTGAGAGTTGCCCTGAGACTGAGACTGAGACTGAGACTGCGGATGACGTGACAGATGAGCTGAGAACAGGTTTCTTCGTACAGATCCGGACGTGACAAGGTCGGAGGTGGAGGCGGAGGCGGAGGGGAGGAAGGCGGCGCTTGTGGGAGAGAGATCGGCTTGAGGGCGTAAGGTCGGCATGAAAATCGGGACACCAGTGGCGATACAGTAGTCGTAGAGAAAGAGTGAGTACGGAAATCGGCAGAAGGATGTGGGCAGCAGGAGAATCGAGAAAATCAATACGCAGTCTTCCAGGACTGGCGGAATGCGGGATGCAAGTAAGAAGTAAATAGACCAACGGCCAACCACTGCACACGCGAGCCGCAGTTTCGCAGTTCTGCAGTTCTGCAGTGCAAGCTGCGGTCCCCCAAACAAAACAGCCAACATTCAACACAGCGACAGCGACAACGACAGCGGGTTTCAAATGGGTCTTGGGTCTCTTCTTGTTATTTATACATTGACGCTTGTTTAGTGAAGTACATGGCCCAGCGATTTCCCGCCACGGTGCTCTGGCCATCATCTCCGAGGTGCCGTCTCGCTTTTTCCCCTTGGTCCATTGCAAAGAGGAGGAGATCGCACCATCAAAGGTCGGGTATCTTTGGGAATAACACAAGAAGCAAAAGCAAAATCAGTCCACGCACTTCCATCTCTTGCCAGCCCATCTGTCTAGTCAAGTTCTTGTCCCTCAAAGATAGGCAGTCTCTTGGAAACATCATCCCAGCTCTCCTCTCCATCTACCAAAGCCTTGACAGCGGCGATGATGTCGTCTTCACTGGCGCGCACTTGCTTCGTCGAGTCTCGTTCCCGAAGCGTCAGCGAGCCATCCTTGACAGTCTGGAAGTCGATGGTGATTCCGAAAGGCGTGCCCAATTCGTCGTTGCGCGCGTACCGTTTACCAATACTCGCAGAAGAGTCGTCGACCTTGTTGGACACGCCAACCCGGCGCAGCCGAGCAGTCAACTTCCTGATGAACGGCTTGAAGTCTTGGTGGCTGGATAGCGGCACCAACAACACCTTCGTAGGCGCGATGGCCGGAGGGAAAGACAGCACGGCCCGGGCTCCGTCACCTTCGCGAGTCCAGTAGACGTGCTCCATCAAACTGTACAGAATCCGGCCAATGCCGAACGACGGCTCGATGACATTGGGGGTGTACTCACGGGTGTACTCCGTTCGCTTTCTCTTCTCAATCTTGATCAGGTCCTTGTCGAGTTCTGTTGTACCACTTCCGATCCCTGGTGTCTGGACTTCAATCTTGCCGCTCTTTTCGAGCTCAAGCGACAACTTCTCACGTAGCTCCTGGGACAGCGCATCCACGGCAGCTTCCACAGCCTTTGCATCCTTGCGGAACTTAGGTCCCAACTTCTTGCGTTCCAAGTCGATCTGAAACTCTTCGATCACTAGCGGCTCCGGCCGGGTTTCGCGGACAACCAGCGATGCTCCGGTCTTGTTCGCGTGCACAGTCAAATCGTAGGCGCTCCGATCCGCACATCCAACACATTCAATCCATCCGTAAGTGGTAAAGAGTTCGGCATCCCAACAGTCCGCTGCATAATGGGCCATCTCGTTCGCCATGTGCTGTCTGAATCGCAATTTCGAGTGGTCAATGCCAATCTTCAGCAAAAAGTCTTGGATCCGGACCATGAAATATCCAAGGGTCTCATTGTCCACGATTCCGGTGGACACAGCCTCGCCGATCGTCAGGACGTCAGGCGTAGTGCGGCCTGAAAGCTGAGTCTTTCGGTTCAGAAGAGTCAATTTGACATCCTTCACGTCTTCGAATCGGTGGTGTTGCTTCCCACCCTCGGGATCGACAAAGTGTTCAATCTCGGCCATCAGGAATTCTCGAACCCGTAGTAGTCCAGATCGTGGGGAGATCTCATTTCGGAAGGACTTTCCAATGGAAGCCGAGGCAAATGGCATGGATTGTTGGTTGAACTCGAGCAGCTTCTGAAAGTTCAAGAACTGTCCCTGAGCGGTCTCTGGGCGGAGGTAGCCATTGGGTCTCTCAGCACTGGGGCCAATCTGAGTTTGGAACATCAGGTTGAATGCTCTAGGAGGGTCCAAATCTGCGCCAGTCGTAGGGCCCTTGATATTGAATTTCTTGATCAGCTCGCCGAGCTCGTCGCCTCCATAGTTGTCGATCTTTGCCAGAGTCTCTTCGTATTCCTGGACGACGGCATCGTCGAGCTTCTCGATCTTTGCATCCTTGACCTTCTTCTTCTTCTTTGCTTCTTTTGCCTCGTCGACCTCGACCTTCTGGCCACGAGCGTCCTTGTCCGCCTTCAGCCTGGCCTCGAGGACCTGCTCGACCAAGTGATCTGCCCGGAAAATCTCCCCGCTCTTAGGATCTTTGCACATCCAGTCCGCAAACTTATCCACGTGGCCGCTGGTCTTGAGGACAGCTTCGGGTGTCAGCATGGTGCAGTCGACCTCGAGCATGTCTTCTTCAAGGACGAAGTGTTTTCTCCATATATCCACCACATTGGCTTGAAGAGCGCAGCCGGGCGGTCCGTAGTCATAGAGACCACGCTCTCCGCCGTATATCTCAAAGGAAGGAGTGTAGAACATCCTTCGACGCAAAACGGGTTCGAGTGCACTTCGGTCAAGGGGCTGACCAGTCTTGGTGGTGCTGGTCGCCATCTTAGGGTTGGCTTTGGCAGGCTGAACCCTACCAAGAACCGATGCGGTGGAACTGAAAGATTTCGCAAACTGCGAGAGGTGGCCGGTAGTCGCTCTTGATACAAGATTTAGAGTGCGCATGTAAGGGAAATAAGCACTCAAGAGCACTCCGGAGAGTCAGGCGTCAATCGGACAGTTGACTCGAAGTACGGAGTAGGGTTGGTGGGCAATGGAACAGTCATAAATTTATTTGCCTGCACCTGCAGGACAGTTGAGCAACCTTGACGGCAGTGCAGTGGACGGTGAACCACATGTGTGCGCCACAGTCCGCACTAGCCACAGTGCCACAGGCTGGGGATCCTAAGGTAAGCCTGAGCCCCTAAGCTTTGCACCCTTTAGGCTCCTAGGCCTGACCCCCCATCGGGCGGGGAGGTCGGCCAAACCGCCCTCGTTGGCTCCGTGCCCAAAACTTTTTTTCAGTCCGCAGAGTACAATACCGCACGTACAACAACCAAAGGTGTAGTCTGTCTGCAACACTGAGCGAATTGAGTGGTTTTCTTGTGCCACTGAATGAGACTCTTATCATCAGCACCATCGTCCTCCGTCCGCATACGCTATCTCCCCTAGCACAGCGTGCATGTTCTTCAGTCATGCCGTCCCGACCCACACGACTGTCTGATAAAGCCGCGCTCCCTTTCCGAACATCGAACAAGCAAAAGCGGCAGGAGCTGCATATTAAGCAGAAACGCGCAAGGGATGCATTGAAAAGAGCAGAGCGGTTTGGGCGGAAAAAGGAGGAGGCAAAGAACCCGAAACTACGAGAAGAGCGGTTACGCCGCAATGTTCCAGTGACCTTGGACAGGAAACGAGTATACGACGATGTTACAGATGAGCCAGACGATGGCGGCTTGGGAGTGGCTTACGATGTGGAGAGGATGAAGAGACGGAAATTAGCTGAGGAGCAGCAGCTTGAATTTTTGGGAGAAGAAGGAGCCGATCACCCAGATGGGGCCGAGAATGACAGAGACATCGACGACGATGACAACGACTCAATGTTGGACGAGAGTGACAGTGACGAGGACGAAGAAGACCTCGAGCCAGACGAACTGGATGATAGGGGGCACAACCCTTTGCCCTCGAAATCACAGATCCTCCGCTCTTCCAGAATAGAACAAACACAAGCACAGGACCGCGAAGCCTCTCCTACCCGCTCCACCGCCTCGACGAATCTATCTCTCGCGCCAGCAGCCCTCATCGCGAAATTTCCAACGCTGTTCTTGCCTCCGGACGCTCCTCCACCGCCTCCGCCCAAGATCCTTATCACAACGTCAATAAACTCGACACTACACGACGAAGCAGCGATCCTGACATCCCTTTTCCCCAATTCCAAATACATCCGCCGCTCCTCCCACCGCCACGGATACAAATTCTCCGTCCGAGAAATCTCCTCTTTTGCGCATAACCATGGTTATACCGCAGTGATCGTACTAGAAGAGGACCAGAAGAGACCGTCTGGGATGACAATCGTCCATTTGCCCGTGGGGCCGACGTTTCACTTTTCAATTTCCAACTGGTATACCGGCAAAGCGATCCCCGGCCACGGCCGCGCCACGGGCCACATGCCGGAACTCATATTGAACAACTTCACTACTCCTCTGGGACTGCTGACTGCACATCTCTTCCGGTCTCTGTTCCCGGCGACGCCCGAGTTGCAGGGCCGCCAGGTCCTAACTCTGCACAACCAGCGCGACTACATATTTGTCCGGCGCCACCGCTACATTTTCCGCGAGAAGCGTGAAACTGAAAAGTCCGTGGTCGGCCCCGACGGCAGGGAGGTCAAGGGTGTAGAGGGCATCCGGGCCGGCTTGCAGGAGCTCGGGCCGCGCATGACTTTGAAACTGAGACGTGTTGACAGAGGCATTCAACGACGCAGCGGGCAGGACTGGGAGTGGAAGGCCAAGATGGAGAAGACAAGGACCAAATTCCAGCTTTGATACGGCGGAAACCACCACGAGTTCTAATTCCATACCAGTAGTCTTTTACGATGGCGAAAAGATCCTGTTTGAGAGCAATGCTGTTGTTCATTGCGCTCATATTCATACTCATGACGTTTGACGAATACAATAATGTTTCGACTTGTGTAAGCCGTCCCCTGCTGTGTCCAAAGGCACCCAGCATCTCCGAAAATGCAGCAATCCATCAGAAAAGGGCCTAAATCAAGACCGGTTGGCTTTTCAGGCCTGAAGAGTGCTGAATCCTTGTTGCGTCGTCTCCCTTCCAACGTACGCCAACAAGGCTCCCAGAATACAAACTATTTCGAATTGTGTTGCCCTACGTGGGCGCTGCCGTCCTTCTTGGGCTGCTTCTTCTTCTCCATGACATCCTCCAGTACCTGGAGTCTCTCCTGCGTGACTTTGATTGCGTCTTCCATTTCCCGCTGGCTGATCTTCTCTTCTCGGATCTTGGCTTCGACATCCTTTCTGGCCGCTTGCAGGACTTTGCCCCGCTGGCGCTGCTTCGTCCTTTGCTTCAGACTATCTGCCGTCTCCTCGTTAGCCGTCTGCTGCTGTGGCATAGACTGGCTCCGCAGCAAGACCGTGTCAACGCCAGCACGAGCTTCAAGCCAATCCCAAAACTCGTCTTGTTCTTGCGTCCAGAGAGTGTCGTAGGCTGCAAGCCGGTTTGAATACGACAGACCTGTACGTGAACTCAAACCTGCACTTCCTGACGGGCCACGCCACCACAATATCATGACTGTAACCGACAGGATTGCCACCAGAACCTCCAGCTTCAACAGAGGGCTCACAACCGAAACAATGGGCTGTAACGGAGGTCTCAAAAACTCCAATAATCCCCAATGCTCAGCTTTCTTCTTCTCTTCCTCAGCCTCTATCCCTTTAGACTTCTTGTCGCCCTTGCGCTTCTTTTTCGTCGGTTTCGAGACTTTGCTAGCGTTGGTCGTCCCCCTAGGTCGACCGGTGACGGCGCTTTTAAGGACCCTGACTATACTATCACCGTACTGCGCTTGTCCATCATTTGCACCCTTCTCAATCGGGCCTTTCAGCCAGGACTTTGCAGTCCACTCGATTGTACAGTTCATCTGGAACCTTGTCGAATTCCCGGGGCCCCATGTCAAACAGTATCGGGTCTTGGTGCTGAAAGCGTTGCCGCTGGGCACATCGGGCGTCAACGTGGTACATGTGACACTGACAGCCTTTTCGAGGTCGAAGAAGTCCAAGTTTTCGGTAGTGATGCACTTGGTTGATTTTGGTCCGATGCTGCCCCCTAGTGGTTTGATATACGTGTACTGTCTGTTTTTGATCTCGACATTCAAGCCCCTTTTGTCATCTTCGAGAATGACGTCCGTGCACTTGCACTCGTCTGCCAGAAACTTCCGCATAAATACTCCCGATTCAGGGCCATACAGCAAAGAGTAGATCTTGCCTAGCGGAGCAGAGATAACCTCATCCTTCAGGATCTTATCGTAATGCGTGGCGCTATCAGTACAGTCAGTTGGAGGGTGGGCCGCAGGCCCAGGGAAGTCCTTAGCTGCCTCGGGCATGTTGGCTTGGGCAGCAAGAGCTGGGGATACATCGCTGGCAGTGCCAGCAAGCAAACTAGCGGTCTGTGCAACAGCGCTTGCGTTCATGCCCGATGATTTTCTCAATACAATCTTGCCATCTGCATTCTCACTGCCGGCATGGCTCCCACTGCTATCCACGAGGCTGGGTGCACTATCGTCGTCTTCTTCCGAGTCTGACTCCTCAGTCGTGCTCTCCTCGCTAAGCTGATCGCTTGCAAGGATTTCAACAGCGGGTGCTGCGCTGCTTTTCGCCTCTTCAGCAGCGAGCTGCTTGCCATTCACGCTCTTCTGGAAGCTTGCCGGATGACTGACTCTCCATATGCCAATTAGAAGATCGTAGGTCTGCTCACGATAGATCAGACTTCGAAACGTATGGCGAGCATGAAGTGTTTGAATTGCAATGGCGTTCTGGAACACCACGGCCGTATTCTCGCGCTCTATGCTGACCACTTCTTCGAAGGAGATCACCACCGTGGTCACCCAACCGAGGATGTTGCTGAAGAAGCAGATATGCCCTTCCGAAATGTAGATTCGACCGGCCAATATGATCTCTTTTTGCAACGCGCAACTGTAGTCTTCGATCAAATAATCGTCCTCAGGTACACTGCGAAATTGTTGATGGAAGTTGCGATTTCGCTGTTTAGGGGCCAGCGTGAACCCAGGCAAACGAGGCCCTTTTGATGGATTTGCTAAAGCCGCAGCACTAGCTCCTATGATAGCACCAATTGCGGATTGCCCTGTTGCCGCCGATGAGCCGCGTGATCGTCGTTTTCCAAGTTTGCTGCGAACACTGTTTGCTCTTTTGACCGTGTAGGCGTCGCTGTCAGCGATACTACCATTCGGGGGGGTCCTTTCACCCCCGACAATGCCCGTAAATGCTTGCGGTGGTCTCCCATTGCCTACCGGGTCTGTGATCTCTGTCACGGGGGTTGCGGGGTCGGACAACCTCTCGTAAGCGGCTGAAACAGCTCGTTTCGCAAGTAGATCTTCCGCCTTAGCAGCCGCCTCATCTCGTTCCATCGTTGAGTCTTTTCGAAGGTCCGCTAGGCCCGGTCGATTGTTCGCCGTGGCTTTGTCATCTGCCTCTAAACCCAGATGCTCGAAATTGAGATCTCCCGAGCCCATTGTTTCTATGGCTAATTGCTTCCGTGGAACTTCGGGCTCAGACGTCTCTTCTTCCTTTATGGGCTCCTCAGTCGGCATTTGCTTGACCGAATTTTCGGATGCGATGGTTCCGGATCGGGCCCGACTCTGGCCAGTCAGGTTGGTGATGGTAGTTGCAGCATTCTGAGCGGCAGAGACCCAAGAGGAGAATAAACCACTACTTGGGGTTCTGTTCCCTGTTGTGGTGCCCGATAATGATTTGTTCTCCTCTAAAGTAGGGGTCAGGGGGGCAGTCATGGAGCTTGAGAGTTTGCTTGGCTGATGTGCAATTGACGACGTCGACCGGATTCGGCGGTGAGATATCATATTTCCCGAAGGACTGACCACAATACCCGAAGGCTCCTCTTTGGGCCTAGACACAGGCTTGTCTGGCTGCACAGGGTCTTGTCTTCCTTCAAACCGTGTGTCGGTTGGGGTTGGAGGCGTAACGGTTGTGACGGGTGTACTAATCAGAGCAGCAGGAGGCGTCAATGGTCGGGATTTCGTTTCCAGGTTCGGCATTGAATTGTTATTCCGCCAACTCTGATTCAGCGAGGGTAGAGCAGGTGGCACCTGTGTGCTCGACTCGCCAGCAGCACTGGTTTCTGCCACCAAGATTGAGCCGGTCTTTGGGCCGGAGATGCTGCTGGTCATATCTGTCGATCCTCTATCCGGGCTAACCTTTGGACTCTTGCTAGTCTTCCCAAAAACATCCTTGAACCGTCCAGCTGGTGAGGTGCCCCTATAGTTGGTGATGCTGTCATCACCTGACACTGGCCCAAGGGTATCTGCCTTGTCATACAGCCCCGCTGCTAGCGAGGCTGCATCTGAGCCAGCCACAGGCGGGCTCTTCGGCGATGGAGATCCATCCTCTTTACTAGGCTCTACCAACAACGGTATGTTCCCAAGCGACCGCGGTGGAGAAGGATTCCGGGCTGGATCAACATCGCTCTGCGTGGTCGTAGTTGATATCAAGGGAGACGACATCGTCAAATAACCTGTGTGGGAGTCCCGTGAGACAAGGGGTGGTGTTTCCACTTCGGAGTCGTCTGTGAGTAGACTGGTATCCCCATCGGCAGCAATACTGCTTGTCCTTCTGCTCGTCTGGTCCGAAGGAGTTGGTAAGCTCAATGTAGACCCAGTTCTGCCTCTTGCGGCAAGTTGATCGGCAGCAACTTTCAACTCCTCCTCACGAAGCCTCCTTCTCTTCCGCTTGCTGTGTCCAGGTATCAGCTTGCGCATACCACTGCCCCCAGATTTACTGCTTCCATCTTGACTGACAGATCGCGTGCTGTGTCTTGAGGGGGACTTCTCGATGGCAAGGGAGTCGATGGAGTCGGTTCGTGAGCCTCGAATGGTTTCGTCGCCTAGAAGCTCTGATGAACGTCTTCTATTGGAAAGAACCTTTTTGAGGCCCTTTAGTTGGGGGGAGAGCTCGGACATTATAGGAGCGACATAAGGCGAGGTTTGAGAAGAGACTGCTGCCATACAAAGCAGGCTGTCAGAGAGAGGGAGCAGAGTCGGTGTAGATGTTTTGTCGGCTTGTGTTCAGGCCTAGTGATGTCACGCAGGCATTCCAGGCCCGCGACGTGCGAGTCAATACACAAGGAGAAATACAAGGAGAGCCCAGAGAAGATGTTCAATGAACGATAGAATATACAGATGATATGGAAGACCGGCGGAGGGGATTGTACGAGACGGGGGGAAGTGCAAAGGGGTGTCAAATGGGAGCGGAGTGGTGGTGCTTGTGGACGGGAAGAGCTGACATGGCAGATATAGGGACGGGTAATAATGATGTCTGGAGTAGGGCCACTGGCAGGTGACAGCGCCTGTCTGAGAGATCTGGCTGGGCGCAGAAGTCCTTAGGATCCAAGCCTGCAATACGTACATCCAGTCACCTAGCCAGTAATTATTTAGGTGAGGTTAGGTCCTAAGGTCCCTTGCAGTGAGCACCTATAGGCATCTTAGGTATCAGGTAGTAGCTTAGGTAGCTTTAGTAGTACCTAATGTAAGAGCTACTCCACGCCTTGACGCGCCGCGCCGCCCTACCCTAACTAGGGGTCGGCTTACGACACTTCTCACGTCCAGTATCAGATCGATTTCCGAACTCCACCAGCCTTGACTCGGTTCAGAAACGAACAGACTACGATGCGAGTATCAAGCTCTCCTCTCGCCACTAAGCAGGCTCACCGTTCAGGTGCATCCCAGACCATCTGATAAGGAAAAGAGAATCCTTCGCTGCTTGAAGTTTAACATATTCAAGCATTTCACATGCCGAGCCGTCTCCATCATACATCATCGTTGTACACCTATTTTCCCTCTAGCCCTTATTTTCTCCCGTAGACAGAAACATAAGTGTGTGGAAGGACGTGAAGAACCCAGTGTCCGGTCCCGAGCGATGAAGGTTTCCAGATTGGGGTTGTGAGGGTCCATCGGTTTGACAACATTACCGAGCTTATATGAAGCAAGTCCGGCGAATATATTAGACAAAATACAGTGCTTTTTAGCAAAAACTTGTCTCTCTTCTCGGGTAGAGCACACGGTACACCAGCCACCTATTCTCGTCAGTCGGAAGTACTGATTCAAAGGACATTCCGACAGCTCTAATCAGGATTGCCCTGCATCGCCGATCAACGTCGCATGCGGAATATTCCACCCAAAACGAAGTAGGGTTAAGGCCTGCATTTAGCAGAATTCCCACGATCTCCCTCGGCGAGTTCGCGTTCAATGGACACTTGTCGATTGGAGGCCCTCAGACTCTTCGAACAGATAGAACGGCACGCTCAGACCTACCTAGGTACCTTCTTAAGGTATTCCTCATATTGTGCATTCGTAACACCATCCTCATTGGTTTTGCAGTCAACGACAACCTTGCCATGACCATCGCGGACAGTAATTCCAGTCGGACATACAGGTAGAGTCCGTACGTCGCTTCTTGCGGTGTTGAAACCAGTGTAACTCGCCACGCTTTCCGTCGCTGCTCGATCTCTTTTTGCTTGACGAGACAGTGTCGCTGTTTCATTCTCCAAAGGTTATGAAGACCTTATATAGCTAATCAGATAGATCTGAGTGAAAATCATGCATTCTCTGGAGAGTGATTGTAGCAGAGATTAATCTCATAGTGTAAAATCGACAGGAGAAACGGTGACCCTGCAGTATAAGTTCAAAAACAACGATCGCACGGGTCACACATACAGATACCTACCTAGGTAGGCTTGGCCATGGGAACTCTACTCGGCTCACCCAGAATTCGGAATGAGGCGACGCTGCTAAACACTTCACTGCCACAGGAAGATAGTGAGCGGTCACTCTTCAGAAAAATATACAACAGAGTAAGGTAGATTCGGATTCGCGTACTCCATCAAGTCCAAGATGGAAGAAAGGAACAATGGGGAAAAAGAGAAAAAGAAAAAAAGAAAACAAATATGAGCTCCACCTGATTTGAACAGATAACCTTTCGATCTGGAGTCGAACGCGCTACCGTTGCGCCAGGAACCCAGTTAAAGTCGCTCTGACTTCAAGACCCCTCATGGGTCATTTGTTGGCAATTATTGGGGTTCCAAACCTATATTCTGGATTTTTAATCCGTGAACAGGTCCCCAAGAGCACCTGACTCTCTGCGTGACCTCATGCTAAAGAGCAACCACTGACGCCGTGGCAATCCACCAAACGCCGAATATCCCATCCCATCGTCTTCATTCCCTCGCGTTTTCGTTTACAAATGGAGACCGCACCTCTTACTCTGGTAAGCACCATTCAAGGTGGCGTAAAGCCTATTCCGCTAAAGCAGGCTCCTTTTAGGCGCACACCCATGCTCGAAACGCCGCACTCGAGAGTAGGCGTGCGAATCCTGTCGGGGCGAGTGAAGAACATGATCTAGCTGCAGCCGAGTTTGCGAGCGCAGCCCAAGGTACATCCGATTTAGAAGCCCTCCGGATCTTGAATCTATTGGAACAGCATCACAAGAGACTGGGACAACTGTTAAGATCAAGTCATGAGAGGCCGGTTGGCGGAGATGTGCCTCAGTCGGCGCGAACTGACGTGGCCACTCCTCCTGCGAGCGCACCATCGCCGTCGAAGCAAGCACCAGAGAGACCTCCATCGCCAGAGACGACAGCCCATCCCCCGACATTATCTGGCGGCTTGAGGCCAAGCGCTCGTGATCTGTCCTCGTCAATCGCAAGCAACCTAGCTTCTGCTAGAGGGATCCCGAGCAGTCGCCAGAAGAGACCTACGCCCATATCTCCCTTAGTCTCCAACCAACATGCAGATGGACATAATGCTCAGGTCGATACCAGAGCAAGATCCATATCCAGACAAAGCATAGACACCGATGAACGCCTTCTTTCATTTTCGAAGCAATCGCGACCTCCTTGGGCGCCGCCGCCACAGCCAGAAACCGCCAAACCCGATGCTAGCAAGCAAGCGGAAGAGCAAATCGCAGATGCTCCCTTCCAGCAATTCTATGCAACTTTTGAGAGCCTTATATCGAAACTCAGTGCTCCGCTAGCATTTGCAGGGCTTCCGTTAACCACTCAGGCATCGTCGTCCAAACCGCCCGCTCCTCCTACGCAAGCTGCACCTAAGTCTCCGAAAGCCCCGACACGCGCAACCATTGCAGCACCTTCAATCGACTACTCGCAGCTCATCTCTCGCGCAGCTCTAAGGGCGGTTTCAGGAGTAGCAAGCCAGTACCACAATCCCTCGGAATCATTCTATGTCGTCCCGACCACGGGAGGCACGATATCCTATGCGGAGATCATGAATAGGGCCGAACGTGAAGAGGCTCGCGGGCTGCGACATCACCGACAGACCTCCAATCTGTCGAATATCTCGGAAGACGATTTCGTCGATGCCCAGAGCACGATTCTTCCGAACCGCTCTCGCGACAGCGCTGCTTCGATCGGCTCGCCTGGCCGATTCAATCGCCGCGGTGCAGCGATGGACCAGGCCAAAGTCAACGGCAAGACCATGGAGGAGCTCGCGCTGGAAAATCAGGCCCTGAAACACCTGTCCGATACACTGTCGCGACGACTTCACGTGTTCGAAATGTCCGCCCAAACATCCTCTGCGGCCCTGGCACAGAGTATTCGCTCGCTGCATCGCTCGCCAATCACAACACCGCTACTGTCTCCAGAAAATTCGCGTGGCAAGTCTAGCGCTAAAGGCATGGACGCAGCCGGATATGGAGCCGGTGGAGGCGCCGGCTCCGACGAGGCAATGGCAAAGAGAATCGCTGAGCTCGAGGACATCCTCCTTAGGAGCGATGCCCGAATACGGAAGAAGGATGAGGAAAATGCCAAACTCAAGGATACCTTGTCCAAATACCGAGAGAAATGGGACAGCTTGAAAGCCGGGGCCAAGGCGAGAAGGGAGAGGGAACGTGAGGGTAAACCTAGCAAGACTGGGGAGAAGGAATCTCTGGGAGAAGATAAGGATTCTCCGGTCAAACCTGGGCCTTCGGGTGCTTGATTCGAAATAAGGATGTGCAGCGTCATTGAGGCTCGCATGTTCCTGTGACGTTCCCACTACTACCTAGGGTCCAGTTCAGAGTTGTCAGAATTGTGCATCTGGATCAGATACTACGACTTCATGAAAGCATCCCATCAAGTGGAAATACTACTGATTAATTATTCTGGAGACACGTTGGGTCTCACATTCTAGTGTAACAACACCTGCTCGATATAGCTATTTTGATCGTAGGTTTGGAACTCCCGCGTGTCATGAACTAACCCGCCCTCCTCACATCTCGTCAGCGAAATCATCTCTCCTCTTCCCTGTACCTTTCCCCTTTGGGTGCCTCATCATGTCGGATATCGTCTCGCTGAGTGCCCTCAGCTTAGGCTTCCGCTTTGCCGTCCCGGGATCATCCTGCTGCTCTCCGTAGTCTTGATGCTGGACCGAAGGCATCGGCACGGTACGGCTGGAATCCCCATCAGCGTTCTGACCCCGGTTGTCCAGGGTCAGTGGGTTCTCGTGGTCCTCAACGGGGACAGTCCGCCGACTTCCTTCAGTCACGTGGTAGGCCGACTGCGAGCGGCGGTTCGCAATCCGCACTGAAAAGGGGCCTCCCTCGCCCTTGAGTAGCGAATCTGCCACCAGGGCGCTGAGTGACGAGGAGAGCGGTGGCACCAGAGGGCCAGGGACGGGTAGAAGCCTGGAGATACTGCCACGCGCGGAGCGTGTCAGGAAGCTTGCCGCAGGAGATGGCCCTTCTGGGCCTGGCCCGAACGGACGGATCGGACTTGGGAGCTGAGAGATGCCTTGTTTGCCGGGTGTTTCTAGATCGGCGGATAGTGACCGTGTCCGATCGAGCGGTTTTGAGGTTGCAGGTCTGTAGAACGGTGCTGAGCCAGGCTCGCTTTGAAGTCTGTTGATTTGTGGAGTCCGCGGTGCCAGTGGCGGGTCCACTTCCTCCGTGGAGGACAACCAGGGGTTGGCGCTCAAGGTATCTGTGGATTCGGCAGGGGTCACAGCAATGGAGGGCACCGTGGATGCTGTTGATAGACGACGGGGTGTGAGTAAACTGTCTGGCTCGTCTTGATCAGAAGTCGTAAGGTCGACTGTGCTCCGCGGCCGGACCGAGCGTTCTGTATTTTCTCGTCGGAAAGTTGTCTGTTCGCCTGCATCTTCTGCTTCTTCATCGAGAAGTCGGAGAGTCTCGTCTTCATAATAAATCTCGTCGTCGACGTCCCTGTGCTCCTCTCGAGCACTCGTGATCAAGTACACGCCAAAAAATGTGAGCAGACATCCAAGGATGAATTTGACTGCCTGGCCTGCAGTCGTGTGTTCGAAGTCCCGATATAATACTGCCGACCCGATAATAACTGAAAGGGTGAAGAGCACGAACTGTGTCGGTATTACCTGCGTTGAATCATAACTCTGCAATGCTCGATTCAAATAGCGTATCTGCATGAGGGCAGATCCAATGAGGACGAAGGCGAGGAAATAGCTGATCGGATACGTGAACGCTTTCCAAAGTGACGCTGACAGAAGTGATGCGATGCCCTTTGTGGAGAGTGCGGTGTATCCTCCAAACAATGCCACCAAACCAAGATCAAGCAGGATGGTCTTTCGGCCATATCGTGGTTCCATATACATGAGAACCACAATGAGGAGTAAAGTGAGGATAACATACAATAGGAACTCCCACCTCTTGATAGTTCTCCATAACTCCCCTGGCCCAAGTTTCTCCTCGCTCGTTTTTGAAGACAGAACCACAGTGACCGCGCCAGCAATTGCTATCAGAACCCCCCAAAAGTCGCGCTTCCGGAACCGCTCATGGAGCATTAAGGGAGCGATTAGGCAATTCGAGATCAAGGCTACCACGCCTAATGGGCTGACAATATGTGCTGGTGCGAATCCATAGGCGAGAAAGTTCCCTGCCTCCCCAATAACCATGAGCACGAAGCCGAGCCACCAGTAGGGAGATTTGAGATAAGACGGTCTGTCTTCATTATGTGCATCCTTTTCATGGCCCTTCTTCGAATTCCGTGCGTCGAAGGGAATGGGCAGTGACTCATCAGTCGAGGAGCCATTCAAGCTTCTGTCCGCATCAGGATCGCGTTCATGTATGCCCTGATTCTTTCTTTCCCGGCCTGCGACTAGGTCTTCTTGTCTGGCAGAGCCGTACCCACTGGGCTTTCGTGGAGGAATTCTACCCTTTGAATGTTGGCTTCTTGCTTGATTGCGCTCGCGATTTATGAGGATGTGTGCATATCTCTGAGTGTTAAGAGCAAAAGATATGAGGAGATTGCCGACAATAGCGGTAACTATGCCAATGAACGATGACCATCGTTGTTGTCGTTCCGCATCGTCGCCAGGCTGCGCATCACTTATTTGAACGAGAAAGCCTAGCAGGCTCGAGGGATAGGTATTAGGCGTGACAGGGGTCGGTATGTGCATGGGGAATAGGAGTATGGAAACCCCTTCGTGATCCGGGGGGATCCCTCAAATTGTTGCAGATGCCTATGGATGCAGGCACCTAGGCAGGTAGCTGGAAGACGTAGTGGTGCGGCATGGGGAGAAGTCAATAACTAAGCGCTTCGAACGATAATGACACCACCGCAACCCTTTTAATGATATATGAGCTTTCTTGGGCCATGAGGCTGGTTGGCCTGAGCAGGTTGGAGCACCTTGGTTCCGTCCGCGGCAGTGTAGATCCAAGATCTGATGAAGTTCGCAGGGCCTCTGCCTGGCAGCAAAAATGCCGCCGAGGTCACGTGGATACGTACCCCGAAAGGCCGCGGCCGTGGCGCCTTGTTAACAGGGAAATATGAGTTTTGCAACGCAGTCACTGACAATATCCACCAGCAAACAATGCATTGACCCTTTTGGCCGCTGCAGGAACCCAGCCAGATACACCCATTGACGCGTTGCCGGATCTCGAAACTCAACTCGAGGATTTCGGCCGCCTTCTTCAGCCCTCCGCGCCAGATCCCCTTCACTGCTCTTCAGTTCACACGATGGACCGCAGTCTAGACGAGACCATAGCCGAACGCCAGGTTGGCAGCGATCTTCTCTATTTCACGGAGCTGGCTGAACTAACGCTCGTTAGCGAGCTTCGAATCGTGGTCCGAGAGGGCCTCCCCCTCCGCGGCGTCGAGAATACAATCACCCTCGCGATGGAGTCAGAAAGGTAAGCGGCGCGTCTTCCTTGTGGCCTCCCCTCGTTTCACCCTGTTGACATTGACATAGGTCCGAATTTCCTCTCCTCTTCCATAACACCCACCCGCCTGTTCCGCCGGTACGATTGATTGCCGCATCATCTCGAAAACGTACCGAAGTGTTGCTTCGACATTCGACGCGATCAGGCCTGGGATATTTTGATAATTACAGCTAACTGGATATTCCCCCACCACAGTCTGCAAGAGATGAACGAACAAATCTGGACAAGTAAACTTAGACCGTGTCTAGAGAAGTTAGGTGACTAAACCATTCCAGCGACTGGGTTCACGATCGATATGACGACGATCCGGACAGTACGATTCCCCACAGATTCCCGTCTTAACCGTCGTTGACCAACCTTGCAGGCCGTGGGCATATCGACCGACCACGAGAACGACATGACCGTCGAGGAGGTGATCGTTTTCCGGAGCCTGACAAGTATGTATGATGCCAATCTTTGCTGAAGGGAACTGACCTTTCAGAACCCCTCCTCCAGCTAAACTTCGGGTCGAGAATCTTCATTACGACCTGACTGAGGACGAAATCTACGTAAGCTCACTGGGATGTCTGTGATATTGGAGGTGCTGACACGTCTAGACTCTTTTCGAACGCATCGCCCCTGTCTTGGACGCCAAACTCCGCTATGATAGAGCGGGACGTTCTGAAGGTGTAGCCTTCGTCACCTATCAACATGTTGCCGATGCCAGGACTGCCATCCGGGAGTTTGATGGTGCCAACGCCAAAGGACAACCAATCTATCTCACACTTCTCCCGCTCCCAAGAAGGGACAATCCTTTCGACCGAGTCGAAAATCCCAGGAGTCTATTTGACAGAATCGAACCGCCAAATGGCCGTGGTCGGAGGCGAAGTGCCAGCCCTATGGAGGAAATTGAGGATGACCGTGCTGGCCGACGCCCCGCGCGCAGAGGCAACCCGAGAGATCGAAGAAGCGACATAACTAGACCTGCTCCTGAAAACATCGATCGCTACATTCCTGGGCAGCGTGATGGTCGAAGCTCAAGTCATCGTGGAGGTAGAAGACCGGGCGAGAGGCGTGAGCGTGGTACAAGAGAGATAGAAGGCCACAGAACGGCCAATGGCAGACCACGGAAGACGGTCGAAGAGCTCGATGCTGAGATGGATGATTACTGGGGAGGTGCTGGGCATGCCCAGGGCGAGGCTGAGAACAACGTCGCTCCCGCCGCACAGGGGACTCGTCCCGGAGGAGGAGATGATGTTGACATGATCGAATGATTAAGTTCTTCTTAGGCTTGAGTTTGCACTGTGTACTACTAGTACTATGTATAGGTGGTTCCTCGCCAAGGCAGACTGACTACGAATATGGCAACGAAAACGTCGATGCAAGATCTTTGAAAACCTGGGATCATTGATGGGTGGCACGTGCCGATTGTTTGGTTGTTGGCGTATGCACCCCTCGTCAACAAGACAGGAGAGCATCGACGAGGTGAAGTTTTCATCTATCCGAGAACATAGCAAGCTGGCGGTCTCGGCGACCTTCCAATCTATGCTTGACCAGTGCATGTGCCTTTCTTCCGCGGTTGAAGTCTCTCCGTCATGGCGGGTTGTAATCTCCCCAAAGTGCCTTTGACTGAGCCAACGCTAGAGCATTAGGCCCTGAGCTTTGATCTCATAAAGTCTTCGACGGCGTTCATCCCATCGTCCGACCCGCTCTCTTTCATGCTGCGTGGGAAGAATATGAAGCCGTGCGGAGCGCCGGGGACGATCTTGACAATCGCCTCGCCGCCGGCCATCAGCCACTTTGTGCTCATGAACACGGTATCATCTAACAGGCAATCCTCCGTCCCACAGGTGAACAGTGCCGGGGGTAGTTTGCCACGTAAAGCTTCCAGATCCGTGTATAGAGGGCTCACCGAAGGATGTCTCTTTTGATCCTCCGACATGCCGGGACAGAAGGCTTCGGCAAAGTGATGCATCAAGTCGCGGTCCAATATCAGCAGCTGGGGTTTCTGAAAGTTGTATACGCTGGGCGTCCAGATGAGGGAATAGCAACCGAAGTGCAGCAAGAGCCCTCGAAAGCGGAAGTCGGCGTATTTGGGATTTGAATGCTGCAACAAGTGTAGCGGCACCAGTATGCTGAGGTGGGCGCCGGCGGATTCACCGCCAACAAAAGCCAACGGAAGGCCGAATTCGGCCTCGGCGTTGTCGACAAGCCATTCTGCAACGTCGTAACAGTCGTTCGGACCAGCAGGGAATGGATTCTCTGGAGCTAACCGGTATCCGACGGAGAGCATCATGGTTCCAGTGCTGTTGGCGATGTTCTGCAAAGGCGTGTCCTGGGATTTCTCGTCCTGGAAACACCATCCTCCCCCGTGCATGTGTAGAAAGATGGCTTTGGCGGTCGTCCCGTTCTGGGGTTTCAATATCCGACATGGGATCATTCGTCCGGCATCCCTGGAGGGAATGGCAAATGACTCTGCAGTATCTAGTAGCACGGGCTTGGGCATCGGAGTCTCGCCCGCAGCCCGCATCTCGCGGAACCTTGTGGCGCCCACCTGGGAGAGGATATTGTGTAAGCCGTACACAAGGCAATTCGGCCACGATGTGACAGATACAAGACTCACCTCGTACCATCTAGGCGCATTTGCCATGAGTTCCACCATTTTCTGGTTGAAGGCATGCGTCTCTTCTGATATTGCCGCCGTGCCGAACTTGCTGCTATCAATTGTGAGCACACTATGGGATGCCATTTTGCCGAGTCCTCCCCAACGTAGACGATAATTCTTGTAAGATATCGCCAGTAGGTGTTACTTTTCGGAATTGACCCAACAAAGGTACACGCAAATAAGAACACGTCAACAAAGCCACATCGTTCAACTGCACACCTTTGCGGACAATCCCTGAATGACTGGCCTTGTTGGTGCCGACTTTTTCTAAGCTCGGTGGTGAGCTGCTCCCTGTATCTTGAGCCGCAGCCTAATCTCGGAGGGCTTGTTTTAGTAAATATTTAGGGTAATGTTAGCAGTTTGGGTTCCCAAGGCATTGGCTAGCGATCGCGTCAGATCCTTTGCATTGACCAAGTCAGTATCCGTACTAGAGGCTGCTTTTTGTAGCGTTCTCGCTTCTTGTTTGAGTACTCCATGATACTCCCATGCTCCATACAGAGTCAATGAGTAATCCGTAGTAAGTGACCAGGAGGCTAAGATTCCATGCACCAAAATGTACTCCGTACTTTTCAACATGCTCGGCCGTATAGAAAAATACGGTACAATATTAATCTGAATGGCGCAATTTATATGCCAAGCCTGGAGCGGCGACTTCAAGTTCGAACTTCAACGACATGCCCAGTGGATGGGCCGAAACGAATCTGCCGTCTTGCTGGGCTCCTGGATAGATTGTTTGATCTTGGTTGTTTCATGCTTGGACCAGCGACGCTTCTTCCTCATACCTAGTGCCTTGTCCCGCGTATACAACCCCCTACGCCAACACTGACTCGGCTCTTCGGTCTGTACGCTGCATGATTGCACCAGGACAGTCCTGAAGCCCTCACAATGGACGAGATCGACCATGAGAGTCTCAAGAGTTTCCTGCCAGCCTCGTTTGGTACTTCGGGCGGCGAATTCGACCCGACAGCACAAATGGAGACCGTTCGGCGGAAGCTGCCTGGCCAACCCGACGCGAGGCAGGCTGGATCAGCCCGTTCCAAGGGCGACAGCGATTCAGATAAAGGCTCTGACGACGACGATGACGACGACGATTCGGAGGACGAGGATGAATTTCCCACATCTCATGGGATTGTGTTCAAAACTCATGACCGTGCTGTCACGACCATCACCGTGGATCCTGCCGGGTCTAGGATGATCACCGGCTCTACTGACTGCACAATCAAGCTGCATGATTTTGCAACCATGACACCCAATACTTTGCGAGCCTTCAAATCTGTCGACCCAACCGCCACAAAATCCTCTGCGAATTCCGAAACTCATCCCGTCCATGTCGCAAGGTTCAACCCCAATTCGCCCAGTCAAGTTCTCGTGGTCACCGCCACGCCCCAAGCAAGAATATTATCCCGCGACGGCGACACCACGGTCGAATTTGTCAAAGGCGACATGTACCTCCGAGACATGAATATGACCAAAGGACACATCAGCGAAATCACCAGCGGGACCTGGCACCCGCAGAAATACGACCTCTGCGTAACGGCAGGGACAGACAGCACTCTCCGCATCTGGGACGTCAACGTCCGGAACAAGCAGAGAGATGTCATTGTGCACAAGTCCAAATTTGCGGGCTCGGCTGGCCGGAGTCGTATGACTGCGGTGGCTTGGGGCAGTCAAGTTGAGGGCGGCAATACCCTTCTCGTGGCGGCCGCTCTGGATGGTGCCCTCGTTATGTGGGGAGGAGAAGGGCCCTTCAACAGACCCAGCGCAGAGATCAGCCAAGCACATGCCAGTAACACCTGGACAAGTGGCATCGACATCAGCTCAGATGGTCGATTGGTCGTCACAAGGGGTGGCGACGACACCATCAAGCTCTGGGACACACGGAAATTCAAGCAGCCCGTGAACACCACATCCCACGTCTCTACCTCGAGTCAATATCCAACTTCCAACATTATGTTCGCTCCTAATGCGTCCTCCATCATAACGGGCTCCGAGACGGGCGACCTTCATATCCTCAATCCAGCCACCCTCAAGCCCGAGCTAGTCACGCCGGTGACGCCTGGATCTGCACTCATCAGCGTATTGTGGCACGACAAGCTCAACCAAATCATCACAGGCAGCGTAAACGCCGAGACGCACGTGCTGTTCAACCCCAAAATTTCCACCAAAGGCGCAGTCATGGTCATGTCCAAACCGCCTAAACGCCGACACGTCGATGATGATCCGAGCCTTACCACGGATATGTCGCAGGGTGTATCGGGCGACGCCATCGTCAACCCCGGGACGAGCAGTGAAGCCATCCAAGGCAGCACTTTTTCGTCTCGACACCCGACCGTTGGGCTCACAGCATCTGGCCGTTCTCGCGATCCTAGAAGACCACATATCCCAGCCACGACGCCGTTTGCCAGAAGTCAGCCGGATGAGCGCCACATCAAGGAGAGGATCCCGCTGAGTTCCATGAGGGAAGAAGACCCTCGCGAGGCTCTGCTCAAGTACGCCGAAAAGGCAGAGAAAGACCCCTTGTTTACGAGAGTCTGGAACAAGACGCAGCCCAAGACGATCTATGCCGATCTCAGTGACGAGGAGGAAGGCGGTCCGGATAAAAAGAAACAAAAGACTTAGGATCATGTTGCATGTACTTTTCATACCACGTGCTATGCTAATGTCACAAATTAACAGAAATGCCAGAGCAGGTGACAGCCAAAATGTTGTGTCAAATGTCCTCCAGGGCAGTCATTGGGCCCATGAAACTAATGTTACATGTGAAGCGCTTCAGGCGATAATCTCGTCAAATCATGATCATTGAAGGTGTGGGAACATCCTGCTCAGACCTGCCTGTCCGCACGACCAGTGATGGCTTCTTTGATGCCCTTTTTGGATGGGTGGACGACTCGTCTCAGACCCATCCATGGGGTGTTGATGGGCGATTCGCCGGTATAAATCATAGCGTCGTACAAGAAGCCCCCGAACGTGGCGCCAATGAAAGGGCACACCATGGGCACCTGCGGCAAACATTCTGTCAGCAAAAGATGTCGAAGTGCCGAGGTGACACTGTCGATGCGAAGAACGAAAGGATGTCCAGGGTGGCCAAATCCCCCAGGATGGGCCGAGATGGAAATGAGGAACCGACAGGGTACATACCCAGAAATAATAGCCGCCCGCACTCCAGACTTCATGGCCATAACCGACGAAGTAGGTGAACAGCCTCGGACCAAAGTCTCGAGCCAGATTGATGGCATAACCCGTTTCCCAGCCCAGAGTGGCGCCAATTCCAAAGATCAAAAAGAACAAGCAAATCGGCACCAGGTTGCCGGCTCCCAGGTTGGCGTCGTCCTTGAGAGCGAAGATGATCAAGACCAAGACGGCGCTGGCGATGATTTCGGAAAATACTTGGCCGGTCTTGGTCAGGAAGGGTTGCGGATAGGTACAGAAGACGCCGGCGGTCGCAGTGTCCGAGTATCCCGGCACCGTGCGGATGCCGGGGCCGCCCTCGTACACGTCGATGGCCGACTTGTAGTTGCCGTAGATGACGGCGGCGCCGCAGAAGCAGCCGAGAACCTGGGCGAAGGCGTATATGGGGAGCTTGTACCAGGGGAACTTGCGATACAGGCAGTTGACGAAAGTGATGGCCGGGTTCAGGTGGCCACCAGCGCAACCGGCGACGTAGACGCCGAACATGACACCGATGCCCCATCTGGGTGGATTTGGTCAGCTTTATGTTATAGAAATAAGAAGAACAAACACGGCTCGGTATTGGGCTCTTCACTTCATCATGTGGTCACCATCGGTGCCTAAGGCCCTCGGATGTACAAAACCAACGCAGTGTCTTGGGGACGGTTTGACTGCTGCAGTTGCAAGACGCGAGTTCCAGTCCGGGGTCTAAGACTGTCTTCGCAACGTCCATGCAAAGGAGAAAAAAAGAGGAGGCTTGTTCGGGAAAGCCACTCACCCCCAAGAAATAGACTGATAATCGCCCTTGTTCTGACTGCTTGTGGGAAGGTTCTTGGTGTCGGACAACTGGACCTGGGCGACACTGCCGTCGCCGAACAAGATCATGATGAAGGTGCCCAGAAACTCGGCGAACGGATCGCGCAGGTGGTGGCGCACCCGCGCCCACCACAGGCTTTTCTGGTGCTGGAAGTCTTCCTCGGCCTCGTCGAACTTCAACATGTTGTCGATGGGCGGGCCATGCTCGGCGTGGTAGGGGTACGCTGACCGCGGGTCCGGGTCCATGCTGGGCTGTTGTTGCGGCGCTGCGGTCGACGACAGCGGACGTGGGCCCGCCATGGGTTTGGGTGGGTGTGCGTCAATGTCGTCGAGCTCGTAGTCCGGTTCGTGCTCGTGGTGCGTCACCGTCACTTCGTCCGAGCCCGGGTGGGAGGACGAGGACGAGTCCTGGCCGCGCAGCTGGGGGATCTGGGAGGCGTGCAGGTGCTTCGTTTTCTCGTACGTGTCCATGGAATGGCCTCAGGACGACGATGCGGGCGTACTGGAGTGCTGTCGGAGGCAGTGATCAGGAGAACACGAGAGTTTGTGGTGTTGCGTTTGGAGGTTCAGGTTCGTAGCGAGGGAGGAAGGTTGGAGAGGCGCAAGAGAGGGGATGGTCAATCCTGGATTAATGATGTACAAAAGGTCGCCCTTTTCCGTGTACACCTCTATCGATGCAGGTGGTGTCGCACTACTACTAGCCAACTAATAATATCAGGAACGGCTTTCTATATCAAGTCCGCCCACCACGCCTCGGCCATCAGATGACCCATGGGTAAAGGTAGGGGACTCCACGGGTCCCGCCTGTGCCATGGGCTTAGGCATGTTACATGGTGGTGACTGGTGAGGGTTGAGCAAGCGTGGCGGCAGGGATCAAGGATCGTAGGCCATTGCTCCACCATTGCGTGCAAAAATCCACGAGGGCATACGAGAGGGAGTATTGTGTGGCTGGCAGACTTCCTTCCCTGCGCTATGCGCGCTCTTTCTCTTGTATCTCTTGTATGGCTTGTATTCATAGGAGCAGCAGCTCATCCTTGCACGGATTTGATCTCGTCCTTCTTTTGAACGGGGCCAGCCCAGATAGAATTCATTCATCAGTTCGACAGAGGGATCACGGTTGAGGGGAGGATGAGGGTGCAGATCGACGTCAGTGGCGCTGAGGTCGTGCGCCATCCTGCGCAGTGGAAACCGAGTGGAAACCGAGTGGAAGCAGAGTGGCTCTAGGCGGCTCCCAAATCCCCAAGAATGAGCATGCCGAGCTGCTATCGCCGACCGAGCTCGCTGATTGGCTGGTCTAGACGTCATCCTTCGCCATCGTGGAGGAGCAAATACCGAGCACGACTGACAGCAACAGTCACCTAACAGTGGTCTCGGATCAAGTCCTCCGTCCATCTCCTTGTACGAGTACTCTGTAACGGTGATATCGATGGATGGAAGAGCTTAGGCTCGGTCTTTGTTTCCATGTCAGCCCGAGCTCGTCTTGTCTTCTTGGAGATCAATAAACCGGGGCAACGCCTATGGCCAGGGAGTATGGGGTCTCGCATTTCGCAGGAATACGACGCTCACTGCGCTCACTGCTAGAGCGGCTCTTGGTGCTCTGAGCAGTTCTACTGACGTTACGCGGGGAACATTGCGCAGGATGGCACTCATCCAGCTCCTTCTGAATCTGCGTCCAGCTCCTTGTGTACCTGCGTCCAATCCAGCCAGCCAGGCACCAGGCAAAAGTCGGTCAAAACGTTGAACTTGCCCACCGGCACACCCACACACCTGTCCATTGTGGCCGAGCTTTCTCGCCAGGCGCTCATATTGCCGGAGGGAGCTACTCACCTCAGGTGAGTGAGCGACCCCCCCAGACTCAGAGGCCTCAACGGCGTGTTCAGTACGGAGCCCACCGGCCTTTGCCCTTGGCCGCCTTCATCTTCCTCTCCTCCCTCTTCTTCTTGCGCTCGGCGGCAGCCTCGGCCTTAGCCCGCTCCGCGGCGATGACCTCCCCGAAGGTCGGTGGCGCCTTGTACGGGGGGCGAGCCCACCTCTCGCCACTCTTGTCTCTGTCCATCTCCGCCTGCAACTCCTTGAACAAGGCTCGGGTTTCCTTCTCGGTTCTTCCGGTGATGGGGTGAACCCCGACTCTCTCCTTCTTGCCACTGTCGCTGGCAGTCTCCGCCTCGGATTCGGTCTCCTCCTCACTAACCTCTCCTTCTTCCTTGGATGAGTCAGATGCGTCGGTCTCCTCTTCCAGTTCGGTGTCACCGTTCTCGTCAGTCACCTCTTCCTGGTCGGTCTCATCATGGTCGGCATCGACATCCATCTCTTGGTTACAGTCCTTGTCCATTTTTCCCGTTTCACCTTCATCGTTGCATCTGCTTTCGGGCGATGGTGGCAGACAAAAGCACTTCTCCGAGGTTGGACTTGGGCAGACTGGTTGAGAGATTAGCTTTGTCAATGACCTTTTTTGCAATAAGACAAGAATAGATCGAGCACTCACTGTCTTGGGCGTTCGCGTTGTCACTAATCTCGGCACTCTCCGTGGCATCATGTACCTTGGACGGTTTCTGATCAAAGCCCGACATGCTGACAGAGATCTAACTGGCGTCTTTCAAGCTCGGTGACGAGTCAAGGGTTCTCAGCAGCAACGTTTGAGAGATCAGGACGTGACAAGAAGCAGGATAAGACTCTTGCTGGCGAAAAGTGCTGTGCTGTGGTTCTGCTGCTATCGACTATGGCCCTTGGCTTGACTTGCTCAGATCTTGATTTCACTCTCTTGGTCTCTGCGGATCTCTGCGGAAACTTTGAAATCTCTTCTTGAAAGGGGTGAGAAGACTCCAGTACTGGGAGGAACAGAGCTCTGAAGGCTTTCGAGTCTTGGATGAAACAAGGTATGGTCTGAAAGTGTCGAATCTTGAATGTAAGAAGCAGGAGTCGAGTTGTGTGGGTTCAGGTTTGTTTGAAACGACCCTTCTAAACCTCTGCACGACTCTTCCTGACCAGGCTTGGCTGCCAAAGGCCAAGGGTTCCGGACTGTTCTATCATGATGTCGTCGACGACTAAGCGAGTGTCCCTGTTGTCGACGACTAAGCGACTGTCCATGTTATTCGCAGAAAGTTCCGGCGATATCAGCCTAACCAATGCAGTGTTCTCCATGACAGGAGAGTGTTCACGGAGATCCAAGCTCAGACATGTACAATACCTGCAAACAAAGGCTTGTCTATTCAGATCCGGACACCGAGTGGCACAAGCGCAAGCAAGGATTCTACTATACGGCTCTTTTGTCTTTTGTTCTCGTGCGTATATGTACAAAAGCTGCGGTCCTCTGAACCAGCACGAGCCCGCTTTCCAGAGTTTTCACAGCCCCTTCCTTACCTTGGACTTTTGCCTGGTGACGGCACGATCCAACGATCCAATCCTGTAGGCAACTGTAGCTTGGAATGTCCTGAATCCTGTGGCCACTGTATGGAATGTCCTGGTCCTGAATCCTGTGGGCACTTTAGTATGAAATGTCCTGCTCCTGAATCCTGGTTCTTGGAGAGCACGGATACGGATACGTGATTCACGGTGTACTAGTAGTAAAGAAGCCCACCCATTTTTTGATTTTTTGGTTTTTGTTTTCTACTTTCTATTCTACTTACATACAGTCACATGTATCCCCTATTCAACAAAGTCGGCCTTCGTCCCAGAGGAATTTGTGGTTCCAATTCCACTTTGAAAAGGGGCGAAGGTGCCACGTGACGAGGCTGGCTGTGCTCAGGGGATGGCCGGGATTGGATGGCTGGTGGCTGGTGGCTAATTACAGTAATATCGAAAGCACATACGGAGTACTACAGATATCAGAGCGAGCTTACAACAATCAGCAATCAGTGTAGAAGACGGTGTTCGGTGCATGTTGATTCCAGTCTAGTCTACTCTGTCAACGGGTTACGGGTTGAGGCCGCCTGCCTCCCTCCCTCTCCTCCTCGCGGCCTTTGCTGCTATACACAAAGGCGGAAAACCCGGCAACCACTCCCACAGCACAGCACAGCACAGCACAGCACAGCCAACACCCAGCATCTAGTACCTATCGGGCACTATCACCACCCCACCCCAACCAACAACTCACTCCTCCTCCCCCTGAGCCCCCTCCTCCCACTGACCACTCGCAAGAAACTCCTGCAGACACCGGGCCGCCCGTTCCTCCTCCTCTCCCCAGACAAACCCACCAGCACCAGGACCAGAGTCGTTGCCCTGGTCAACCTCAGCCTGCCATCCCGCAGGCTGGGCGACCTGGCGTGCAGCTTCAGGGGTGGCCGCCTCCACGAAATAGGAGGTGCCTCTCGGCGTGACCACATGAAACTGCCGTACTCTGGCCCCAGGGGCACCGGCAGAAGAGCCCGGGAACGCACCGCCAACTCCACTTGCGGCAACACTTGCCGTCGTCGTCGACCCCGCAGCCAAGAGGCGCGGGTCGATCGAACCACTGTTTACAGTGGCACCAGCACGCACCACACCGCCAGAGGCGGCGTTGGCCTGGCCGGGACGAGGAAACAAGGCTGCAGCGTTTCGCGGAGCTGGCGGCGGAGGAAGAGGAAGCGGGGCGGGAGCCGGTTGCGGCAGCGGCTGCATTGGCGCCATCGGCGCTGCAGGTGGCAGCACCGGTCGTCGGAACCGGGGTCTGATTGTCGCGGGAGGATGCCGGTCGAGCAAGTCGCCGACAAATGCCTCGTGGCTCTTGCCATCGAGGTCGGCCATCGGCCTCGCCCACCTGTCTTTGACCCACCAGCTGGGCAACAGATCCCGCGACAGCTTGGTATAGTCTGTCGCAGCGTTGCCCAGGCCACGCCGCTGTGCAAGAGTCTGGAGTCTCTTGCGGAGTTCCAGGGTCACAATCGTGCGGCCCGACGGAACTGGGATCGGCAGACCGAAGTCTGCGATGTAGTGGTCGACCGCCAGACCGCTATCGACATAGCCCAGAATGGTCTTGCCGTTGACCAGGCGAGGTTGCAGGAGACGGTTGCCCGGCAAGTCGACAACCATGGCGGTATTCAGGATGACTTGCTCCCGCGTCAACTTGCCAATGAGCTCCACCTCGTTGACAGTGGGCAGCTGACGCCCAGGGCTTATTGCCGGCACGTTGATGATCTCCCGGAACCGGATCCTCCTCATGTTCAAGGTGTTCGACCGGGCCACCTTGCCCTGGGAGTTGATTCGGTCAAGGATGTCGGACATTTCGACGCGTTGGTCAAGTCGGATCCAGAACTCCATCAACATGCCCGAAACGTCGGCGGCGACCCAGCGGGGAAGGTGGGAGAAAAATCGGAGCGGCCGCCCGCCGTTTCCATGCTCAATGAGACCAGTCTGCTGGTCCACCAACAGAGGCACGGGGACTCCAGCCAGAGCCTCTGGGCCTGGCTCAAGGCGGAAAAGGACAGGGTGAAGGTTTTCGTCCGAGAGCATGTGAAAAGGATGCCCTGAGCCCTGAGAGTTTGCTGGTCGTGGAGGAATCGCCTGTGAAACTGTGTCGGGTTCATTGAGTGGATTGTATCCAATAGTATAACTAGGGAAGGGCTGTTGAGGGGTAGGGTTTTGAAGAATTGCTGGAACGAATCTTGCGGTAACAGGTGCAGTGCCGGGGGCGTTGATGTCCAGTTGTTTGGAGAGTTGATTTTGTGCTCGCTGAGATGCCATCTTGGTGGAGTTTGTGAGGATGACGAGGCTGCGCTTGGAAGAAACTTAGTCGAGCTAGGAAAGGTATGAACAAGTTCACTGCGCTTCTCGTTCAAGTCCAAGAGGCGACAGAGAGAGGATGCAGATGACAAGGTTGAGGAGAGTTTGAGTATCGACAGTTATGTTGGGTCGATGCCGACTTGCAGGTGACGAGAAATCGGGTTGGTTTTGACCGTCGAGAAGATATTTCGCTCGATCTGAACCCAAAAAGAGGAAGATTCAATATCAACGTGAGGACTTGGTATGGGTCTGAATGTCCACAGTGATGTTTTCTTTGATCTGACTGTGAAGAAGAGGAAGAAGACTCAGTGTCGAGGTGATGAGAAGTGAGGATGGTTTCGGTTATCGAGACGATATTTCTCTGGGTAGGGACGCGAAGAGGCAGAATAATCAGCGTTAATGGAATGAGGACTGAGTATGGGTGTGAATGTTGATAGCGGTGTTTTCTTCGATGACTGCGAAGAAGAGGAAGAAGAGTCAGCACCAAAGTGAGATTTTGGTATGGATGTGAAGGTCGGTCGTGGTGTTCTCTTTGATCTGACTGCGATAAAGGTTCAGATCGATGTGATGAGAAGTCAGGATGGTTTCGGCTGTCGAGACAATGTTTCGCTCGATCTGAACGCTCGGAAGCGGATGAAGATTCAGAGTTAATGGGAAAATGGACTTGGTATGGATGTGAATGTCGACAGTGGTGTTTTCTGTGATCTGACTGCGACGAGGGCTCGGCGTTGATGTGAGGAAGGGCAAGCTTGGATCTTGGGTTGACAGTAATGCCTTCTTAGTGTTGACTTTGAAGGGGAAGATCTGATATCGACTTGTTCAGGGAGAGTATGAAGAAAGGATTTGAGGCTGTGGATCAGGGTTTCGTAAAGAGGTTGTTCAGACGAGGTAAAGGCAGTCGGTGAAGCAGCTTTTGGAGGTAGTGTTGGTTGAAAGCTGCCAGGATCTGCAGAATGTCTCGCGGCGAACAATCAGTTGGGGCTTTGTCTTTGTGAGTATCTGGGTTTCAGATCGACAGTGAACAAATGTGTCGCGTTGTGTTGACAACGCGCAAGGCTGGACAGCCATTCACCTGCATAGCCTTGAAGACACTGCGATTCTGCCGCACCCTGTAGGCTGCGACCTCCAGCCCTCAGGATCTAGTCCCAGTCCAATTCTGCTTCACTTCCTGTACTTTCCGTCGTCCCACCTCGTCTAATCACAAGATAAGGTCGATTCATGAGCACAGCAATGCCTGCGGGAGGTATGAGGGACAGTCTCTTGTTCGACACGCAGGAAGGTATCAAACAGTGAAGCTTCTGCGACCATAGAGCACTGCGCAATTGGCTTTCCACCAGACCTTGTTTGAGACATGGGCCCAAGATGGGCGGCGTCAGTTTGGTATATCAGAGCAGGCTGTGATGCCTTCTCATCCATCTTCGCCAAACGGATGGTTGAATTTCAGCAGACCATTCAGCCCGCCAACCCATCCATCGTCTCCCTCGGTCCCTGCAGTGGTTCTGCGCATGATACAAGGAATGCCGCCAACGAAACCTTGAGAGCTGTCTCTGATTTCCTCACAAGAGACCTGAACTTCAGTGCCGACTCCGATGCCGTCAGTATGTCTTTTGCCGTCAATGCTGAACTCGAGTTCTCGCCCTCGGTTCTTCTCGCTCAGCTTCAAAGTGATAGGCGTAGTGGCTGGGAGAACCAAAGGACGAAAACTCAAGCTTCGAGGGCAGATGGGTGTGAGAAGCAAAGACGGTACGAGCGGATGGATGATGCTTCCGCCACTGCTGAGACTGTAAGCGGTACTTCCGGTAGGCGTGGAGATGATTATGCCATCTGCCACGGCTTCAGTCAGGAATCGGCCCCCAACATAAACATCCACAATGGCAAGATGTGGATCTTGACCCCTGTGCAGGATCACTTCATTCATCGCATGTAGGTCCTGCAAGAGATCTCCCTTCCCGAGTCGTTTGCCACCGGCGTCAAAGAGACCGACCTTCAATCTTTGGCGTACCAGCACTCTCGCACCTCTCGCCGGACCCATTGACTTGCCCCGGATAGAAGACCAGCCTGTCCAGTCAGCTATGGAGTCTTGTTGGGTGGTCGAGGAGCTTTGGATGACGGTGTGCCGCTCAGAAGCTGCGCCTGACATGTATACTTCTCGGAAAGCCCGCTTGTACTCGGCGAATTTCCATTCACTCAGAAAGCCGAGGGTACCCATGCTGAAGGACAGTATCGGAGGTACTTCCGGAGCCGTGGCAAATATGGATGCCGCGTGCAATATTGTCCCATCACCGCCAAAAGTGACAACGAGGTCGACCTTGTCTTGGTACTGCTGTCTGGATAAAGGTGAGCCGTGGGGGCTGCAGTGATGTCTCGGCAGGGCATCGCCAATCTCGGCAGAGACTTGTGGCTCCACGAGAATATTGACATCAGGATAGGTCGTCATGACATGATTGCTGAATTCCTTGAGAGCCTCAGTCGTTTGCTCGGAAAATTCTTTCTTGATCAGGAGCAGATTGCGCGGTGGTTGAGACCATTCCAGACAAAGGAGTTCACGAGCAGGAGCATCCTTGAGGCGAAAGGTTCTGCGGTTTGGGAGGTCGTCTAGTGATTGTCGTTGCCGTTGTCGTTGCTGGTGTAGTGTGGTTGAGAAGAGGGCGCGGCCGCGCCCTTCCAGGGCCGAGCTCAGGTTCCAGGCAACTCCAGCTTCTTTCAGCCTGCTCGAGGACAGTTTGATGAAAGGGTTGGATGTGAGGAGAAATGCTCTTGTCGTCTGCCGCGACATGGTACGTCTCAAGGATGACACAGCCGCCATGATGGGCAGGCACCGTTTTATGGTTTGTCCAGGAGATGGATGATAAGAGGCCGGAATGCTAGCTGTTTGAGTTTGCCATGGATTTGACGACAGCGGCTTGATGTCTGTTCAAACAGGTAAGCAACAAGGGGGAGTTCTCAACTCTCAACCATTCCACAAGCTTGGTTTGATATGGAAGAACTTGAAGGAGGCTGAATCCAGCATGAGGAGAGTCACGAGGGAACATTCTCAATCTCTCTGGCGGAAACAGTCACATGACACCCCAGGGAGGATCGGTCACGTGCCCGCTCCGCTTAGTCACAATAGTTCTAACTTCTGGGGCCTTAGGCCTGAGGCTTACATACAGTTGGGTGGTTGGGCACACCACTTTAGGCATCGTTAGGTCTTTAGAGCCCCTAAGCCTGCGGTTACCCAGCTAGTCGGCGAGCTTGTCCCCTAATCCCCTCCACCGGCTCCGGCCGGCACCCGGATCTCGTATTTGTTAACTGCTGACTCGAACTCCAGGCACCTGCCTGCGACGTGTGACGACTGATCGACTGATCTATTGATGCTTGGACCATTCCTATAACCATTGCAGTTCTTTCGAAGCCGCTGTCGCCTTCGCTCTTCGCTCCAGCTGTTTCATGGCCATCGTACCAGTCGTCGGCATACCTTAGTGTCAGCTATTCTTGGGCGTTCCTACTATTCCGCCGCACCCTGTCCATTCTTTATTGTGCCTCGATTGCTTGTCGATGGCGCTGATGCTGCCGTCAGCCTGCCCTTTACTCATTCTTCTCCATGCTTACCACTCCTATACGATAGTTCAGCAGTAGATCGTACCATAGCTCCCAGCCTCTCTTCTTCCAAAGCAAATCATGGCGACCGATACTCTGCGAAAGCGCAATTCCCAAACCTCGTCCGTTCCCGACTCGAGCCCTGCTTTTGGCGATGGCGGGACTTCTCAGAGTGATCATCCAGCGGGCGAAATCAAATATGGTGCATGGAGTCAAGTCTTCCGCGCACTCCTTCTTCTGACATGGTTCGACTGCGGTGCAGTCTGCATCAACGTCACACAATTTCTCGGGGCGCCTCTTTACTGGTGGGATAAAAATTACTATTATGCATACATGGCCTTGACGAAGCAATCGTTTGCGATCCTAGGGATCGCTGCAACGCGATGGTTCGCCTCTACAAAGGTCCGTGTCAGCTGGGACAGTGAGCTGCGAGGACAATTTCACAAGACGTCGGCAGGAAGGCTGGAAACTACGTTCCCCGAACGGCTTGTCTACGTTGCCAACCACCAAGTCTACACAGAATGGCTATATCTGTGGTGGATTGCATACACAAGTAGAATGCATGGGCACATATTCATCATCCTAAAAGAATCCCTCAAATACGTACCGGTCTTGGGCCCGGGCATGATGTTTTATGGCTTCATCTTCATGGCTCGGAAATGGGCCTCGGACAAACCGCGTCTTCAACATCGTCTGGAGAAGTTGAAGACCCACCATAGTGGTCCTATGTCTGGGTCGGCAGGGTTGGATCCAATGTGGTTATTGATCTTCCCCGAGGGCACCAACTTGTCGGCCAACACCAAGAAGAATAGTATGAAATGGGCGGAAAAGCAGGACATGACTCACCTGAGGCATCTGCTTCTACCGCGGAGTACTGGTCTCTTTTTCTGTCTACAGCAGTTGCAAGGTACAGTAGACTGGGTGTACGACTGTACCATTGCATACGATGGAACTCCGTAAGTGCATCGTGATCAACAGGTCTAACACACTGGACAGAGTGGTCTAACACATACCCTAGAAAAGGCGGCTTTGCTCCTGACTACTTCACCATTCGATCCACCTACCTACAAGGCCGGCCTCCCAAGTGTGTCAATATGCACTGGCGCCGGTTCGCCGTGTCGTCGATCCCACTAAGCGACGCCAAGGAATTCGAGAAATGGCTGTTGGATCGCTGGCGGGAGAAAGATGATCTGCTGGAGCGTTGGTACGAGACCGGATACTTTCCAGGCGACGCCGAAGCGGCGGATTCATCCCGAGGCATTTCCAAGGGTGGGTATATTGAAACAGAGATGACACTCAACAACTGGATGGAAATCGGTCAGATCTTTATGGTGTTGGCTGCTACGGCTTTGGTGATCAACGTGATTTTGAAGTTCTTCGGCATCTTTCTGTCGTTGAAATGATGGAGGACCAGACCAGACCAGACCAGACCAGACCAGACCGGCCCGAGTCGAATGAGGCACGAATGGCGTTTTGGAAGACGAGTGGCGGACGATTAAGTGGCGTTGGGGTTTGTGTTTCGAAGATTCCAAGAGGTTGCATAGGAAGGGCAGATCAGACAGATCCGATCCGATCCGATCATGCATGCGTTCCCATTGGGATTAAATAGATGTCTGTTGATCCGCATGTGTATGTATTGGGCCGAGCGGCCTAAGAGGCATGGCGCAAGAGGGACAGTTGACCGTGTGATCCGGACGGCCTTGGATATTGCTTTGCTATTGCTATTGCTATTGCTATTATGGAAGTGAGCGAACCAAGGGCAAGGCGGAAGGCGCAAGGGGCAACCACCAGACCAGTCTTTGCTCCGAAGCAGTACGGAAGGCTGAAGAGCATTAGCACTCAAGAAGGTATGAATGGAATGAGCACAGTATAGCGAAACACCTACATATCTACATACCTAGGTATATACCACATACTCCAGAATGTATCCGTACAGGAAGGTACCTTACCTACCTACCTGTATCTACCTGTCTCGATGGGTTCTAGGCGAAAAAATATAAAAGATAGATAGATATACCTACTACTTACTATACCTGATCCAGAAGAATGACCATGTACACAAAGTACAGCCAGCATAGATAGATAGATACCTAAGGTGTATATGGACGAAAATATATATATAGGTATCTGCGCTGGCCGGAGCCTACCTAATTCACCCATCTGCGTTCTTAGATTCTTCTATTCTCGAGTACCTACCTACCTATGGTGAGTATAGTAGTATATTGTAGGTGATGTGTTTGACAGATGGTAGATGGCAGATGCTGCCAACTTGGGCCTTCAGGCACCTTTGATCCGATGCGATGCAGATGCGCGACACAGAATCCGTAAAGCGTGAAGCTGAAGCGTCAAGCAATCTCGTCTATTCGTGATATCGTTCAATACTCGTGCCGCTTATAGATCGTTCCTTCTTCCTTCAACCGGCTACAATATCGCCTCATTATCCCCCTGATAACCCTGTCCACATCATCCAAATCTCAAACTTCAAATTTCAAACTTGTTCTTTCCTTTCGTTTCCTTTCCTCGATCAAAGACACACGCATCTGTCCACATCAGGTCCAGATCTCAGGCTTGCTGAAATGCATTCAAACAAGACAAATCCAAAACGCTTGTCAATTCGCAAGAGATGAGCAGTTTCGTGTCCTTCGTGGCTGCGTTGACCCAAGGTCATCAAGGTAGCCGTATCTCATGTCCGACCTCATGTCCAACAAAGGAAATTCGTTTCACAGCGTACAGCGTACTGTATGGCTTGCTGAAGCTCGGCATGTCGCATTGTTGCCTTGCTTTAGCGCCGCCAGGCTACCGGTGGTGGGGGACGTCCCCCCTTATAAACGATTTCGCGTTCAATATACCGCTCTTCTTCTCGATCCCATGGTTGACGAGAACGAGGTGGAGGTTCGATGAGAAGTGGGCGAGTAACCTCCTCCACCACAGGTGGTGGCAAAACTCGATTCTCCCATTCGAGTTCTTTGGCTCGCTTCCTTCGCTCCTTGCGAATATCCTCGGAAAGCCCAACAAGCCGAGCGATATCTTCCTGGTCGCATGTCAGCATCATGTAGCGTCTCTCGAAAAGATGGTAACTCACATAGCGTAGATAGGCAATAATGTAATAAAAATCATCCGTCTCTTCGAATTCATAACCCATCTCTTGGATAGCCTCTTTGACAACTAGATCCTTTGTGATTTCGGTCCACAAGCCATCGGTTGGATCCCGCTCTCTCCCATAACGTCGCCCGATCTCTCCATTCGACGCAGGTAATGGGGCTGGGGCTGGGGCAGGTAGCGGAGCCGGTCGGCCTACCTCACTTGGATACGCATCATCAGGCACTCCATCGGGCATGAACTTGCTCCGGCGTACCCCGTTGTATCTTTGCCAGGTAATCTCCTGGCTTCCACCTCCTGCTCCATCCATACGTACTCGGCGTGTGCCTGGGGGAACATCGACTATGGCCCAGTCTCTGGTAGCTCCGCGATATCCCTCCCCGACGTATGACCGTTCAACGGCACGGCTGTTGTAGTACTCTGCCTCTTCCTGGATATCTCGATCATAACCGTAGTCACGACGAGGGGGAGCAGGATCATAATAAGGATCTCGTGGAGGAGGGACATAAGGTGCCACGGGTCTAGAACCAGTCGGCCCTTCGTTACGGTCAATGATAATGTCTTCAGCTGACGTATGACCATTCCTGGTTTGGGTCCGACTGATCTGGATACGCTCTTCTGACCGAGCTCGGGGGGCGGGAGCGGGAGGCGGGGGAGGACTAGGCGGAGATGGTGGTCGAGAGATGGCCCGAGGACGAGAAGGAATGGCGACTTCGAACCCATGATCGATGTGGCGATGATGTGTAATGACTTCCTGATGAATGGTAGGAGCATTGATGACTTGAGGCGGCGGAGGTCCGGCGGGTGCAGAAGTCACCGATGTGGACGGTGATCGTGATCGAGAGTTCTTGCGAATAATGATCTCTTGTCGGTCACGAGTGCCCCCACGGCCCTCACGTTCCTCTTGACGAATAATGATCTCTTGGTTAGAAGCACTGCTCGACCGTCGAGCGCGGGATCTCGCTCGTTCATGCGACTTGGGTCGGGATAGGGGGTAATCGTCGTATCCACGAGGAGACAGATTCTGCTCCTCCCGGCGGATGATGACCTCGTCCCTTTCAACATCGCCTCGCACGGATCTGGCGTAATCACCTCTTCGAGAAACAACATCATCTCTGTCGTAGTCTGCATCGTACCGAACTCGACCACCTTCATCCCCCCGCCGAATGACTATTTCTTCCCTTGAAGTATTCTGTTCACGCGCCGGCGGAAGTCGTTCTCTTTCGTCTCTTCGGAAGATGATTTCATCGCGCTCCCGATCACGAGTGGGAGGCGGTAGCCTCCGATCACCATCTCTCTCGTCTCGGCGGATGATGACCTCTTCCCGGTCAAATGCTCGGTCCCTTTCCCTGATCCGTGGCGGTGGTCTGGATGTCGACTCGTCCCTCTTCCTGACAATGATTTCCTCCTTTTCAATCTTTCTTTCTGGCTCGGGCGAAGGAGACCGTCGACGAAGTCGAGGAACGAATTCGAAGTCTTCTCGTTCTCTCTTGGCCAAAACTACCGCACCAGCAGAAGTCCGGCCATAACCGTCCTGCAACCAATCCAGACCGGATCTTGGCCGTTCCCGGACATCATCTCGAACAGTTATATCCCTCTCTCTTTCCCGCTCGCGGACGGGAGTGCCACGACGATAGTCTACCTCTTCATCCACGAAGCGGTCTTCGTAAACCCGACGGCCATTTCTTGAGGTATAGTCTCTTCGTTCGTCATACCGGTCGATAGAGACATCGTCAGCATAACGACGTCCGGCCATGGCAGGCGTAGCTGGCTTGTGCAGTCAGGCTAGGAGGCGGGAGCTGGGACTCGCCGAGTTTGTAGTGTGTTGGCACGAGCCAGCGCGCGGGCCGCTTTTGGGCGACGGGTGCGGCGGGAGTGGACGCGAGAGTGGTCTGAGCTCGTACTGGAAGGGAAATCTCGGCACTGCAAGCGAAGATGAAGCGGAGAGTTTTGCGTGATGGTGTGAAAAGAGAGGAAGTGAGAAGGGTCGACAATGAGGGTGAGGGGGGTTGTTAGATATTACGACCAGCGAGCTGAGCTGAGCACGCACACACAAGGCACAAGGAGCAAGGAGCAAGGAGCAAGGTGCAAGGAGCAATGTGGGACGACACTCGACACATGTGCAGGCTGCTGTTGTGGTCTCCGTGCAGTATAATACGAGTAATAGTGGACTGTGGACTGTGGCGGGAGCTGGAAAACAGCCCAGGGAGCAAGGAAAGGCCCGAGACGAAATCAGCAAGTGACGTCGATTGCTGCACTGCAGCCCAATGACTCCCCGGCCGTGCCTCCAGCCAGCATCTCACCAAGGCAGAGCTGAGTGCGCTAACCCGAACAACTTGCAGTGGTGGCCAGCCGCCAGCAAGACGATCACAAATGCAGTGGTTTCCACCAGAAGATTCTTTCCAGCTTGAACACAGAACACAGGACAGGAGTGCGGAGGATATCTGTTTCTGTGTATCCGTACTGTGATCCGGCAGCGCAGTCCAATCACGGGTGGTGTTACTCCTGGCACCAGCTGGTTCCCCCGGCCCTTACTAAGGCCCTAGGCTTAAGCCCAAGCCTAAGGCCCCTACACCCTTACCCCTCCTATTACTATTATACATACATACATGTAGGTATGTAACCCTCGGTGCTGACGTCCTTGCGCCTAGTTGAAATCTTCACCGGTGCCTTAGACGGGCGCTCCCGGGCACCCGACAAGCCAATCCGCACCTAACCGCGCTGAGGAGTTTAGTACTGAGTACTGACAGGCTTAGGGCATCCTTCAGCGTTCGCAGAATCGATGGCATCGGTGCCCAAAATGCCTTCCAGCCCTCATCGCCATCACAGCCTTGTCTGTTGTGGAGAAGAACAGAATCTGCCTCGGGCACATCGCCGATCAGGTACCGTCGTTGTCATCGGAAATGTACAGCTGCAGCTGCTTTGGTCGTAAAAAGTGGAAACAGGACAGAGTACTCCGTCCCGAGTACAGCTTTTGTCTTCGTCTATAGAGTTCGTGTCCTCGATCCGAAGCCGCCCGGACAGATGAAGATGACGCCGTACCAAGTCCTGTACAGCTCGACTTGGCTATTTCATTATCTCGTTGCCTCCCATCGCCGTGCCGGACACTTTGGCCCCACAAACACCAACGTATGATGCCACGTCGATGACTATCGACGTCCAATATATTTGCCTCCTTTTCCCACATATACCCGAACGCCTTGTTCATAACAAAGACAATCCTCACCACCACAGACCGGTGGCCCTGCGCCTCTGTTATGGTGTGCTAAATGTACAATTTCCCGGCTGAAGCTCCTCCAATGCCAAACTAGAATACGCCGGTGTGAACTGTTGCAGGTTTGGGAAAGAAGGGACGTCTCATCGTAAAGATCATTGCGTCAGATTTGCGAAAGGGTCATGCCAAGGTCTGTTCTGAGACTGGCTGCATAAACGAGTGATGGCACTATCCGGGGGGATGAGCGCTCTGCATAGGCATGGACAGCAGTGAACGTGGCGATGCGTGCGATGTATCGTGCTCGAGTAGAGATTAGCAGTGCGATTTTAAAGGGTAATTAATGCGGGAGAGGCGCTCAAGGATCTGGATTGGCCACCTATTTACCAGTCAGCGTTTACCTGGCAAGACAAGAAGCACCACTCACCCGTAATTGCCTGGAGTAATCCTGATTGTCCTGAAGAGACACATTGCTAAGGCGACTCTCGTCGTGGATATAGAGCGCGTACGGATTTAATCTTTGATCTGTCGCCAGACTTCGCCGATCAACGCCGGTAGATGCCGTATCTGCGCTTCGGGGATCATTCCCTAAAGACATCCCCGACGTGTTGAGGCGAGGAGTCTTGTTTCCAAGGAGCCCGGAGGATGACAGCTGACTGACTTGTCGTGATGGGATATTGTTCGAGGAGGAATTCACTCCTGTCCGAGGAATGAAAGTTGTGTCTGGTCCTCCCTGCATTTGCAGTTTCCTATGTCGCCTTCGGAACCAGAGCCATGCTCCGATTCCTATCAGGGCACCAAGACCCAGAGCAACACCCAAAACAATCCCTACCACCTTGCCGGTACTAACGCCGCCTCCACCACCGGTGGCAGACTGTCCCAGAGTGGCATCGACTGAAGGGGAAGGAGTAATGACCACGGTGCGGACTTCGCCGGTGATCGTGGTGACGCTCGTGTATACTGCTGTCGGCGTCGGCGTTGGGCTGGAGCTGGGAGGAGTGGTTGATGAGTCGGAAGACGTAGAGGTGGTAGAGGAGGTGACGGAATGCGTCTGTTATCAGTGTGAGCAGAGTAGATTGGACAGATCCCAATATACAAGATAGGGAAGGAGGAATGAGCACCCGTCAAGGAACAAGGGGCAGACAAAAGGAGACGGTTATGCATACAGAGGGACTCGTAGAGGCCGTAGAAGGGTCATCCGAGTAACCAGTCCCCGAACTAGCCTCGTCCACCGTAGAAGAGGGAGAGGAGGGAGAGGTTGTCCGCATATCGGGAGTAGGGGAAGGTGATCCGGATTCAGATTGGGTCAGGGAGGTACTAACCGACGGGGAAGCGGTCGCGGTTGCGGTGCTGACTGCGGTGCTGATGGCCGATCCACCAGACGTACCCAGGGGAACTCCGTCGCTCAAGAGGTAGTACCCGTAAAGACCGGCTTCCGTTGAACCGCACCATTCGCTACCGTAACCGGGACATTGTTGATCACAGTTGGAAGTGCTTTCCTGCTCCGTGGGCACGTAGTTGGAACACCAGCAGTCGTATCCCTGGAGAATGGCAAATGCGTAGGAGCCCTGACAGTGGACCTGGCACGCTCCATTGGACTGGTACAGGTTGTAATCTAGTCGACTGCGTCAATGATTGAACAGCATGCAACTCCTGAAAACTCACATTCCGGATAGGAGCCTGCATTATTCTGGGGCGAGCAATAGGATATGTCTAGCCCACGAGACCGTGTACTCAATAGCAGAATGATGACGACCCAAGGCAGGAAGCTGGGCCGGTGCGGGTGATTCCCAACGGTCGTGAGCATTTTGAGACGGTGTGATCCGCCAGCGGCCAATATCGAATTTTCTCACTATTTCTGCATCTGTAGTCTTCTATGCTGCTCAGGTCGTTCTGTAATGGTGCCAGAGGATGGTGAGCATGAGCTTGGTCGAGCGGTGACTATTGCATTGAAGCGGTGCGGGAGACGTAAACGACAGAAGGTAACTGCAAGATGTAGTTTGTGACACCAGACCAACTCAGTGAAGAGGCGGATGGTGCAGACAGAGCTTTTTGAACCAAGCAGATTCCGGGTAGCAGAGATGCACAAACGACAGAATAGTCAAGTCGTCCCTGTTCGATGCTGGAGGAACAGGGCACGGCAGGACAGGACGATTCGAGGGTGAGTGAGGGCTTCGGGCGTCGAAATTAAAGGTGCGGCCGGTAAGGTGGACGGGTGCCTATCGGGCTATAGGAGGTTTATGCGTACAGACTGCAGATATTAACAGGAAAAAAAGGGACTGCGATGTTAACCGATGAACGCAGTCTTGGGAGCTGCAGAGCGGAGGAGGGCGAGGAAGAGAAAGATACAGTTTGTGAAGAAGCGACAGCGCCAGACAGCTCGACAGGCGGACAGGGTTGAAAGGCCCGGGAAGGACAAATGGCAGACAGTGGTAGTGGCAGCTGGAGAAACCAAGAGCGCGCAAGCCCAGCAAGTGACAATGAGAGTGCGAGGGTGGTGGATCAGGGTGGATGGTGAAGTGGACTCCGGTAACAAGGGTCTGGTAAGGACGCTGGGGGGCTTGTTAGGCTTTGGCCACTATTTTATGTCGAGAAGTCAAGAAATCAAGTCCCAGACGCCGGGGGAGCGAAGAGGCTAGCGGAAGAATAGGGAGCACCTAGGGAGCATGTGTGAGCAGTGGGCAGCTGAATGGTCAGAGCACCCCGGGAGCCAGGAACCAGGGAGGAGACAAGCGAGCTTGGATGATGACGGAAGAGCGGGCGGAGATTGTCATATGTGTGACGAGGTCCACACGGCCTGGCCTGCCTGCGTACGCCATGCTTGATGTGTTAAGGTCGGCCACCTAATACTGGTACCTAAGGTGATGGCTTTTATGCATAGATGCCTATCTGTGCAAATATGCCTTAGGTACCTACACAGCAGACCTAACAGGTGCTTGTTAGGTACCAACAGGTGTCTTATGGCGATGTCGCAGGCGGTAGGTAGCCTCAGACCCAGATGCCTAATAGGTAGTGTGACTACCTACTCACCCTACCAAAAGAAACTCCGCACTCACCCAAAAGGCAGCTCGGAAACCGTCCCAGATCATCTGAGGGTACTGCCACCGAAGGTGTTACATGCCACACTCAGCTCCCGTATCACAGCCTCCACTCTCAAACCTAGCTTTCTCTTCGAGAGGATAGTCAAGCTTCCGGACATCGTGAATGGTGGCGTTTCTACTCCATCTCGCCACTTAATCAAGTTCCTTGTCGATCTGCCCGCTGGATTGTCTTTGCACCAAAACAAGGTTTGCACAGTACAGTACGGAGTACATATTACGGTCCCGATGTACCACAGCTGCTATTAGGTAAGGCAGCCTTAGCAACATACAGAGTACACACATTGTTCATGGTCTGATCTGTTTACATTCTACATGGATCTCTTTATCCTTTTCCTCCTGGGTGCAAGTGGAACAACCCAATCTCAATATGCAGTGGGTGAGTCGAGGGATCATGAGGTATTCACAGCTACAGGGCCAACCGATTCAATGCTACGGCGGCATTTTGCCGGTTGACGATCAGATGGCGCCCCATGTGTATAGCACATGCCGCGAAGTCGAATCCAAGACAATACCTTTCGAGCAAACAATAATGACCCCGACCCTACATGTTCTCTTCTGCTGCAAGGCTCGCCGATCCCCTTCGTCGATCTCCTCACCCTTTCATGACCCTTCGCTACATACTAGAACCCTAGAGTATCGTACGGTTTTCGAATAACAGGAAGAAGATGGTCCACTGAATTGTACGTTGCTCTCTTTGTATGGTACGGAGTATAGGGACAAGTTGATGGCCACCAGCCACCAGCCACAGCCCGCCAAACAATGAAAGAAGCGGAGGTGTTGTGTGCCTTCCCTCAACAACGGTATCGCCGGTTGGCGGTCTGCTCGTTTGATGCGACCTCCTATGCTGCACCCTGCAGCTACGGCATGCATCATGCGTCGTTGTGGCGCGTTGCTGTGCTGCAAGCGTGATGGCAAACCCTGGTTGGAGCCGCTTCAAGAAACGCAGCTGCATGGCTTGCAGACCAATCTCGCTCCCTGTGCCTGCAAGCCTCCCTGAATCTCGCAAGACATCGCCCCAATACCTCCTTTACTACGATGCTCACCGCCAGCATAGACATTCATAGCTTAGATGCCATTTGAGTCACTATCAAACTCAACTCGACGAATTTGTCATGTCTACCACCCAGTCTCGACACTTCTTGTCAGAGATGCCTTCTCGAATTTGCGAAGCACAGTACGGAGTACGGAGTACAGAATACATGCTGCTCGGCGACGTTTCTCCATTGGGATTATCAGCGTCTCACATACCCATGTCCTTAGTGGTTCGCTTATTTGCTGTCTAAAAATGCGACGGGGCTGGTAATTGGCTAGGTCTCTCACCTCAAAGATAACAAATCGTTGTTGGCATTACTACTCGTACTATCTAGTCTTCAAGAGTGCGGGGATCAAAAGATCGAAGACGTATCTATCGTCTGAAAAGAACCGACGGCGCATGTCGGCTGGGAACGCTCTTGTCATGGCGTCTTTGGCTAGCCAATAATGCCAAAGGTATCCTTCAGCATGACCGCTTCACCTGTCGTCTGGTGGGCTGAGATGCTGCACGGATAGGGTTTCACAACCCATGCGGATAAGCTGCGCTTCTGACCGCATGCATGAAGGAGGGTATACCGACCAAGTCTAGAGCTGTCTATCGACCAGTGAAGTAACCTCTGGATTGTTTTCCCTACCATGTCACTGTCATCAGAGAACTGGTCGATGGATGATTGATTTTAATTTGGGTAGATTAGGGCATTCTCAGTGGCCACGGCGGGCTGTCAACTTGACCCGGGGAGCCGATGATAAACCCACCATGCATCCGGCAAGGCGCGGAACTCACTTTCAGCCAACAGACGGATCGGCATGGGTATGTGTAAACAGCACTTTTAGAATAAAGAGACAGCAACAGGGATGCGGGCATGGCATGGCATGAGCGCTACGAGAGTATCGTGCCCTACTTTTGTGCGTATTGCTATGAGACGGGATGCCGGTGGTTTGAAGTATTCTGGTGATGAATCATACGAATCATAGATAGATTAATTACCTCATTCCCCGACGCAGAGGACGCTGAAAGTCATCCCGGGACGCCTGTTGCCTGGCACAAGGGTGGGATTGTTGTCGATAGTGCATAGGTATTCAATCTACGGATACTTCGAAAATCTCGGTTGTGTTGATGCTGGGTGCGTGGGTGATGCGGCCATTCATTTGCGTCATCAGTCACGTGCCATTGGTGTCGGGCGCCACTCGGCCTCTCGCTGTTCATTGCGGATATCTCAATCTTCCTTGGTCCTCGTTGTCGCGCATCAAGGAACAAACCATCATCCGTAGAGTGGCTGTAGACTCATGTGGCGAAGAAGGACGGAGTGCTCCGTATGGAAGTCTGGATTCTCCGTACAGAATAAGGTATGGATATGTATTCACGAATACCATACAGAGTATCCGTACTATTAAACCACGACTTGGTGCGCCTCAGAAGCAGTAGGCCGGACGAGCATCTAATCAACCTCGCCCTCTTCGGCCTCATGGCATCTTCCATGAGGTATGCGTTGATACCATTCTCATACACACCGATTTCAACGCCCAGGAGAACCGTGAGTGCGATCCTGTCGAATTGATCCTGTCTCGTCAACGACTGTGGCTCGGTAGAATCACGTGAATGATGCGAAGTTTGGCACGTGATTTGGCCCCCCCCCCCGGGATACTGAAAGCGCCACAGAGCACATAGCCCTCGGGAGAGAGCAATATGCAGGGAGGTTCTATCCTGCTCCCCTCAACTATTCTCGGTTATCACCCAAACGGCGCATTCCAGAATGTCGACGCCCGCTGAATAACCTCGGGGGCTTCAGGTGGGCAGGCTGGGGATGGAGGGGATGCCTCCTCCTTGACCGAAAAGTCGGAGCGTGCCCGAATCCCCGAAGTACGCTATGCTCTTCTTGTCTACTTACCTCGGTTATGACCCCGGGCGAGAATAATGCCTGGAAACGCAGCCAGCCAGTCGCCGCTTGTTTGTCGTAGATCTATTGAGCACACATCCCGGTTCCTCCATGAATCTTGTTGTTCCATGCTGTTGGATTTGTTGATCGGGACGCTCAAATACCAGACCCCAGGATTGTACGATCGCAATCCGTTCTGATCCATCATCTCCTCTCATAACCATCCAAAGAGCGGCATAGCAACTCGCTCCCCTCCCTTCCCTTCCTGACAACCATGGTCTTCACTCCTCCATCATGGCTGCCCAAGCTCCCACCGGTCCCGGATACCGTCCCGATCTGCGACTTCATACTTGACGAGAGATACGGCCGGCGTCCCCTCTCGGACTCATGGGACCCCTACACATGTGGCTTGTCAGGCAGGAGCATCACGGCGCGGCAACAGAAGGAAAATGTTGACAAGCTGGCTCGGGGTCTGGCGAAGGAATTTGGATGGAAGGTTAATGGGGGCAGTGAATTTGACAAGGTCGCAGGTATCTTTGCGCTCAATACGGTACGTTGGTCGGACGCCACCTGTTGTGTGGGAGGAAGACTGACCAGATCCAGATTGATATTATGACCTTGTCCTGGGCGCTTCACCGGCTGAATGGCGTGTCGTCCCCAGCCAACGCCGCCTACAATGCGGACGAGTTGCGACATCAACTTACCAACTCTGGAGCAAAGGTACTGTTCACAGTTATGCCACTCCTCCAGACCGCCCTGGCAGCGGCTGCCAAATCCAACATCCCTAAAAAGAACATTTACATCTGCGAGATGCCTCACGATCCTCCTATCCCAAAAGAGTTCAAGACGTTGTCACAATTGATCAAGGATGGCGAGTCTTTACCCGAGCTCGAGCCTATCCAATGGAGTAAGGGTCAAGGCGCGAGGCAAACGGCTTTCTTATGTTACTCGAGTGGCACATCTGGTTTACCGGTATGCCTTCCCTGAGCTGCCAACTAGAGGCAATTCCTGACATGAGAGTAGAAAGGCGTCATGATTTCACACCGTAACGTGATTGCAAACACGATGCAAATCTCGGCGTTCGACAAGGTGGCCCGCGACGCCATTTCTCCCAACTACCACGACGTCGCGCTCGGCTTACTACCTCAGTCGCACATCTACGGTTTGATCGTCATCTGCCATTGCTCAACTTACCGCGGCGACCAAGTTGTCGTGCTGCCGAAATTCGACCTGCAGCAGTATCTCACGACCATCCAAAAGTACAAGGTGAGCACCTTGTACATCGTGCCACCGATCATCATCTCCATGGTGAAGAACCGCGATCTTCTCAAGAAGTACGATTTGTCCAGCGTGCGATTCATCTTCACCGGCGCAGCACCGTTGGGCAAGGAGACCGCAGAGGAATTGGCGTCCCAATACCCGAAGTGGAAAGTCCGACAAGGCTATGGCCTCACCGAGACGTGTACTGTCGTCTGTTCTTCAAGTCCAACGGACATCTGGTTCGGCTCGTCTGGCTCGCTGCTACCGGGGATCGAGACTAAAGTCATCAATGAGGAAGGAAAAGAGATCACGGGCTACGGACAGCGCGGAGAACTGCTGGTCAAGTCTCCGAGCGTCGTTCTGGGGTACCTGAAGAACGAGAAGGCGACGGCGGAAACGTTTGTGGATCTGCCTGAAGGGCGCTTCGCGCGCACCGGGGACGAAGTCGAGGTCCGAGTGTCTCCCAAGGGCAACGAGCACATCTGGGTGGTGGATCGCATCAAGGAATTAATCAAAGTCAAGGTAAGTCGGGGACCCTGATCATTCCGGGACCGAGACCGTCTAACTGTTCCGTTCCAGGGTCACCAAGTCGCCCCCGCCGAACTCGAGTCCTGCTTGCTCAATCACCCTGCCGTAGCTGACTGCGCCGTCATCTCCGTGCCGGATGATCGAGCTGGCGAGCTGCCCAAGGCGTATGTGGTGAAATCGAATTCGATTGGGCTGGAAGAAAGCGACGCTATCGTCAAGCGGAACATCTTGAAGTATGTCGAGAAGGAAAAGGCCCGCTACAAGTGGCTTGCCGGGGGAATCGAGTTTATCGACGTCATTCCCAAGAGTCCTTCAGGCAAGATCTTGAGGAGACTGCTGAGAGACAAGGACAGGGAGGCCAGGAAGAACATTGGGGCCAAACTATAGACGCGGCTGTCCCAGCCTAATTGCAGGGAGGCGCTGTGGTCGGTCCTTTTAGATTGGCTCGGTGACATTAGAAACAGGATTAGAGAGAGGGAGAGAATGTGTGTGAAGAGAGAGAGATCAATCAAGTTGATTCGACTTGCAGAACGAAATCGTTCCTTTCCTCTCCGCCCACACTATCTACACTATCCGTATCCATCTGGCTTGAATCCATCAATGCTCATTGGCTCGCAGGCGACCTTCAGGCTGGGATCTACGGCGTACGGACCCTGCGCTAGCAGTGCGCGCGCACAGATCCACCCCATCACACAATCGCAACGAAGAACCAAAAAAAAAAGGCTCCTATCTTCCGACCCCAAGGCCAAAAAGAGTAACATGGATATGCATCAGCCGCGAATCGAACGCGGGGCCCATGCAAACTGTTGCATTGTACTGTTGTACTGAATACTGTTGGCAAGCATGGATCTAGACAGGCCTGTTAGCTGGGGAGGCTCGAGAGACCAGGAATTGTTCAGGCTACATACTTTACCACTAAACCACTGATGCTGGATTGTTGGAGGCAATTCCGGGGGTTTGATATATAAGAGGATATTAAATGAAGGGTGTGGATGGCCTGGAGACGGAGACTGGAGAGTTGGTGATACGGAAAGATTTGAGCGGCGGGGCAGCGGGGCGAGCTGTTGTAGTAACGGAATTGCGCCGCCCAAAGACCATATCACGTGGCCAGCCCTTTCGAGCAGTCGGCTATCACGCGGCTCGACTCTCCAATGCAGTAAAGTACCACGGAGTACGGAGTACTAATGGGGTACATACACGTACGGGTATTACACCAACTACTGATATCTGGGGTAGGTACCTAGCTCTGACACGGGTCTTGCTCCTGGTATCTATTACTGGTTTATCAGGGTTAGGGTTAGGGTTAGGGTTAGGGTTGTGCACGGATACTTCTTCCCGCCTACACGCCAGTACCTTTGGCTCCGGTCTATATTTATTTCATTTCTGGACAAGGTGATACATTACATCGATCACGCTTGAATGTTGGCATATCTGTCTTAGGCACATAGCTCTACAGCAGATTGAGCGACTGTTGTGCTGCAAGGCTGGACCTGGTTATCACGTGTGCGCAAGGCTGCCACGGGGTTCAACGTCATTGAATCCTCCATCCTCCATCCTCCAAACCAAAGAGCAAGATCAACAACTCTAGTAACATGTCATTCCAAGCCACACTGTGTACCAGTCAGTGCCAGTGGTCCAAGGCTCAGGCTAGCAGAGAATCTCCACCGTCTATTCTAAAGCTGGAGTCGACCAAGTCAAGGTGAATGTAGGTGGACGTCGATTGCAAAGGTTGCACTGCAGCCTGTGATCATCCCTTCACTACCACAAATAAAGCTCCGGTCACACCTTGAAACCCTGCCAATCGAACTGTCTTTCATTATTTCAGCATGAAGGCAAACATTGGCAAGTCCTTCGCGGCCTTGATCATTGGGCTGTCGCGTACCACTTCAGCCTCATTTGTTCCACGGTGGGAATCCCGAGGCGCCGATATCGATCTCGATCTCGATCTCGATCCCGCGACTGAAGACTTCAGCTGGGACACGATTCGGTCGTCGAGCGAGCTTCAATATCACAAATGCTACGGCTCCTTCGAGTGCTCCAAACTCACGGTCCCTCTCGATTGGACCAACCAAAGCAATCCCAACAGTGTGACGCTTGCACTGGTCAGACTGCCTGCGGTGGTTGATGTGACAGATGAGTCGTTCGGCGGCACCATCATTATCAACCCCGGTGGCCCCAGCGGATCGGGAGTAGTATCAGTCCTCCAGGCTGGAAGAGGCGTGCAAAGGATTGTGGACAGCGACAAGCACTTTGAGATTCTATCGTTCGATCCCCGCGGAGTGGCCTTTTCGACCCCTAGCTTGGCCTGCTTCCAGGACGACGCCGCAAGACTTTCACTGTCCGTGTTCGGTGTAGGGGCGGGCAGCCTGGAGGCCAGCCGGGATGCCTTGAACGTCAAATGGGGCATCGATGAAAGCCTCGGCCGCCTGTGTGAATCCGCTAGCAATGGCCACTTTCCCGACGGCTCCAACATCCGCCAGTTTGTCAGTACTGCCCTTGCTGTACGAGACATGGTCGAAATAGTCGACCAAGTCGATGCGCATCTTCGGAAAGAGGTGAGCTTGGGGCGAACCCGATTGAATGATCGGCAGACTGTCATGGCCGTTGGCCCGAAGCCAAAGGATCCTGCGCTTCTCAACTATTGGGGTCTCTCCTACGGCACGTACCTGGGGAATACTTTCGCCAGCATGTTTCCCGAGCGGGTCGGTCGCATGGTCTTGGACGGAGTGGTCGACGCAGATGACTATACAGCCACAGGATGGACTACCAACCTCCAGGACAACAACCAAACATGGATCAAGTTTTTCGAATTTTGTTTCGAAGCCGGATCGAAATGTGCTCTCTTCGACCCTCTAGCACTTGGACCTGAAGAGATACGAGACAAGGTCGACGTGTTCCTCGCTGGGCTCAAGGATAATCCCATACCGCTGATCCGCGATGGGAATGCCTACCTTCTCACATATTTCGAGCTGAAGAGTAGCATTCACGAATGTTCGTACCTCCCTAACTTGCTCTGGCCACTGCTGGCCGTCCTGCTCCAGTCTCTCATAGATGGCGTCCCCCTGACGGCCGCCTCAGCCCTGGAAGGGCTGATAGATTGGCGACAAGCCGCTTCTCGCCATTTCTCACCGGCACTGCCACTGCCACTGCCATTCCAGCCACTCCAGAGCAAGCCACCCGGCCACTTTGGCGAGGGCGAGACGGCAGAGCCATTGCCTACAGGTTACCCGTGGCAGCTTGAAGCTGGAGTGTCCATTCTCTGTGGCGACGGAGAGGACATCACGTTCAAGTCCAAGGACGATTACGCCGAGTACCTTTCTCTCCTGGAGTCTCAGTCTCCATTGGTTGGTGCCATCTGGGCCGAGATCATCTTACATTGCATTCACTGGCCGGCGTCTGTTCGGCCTTCGACTGCGAACCGCTTCACCGGCCCCTTCCAGTCGAACCTCTCCGACTACGACCCTCGAGGCAGTCCGTTGCTCTTCATCGGAAACACCGCCGACCCTGTAACGCCGTTGCGGAATGCGCTGAAGATGTCGGACCGGCATGAAGGCAGTGTCGTGCTCACGCAGGATCTGCCGGGCCACTGCTCCGGAGAGGCCAACCCAAGCGGGTGCACGTTCGAGATCTTGAAGGCCTTCTTCAGGGACGGGACACTTCCGAGGCCGGGGCTTGTATGCGAGAGTGCTCGAAAGCCGTGGGACGACTGACGAGACTGGTAGACGGTGGATGGGGAACAGTAAGGAAGAAGTAACAGCGCGTTGCTACATTGAATGTCACTGATGGGCGTTGCATAGCAGGATTATTACATGCACGATACGTGAGGTCTTATTCCACATCCACATACTGTATTCACTCGAACAAGGGTAATTAGTGCATTTGTAGCAGCCGTATCTGTTGTTTGGGCCCTCAGGCTCTTATTAGCAAATCACGTGATATCAAAATTTCCTCTCCTCCGCCGGCCGAGGCCGAATCCATCACAGTCTTCTCTCATTTTAATGCCACCTCCCACCTCCCATCTCCCACCTCCCCCTCCTCAAGAGCGCTCCCCTACGTTCGATTTCCTGTTTCCTGTTTCCTGTCCGGCTGCGCGGGACCATTCATCGCCGGCTCGCCGAGGCACCAAAAGAGTCACGAGACTTACTTCTAGAACTGCGTTGCATTCCATCCCATTCCGATCGCTGGGTGGGAAGGACGGAAAAAGTCAAGTCTTGATCTCGTGATGGTTTCCTCATTCCTCTCGCGCGGATGCGTGGCCAAAGAGCACGACCTGGCGTCACTGCATCTCCGACGCGACCAGTCGCTTCCAGTCGTCCTCTCCACCGAGGTGACCAGCGCCGACCATGAAGGCTACGCGGAAGGCGTGGTCACCAACACGCGTTTCGGCTCCTTCCCGCATTCCACCATGATCGGGGCGGCATGGGGCAGTCAGATCCGGGCCAGCAAAGTGGACACGGGGTCGCGAGGGCGCAAGGAAGCGATGAATGCGAAGGCGAAGGCGAAGAAGCGCAAGGCCGAGGCGCTGGAGCAGAGTCAGAGTCGGAGTCAAAGTCGGAGTCGGACCGACACCCACGCTGGGGACGAGGACGCGGTGGCCGCGGCCGCGGCTGAGGTTGAGGTTGAGGTGGCCAGTTCAGGCTTCGTCCACATCTTACCGCCGACGCCGGAGAACTGGACGATCAGTCTGCCCCATCGCACGCAGGTCGTCTACACGCCGGACTACAGCTACATCCTGCACCGCATCCGCGCGCGGCCGGGGTCCAGGTTGATCGAGGCCGGGAGTGGTAGTGGCAGTTTCACGCATGCGGCAGCTCGAGCCGTCTTCAATGCGTATTCGGCCACTTCCGGAGTCGAGTCGGTGGGCAAGGTCTTCTCGTTCGAGTTTCACGCCGAACGGCACAGGCGAGTCAAGGCGGAAATGGTAGAGCACGGGTTGGATACGATCGTGCACACGGAGCATCGCGACGTCTACAGAGACGGGTTCCTGGTCCACGAAGACGAAGAGAACCGTGATCGCAAGACATCACCGCAGGCGAACGCAATCTTTCTGGATCTGCCCGCGCCATGGGAGGCGGTGCCTCATCTGACTCGAGAGCATCAGGATGGCAAGCCCTCGGCGCTCGACCCCAACTCGGCCGTGCACCTCTGTACATTCAGTCCGTGCATCGAACAGGCGCAGAAGACGGTATCTTCGCTCCGGCGCCACGACTGGCTCGAGATTGAAATGGTCGAGATGCAACAAAAGCGCATCGAGGTGCGCCGCGAGTACACCGGCCTGTCGTATGATGGCATGCGCGGCGCCAATGCCTATGCCGCCGACGTGGATGAGGCTCTGGTCCGGTTGCGCGAAGTCGAGCGCCGTGCCAGAGATTTCCACGCCAGGACCCTGTCCAAGCGCCAGCAGGCGAACGGCCAGCGGCAGCAGCAGCAGCAGCAGCCCGACGTCGGCAAGCTGCCGTTCAACGGGGGCAAGCTCGTGCACCGAACAGAGCCGGAACTCAAGACGCACACCTCGTACCTGGTGTTCGCCATCCTCCCTCGAGCGTGGACGGAGGAGGACGAGGCAACGGCACGGGCCAAGTGGTCGAAGCACGTCAAGATCGCGCCCAGCGTGCCGAAAAGCCAACGACAGATGAAGAAGGAGGCCAAGCTCAAATCCAGAGGTCAACCACAGGTGTTGAATGGGAGGGTGGATGGGGAGATGGGGGAGACAACGACAGAGAAGACGAATGCAGGCACGGGGGAGTCTACACCAAGAGCGGAGGCAGAGGCGGAAGCGGAGCCAGAGGCAGAGGCAGAGGCACCTGGAGGCTTGCATGTCTAACTAGGAGGCAATGTGTTTTGCTGTACAATGAATCTACAAGTATGCGTGGTGTTGACGGTCCGTATACTGGTATCATCATCCTCATCTTTTCCTCCTCCTCCTCTTCTTCTTCCTCCTCTTCGCGTCAGGCGTTGCCGACTAGGTACCAAGTAGGATGTATGTATGTAGTATGTATCGCTGAACCACAGAACCAATGTGGCCCTGCCCTCCCTACCCTCTGGGTCCGAGATCCGAGATCAGGTAGTCCGTCTACGTCTAGAATCAAATCGAGACCGAGACCGAGACTGAGACAGATATATGTACCCATGTCTTAGTAAGGTATCGCGATGCTCTGTCGTTCCAGCTTTGCCTTGAACTGACACTGACGGAGACTGGAGACCGGAGACCCAGACAGGAAACTTAATTAGACCCCCTATTGGTCCCTACCTGTCCCCGCCCACCAAGCCAAGCCGGATGCGGAAGGGGTTGCGAAAATAACTGAGTCCGGGCCGGTTCTATATAGTACAGAGTACCGAGTACAGTATACAGCATACAGCAGTATCTACTTAGGTACTCGCGAGCAGGCACGCGAGGCTAAGGCTCAGGCCTCGCAACACCGGTCTCGCAACATAACAGCGACTCCGCCTCACTTGATCAGATAAGGTGATAGGATGTGATGTGATGTTCGAATACTAATACGAATACTACCAACCCATGCCGGTTACCCTGCCTTGCCCTGCCTGATACAGCATGTATAAGACAGACAGGGGAACAGCCCGCCGGAACAGATAGACCTCAAGGCCTCGAGCGCTAGATCAGGCCCACTACGTCGGTCTCTCTTTTCCTTTCCTTTTCCTTTTCTCTTCTTCTTCCTCTTCTTCTTTCCCCTCCTCTTCGCCAGTGAATTGAGAATTGAGAATTGAGAATCAAATTCCTAAACTGCCCAAAAGCTGCGGTTGATATCCTATTTCCTATAGGCCTCCACCATGATTGCCAACACAGCTAGTCCCAGTACCCCCGTCTCCTATCTCCTCCACCTCCACTTGGACCTCGTGGCACGCGCCGTCGACCACAATCCAGACAAAGGGCACAAGACTCCCGCCGAGTTCGCAAGAGAAGGTCGATACAACTATGTGCCGTCATTCGCCCCGGCCGTGGTCTTCTGTGTCATCTATGCCATCGCAATGACCATCAACCTGGGCCAATTCATTCGACATCGTGCCTGGTTTTGGTGGGTCATGAACTTTGCAATTGCCCGTGAGTGTTTGCCTTTGCTTTGCCTGGCTTTGCCTAGGACAGATAGACTCGGTCGACTAATGTTTGATTCCGAAAATAGTCGAATTGGTCGGATACATCGCTCGTGCCGTCTCGGTCAAACACCTCGCCAGCCGCGACGTCTTCATCGTGCAACTGGTCCTGATCCTCGTGGCACCTGCCGTCATGGCCGCCGCTTGCTACATGTCGTTCGGCCGAGTGGTGGTGTGGGTGATCCCTCGCGAATACCAAAGCGCCCGCCATCTGTGGGTGCCGGCACGCCGGGTGACTCCCATCTTTGCCGGCTGTGACGTGCTCAGCTTCTTCGTCCAGGTCGTCGGCGGCTCGATGATCGCGTCGGGGAACACACCGGCCAAGATCAACAGGGGGAGGAACGTAGTTTTGACCGGGCTTGCGCTCCAGCTCACCACCTTTGGCTTCTTTGTCGTCGCGGCGCTGCGGCTGCTGGTTTTGTTGAGAACGCGGCTGCGCACCATCCCCCTGCCGCAAGAACGGAACTGGCCATTGTTCCTGGTCATGGTCAACGTCGCCAACGTCTTGATCCTGATCCGCACGACTTTGCGCCTGGTCGAGTACGCAATGGGCAACTCCAACTATCTCCTGAACCACGAGTGGTACTTCTATGTGTTCGACTCCGTCTTGATGTTCTTCGTCGTCCTGGTCTTCATCGTCTTCCACCCCGGCCATTACCTGCCTTACCTGGGCTTCAAGAGAAAGGGGTTGCGCTTTTCCGACAATGCCGACAAAGGCCTGTTCGCCTCACTGGCCAGGGGCACCAAGATTCCACCGGGCATGGTCCAGATGGATGCCCGAGACGGTTAGGCACAATGCAACCACGGCACGACAGCGACAGGTCAATCCGACGAGCTGGAGCCGGGGAGCCCATCTTGACCACCACTGCTACCACGCTTCGATCCCGCTTCTGGCGTTAGGGCCATGTGTTGTGGATTGGATGGGATAAAGCGAGGGATGAAAAAGATACCCACGCGCTTGCACTGTGCCTGGATCCACGTAGTAGACGTGCTGATGGCATGGCATGGTGATGGACTTCTCTTGGTTGGGTCTTTGATCTTGGTTCGATCCGAGTTCCAGTATGTAAGAATCAGTCATGCTTTTGCGCTCGTCTCGGCCTTTCCAATATCGATGCCAAATCGCCTCGCTGTCTCTGGCCCGTTCGGTCGGTCTCCCATCGTTTCCCACCATCCCAGGCTGAAGACGTAGCCTTGAAACACTTTGGCCAGCTCTTTGTCGCTCATAAATGCGGCCCCGATGGGGATGACTTTCCTGTCGATCATCTCACTGCCTGCAAGCAAGCTCATCATCCCTGCAATACTCCAGGGAGCACGTGGGAGGACTCGGTGCATATTGCGTCGGCTGTAGACAAAGACGCCGCAGGCAAGCATGATGCCTAGGAAGATCTGGAGGATCAGCTTCGACGTAGGGTCTTGCTTGAGCCTGGGTCGGCTGAGGCCTGACACGGTACCTGAGTATCCAGGCGCCGACGCCGTTTCGGTGCGATTCAGAGTTTGGCGCATGGTGGCACTGATCAGCTGGGCCATATATCGCCGATAGATACGTTGTGTGGCATCGATGAACCGCTGTGTGTTGGCAGGGCCCGTGAGCTCCTGTGCCGGGATCCCGTCCGGGCCGTAGTTGACTTGTGAATAGAAGTAGTCAATGAGCAGGGTGGGCGCTTCACGGTCGAAGGCGCCAAAGGTATTGATGTTCGTGAACCAGTACGTGCTGTTGAACGCCTGCAACCAACGAGCTGAGCTCTCATCCACCTTCGGCTCCGACCTGACCTGGACAGCGTCGACGGTGACCGAGAAGACGGTTTCCGTGTGCACCTCTTCTAACCCTTGGATGCACGTCATGGCCGTTATGTTCTCCGTCGAAGTGACATTTTCGACAAAGTAGCCCGACAAGAAAGCCAGCGATGGGCATCCGGGCGGATTGCTTGCCGCTCCTAGTGTATCCCCTTCGCTGGTCATGAAGTTCGCCTCGCCCGTCGCACCCTCGGCATTGAGGACGACTTGCTCATAGATAGCGAGATTGGCCTCGTCGAGACAATTGTGTTGGACACTGTATGTGAATGGGATGTCTGTCGCGGTCTCATTTTGTCCATTCAAAAAGTGTGGACATGATGAAGGTAAACTTGCGTTGAACGTGAGCACATTGTCTCGGCAGCCGGGAGTCCGAGTGCCAACCATCGTCATGTTCATAATGTGCCTTGGTACGAGAGTACAGTTGAGTGATGCTCTCATGGCAACTATGTTTGCCTGAAGTGTCACTGATTGCGCCGGATCCCTCAACTGTCCCATGGCTTCAGCTCCCAAGCTGGAGATATCTATGCTAGGGTACGCCAATCCGTCGTAGGTGAGTGCTGGATACGATGCATTGTTTTGTTCAATCAGCTGAAACATAGCTCCAGCTGACCCATCTGTCGAAGTACCGAACGACGGCACAAATTTGTCCGATGTGCTGATGGTAACATCGAGGGCCAACGGGACAGCTTCGATTGTGTAGAGGCCCGAAGCGATGATTGTCAAAAGACTGCCAACGAGTGCAGCCGCTGATGCTACGGCAGCTCCCATATGGCGCTCACGGATCGATTTCACCGTGGACCAGATTGGTGGATTGCCCGATGTGTCCATCAATGTCTGCTTTGCAGGAGCGCCTCCCCGAGCCAGCATCTGATACGGCGCAAGCGTACCTGCTGCGAAATCGATGGTATCGTACATCATTGCGATCGATATCAGAATGAGTGACGTGAGGATGGTTGGGAGCGAATGAGTGATGCTAGAGCGAGATGACATGGTAGCCAACCCATCATTCATGTCCGATTCGTGCTGCAAGACTTCTAACGTCACAATGACACCAAGTGGAAGCGCCAGAGCCATGCACATGAACCAGACCGTGCTGGACATCGTCTTCCACCAAGTGTCCTTGCTGGAGTCATCGGGGGACCTGGCTTGATTTCCTTCCTTGACGGTAGTCTCGATGGAGAACTCGCGGCCTCCGCGCTCACTCGTTATGTGGGACGCTGCCAGTAGATCCTGTAGATGAGGTTTAAGATGCCCCACTGAGTCACTCGCTGCTGCCTCCAACGACCTCTGGAGCGTAGGGCTTGCGGCAAGGATGGTTGCTTGGGCGGCAATGGAGTTGGGGCGACGCGAAACCACGTCTTGGGGGCGCCACCTGAGGACAGCAGCAGCAGAGAACGCCAACAGCACACACCCTGCGCCCATGGCCCATAGGCTCACCATTCGGATTTGAAGTCTGGGTTCCTGATACATAACTTCGGCTGTAGTTGTGACGTTGTCGGCTTTGCGAAGGTACGAGTGGGCAAATTGAACTGCAACACCCTTGAAAGCTTTTTCCGCCGTCTGCCTCAACGTAGTTCCATTCAATAAAGCGGTTGCGGAGCCCCCATTGAGGATAGCAAAGAGGTGGGCGAAGTCATATATCTTCGGTGCATCCGTCAGAGCCGGAAGGCCGTTCACTGTGACCTGATTCTGGAAGTCTTGAGTAAGATTGTAGTACGAAAATCCCGGAAGGACATCTGCTATACGCTGCAACGGGCCCGTCGTATTGACTCCACCACTTGAGGTGGGATCGGCGGTATTGATCGTGATGTTGACCCTATCAACGGTGTATCCAAGAGCACAAACCATACCGACTGAATCTGCCAGGGTCACGTTCCAGGCCTCACTTGAATTGCTCGGGTGCCCTGCCACCTTTGCAAAAGTGATATCTATTATGGTAAGATAGTAAAGGTTGGCACAAGGATCGAGATCGTCCAGCGGCTTCATGGGGTTGTAAGAATTAGGCCAATTCCACGATTCATCAGAGATGATAGATCGTCCAAGGGGACAGTCGGGCGCATGGCTGCACAACTGATAGTATGACCGCAGAGGAGGACATCTGTCAGGGTATAAAGTAAGGCCCAAGTCCAGTGTGTCTCCATAAGGATACTCCCCATCATTGCTCCAGGTGAAGTTGTTGCCGACAATATTGGGTGTTACAATCTCACAGTCGAAGAATGGGAACACGCCGTCCACCGTTGCTGCCACAGTGGAGTTCACGGGCACAGAATGCAAGTCAAGAGTATTATACGCCACACTTGCTGATGTGCCATATTGATAGTCCAGACCTCGCTCTTGTATACCATAGTATCGCATCAACTCGGTGTCGACAGCGACTGGTGCAATGGAACTATTTGTTCCAACAAATTTGGAGTTGACGATGACATCGGGCGTGATCTTAGAGTCTGAGGTTGGTGTGAGCACAAGGAGACCAGTACTGAAGACGATCACAAGTCTCAGCAGCAAGATCCCAATGCCGCTTGCCACAACTGGCCAATCACGATTTGTAGCAGCTGCAGCCAGAATCTTAGGTAGAATTGGAGAGATATAGTCCAGTAGCAGGGATTGCTTTGCTGCAGCAGGCCCATCTCTAAGATGTGCCCATGGTGCCAAAGTTCTGCAGTGAAAGTCGACCTGTTTCCATGCCACACCTATCACGACCAGCAGTGCAGTGGGCCCATACGTCCATGCGTAGTGATTGTTGGTGATGTTCGTCCTGATTCCATTCCTAAGCTGAGCAAAATGCCACAGGATTAGCAACCCGGCTACCAGGGCCAGAAACAGGGCGACAAAGCCGGACAGGATGGGGCCCTGCAACCAGATAGGATTCCACATTTGCGGCTGGGATTGCACTTCATCAACATCTCCGGGAGAACCGGCGTTCTGAAAGACGAATGGGAACTTCTGTGACAAGCCAAACTTGACCCATCGGTCGGGGGGAGACAACCTAAAGTAGCGACCACCTCGGTTCCATCGTTGGCGAGGGCCATCCCATTGGCCTTGAGTCGCTTTTGGTAGATCAATCTTCTTTGGGACCTCGTATGTTGTGTTGGTGTCATTGAAATCTGTCAACGGAGGTAAGGACCATGAAAGTCTGTCATCAATCGGCCTCAGAGGGAACGAATCATCTTGTGAGGAGCGATCCCAGATTGTACGGCTGTGTCTCGAATCTCGAGGAAGCGGCTTCCGCTTCACTGGGGATGTTTGATGAAAGCCTCCATCTGCCATCGCGGCAAGGCAAGCAAGAAGGAAAGAGTGAGATCGAGAAGTGTGGTCGCTGTCTTTTCTGCTGAAGGAAGCGGTGTCGTCCTCAGCCTTATTCGCAGTTCAGAGGCTGCCGCCAGTGGAGAACCGGGCAGGCAGGTTGATTGTTAGAACCGCTGGCAGTGGCAACAAGAGATCAGGCCCGGCATCTACTCGGAATCTACCATTGAGCAGGCAGCGACTTGTTTGACATGGTGTCTCTGGGATTCATGTCAACGACGGAGAAGACGTCTTGAAGTTAGCCGGGGTTATTAGCTTGAGGTGACATTCTGTCCTGTTTTAGCCCCCAACATGGACTGATCTGTTGGCCCTGTTGGCGGAACTGCCACGAAACAAACGGCATGGATCTCGACGAGTGATTGATGGTTGGCGTCACACGGAACCCTTGTAGGCTTGGCCCTTGTAGGCAGGCAGATGGCATAGCAATGTTACCTAGGCCTTTCCCTTCCCTCATGCATAAGAGGGCAGGGAGCGGGCTGTGGTGCATGTGCCGTGGGTGGCCTTGAAGTTAGTTGTACGGAGTACGCCTCGTGTAGGCCACCGCAGGCACCGCAGCTTGAGTGCCCAGAAATGGATGTTCAGTGACGCTGCTTTTTTCAGGAGATCCAGGATTGCATTATGTACTCCGTAGACAGGGCGGCATCACCCCCTGCCGAATCAGGGCGGGTCAAGCGCTGTTTTTACTTCACATCACGATTGTGTGAATTGACTGCGACGGACGTGCAAACGATGTGACTCCGGCCTAAGGAGCCCTTGTCAGCCTCGTCCTGCGCCCAACCACACCGTCTCATGAGTCAGACCAGGTCGTCTCATGAACGCCTTGAGACGTACCTTTTGCTCATCGGCGTCACTTCTCTGCAAGCCCTGCAAGTCTGTCAAGATGTCTCAACCGCCATGGATCATGCCCACAGGCTCGACCCATCAGCCTGATTTGAAAATCTACAATTCTCTGACTCGGTCCAAAGTTCCCTTGATTCCTATAGAGGCCGAACACATCAAATGGTACTCCTGCGGACCGACCGTCTATGACGACGCCCACCTAGGTCATGCGCGCAACTATGTTACGACAGACATTATTCGCCGCATTCTGCGGGACTACTTCCATTTCAAAGTCAGATTTGTTATGAATATCACCGATGTTGACGACAAAATCATCCTGCGGGCCCGACAGCGCCATCTCTACGATGAGTACAAGAAGCAGCACAGGTACACACTCCGACACTCCGAGAATGAGGCATGATGCAGTCTAACTCTAGCACAGATACGTTGATGATCAAGTCCGTCAAGACGCGCGGCAAGCATGGCACTACTACGTCCAGAAGAACCTCAAAAGAATAGGCCCCAAAACGCTCCTCACTCCCGAGACTTTCGGCGTGATCGAAGAGACCTACGGAGATATACTTGGAGGGGGAAGCTTGGAGCCGGGGACAAAACCAGGGGACGAGGAAGCAAAGATCAAAATGCACGTCAACACCGCTAGGACAAGTGCCAGAGCCTTACTACAAGACCCCAAGACTTTGACACCACACGAATTTTACAATCGCGTGAGCGATCCCATGTGTCTCGTGCTGGACGAGAGATTTGGCAAGACCATCCGCGGCGATGACTACGACGTCTTCACGAAGCTCACCAAAGAATACGAGAATCGCTTCTTCGAGGACATGCACGACCTCAACGTATTGGACCCAGATGACCTTGTCCGAGTCACGGAACACGGCAAAGAGATTGCGGACTTTGTCAAGAAGATTGTCGACAAAGGCTTGGCCTACCGAACCTCAGACGGCTCTGTCTACTTTGACATAAAAGCGTTTGAGGCAGCCGGTTACCCCTACGCAAGGCTGGAACCGTGGAATCGAAACAACGCAGAACTCCAAGCCGATGGAGAAGGCGCCCTGTCACAAAAGGACGGAAGCGTCAAGAGATCCGCTGCCGATTTCGCGTTGTGGAAAGCTTCGAAACCTGGTGAACCCAGTTGGGAGAGCGAATGGGGCGCCGGTCGGCCGGGCTGGCACATTGAATGCTCAGCAATGGCTTCGGGGAGACTCGGCGAACAAATGGATATCCATTCTGGAGGCATCGACCTGGCTTTCCCTCACCACGACAATGAATTGGCCCAAAGCGAAGCCTTCTGGGCCGATGGCAGCCACCGACAGTGGGTGAACTATTTCCTTCACATGGGCCATTTGTCGATCCAAGGGTCGAAGATGTCCAAATCGCTCAAGAATTTCACCACGATTCGGGAAGCATTACATGTGAGGAAAGAGTGGACCGCTCGAAGCCTTCGGATCGTCTTCTTGCTCGGGAACTGGAAAGATGGCATAGAAATCACGGACGACATGGTCACCGAAGGCAGAAATTGGGAGGATAGAGTGGACAACTTCTTTTTCAACGCCATCGAGAACATCAAAAACGCCAAAGCCACCAATCAGCAAAAGCCTGCTCTCAAGAACGCCCTTGAAGAGGCAGAGGAGAAGGTTCGACTTGCACTGTTGGATTCGTTCAATACTCCGATTGCCATGAGCACGATCTCCTCCTTGATCAATACCTACAACAGTGCCAGAAAATCGGATCTGACCCCGGATGATCACCGAGATGTTGCCCTCTTTGTAACGCGGCTCGTGAACATATTTGGCCTCAACGGCTCAGAGCCAGCAGATACAGAACAAGTGGGTTGGAAAGGTATTGATATTCCCGATGCGGCCAAAGAATACGTCTTCCCGTTAGCCCGGATGAGAGACGAGCTTCGACAGGCAGCAATAGCGAAATCGATTACGCGCGAAAAGGTGCAGGAGATCGTCTCCACGTCACCAGGGCTAGAAGAACCTCCTTCTAGTGGAAGGCCCCGGCCGTCATTTGCCCGTGCCTTGAGTGACTTCAGCCGCGGGGCTCTGGAAGTTGCGTCGCCCGCCGAGACTAGCGATCTCAACAAACAGATCCTGGCGCTCTGCGATCGAGTGCGCGATGTGGATCTATGGCACCTCAACATCTACCTCGAAGACCGAGAAAATGCTCCGGCCTTGGTGCGACCGGTGACCGAGGGGCTCAGAGCCGCTCGACGAGAACGCGAAGAGAAGATGCGGCAAAAGGAGGAAGCGAAGAAGAAGAGAGAGCAAGAAGCTCTAGAGAGGCTACAGAAGGCCAAACTCAGTCCGGCCGACATGTTCCGGCCGCCGCACTCGACCGAATTCTCGGCCTGGGATGCCGATGGGCTCCCGACCGCCACCAAGGACGGGTCTCCGCTGACGGCGTCGCGGGTCAAAAAGTTGAAAAAGGAATGGGAAGCCCAAAGAAAGGCGCACGACAAGTATCTGGCCACGGTACAGAATGGATCCGCTGCTCAGTAGTGCATCGTCTCTGGTGGAGCTAGTCAGTCCTTGGGCCATGCATATATGTCCTGTCTTCTGATTTAGAAGTGTATTCCTAGATACCCAATCTCCTTCGATTAGCGTCATGAGAAACAAGGGTGCTTCCAGGGTGAATTCCACTTTGAGCAACAGATCACCTCCGAAGGAGGAAGAAGAAGACTTCTTATTCTATTGAGACCTCCCAAGTGACTTCACGATCACGATCATATGCTCCCTTCCCCACTCAGGCCCTGGTAGAGTGCCAGCGCAGCCAAAGTTTTCCCGTCTCGGGCGGCAACCTTCCAGACCTGGTCAAGCCGGACGATCTTCAACGTGATCTTCTCACCATGATCCCTCAGTCCCGTCAGTTTCCCTTTGAGCTGGTCGATTTCGTGCCGCGGGAGGCGTTTTCGCACGAGAAAGATGGGGACGAACTCGTCGCTGCCGCCGGGAGAAGGGTAGACCGCGGCTTGGAGATGTGGTTCGTCCATGTCGTTTTCTGCACCATTCGGGTCTGGCTCCTGGTTGCGATCTAACTGCGACCGCGACTGCGCCTGTACAGCTAACTGCGACATGTCGACAAGTTCATCTGTGGCGAAGTCGAGGCCGGTCTCTTCACGAATCTCTTTCGCCGCGGCGCCTGCAAACGTGCCGCTATCGTCGATCATCCCGGCGGGCAGCTCGACGAAGCTCAGCGAGCCAGCGGCAATGCGTGGCTGTAGGGTCAAGATGACATATTCTTCTTGTTCTTCTTCCTCCTGTGGTGCAGTAGTAGTGGTATTGGCGTTAGTGTTGGCAGTGTGTTCGGGGGTCAGGACGATCAACATGGCGACGCTCCCACCGCGCATGAAGACCGAGCCCGGCAACGACTCGCCCTGGTCGTTAGTCACCGTGGCTTTGAATTTCAAGAACCCCAGGCGGTGGCCGGAGAAGAAGTCCACGGTCTGGATGTCGAGGGATCTTAGGGCATAAGGCGATTTGTGGAACGGATGAGCTTTTTGGCTGTGTTGTAGAGCCAGTGACTCTTGCAACGTGCTCAGCCACGTCTTGAACGCCGGAAATGTCAACAGCTGGTCCTGGCTTAGTGATGTTGGGTGCGTGATGGGGATGGACGGGTTGCTGTCGGGCAGCATGAATGTCGATGTCGACGTCGACGATCTTGTGCCTGCCATGGTCATGGTTCTCACCTTGCCGGGCGCCAGTGATGGTGGATGTGAGATTTTGGAGGTGTAGGTCACTGGCAGATGGCGAGACAGGTGTTTGAGGCTCGAGCGCATGGAGATGCAAAGGGATTCTGATTGTTGGGCTACTGGTACATGCGCTGCTTGAGGGGATGGATGGCAGATTCATGTAATGGAATTGGTCTGGAGGAATTTGTCCGTCCGTATGGAATTGCCGTAGTCGCTAGGACTCGGTACGGAGTAAACCTGCGAAGAGACCTTTGAAGAGCATATCAAATGAATTCTTGACGATGATATCTACGAGGAGGAAGAGGGTTCACTAACTGCCTCAGGCCTCAGCTTGTGGTGAAGAGCAGTTACATACATAGGTACCTAGTACCGTATGCACCTAATTAATATAGCTAGGGGCTAAGTACCAGGTACCTACGTAGGCGTGACCTCGGAACGAACCAATCGGCAACAATATCCGTCGATTTTTGCGTGCGTACAGTACGTACTCACCAGAACTTGAATTCTAACAGTATCCCGCTTGCCCTACACAGCCAGCGCATACATCAGTGATGGCATACTAATTATTTGGCGCCTCTGACTCCAGACCAGACCCAGACGGACTGGGGAATAGGAATGGCGAAGACCAAGTCTGAACCTGTCGCAGGACAGGCCACGATGGCTTTCACCGTGCGCAGCCCGCCCTACACGTATTTCCATCTCTCTCTGCAGTCGCTGGCTCCGCAAGCTCAAGGTCAAGGTCAAGCTCAGCAGGCTCTGGACGAAGTGGCAGCACGCTCATACCTCTTCGCCGCGCTGCAGCAGTATCTGGGGCTCATCGGCACCGCGGTGTCGATTGATGTTTTGGACGTCCAAGGCCGGCACGTGTGGATCAGAGTGCCGAGAGACGAAGAGATTGCGGTGACGGCGGCGTTGAGTCAATGGGTCGGCGCCAGGGGCGTGAGTCTTCGCATCGAGGCCAGAGGCAGCTGGTTGGGCGGAGTGCTTGCCAGGAAAGCCGACACGGACGCCAAGTTGTGGACGATGCAGGCCTGAACTTGAACTTGCATCGAGCACACGGAGAAAATCAAGCAGCGATCTTGGGTGTGCAATGGATTAGCCCAAACGAGCTCTGCGGGATCAATCAATCAATCAGTCAATCAGCATGTCTTGGGCGGAGCAGACTGAGATGGCTGAGAAGGACCCCCGATCCACACAGCCTGGGACGAAGAAGCGAACTACAAACTACACGAATCAACCAGCAAGGCCTGGGCTCGGGAGGATCATTTGAGAGAACGAGACGGATTGACGGTGTGAAGCAATGCAGTCAAAGAGAGCAAACATCCAGGCTCGATGAAAGCTTTCGATGAGAATGGCCTCAATCAACTATGTTTCCTAACACGGGGCAGCGCTACTCTTATACCTAGCACGGGGCAGCACTAGTCTTGTCCTCATGCCACTGCAGTCCTCACAGAGACCTGGTCCAAGTCCCTCCCCGTCTCGTCCACCAGCGTCTTTGCATCGGCATCGGCATCGGCATCAGCATTGTCGTCCACGGTCAACTGCGACATACCATCCTTATCGCCAGTCGCCCGAACAGCGTGGAAGAGTTTCTTCAGCAACCCTCGACCCCCTGAATCTCCGTTAGCACACTACAGCCAAGGAAGCAAAAGAAATCCAAGTCATGTCGTCTTGACTGTTGGTGGCTCCTCACCTTTCTCGTGTCCTGCGGAGGAGGATTTCTGCCCAGAGGTACTCGCAATGGACGCCTTCCTCAGCAGCCTTTCGTCCTGTTTCTGCTTCTTCTTGGCGGCCAGATATTCGGCGCGGCGCTGGTTGTATTCCTGCACTTCAGGGTCGGTCTGGGCCGAGTAGGGAGACACGAACATGATTGTGCTCGATGGGGATTGTGTTGTGGAGTATGGGTTCGGAACTGTCTTGCTGGATCAAACCGTCTTGCTGGATCAAACCGTCTTGAAGTGGGTTCAAAGAAACAAAAGAAGAAGATGTTGTTCCAATGGCGCTGGCTGCAGTGGTCGACGGTTCGAAGTGCGGTACGACTCAAGCACGTGTGTTGGAGTCTGGGCTTGAAGCCGAGATTGAAGGCACCCAAGGTATCGACGAGACAGCACAGAGTATTCCAATGTTCGAGACAAGTGACGACAGACCGAACGACGGAAGCTGAGATGGGTGCTGGTGCTGAGGCTGGTGCTGAGGCTGAGGCTGTGCCGGTGAGAGATGCCTACAGTAAGTTGGCTGCGAGACAGTACGCGCACTTGATGTGGATTGTCCTTTCGGTACCTTAGTCAGTGGTCAGGGCACAGGACGGGATATTGTATATCTAGATAGATAGATGGTAGGTACCTTAGCTACTAGGACCTCTATATAAGATGCCGTCCTTTGACCTGACCGACCACCGCCACGGATATGATGACAGTAGCGGAGCGGGTTCCTGATTTCTGGTCCACAAGCAAGCCAGCCATGTCATGTCATGTCGCCTTGACCTTTCCCTTTCGCTTTCCCTTTTCTTCAGTTTGGTTCGTGGTGATGGTGTTAGGCTACAGTAGCCCAGTCCACTCCCGGTGCGGCTGCAATGGCGAGCATCGATCGGCTTGGCTCTGAGAGAGGGGACGGACGATTCGGCGAGCCATGGCCCGCGCCCGGGAAATACATACGTAGTATTCGTGCCTTAGGTAAGTACTACATGTACCCTCCTCCGTATTACTATTAGTACTGTACGGATATAGGTCCCAGAGTACCTAGCTAGGTAATGGTTTCTTCTGGTAAACGGGCTAGAGCCTGGTTGGTTTGGCACCTCATTTGGGTTGAGGATCTTCATAGCTAGCTAGATGATCGTCTCTCCGGGCCGTCTGTCGCCGTGTAGCCCATGGCCGGATGGCACCTCACTTCACATCACCATCGCCATTGCACATGCACATGCACATGCACATGCACATGGGAGAGTGTGGGTGTGGGTGTGGGTGTGGGCGTGAGAGACTAACTAGACCAGACCAGTATAGACCAGTATAGACTAGAATAGAATAGAGACAGCGGTTAAGGTATCGTATCAAGGGGAAGGCGAACTAACAATTGGAAACTGGAAACAGGAAACTGGAGATGGTAAGTGGTAAGTGGTGAGTGGTGAGACTGCTTCTCTGTACCTATCCATTCGTCTAATGCAATCCTAATCCTTCCTACACTCTTCGAGTTGTTGCGTAGATGTAGACTGCATATATGACAAAATCACTTCTGTGATCTTCACCAACATACCATCTCTGCGAAGATTCTCCATATGAGTAAGCTAGAAACCTAGGTAGAAAGGGCCACCTGTAATCGTGGACTGCGGTATTGCTGTCGCTGTCGCCGTCGTGTTCCACCTACATTGGTTTGCCATCAGGTCGGTTCCACTTCCACTTCGGTTTCAGCTTCGGCTTCAGCTTCGGCTTCATCATCATTTGTCGTTATCCTGGCCAATTCCATTCCCATTTCCATTCCCACCTTCATTCGCCTTGCATATCGCATTCATTAGCCTTTCACGCCATCTCAATGTTGTCGCTTCGTTAGGAGCATTCGGGCATGATATTATCGTTCGATTGGGTGTTAGCGCCATCAAGAATCCGGTCTGGGTCTCACGCTGCCGTTTCGCTGTCCAGCACTTACTCAACATCTCTTATGCCTGAGTAAGTGGATGGCTTCCAAATTGAAGACCGAGAAAGTAGTCCCTTCTCAATGGTCAATTCAAAGCCAAAGACAACTCTCCGTCATGGCTTGGTATATGGTATACATAGAAGCCGGGTTGCCAGGCCGCCGTGGCCGGCTTACCTGTTCTTTGCAAACCAGGCCGGAGGGCGGAGAGGGAGGACCACGTCTGTGTGTAAATTGTCGTAGTATATGTAGGATACTCCGTATGCACATGCCGCGTCATAAAGTAGGGTGACTTCATTGCAGGCGGTGACATATCGCTGACATCTTTGCGTGACATGGTCAGGCTGGTCGGAGGAGTAACTTGTGCCCTTGCAAACACGATCGTGATCGAGGATGGGTTGCGCCCATGTACGACTTTCAAGTCCGGCAACAAGGCTGACGCAAACCCATAGATGGTACGGTACACGTGCCGAATGGAATCGCGCCAATCTTCCGGTTCGCCCCAGGGTGACAGGTCCGTATCAGTGGTATGGTGCTTTGATAGTTCGCGGTGTGCGGCTTGGCTGTTCGGCCTTCACAGTATGTGTTCGAGTTTCGCTCATTCCGGATGACGCATGCCTGGTGAGAACCCTCGCCGTCTCTCAGACAGCCCAGGAGCCAAATAATCCTTCCCATTGTCACGTAGCGCGGCTGAACCACTGCGCGTCGAAATGCGCGTCGCGCTGCCTGCTCTTCGCGGCCCACGTAATTTGCCCTAGTGTCGAACGCCAGTATGTAGACTTATCGCTATCGCCATGCCGCTCTCGTCTCTTGTGTCTCGTCTATCGTGAAGTCAATCCTCAGAATCTTCCCCCCCACTTGAGGGGATCGAACGGCGACTCGGCCAGATCAGGTCGGATTGGGATCAAACCAGCTGAGGTTCATCGCAACAGGCAGTGTCGGCCTCACACGTTGGACGCGATGCCGAGGTTGGCATAATTTCTCGCGCGTACTTGCCGCATGTACAATTCCTGTTCTCGCGACGGTTCGGGGGGGGAGTAGCCTTTTTGGCTCTTATCTCGATTGGTGACCTGATAGAGGGCGGCGGCTGCGGCGACCGCCAGCCCCGCGATCAAGATGCAGATGAGGATGACCAGCCCTTTGGATAGACCCATGGTGAGGGATGACGCGAGGTGCGGTGGCTGCTGTTGCTGTTGCTACTGCTGTAGAGGTCAACTGAGTGGGAGGATGGCGAGCAATGCAGGATGGAGTACAAGAAGTGACAGGCCGTCTGCCCACGGGTATATCACGCACACACTGGCAGGACCTCGCGTCCATCCGCTTCTGACACGGTCGCTGTCCCACTGCGCTGGCAGTGCTGCCCACTGCCCACTGCCCACTGCCTGGGATCCTCGATCCTCGTTCTTCCCATGCGCAACGCGGAAGAGCCGGGTGGGCGCTGGTTGGAGGGCTGACAATAATCCCTCTGGAGTCTGCTGATGTGCCGTTATTTGGCTGTGCGTCGGGTCCGAGTTGCCCAATCTTTGCATAGCCGAAAAACACAGCCAACCAGACGCGTGCTGCCCGCCGTGTGAAGCCTGCCACCGGTCCACTGCGTCGTCAGCCACCACTTTCGATGGCGTCGGAATGTTTCACATTGTGCTACGGATGTCGACTTTCTGGACGACCCGATCCGATCTGTGAGCCTACTCTGGACGCAGCATTCGTACGGAGTACGGATACTCTGCACTTGTATAGCCCACGACGTCGCCGACGACATCGGCACATCGTGGTCAACGTGTTACCAACAACCGCGCAGTCTCGCGCAGTTTCCTCGTCGACCGTGTGTGATTTACATTGTAGTATAGTCCGTAGAAATCTTTCGTTAGGAGCCTCTTCATGGTATGCCACATACTGACAGATTGTAGGCCTTGAGTTCTGCAGCCTTACTACCTACACAGCTGCCTAGTAGTGTGATGGGACTGGTGTATAATAGACCTAATACACCCAGGAGTACGGACTCTGTCGAGAAAGGCGACCATTCCAGGCATCAGGTGTGTTTTCGCATCTCCGCCATGTTTACTCTGTACAGTACTGCGTAGTCTGACCAGTAGTAGTGGCCTAAATGGCTAGCGTAAGGCTGCAAAATGCCGCTAGCAAATTTTTAGATTCTAAAAGATCCCACCGTACTCGTAGGGTTATAATTCAATTCACTAGACTTCCTTTCGCAATCGACCATAGGATCTGGAAAACAGGGCTTCCCGTTCGCTCAGCCATACTTAAGCCAGATGCCGATTAGTTAGTACTGAAGTGGGTGACCATTTGGGAATCCTAATTGTTGATTGTTTTTGCCCTTTTATACAAAAGAAATGTTTTTTTGTCCAACTGATTTTCCTTGAAACTTGCGCTCTCATATAGGTCCCCAGGTATGCTGTAACACACCTAACAGTCTTCAGTTACTACCTATAGTTGTCCTCAGTCGCAACCATCTATTTTGGTTCACCACCTCTGCTTCTCTGAATGCTCACGCCTCAACATTGCCTCGCCGTCTCATTCTGGTGTGAACAACGTCTCTGCGATCTCCTCGATGCCCTTGGGTTGTCTGCCCAACAGCTCGCCGATCAAGGGGTCAATGGTCGCCGTCTCGCCCTGTGCAATTGCGTCGTGCCACCCAGCCCAGCTCTCAATGGCCCAGAACCTGTCCTCCGGTAGGCTCTTCTTTTCGTACTTGTGATATCGTTCCGCCGCCTTTCGCCCCACGATCTCAACCGTGACATTCCGCCCTGTGTATCGTTGCACCAGCTTCGCAATGTCGCGGAGAGTGGTGGTTCGCGGGCCGGTGAGGTTGAGCGTCTGGCCGAGATATCTCTCATAGTGTTGGACAATCTTTGCGGTGGCTTCGCCCAAGTCGTCCCACGACACCCACGCGACCGGTCCGTCGTTGGGGATGACGAAGCGAATCTCGCTCGAATCGCCCTTTTTAAAACTCTGAGACTGGTACCCGGCGTACAGCCACCAGCTCTCCGCGTAGATGCCTTCTCTCACCACCACGTACTGCAGCCCGCTCTGCGTCAGATACTCGATGGTCTGGATGTGCGCCTGCTGCACGCCCGCGACGCTCTCCATTCCCGTCTTGCCGCCAAACATCAGGCTGGTGTAAATCACCGTTTTGATCCCCGCCGCCTTGGCCGCGTCGATGGCCGCTCGATGGTGAAGCCACCGGTCCACGCTGGGCGAGGGGAAAGACACGAGGAACAACGCATCCGCCCCTTTGAACGACGAGGCGAGTGAGTCCGGAGACGTGAAGTCGCCATGACGAATTTCAATACCGGCCTCTCGTGCCGCCGCAGACACTTTGCTGGGGTCGCTGGAGGAGATGATAAGTTTGGAGGGTGGAATGAGTCGCAGGCGGAGAATGGAGTCGATGACCCGAGAACCGAGATGGCCGGTTGTGCCTGTGAGGACGATCATCGCACACAATCAGCCTTTCTAAGTAATCCGGATAGTGTATGGTTCAATATACAGTCAAGAAGACAGCCAGCCTGGTGACGTCGTGTTTTATACTCGAGATGGACATGCTCTGTACGTCTTGCGGCAGTTTCCTGTCACATGCCATTGATTACGAATTACCAATCTTCACACAGCGGGGCCATCAGTTCGAAATATTTGGTCCGAGATCAAATCACAGCGTCTACTCTATACACATTGATTACAGCAGCATCTGCTCATAGTCCCCCAGGCTTTGTTCCCTCCGGGGCCCAATGACTTCCAGGCTCGACGGAACTGCCTAAGCTCAGGCACCTCGGGTCTTCTTTTGACAGTCCCAAAATTTATCCATCACCTTTAGATCGGAGAATGGCACAAGGTAGATTCGTTATCTTGGAATCGGTCTTTGAGAAGTCTCAGGATTCTTATATCCCCGCTTCCGTCAATGTTGCTGGTATTTGGGGATGTCGTCCTCTTTCCTCCAGCGGTACTTGCTACCTGGATGATCGCTCAGGAGCCGTGGAGTGCCAAAGAACTGCTCTCGAGCCGTGGCCCCCTCTTTGTCGACGCCTTGGCGAAAGATTCCTCGCTTCCTAAGCTCTGGTAGCAGAAACTCGATTATATCCTCGAAAGACCCTGGATTCGTGACGTGAGACAGATTGAACCCATCCACGTCAGCTATTTCCACCCATCGTTCAAGCTCATCCGCAACTGTAGTTGGCGATCCGACAATCTTCGCATTCATCCCGCCCACCGATAAATAGTCTGCAATGCGGGCTTTGTTCCACTTGAGATTCTCGCTTCCCGGGACTGTATCCGCCCAGCCATTGACGATGGATTGGACCATTGGCAGCTTGACAAAACGGAAGTCTTCATCATCAGAGTATGTAGAAAGATCCAATCCAGTCCAGCCGCCGAAGAGCGCCAGCGCGCCATCCCGGTCGCCGTACGAAAGAAGCTCCTGATATTTCGCTTTGGCTGCCTCATCCGTCTCGGCCACGATGACGCACATACTTGCGACAACTTTGACATGGTAAGGGTCACGACCGGCCTCCTTTGCCAGTTGTCGAATGGCATCGACGGAAGGGCGAAGCTTCTCGGGTAGTTGGCCTCCTGCAAAAATTACTTCGGCGTGCTTCGCCCCAAATTGCCGACCGGTCTTGGAGGTTCCAGCCTGGAAAAGAAACGGCGTGCGTTGTGGAGATGGTTCACAGATATGAGGGCCCGGCACGTCGAAGTGTGTGCCTTTGTGGTTGATCGGTCGCACACGCTCGGGGACTGCGTATACGCCAGTCTCCCGGTCCTCGACCACCGCATCGTCGCGCCAACTCGCCTCCCAAAGCTTGTAGAGGACCTCCATATACTCATCGGCCAACTCATAGCGAGCATCGTGTTCGACCTGCTGGGAGAGACCAAAGTTCCGAGCGGCGCTGTCAAGGTAGGAGGTGACAATATTCCATGCAACGCGACCACTGCTAAGATGATCGACCGTGGAAAACCGCCGGGCTAGTGAGTAGGGCTGCTCGTAGGTGGTACTTGCCGTGATGCCAAAGACGAGGTTTTTGGTCACCGCGGCCATGGCAGGAACCAAGTATAACGGGTCATTGACAGGGAATTGGGCACCCGCGCGCAGTGCTGGCCCCGTGTTGCCCGGGCCTTTGTAGACTGGTGCTTCGTCAGTAATGGTAGTGACGGGATGTGCAGCCTAAGATCCCGTATGTCCCAGACTATTATGCGCCGACAGAGCGAGGCCGCAGACTTCGGAACCTACCATCGTAGCAGCCGAGGACGTCGGCGAGGAAGAGAGCATGGAAGCCTGCCTTGTCCAGCAGCTGTGCCAGATCTGTCCAGAACTCGAGCCTCTTGTAGTTGTTTGTCTTGTTACGAGGATGCCGCCACAGTCCTGGAGACAGATGGCCAGGCGTGTTCATAGCAAAGGCGTTGAGGATGAGCTGCTTCTTCTTCTGCTTCGTCGAGTTCGCAGCCAAGCCGTTGGCCTTGGCATCTTGCAACGACGACGAAGACTCGGACAGCGAGCCCATCTTGCTTGCACCTACGCTGGAGGTCTTGATGGCTCTACGGCAGAACTACCGCTGCCTTGTGTCGATACAGACGAGGTCTCCTGCGCAGATACTCTCTCTGTACGGACACAGCATCTGGGCCAAGTTCTCACGGTGGGCAACGCGCTTTTGACTTGCTGATGTCCCGACTATTCATCGCGTTTATCACGCCATTGCCTCCAAAGAGCACGCCATGAACCCGGCATCGCTCTGCCAGTGCCTCGGAACCAGGCCCAGGCTACCTCACCTGCATCATAGCACGAAGACCCTGCACCGAGTACGGAGTACTAGTCCTCGACTTTCCGCACCCCCTTGAACCACTTCCCCACGTGGGCCAGAGCATGCGCGACTCTGGTATGCCAAAAAAATAGGAGAACGCGAAAGGCGAATTATGATGATGAGTATAACCTATCCCACTCCCGCCTTTGAAAGATCCACCATATCAGCAAGGCCTCTGATGCAATCTCGACGGTTGAGCACACCATAGATAAGGCTCCAAAAAAGGCCCGGCTTACATAGCGGGCCTCATTGTACACAAAACGGATACTCGGGCGCAAAAGACGGCTTTGGCCTCCCGTCATTACAAATCCTCCATACTCGAGACGACTGGACTGGCACCTAACTGAGAGCACGAGATCGCTGCTCGGTATTAGGTATTCTCCTTCGTTGGTAGTCCAAGGCACATTTTTGAGTTGGGGGTTTGAATACCCTCCCCAGCATCTTTCAATTAAAATCTTCTTTGAGCCTGCCTGATATTGACCGCCTTCCATAGAAGCCATGGGTTTGCTGCACATGTTCAGTTTTCTAGGCACCTCGACTGCTTCCAAGCAAATTGCGGTTTCGGTTGTCTGCCAGGATCCGGAAAAGGTACCAGCCCGGCCGCCACAGGTTGCCCCTCACCAACGCGTCCTGTTGCTTCGTGGCCCAAAGCAACCGTATGTGGAAGTCTCAGATCATCCGACACCCTCACTCGATGGGAACCGTGAATTCCTGGTTCGGAACCTTGTGATTGGCTTGAATCCTATTGATTGGAAGGCACCGTAAGTATCACCCACCTTGTACTGTTGAAAGACGTTGACCTAACATGCCCTCCTTGGCCCCTCAGAGATTTTAACTTTGGCATCCCCGAACTGCCCTATATATCAGGTCGGGAGCTGGTAGGAGAAGTCGCCATCAGCCCCAAACGAAGGTCTCGCTTCAGGCCTGGTGATAAGGTCATTGTCATCTCGACAGATTACAGAGATCTCCGCAAAGCTGCTTACCAACAATATGTTGTCGCTACAGACTTCAACGCGGCGCGCCTGCCCCCCAGCCTGGCCCCGGAAGCTGGATCAGCCTTGGGTGTGGCTTTCGTAGCGGCCGCTCTTTGTCTGGGAATTTGCGCAGGACTCGACTTCTCCAGTATTGCGAATGGCCCCAATCTTCTTTCCATAGTGAGACAAATTGACCCTGCACGCTTGGCACCGGACGTTAGAGACGAATGTCTACACGGAATCGACGAGGAGTCTCGGGCCAAGAAAGGCGACTGGCTTGCCATCTGGGGAGGCTCCTCCACAAGCGCTTTCATGTTGAATCAGATAGCCCGACTCGCCGGCCTGAGGACTATCAGCGTTGTCGACGTACGGAAACATGCCGTCAAACTGTCGACCAACGACATCACCAGACCAGATATTGTGGTAGACAACCATGATCCTCAACGTGCCATTGATATTGTCAGATCGGCCACGGCCAAGCGACTTCGGTTTGGCGTCGACACCGTGGGGCGTGACACAGCAGGACATCTGTTAGAATGTCTACAGCAGCATTATGCGAACGAGAGCGACCCAGAACCAACAACACCTTCGACACCGTCATCTGCGCATCTCATAGGTCTGACAGGCCTCCCCAAAAGCTCGCCCCCCGCCAACCTCACTTTCCACAACGTACCATTCAAATTGTTTCACGAAATCCCGGAGTTGGGCGAAACCCTGATGCTATGGTTAGAGCGATTACTGTCGACCGGACTTCTGGTCCCGCCTAAGATCCTGGGTGTGGAGGAAGGCTTTGGCGCAGTGAATCAGGCATTGGACCGCATGAGAAGAGGTGAAGTGAGTGGTGGAAGGCTGGTTGTCCGTCTCCCCTGAGAATTTACTAGACTCGTTTAGAACTTTGTCGCATTCGGCGCGGTGATTTGGGAAGTTTAGAATAGCAAAAGATAGACCATCTCGAACAATTGAGCATGACAACAGCATTACCTGCCTACCAGGCAGCTACATGGTACGTTAGGTACCTATACTCCGTACTCGGTATCCCAGCACGTCACGGGCGAGCCTTGTCACGCATCCGACACGTGACCGTCAGGAACTTTCCCAGTGTCAAGCGCAGTGAGCCTGCCTACCTACCACCTTCCACCTACTTACCTACCTACCAACCTAGATCAGGTACCCATGAGAAGCCTGAGAAGCCAACTTTATCGTGGCTGAATTACAAAGTCTGTCTCCCTCCCCTTCTTCATACCTATATACCTAAAATCTAGGTACGAGAAGTCTATCCCTCGGGAGATGCTTGCTCCTTGCTCCACCGGCGGCGCCTGAATCCGTCCGCGCAAATGTCGAGCTTGTGATTTTTGTTTCTCATGGCACACTGGCAAGTCAAGTTTACATTGCTGCAAAAACAGTCAAGGTACTAGTACTCCCTACTGCCCAGCATCCCAACCTCTCGGTTACCAACTCGGAAGCGAGGGCCATCATCGGCACGATACCGACAAAAGAAAAGGCAACAAGATCTCGCCTGGTATTATACTGAGCAGGGACTCCGGCTAGACAACAATCAAACGATAACCAGGCCCTGCTTACCCCACACTCAGGCCCTATATGCTCTGTAATACTATGGCGACATCAAACCGGTGGACCATTTATACCAAGTCGGTATATGTTGGTGTAATTACCAGTTTCCATGGTCATTTAAACCCCGTCTAAGATCTCCACAGTCCGTTCCGCGCAGCGAGCACGCCATCTCAACAGATGGGTTGAGATGCCCTATCAATTGGACCTTGTTTACCGATACCAATATACTGATGTCTGATTTTGCCAAACCTACGAGCCGGCGATTTCCCGGCGGCGAAATGCGGAGTATCTTTGAAAAGATGTGAACAGCCAGGGCTCATGCACAAGACCCGTTGCCCATGATGAGGGACAGTTGTATATATATGTCCAAGAGGATCGACCGCCCTAGACCGCACATTTCCATACCGAGGAGACCGACTTTCTGAATTTTGAGGGCATTCGGAATCTGATCTAAAACAGTCGGAGTGTTGTCCCCAACACTTGTCTTGTTCATCCCATCTTGAGCATTCGACACCCCTGACTCTGTCATGGCCACCAACCCAAACCAAGAGTCGAAAGCCGAGGAGGGCGGGATCAAGCATGAACATACAGCAGCGCGATCTTCATCATCTTCGCTGCCCGACCGAGAGGCTTTCCTTTCGTCCTTTACCGCCGAAGAGGATCGGAAGATCATGCGCAAAGTCGACAAGCGATTTCTGCTACTTATCGGGCTGATGTACATCCTCAAAAACATCGACTATATCAATGCGGCGACCGTCAAGGTCTTGCAAGTCGGGCAGCCGCGCAATATCTTGAAGGAGCTGAACATGACGGCGGATGAGTACAATTGGGTCCAGTCCATTTACTTTGTGAGTTGAACTTGTGGGGATGCCGCCCGCCCGCTGTATCGGACACTAACTGCCGATCTAGATCTCGTATATTGTGTTCGAGGTTCCTTCCAACCTCCTGCTCAAGAAGATGACTCCTCGAAACTGGCAGTCCCGAATCATCGGCTCCTGGGGCCTGGTAGGTTCCCGGAGTACCCCCGCCTCAACGTCGCATATCACTGATTGTCTCACACAGGTGCTTGCTTGCCACGCCGCCGTGCGTAACAAGCAGGGTCTTTATGCTTGTCGGTTCTTTCTTGGAATGATGGAGGCAGGATTGTTCCCTGGACTAGCTGCGCAGCTGTTATCCTGGTGAGACTTTGCTTTGGCCATTGCCACTGGCTTCAAACTAACCGATTGTCCAGGTACCGAAGTGATGAAATGGGGAAGCCGATCATGTGGATGTTTGGCTTTCAAAACTGCGCCGGTATCGTCGGTTCTCTGATCGCATATGGAATATCGTACATGAACGGCATGTGCGGTCTCAGTGCATGGCAGTGGTGAGCTGATCTCTACGTGACATTTTTCACACGACTTCGCTTCCGTGTGGGCTCCACCAGAACTGACTTCAACAACAGGGTCTATTTGCTCGAAGGCATATACACGATTCTGTTCGCCGGCGTCGTCTATTTGGTCCTCCCCGACTATCCCAAATCGAAACGCTCGGCCAAGTGGCTCACACCGCGAGAACAAGAATACCTCGAACTTCGACTTACGGACAACGCCCCGCGTACCGACGAGCCGGCCTTCAACAAGGCCGAAGTGCTGGCATCTCTGAAAGACCCTCGAACTTATGCCTTCTGCCTGTCCCAAATTCTCATGAACCTCGGCGGATATGGCTTACAGTGGCAGCTCCCAACCGTTACTACCAACCTTGGCTTCGCCGGTCTGCCCCGAAACCAGCTGCTCAACATTCCTCCATCGGCTGCAAGTGTCCTAGCCATCATCTTCGCTGGCTGGTTTCTCAAGAAGGCCTGGCTGACGCGACCGGAGTTCATCATGTTTCTCTGCGCCGGGGCTTTTGCCTTCTTCCTTGTGCTCTGCGTTAACGACGTCAGCCGTACCGCAACGTACATTGCCTGCATTTTCGGCACCATGTTCTACTCCGTATATTTCATTCCTTTCTGGGCTTGTAAGTGGGCCAAGGGCTGCTCCAATGTTGCGGTGAGGTGGAGCATTTTGGCTAACATCTGACTAGGGCGATCTGCAAGTCTCAAGGGCGCAACAGGCGCAGCATTCACGTTGGCCTTCCAGTCTTGCATTGGCCAAGTTGGAGGCGTCGTTGGACCGCAACTGTTCCAATCCAAGTACGCACACAACGGCTACAAGGTCTCCTTCGCCATTTGCGCTGCCGCCATCGGCGCCAGCTGGCTCGCTAACTGCTGGACTTGGTATTTGACCCGGAAGAATGAGAATGACATCCAGAGGGTCAGGAAGCTGAGAATCCAGGCCAACAAGGAGGGCAGAGTCTGGTCAGGAGAGGACGTCAAGTTGTAATCGCGGGAAAAGTATAAATGTTCCTCTGCTGGAAGTGAAAGGAACAGAAATAGTAGCTGGGAACAAGAAAGATCACCTGATCTAGGGTTTTGGGGGGCAAAAAAGCTTAATAGAGGTATAAAAAAGTCTCTTGAAATAGAGAAGGCGGATGAGAGGGTCGCTAGAGGATGGATAGGGGGGTGTGTGCAGCCTCTCGAGGGAAAAGTTATGGATATCTTTCACGTCTTCCAGTCCATGGTCCACAATCTTGCGAACACCTTCGCGAGAAGGATAGGACTGAGGGATAGAGAGGGCCCGCATCCTCGGTTCTACGTCGATTGTTTAGGAACTGGCAGTGTCTGAGAGTAGTCAGAGTACTCCGTAGTGAGTGTAGAGTTCAGTTCTCCATAATATAGAAAGGGGCGGAGAGGGGGAGGGATGAGTCAGCCAGATAGGTTCTCGGGGACAGTCCACGTGACATCGATTCTCAGCCTTTGCCAAGAAATCACTCTACGCGTGCCCGTGTCTGCAGTCGTGACGCGCCTGCGCCTGCGAACATTACGAGATTGGGGGTCTCGAACAGAAAACGAGTTCCATTCTCTGAGCCCTGATTCTGCAACGCTCGATCCAGACATCGTCACAATGTCAGGACAGCCGGAATCCTCATCAGCGGCAGCGCGCAAAGCTCTCAATGCCAATGCGAATGGCGTGACGCCCGATTACGAGTTGCCTTGGTACTTTCTCAACCCCAGTTCCAGAGTTGTACACGACCACGGGCCAGACGGCTGATGTGTGACAGGGTGGAAAAGTACCGACCCGTCTATCTCGACGACGTTGTGGGAAATTCAGAAACGATTGAACGACTTAAGATCATTGCAAAAGATGGAAACATGCCTCATGTCATTATTTCTGGCATGCCGGGAATCGGCAAAACCACCTCCGTTCTCTGCCTGGCACGAACTCTACTAGGCGACGCGTACAAAGAAGCGGTTCTAGAGCTGAATGCGAGTGACGAAAGAGGCATCGACGTGGTGCGGAATCGGATCAAAGGGTTTGCGCAGAAGAAGGTGACGCTACCTCCGGGACGGCACAAATTGGTAATACTAGATGAAGCAGACAGGTACATCATCCAACAGTGGTGAAGACGAGAAGCGGACGCGAGACTAACGAGGGAATTTCTTCCAGCATGACCTCTGGCGCCCAACAGGCCTTGAGGAGAACGATGGAGATATATTCCACTACGACTCGGTTTGCCTTTGCTTGCAACCAATCCAACAAGATCATTGAGCCGCTTCAGTCGAGATGCGCCATCCTTCGATATTCGCGGCTGACGGACGCGCAAGTGGTGCAGCGGCTGATGCAGATTATCGAGGCGGAGAAGGTCGAATACTCCGAGGATGGATTGGCTGCGCTGGTGTTCAGCGCAGAGGGAGATATGCGACAGGCCATTAACAACTTGCAGAGTACGTGGGCAGGCTTCGGATTCGTCAGTGGCGACAACGTGTTCCGTGTGGTGGACAGTCCGCACCCAGTCAAAGTCCAAGCAATGATCAAGGCATGCTGGGAGGGCAAGATCGACAGCGCAGTCGACACGCTGAAGGAATTGTGGTAAGTCGCACCCCTCTCAATACAATGGGACGCGTCAGTCACTGATACTCTGGGCCTCGTACAAAGGGATCTGGGCTACTCGTCACACGACATCATAAGCACTATGTTCCGGGTGACCAAGACGATCCCGACGCTTTCGGAACACTCGAAACTCGAATTCGTCAAGGAGATTGGCTTTACCCACATGCGCATCCTCGAGGGAGTGCAATCGTTCCTGCAACTCAGCGGCTGTTTGGCGAAATTATGCAAGATCAACATGAGGCCCGAGGTGTTTGAACCACCAGCGTGAAACGAGAATCTCCTTGTTGTCAGCAGTGTGAGGGGTGTGGAACGGCCGGCTCACTGCCAAAAAGACCTCATTAGGGCTGCAGGGGGCTATTTGCTTGCTGCTTGGCAGGTATGCCCAGCTGACTCTGTACTCCGTACAGAGTATAGCCCCTGAGTCCCTAAGCCCCGGAACCAGAGGGCGCAAGCTGGACGAGCATCCAGGGAGTGTGCAATGTGCATACATCCCATCTGTCCGCCTCAGCACTTACTCCAGATTCTGCCGAATGCACCAAGCTATCGCCGCAGCCATGCTAGTGAGGAGCATGCCACCTCGCTACTTTCACCAGCTTGGAATGATATATGGCTTCTGCTTCAGTCTTGCTGGTCGCTGCAAGTTTGTACAGTACCGCCCATCAACCTCCATGGGCTATAATTTTACTGCCGGCAGTCTTTGAATACTGTTACAACCGTTTTACAGGTAGTGATGGCCTCCTTCGACTTGTCCTGTGCCACCTCTTTCCCTCGAGTCAAAGTATTCCAGTCCCGACGTTCTCGAATCCAGTGCCAGTGCTCCTGATACTGGCGCAGCGCTTGACTGATCAACTTTTGAGGCGGCTGGCGTACTGTTGCTTAGGCTGACTACGAGACAAAAGACGGTGTCTACATCAACCGTGGATGTAGAATACATTGCAGAGGCAGAGGCTACAAAGGAAGCCGTGCGGATTCGCAACTTTATTAACGATCTTACCATTATCCCATACTCATAACTCGGTACAAGCACCTACCAAGGATATCTTTATGCAGACGAGTGGAATAGGAGACTCTATTAGTAGAGAGGCCGCGATTCTCTTCCAACATGTACTCCGTACCGCGGAAGCCCAACCGCTTCTCTCCTTGTGCTTATTAGGCCTACCACTCCCACTTAGGTGCCACTGCCACTGGCACAGCTGGCCTCCAGATTCCTGTTCTGGCAGGTCGGTGCTCAGCCGCCGAGGGGCCGACCTGAGGCACTGGCATCTCCGACTGCCCGACAGATCTAACGTCACTATCCACACTGTGGACACTGTGGACACTGGACACCATCTTGTTCTGGGTCCACGGGTCCTGGCGGCCAGTATCAGACCCCAAACTGGTGGGATGGCACTCGATTCCTGCAATTTATCGTTGTAGGGCTGTCATGGTCGTGCCACGATCGTGGGCGGCGGTGTTTTGGCTGGCACTTCTGCGTGCAGCCTGAGGCGGGGATCAACCTCAACCGGACATGATCAAAAGAGGGAGGATGTGTATCCGTACCTAGAGGGATCAGCATTCCGCACCACTCCCTAGAGATTGGCAGCAGCCACGAGGGCATGAGAGACCAGATCAAGTGGCTGTGTAACACAAGGCAACCTGTTCAACGAGGAGGTTGAGCTCCAGCCCACCAAGAAGGAATGGATTTCAGGTCACCTGCTATGATTCCACCAGCCGCTCCGTATGTCAGGTAATTGATAGGCACGGAAAGGATGGTAGACGGAGTTCTTCGTATAGCGGACGAGCACTCGACAGGATTTGAGGCTGGCGCTGGGGCGATTCCCCAGGTTCGAACTTGGACGTTCCTCAAATAGCTACGAATCAGGGGATGTGAAGGACTGACCAGGCCCATTTAAAGCCCGAAAGGGGGGCATGATTGGAGTGGCAGTTGGCCTGTCGGACAGTAGGGTCCAGGTTTAGGGATGCCCAGGGGCGTCAGCCCAACCAAAACAGGGCCTAACGAGCCTAAGGAGCCCGGCCTCATCAGCCTCAGATCCCGGCCTAAGGGGCCCTGGCCCCAAGTGATCCCTGAGTGATCCCTAAGTGATTACCAGCCCATCTCTCTCGAGTCTCTGCCTCTCTGCCTCTCACTCCCCAGCCTAAGCCTGCCACCTGCGGCCTGCCACCCAGCAAAAAGTCCGCGGCTCGCTTTCCTGCAGGGCATGACGCGTCGCCCCTCCGACGCTCCGGCCCTGGCACTAAGTGGCAAGTATCAGTCGATCCTCTGCCACCGCTCCAGCTCCAGCCTAACAAAAAACAACGGTTCCTACTAACTGCGGACTCCCAAGCAACCCGCTCCAGCCCTCTGGCAAGGCTGTGCACTGCAATCTGACACCAAGCATGAGCCTGTGGCTTGCCTGATCCCTGGCAACTGCTGTGGAGACCTGGATCGCTACTGCTAGTCGGATGTGCCTATATCTTTCCATTGCTGCCCCCTCTGTTGGCTCATGCTCCTGCTGCTTGCTCCAGCTCCCACAACCTGCCACCAAAAGTCCCCTCTTATCTGTATCCTCTAGACTCTGAAGACTCTACCCGAGGAGCATCCCTGGGTGAAGCGACCGACATACAACACACACCCCGAAACGTTCGCTGACACGTCATCGACGACACGTCCGTCGGGATGAAGTCCTTCACATCAGTTCTGCCGTTGGCGGCAGCTCTCTTCACCACATCCGCACTCGCATGGCTCCCATCGTGCACGGTACGTCGGATAAGTAGATTCTCTGAAGCCTTAGGTACATTTGCTAATTCAACTCCTAGTGGTCTGACTGCGTGGGAAGCTGGGATGGCTCCTCCTGCACCGCCAGCAACGGCTGGGACTGCCTGTGCTCGAATCAAACTGCAATCTCTCAACTGAACACCTGTGTTGCGACGTCCTGCACCAATACCACAGACCAGGAGGGTAAGAGAGAACCATAGTTCCCCCATAACAAGACGGGAATGTCAATCTAACGTGTGAGTTAGCCATTTACGGCGCCGTCGCTCAGCTCTGCGCCAATGCTGGTGTCACCGTCACAAACTCTCAACAAGCTACCTTCAGTGCTACCTCTGGCGGTTCAGCCTGGCCATCCCAAATTACTGCCGGTCCTAGCTGGGGTCCTGGTGGCAACTGGAATTCTGCGCAGTGGTCGAGCTGGATTTCGGCGTGCTCAACTGGCCTGCCCTCTGCTCCCTCCGGCTGGGGTGGTAATGGTGCATGGGGTGGCCCGGGCGGGTGGGGAGGTCATGGTGGTCCCGGTGGTCCCGGGGGTAGTGGTTGGGGACCATGGGGCACAAAGGCTAGCGGCATCAACTGCGATGCATGGACTACCTGGACGGCAGGCTGGGGTCCTTTCTCTTCCTGGACAGGTACCTGGTCCGGCTGCAGCACGACAACCGCCACTCCTGTCCCTGCAACCATCACCACCACCGTCACCACTGGGGGCTCGACACAAGTCATTACCGGCACGACTTTCGGCATCCAGGCTCTCGCTGCTGCGACCACCGGCTCCAGCTCTGACAATGCCGCTCCGTCACTCCGCGGTGTCGGCACTTGCGGTGCCCTTGCCGCAGCCATCTTGGCCACCATGCTCGCATTGTAGACGGCTAGCGTGGAGCCGGGGATGGCGGAGCATGCTTCGGCCCTGAACTTTTTGGATACCGCAGCATTGGGTTACGAGGTTGATGACTACCTAACTATTGTTATGATGGCTTGTATTGCTACTCGCATAGTCTTTCCCTGAATTACGCAAGAGACATTGATGCTCAAAATTCGTTGTCTGAGAAAATGGGCCGTCTTTCCTCTTTCTTCTCGTTTTGACTCCCACCTGACAATGCTTGTTGTCTGACACCGAGCAAAAGTGTTTCAATGGTGGGTGGTTTCTCTCGCAGGTGAGGAAATCGGCTGTCAGACGCACGGGGATTTCCCAGGGTAGACGAGTTGGAGTTGGGGAATCATCTGTAGCCAGGTCAGATAGATGAACGGTCGGGGAAGAGTGGTGAATGTTGCATCTCGAGGAGCATCGAGAAGCACCTCAGATGCAGTGATTCATCAACGACACGCGTCCGCCCTCCGTCACTGACGAGTCTGCGCAGGCGGCAGGAATCGACTACTAGTATTGGACACAACTGGATTTGGAATTGGATGCTGCCTGCGGTCACCTGCCAACAACCATTCACCCTCGACGATGGTAGTAACCCTACTCCGTACTCCGTGCTCTGCCTCAATTCAGTTTGGAATCAGAATCCTCTTTCATCCCAATACTCATACTGCTAAGGAGTACTCTGCTTCCTCAAATCTTGGCTAGGAGCGACCTAGTCATTCCATCGTGGCATCATGGCGCGGTATTTCGGACTCCGCCTCACCTCGATCCTGTGCTGGGTTGGGCTGGTCCTGGCCACCTTGTCGTTGGCCCGAGACGATCAAGACGATGTAGATCAGTGTGCTGTACGTGATATCCGAGTCGGATCGTCCCCCTTCTCTCACATGGGCTGAACCGCTAACCGCTCACCCCTCTCTCTACCATTGCAGCTCGGGTGCATTGCCAATGTCAACGGCACAAACTGCACACAAAGGTACGTAAACGAAACCGCTGCACTATTATCGCGATCGCTATTCCGTGGAGATAACGTGGACCAACACTCAACAGTCAGTGGCCATGCCTCTGTGCCCATGACACATGGATCGAGCGCATGAACAACTGCACACTGTCGTCTTGCAATGCTACGGACCAACTAGGTACGTCTCTCCCCCAGGGCAGTCTGACTACAGACTCCAGGAAAGTTCGTACTCATCCTTCTCAGATACTTGGTCGGCCGTAGCCGAGATCTGTGCCATATTCAACGTTCCTGTAACGATCGGCCCCGAGGCGACCGTCTCGGTCTCGACGACAAACCCTCTATTGACCACCGTGGCAATCCCCACACAATCGAGTTTGCCTCCGATCAGCACGACATCAGCTTCGAATCACGCTGCAAGGTCGACATGGAACAGTGATGCGAGCGGCTCGAAGACTTCAAGCAGTGTTTCTCAGAGCCCAATGAGTGCCCAATCTTCTTCACAAGGATCGACGGGTAGCACTGTTAGTAGCACAACCGTGTCCACATCGTCGGCGAACAATTCGAATCGGTCCTCGTCAACTCCAAGGATGACATCAACCCTAGCCATGGGTTTGACAAGCATTGCTGTATTTGTGTTGGCGCGGAATAGCGTCTGATCAACGACAAGGAAGCCTCGGTGCTACCGGGTTGAGTTGCTGGGAGACAGAGCCCGGGTTCTAGAAGCGAAATCAATATTAGATACAGAGAGATGGTTCTATCATATGTGGCGAAGCGAGTGGGATGGTTCTCAACAGGCTGATCCACCTGCGAGGCAGCCAATGACCGATTTGACGGGGTAATGAGGCTCAGGATCGACAAGCAGGGGAGGCCTGGCTCCTCAACACAGGACTCCGTACAGAGGAATTATGGCTCAATTGGGCTATTTCGACTGTGGAAGAGCATGACATGAGGAATTGCTGGACCTCTTCTTCCACGGCATCATACTCCCTGCGGAAAGAGGAAACAAAGGGGCGGTGGATGACACGAAGGTCGTACGCATTGCCCGACAAGAAGTGTCAGGGAGCAGCCGTACCAGTCCAGCGTACTCGTAGGCTGATCGGAAAAGCATGCCCGAACATCTTTTCCCCTTTCTCCAAAAGTGAGGCCTGATGGTTCGCCTCTCGCTCGCTGAAGAGTCGATTGATTGGCAGTAAAGCCGATAGGCTCGCCGGGGGGCTTAGGAGGCGCCTGGAAGCAACCTATACGGGCACTAGGCAAGCTCGTTTCGGTAAGAATTGGGCAGAAATTTGTATCTTCCCCGGCGTGGTAGTCCGTAGACTCGCACAAGAGGGGGGGAAGGGAACATCAGGAGTGATTTGCGAGGGTGGATGCAGTCGACAAGGCAATTGAGAAGCCGGACGGGGTGCTGGAATGGTGCGGAAGTGGCTCAAACAAGAAGCCCAGGGGGGAGGGAAGGGAACGGGTTCCGGTCATGGTGATGGTGGCACGAGGAAACGGGAAGAAGGGTACGGAGTGCTGCTACTCTAGTACTCTGGTACTCCTACTAATAGTCGTGGTCAGCCAGAGGACAGCCGCAGGCAGGGTGGGAGCTGGGTCAGAGATACATACATACATACCTGACTCTGTAGAGGCAGTCCTGTATCCTGTGTCCGTATCCATCCAGGCACCATCCGGGCGCCGTCTTCTCTGCCGTTGTTGCAGCGGTGAGAGTGTGGTGTGCCGGTGAGAGGATGCTGCGAACAGAGTTACATGCCATTTCTCACTACTATTATTATCCGTATCCTTGTGGTTGTGGTTGTGGTTGTGGTTGTCCAGCGTGCCCACTGCTAACCCGAGTACGAGTGCCTGCGCCAGTGTCAGTGGCAGCGGGAGGAGGGCGAGGGCTCAGGCTTAGGAGCGCTCCAAACGCTCAGGCTGCGAATCAACCGCCGCAGCTCGTGCACCCGCTACCAACCTCAATTTCCCTGCACCAACTTGAAGGCCAACCCCCATTCCCACATCCATTCCCGATCTTGTTCTCACCACGGAGTCTGTGCCCTTCTCTCGCCGCCATCTTTCATCGCGGGCGCTTGAAAAGCTACCTGTCAGAGATGCATATGCATATCCTCCGCCAGTAGCGTCTCGAGCTGCTACCACTGCCACTGCTGCTGTTGCTGCCGCCGCCGCCAGTGCCCCAGACCCGTCACCGTCACCGTCAGCGTGGTTGACGTTGCCAGGTGCTGACCGGCCGCCTGTCACTTCGCACTCGCCCTTCGACCTGACGCCGCCACACCCGCAGCCGCAGGCCCAGAGGAGATCCTTCCTCGAAGCTTTGCTGGTTCGCCAGAGGACAGTCGTGCCTCCTGACAATCGATCTGCCACGGCGCGTGTCCTGAATCCCATCAACTACGTTCCTCGACCCACCCCCGTTCGAGTGCAGCCTCCATCTCACACTCAACGCCAGATCTCCTCCGACCTGGGCTCCGGCGAAGTCCATACTCTCCTGACTCTACCCCAGCAACGTCGCTCGCGTCAGCCTTCGCCCACCGATCCCATCGTCGAGCACAGTCCTCGCCTGACACCGCAAGCTGGTGATCGGACCAGCATCGGACTCCCGGCCAATCAGCAACGTGGCAATCTTCCCGAATCATCTCGAAACGTCAGACAGATGGTCGATTCAGAGAAAATCGAGTCCAATGGCCTGAAAGAGCCGGAAAGAGCACGCGTCGCGGTCCCGACGTCCAGATATAACACCCGACTATCAACGGTAGAGCCGCAGCAGAGTCCTGCCGTGTTAGGCCAAGGCTACGGGATCAACCCCCTGGATCAGCCGCTCCAACCTCCTCGGCGCATTCATTCCCATCGCTCTCTCCGGCGCGCCCAGTCGGCGGTTTCGGTACACTCTACAGCTTATGGTCGGACAAACTCAGACGCGGCCCACTTGCCCGGCTCGCAAGAAGAAGTTGGTCAAGGCTACGCTGAGGGTGACGATGGCAGTGTCGGAGAAGAACTTGCTTGGGGCCCGTCGCATCCATGTTTCCCACACCTCAATCCTCACGTACCCGTCAACTCGCCAGAATATTCCGCCACCCGGATCATTCGAGTACGAAGAGACTGGATGGTTGCAGGTGACCTCGCCGCGACATTTTCCAACATCTACCCGGAAATCCTCGACCCCTTGATGCAGGAACAAGAGTTTCGCTATCTCGTCGAACACATCAATCAGACTCTGGTCCAAGCCTACAACCCTTTCTCGGCCTGGAATTGGTTGGATGGCTTCATGGGCTTGATCACCGGTTGGTTCTGGGAAGATTTCCGGCCCATGGGGATCAAGGGACAGCTGAGGGGACTGGAGCAGTGGCTGGAGGATTGGAACCATACTGTGGGGGCCAGGGATGGGGTGAAGATCATTCCGCTTCGTCGCACTGGCTACATGAATCTCGACATTCAGATTCCGGATCCACAAGTGAGAGTGGTCGGAGACGATGAAACTTCCTCACGCCCTCCTCCAACGGCACCTCCTGAAGAGGCGAATAGACATGAGAGGCCTCGTCAATAGACCTTCTGGTGCGGATGTACCTGGTTAATCTGTGTTGGGACTTTTCTTTTGTGGTTGGATTTGCTCTACTAGGCTTGGAGGACAGGTCATCTTGTGCGGCTTCAGCATCTGAGCGTTTCAGCACGGCGTTATGTTGGCAGAACCAAGTGGGAAATGGACCTCGCAGACGTGAGATAGGAGCCCAGAACAAATGTATGATAAGGTCGTTTGGTTCTCGGATACCGTGTCTATCTAGCATTACCAGCTGAGAGGGACGAAGAGAGTGTATGGTGGGACGGTGGACGGTGGGACGGTAGAAAAGTCTTCCTCCAGCAAGCTATATCATGTTTTTGACAGTAGAAAAGAGTTGGGTCAAAGAATCCGGACCTTTACCATGTCAGACTTAGGCATTCCAAGCCTTGTTCTTTAGCCAGAAGGCTGGTTTAGCCATACTATACTGCGCTCCCCCCATACCCCTTTAATAGAGGACATGGAACATTTCAACCTTTGACATAGCGACCGTCGAAGGGATCGTGTCTACATGGAAGGATAGAAGAATCACGGGGCGAAGGGGAGAGCATGATATGATTGATCCATACTTTCCCGATCATTTAAAGATGTGTTTCTGAGAGATGTGTTTCTGAGAGATGTGTTTCTGAGAGATGTGTTTCTGAGAGATGTGATTCTGAGAGATGTGTTTCTGAGAGATGTGATTCTGAAAGATGATAAAGATGTGTTTCTGTCATGCCTTATCCGGGTTTGCGCTGTCTCTCTCTCTCCCCTCTCTCTCGTCCCCTCTCTCGGTGTGTCGTCCGCCGTCAAATCGGAAAGGCCGAGAACGAGAAAAGAGATCAGCCTCGTTCGTCACGAGTCACGCCAGCAAGGAGAGACAGGACGCGGGCGAGGACGCGGACGCGGACGCGAGGAACTCGGTACTATCGTTCGATTCTGGGGAAATATTGGCCAACGGGGACGAAGGTGAAGGTGAAGGTCGAAGGTCGAAGGTCGAATGTCGATTACGACATATCCCAGGGATCTACAGGGATCTAGTTCAGATAGTATATTAGTGTGTCATGTGTATCTATATATGATTAGGTAGCTTTCCTTCCCCTTCCCTCGATATAGAACACGACAAGACACGACAAGACACGACACGACACGACACGACACGACACGACACGACACGACACGACACGACACGACAAGACACGACACGACACGACAAGACACGACAAGACACGTAGGCAGGCAGGCAGGCAGGCAGGTATAGTACTTGTTGCACTTACAGTACTTACTATAAGGTATCTATAGGTAGGTAACCAAGTTCTCCGTACTGTATACCTAGTTAGTACCCCTTACCTTACAAGTGGTGGATCAAGGCGCCCAACGTAACGAACCGTACAGATAAATACAACGATGAGACAAGATGAGAGGAGAGGAGAGCAATGAATCCTATATATATATAAGGCTGTATTATATATCCACATCCATATCCATACCTATATTCATATCCAACCTAGGTAGGTAGGTAGGTAATCCATATCGACTATTTGTACCCGTACCCTTACCCGTAATTGCCTAAGATACATGTACGATAGATAGGGAAGTCAGACTACGTAGTCATACCTAAGGAAGGTAGGTGGTAGGTAGGTAGATACCTATCTCTAACAGTCTTTGAGATCCTTGGTTCCATTTCCAGTTCTATTTCTAGTTCTAGTTCCATTTCTGGTTTCAGTCTTGGTTTCTAGTTTCAGTTTCAGCTCCCGTTTCAGTCCTCGAGAAAGGAGAAAGGATAAAGGAGAAAAGACCTCGGTTATCCCGATCGATTCATCTCAATCGACCAAATATAGAAACTTCTGGCTTGTCTCTTGTCTTGGGAGTGGTTTGGGGGGAGGGTCAAACAATAGAGAACTGAATAGATGGTCCTGGTAGTGGTAGTGAGTGGTAGTGAGTGGTATTTGTACAGTACTACACATGGACATTGTAGACTATAGACTAGACATGGACAGCCAAGGCATGCGTACTCCGTAGTCAGACTGGATTGGTGTGGTGTTGAATATCTAAGTTAAGGAGGTACCGACGACAGGCTGAGGTCTGTAATAACTCTGTAACGGATGCGATGCCATCACCCAGACTGGATTGGTGTTGAATAAGTTAAGGAGGTATACGACGATAGGCTGAGGTCTGTAACTCTGTAACGGATGCCATCATTCAGACCTGTATCTGTATCTGTATCCGTACTTGTCTCTAGATGCCAGTCTATGCAGCACAGCACAGCACAGCACAAAACAGCACAGCACAGAACAGAACATATAACAGACCGGAGTGTCATGTCCTGGACTGGACTGAACTGAACCTTCTGAAGACAGGCAATAGACCATAAAGCCTGTAACCCGCCTAGCACCTGGTGCCATCCGCCCGTCACATCAGACCAAGATCCTAAATACCCGAAAGAATAAGAATGGCCAACCAGCCCAGTAGGAGGCAGGCAGCCGTGTGTTGTACAGTGCGTGCCCGATGCCCCTTCTATAACCGCCACGTCCATGAGGATGAGGAACGAATGCACCGAACAGAAGAAAGACCAGACCAGACCAGACCAGACAGAACCTTCAACCCCTTTTTCCTGCCTCCGGCATTTCCAAGCAAGCACATGAACTTTTCGACGCGAGCCAGCGGCGTTCCCACCAGCCCCTGTCCCAGCCCCAGCCCCGGCCTCGAGTAGCGTAATCGTACATCAATCATGCAGCGCAGAAACCTAACGTGTAGTCATACAGCTCATGCATCATGTAAAAGAGACAAAATCGTCAAGCCATAACATAGGAAATGTTGCCGGGGAAAATCAGAAAATCGTAAACCGTCGACCGTCAGCCCAGAAGGTCTATTCCTCAGCTTGTTCGGCCTGGGCTCCGCTCGTGTGAGTCAGAGTCTCGTTGCGCGAAAGAAGATCGAGGCAGACCATGAAGATGTGTGTGATCTGCTCTTCCCAGATGCCCATCTCATAGTCGACAAGCGCATATTGCTCGAGCTGGTCACACAGGTCGACCAAGTCGTCAAGCAAGCTGGTTATGGCATCCGCAGAGAGAAGATCGGTCGGTGGGGTCGCAGTCCTCAAAGCCTCTTCAGTCATGTCTTTTTGTTTCTGGCCAAGTGCCTCCCAAGCCAGATTGAACTCCCTCCATAGTGCAAGGCGATCGGGATGACTGTACTCGTCGTCGTGATGCAGCCCTGCAATGAAGATGAAAAGTCAGTAACCGTGCTTCCACCTTTCTATTGGAGAGACGTACCTAGGGCAGGAACTGAGCCGACTAACCAGCGAGACACTGTCAATAGTTTCTCGCAAGCTTCCGTCACTCTCCCGGCGACGATGTCGTCAAAAGTGGCCCTGAGTCGCCGACGATATTCCCAAAGTCCTTCTTCAAGAGCCGTTTGACCTACAACCTGGCCGCCTGCTTCTGCGCGTTCCGGTCGCGGTAACAGTCCGGAAAGGTTTAGTGATGTCGATGTAGATGCGTAACTTTGGCCCATAGGCCCACGCGCCACCGCCACAGGGGTGTAACTGCTCTGTTCCGCCTGGGATGCCAAGTAGTGCGAAGGCCCCGATCCGACTGCGACTCCTGTCTGCTCGCCTGGAGGCATGTATTGTGGGACCGCAAACTGACTCGCCATCACCTCAATTGCGGTTTGCCGCTGCTGAAACGGAATGTTGTCATAGAGAGACGGCGGTGCAGCCGGAGGAAGCATTGCCCCAGGCGCGTACGGTCCATATGGCTGTTGTTGCTGGTGCGATGGACTCGCTTGCACCTGTTGCTGTCTGGAGGGGTCTTGTAAGTAGGTGGCGGGTGAATACTGCATTTCAATTCCCTGCATTGGACTACTGCCCTGCATCTGCGAGCTGCCATACGGTTGCTGCCCGTAACCATACCCAGGATAGCCAGGGAGATAGGGTCGGGTTATCGGAGACCTGCCCATCTCGCTCCTAGCAGGTGTTGACGGCAGGGGAAACCGGTCACTTGCGGACGCCCCGATGGGCTGTCCTGGCAGAGGCCGCGACTGCGCTGGCGTCTGGTATGGCTGTCCATACTGCGAGCGCCGACGGTCACCGCCGTCCATTTAAGGAAAGCTGCTCTCGTCCGTCGACGCCAGACTGACGAGAACGACGAACCTGGGCCCCAAACAGAGTGTGTTTTGGTATGATTGGCTCCGGAAAACCGGCCGCCTGTTTGTGCTCCGATACCTCTCCTTCGTCTCTTGTCCAGCTTTGTTCCCGCATACAAGACGTGGAGACGTGGACACGTGGAAAGGAAAAGGTTGAAGTCGGGTCTGCGGGGGAAATCAATGCCGGTCGTGGTCGGACAAGCCTTGTTCCAAGGATGGCGGAATGGAATACGTCGAGAGAGACGGAGCCACCTCTATGGCCGCGGAGGTCCGTCGAATGAGTGAAAGAGTCCGAATGAAGCCCGATGCTGCCACCTTCCCGTGCAGAGTGCAGATCGCAGACTCGTCAGCCCGGCCCAGTGCCTTTGGATGGGATCTTCCAACACGAGACCTCCGAGTCGCAATCGAGGTGGTGAAGCACAACTCGTGGTTGTAGGGGCCCGGCGAGCACGGCGCAAATCCCAACCATCTAGGTCGAGATGTGTCGGGCACTCTTGCGAACAGTGTCCGTCCGTCGCGAACGTGGGAAAGGCCGTCAAAGTACCGTGTGAGATCAAACGGGTTGTCGAAGGAATGGTGTGGTGGATGTGAGGGGAGGGACCGAGTTTAATCGAAGGGCCAGCAAGACACAAATACAAGTAATTGGATGTAAGGACCGCACGAAGAAAAAGAAAGGAGCGTTCGGTGGGCAGAACAGAAGGAGAGAAAGCAGATACCTTGGAATAGTCGAGGGACGTAACGTATACAAAAGGCCTAGAGGTGCAGCTGCGGTGGCAGGCCGAAGTCCACGGCCCCAAAAGACACTTTGGCCAGGGAAAGCTCGATGGGGAATGGCGTTGATGAAGCATCGCAGCAATCAATCATGATAGCCGGTCAGCTGGTTCCTGGTACGTCAACAAAACGACTCCTCCGTGCTCCAGACGCGGGCGAGTAAGGTAATGCTTTCAGCAACGCAAGCACCGTTGTCTAACCGGAGGAAAGGTCTTCTCAAGTGGGCAGCGCCACAGGAGGGACAGTGCCCCGGGGGGGCGAATCCCATGGGCTCCGTTCAGTGGTCAGGCTGCCGGAGATGTTTTGGGCATGAACTGGGACAGTCAATGATCGTTCAGTCCGAGGAAGAGCTTCAGAATCAAGCTGTCACTTGCGCATTGGCGCTGGCCAAGTTGAACTCTGCCGCCTGCCCATGGGTCATGGGTACGGACTATCCGTACTGAGTGATGATTCTAGGACCGTCAACGCGAGCGGAACACGCCTCAAGCGATGGAGGTTCCGTGGTAAAAGCGGGCACAGGGCATGTGAATGGATATGGTCGGCCTCCCAGCATCCCAGCATCCCAGTCAGGTCATTGTTCTGGCACGGTCAGGGCTCTCCAGGGCGCCCTCTTGTGGTCCCTCATCGTCGGCAGCCAGCTGGCTAACCACTGGTCCGACATGGCTTGCATGAGTAGTCTGCTACTGGCAGCATCTGCCGGTGCGCCAGGCGAGCTTTAGAGTGTGGCGCCCTGAACTGCACCGAAGCAAGGGGGAAGAGCCATTTCAATCCTAGGCCAATCTGGCTTCCCCGTCGGAGCTGACCTAGCGCCTGATGCGCCCGGGATCGGCTGTCTCAAACTTCGAACAGTTCGACTGAGGGCTTAGGGGCCCCATTCTCAGTCCAGATCGATCCACCCTCAGCTGGGGTGGTGAAATCATGCACTACTGGCCACAGGCCACGTCCAGTCTCTGGCATATTGAGAGCTGACGTGGATAGAGAGTTCGTTTTAATGCTGTGCCAAATGCGACTTCCATACACTGCAGCGTCCACTCACTGCCGTGCTGGCTCCGTCCGGCGACTAAGACGACAATAGCAGGCGACGTTCACGTCCACGTCCTCGTCCACGTCCTCGTACTCGTCGTGGTTGCGTGACCTTATCATTTTAGTCTTCCCCTCGTGTACCGTCCGACTTTCTGGGGCCGAGCAAGAGCGATGCTCCTGTTTCGCCGAGCAATCTCGCAGGACTCGCAGTGTGGACGCGACCGGCCGGACAGAAGATTTGCTTGGTACTCGTAGGAGAAGACCAGAGGAGAGCGCGCGCAGGGCTGACCAGCAAATCTCGCGTTCCGATCGTCTGTGCGCATCATGAATTTGTTGGAATTTCAATGTCCAGTGTCCACCACTAGCCAAGTCACGTAGCGTCTCCATGTTTTCTCCAGCGCCGATCCGTTGGTGACAGGCTCTCTGCCCTGACTGACGCCTTGAGGCTCTGGCCAGCCGAGCCAGTCGGATGGCAGCGAATTGCACACGATCCAGATTTCCAGAGATCTGGCGAGATGTCAAACTACTCTGGACTCTGTCTAATTAGGTAGCCAAACGGGTGCGCATCAGCATTGTCCGACGCGGCTGCTTCGCGAATCCCATACTTGACCTGTCATATACTGTAATTAGTCGAGTCGCTGACTCTTGTGGTCATGATCGTTCTTGAACATATACCGTAGTCCGTACTCTGGGCTTGCACCTTGCATCGTTGGCCGTGTCCCAGAACTAGTCTCCAAATGCAAAGGACCTCTGCTGCCACTCTCCGGACCCATTTGCCCTTGTCGCGCTCCTTGTAGTCTGGCCTAAGTCTCAAAGTTCCCTTGGTCTCTTAAGCCAATGGGATCTTCGAGACAATCTCGAATACATCGACATTCCCGTGCAACGAGAGTCCAGTGGGAACAAGGAGTCCTGCAGCATTGATTATTTGTTTCACACCTGGTTCCTTAGGACTGTTTAGGCCCGGAGGGTCCCCGCAACCCAGCAACAAGCCTGCAACTTGGGAGGAACTTGCAAGATTGTTATTCCGGCCACAAGTACGGATACGGAGTACCAACGTCCTCGCCAGGCTGATGGCGTGCTTGGATGCTATTGAGAGTTGGGTGATTCTGAAGGCTTGTTGTGGGTTTCCGGTGGCTTTGATTCGCGTTTCAGCTTGGCTGGGTTGAGCCCTTTTCCTCATCGGCCACGGGCGACCGCGGTGTTATGAGACCGACCAGAGACACAGTCCCGAGTCCTGCCCTTGAAGCGAAACTATAAGGGTCGCTTGCAAATATTGACCACCGACACTGCGAGGTCGCGAGCCTTTTTCGGTCCTGGAAGCTGTCACCATAGACCGACTGCATCTCTTCCCACGTCAACTTTTCTTAAGTGCCGTGGTCTATATTAGATCTTGAATCGAGTTCATCGTCCCTTCTCCTGCTCCCAGTATTTTGATATGTCTGCTTTTGCTCCATTACAAGGCTTCGACCGTTATGCAAGCGGACGTGGGAGCTGCAGTACGGATACTGGTTCCACTCAGCGGACAAGGGTGTGTGTGGTATGATGCGCTCCCAATGTAGATATTTTATGCCGTGGCGCAGGCTCGGACTAGGCTCGCCTGCAATGTTTATGATTGCCTGCAAGGGGGTTTGATCTATCCTCTGCACAATCAGTTAGGTTCCCGGGAGTTTACAAGCAGCGCAGACAGGGGAGGCGTTTTCGTTCTGCGTTCTGCGTTCTGCGTGCGTATGTGTATCGCGGCAGCTGTGTTCTCGGTCCATTTGCGGATTGCGTGCCGGTCAAGTATGATGCATCAACAATCCCTCCGGTTGTTGTCAGATCAGAACAGTCAGAATCAAGAGGTGGACGTTCCGGTGGGATAGTATGAGTGACACGACGTGGTCAAGAGGGAACCTGCAGATTAGAGCAGACGTTGGAGGAAGCATTAGGTGGTGCACGTGAGCAGCGTTCACCGCGTACACGTACACGCCGTGCAAAGATAGATTTCTCTCCAGGTGCAGGCTGCTTAAGGAGTGTGCGACACTGCCACAGGGCTGGCAATCCTTGACAACGCCAGACTGTCATGCAGGATTCTCGGCTGGTCTTCCGTGGGCACGCAGACTTTCATCCTCATTCATCTTACAACAGGGACACAAATAACACCGCTGACAACCTTCAAGATTCGAAACATGAACCATCGACAATTCCGTCCCACAGACCGGGCACAGGGGACCAGAGTGTCGTGCTAAGACACGGTACACCGAGATCGGATGTGGGACAGGGCCTGCACTGTATACAAGCAAATTTGATATTGATGTACAGACCAGGAGTACCAACGTTGTACCTCGACCTCTCTCTCTCACCGTTTGACCCAAGCTGGCTTCTTTCGAGCCTTCAGTCGCCCTGGCTTCTTTCGTTCGACACGTCTCATATCCGATGTGACACAGCCGGCTGTATTGACCATCAGTCACTGACAAATTATACAACCAGAACTGGCTTCGCTTACCTCGCCGGAGGGCCGGCTTGAGAGCTGGTTCGTGTACCAGCAGCGCCTTGGCCAGTGCCAATGTGACCGACTCTGCCTGACCGGTAACTCCACCTCCTGATACCAGCGCAAAGACATTGTACTTGTCCATTCTCTCCGTAACTTTTAGCGCCCACAGCGCGCTTTCTCTGTCGTGCACGCGAGGGAACATCTGCACAATACTGCGCCCGTTTACCATGACTTCACCCGTGCCTTCAACAAGGTAAACTTTTGCAGTGGATTCTTTTCTCCGTCCCAGCCCGATAGAACGTCCGTATTCGTCGATCTTGCCTGGCTTGGCTTTCTGAACCTCTTCCGAGCCCGGACGCCGGAACCGATCCAAGACCTGCTTCACCTCCCTGGGTCGAACTCGTGGGTGGATTCGGTTCAGTCGCGTGAGGAGATCCAGGACCTTGGAGTATTTGGAAGCAGCAATCTTCTCGCCGGTCGAACTGCGATACTGACTGAGCTTTAACCACACAGCTCGCGGGGTCTGGTTTGGTGGGGCGGTAGGCAGTGATGCGTGCTTCTTGACGAGAGACTGTAGAAGCAGGACATGGTCGTTGAAGACTGGGGATGCAGTAAAATATGAAGGCGATGATGGGATGATTCGGGCCGGTACGGCATTCGCATCACTGAGATCTATCTCGGGCGCCGCGCGAATCTGAGCATCCACGCGGATTGACTTCGTCGTAGAAAAGTTCTGCTGTGCCACAATTGGAAGCGTTGCATGGCGAGCTTGAGCGGACTGGACGCTGTTCAGGCGACATTGGCGGCACGTCCAGGAGAGGGCAGAGGGCAACGCTCGCACCGCGGACCTTGACATCTTGTGCGTAAAACCTGAAAGAGCCAGTCGACGGTAGTCAGAGAGTCAGCATCTGGCACGAAAAGAGACACAGATGGCGTGGCCCTCTGTGATGGTGATGTTCAAGCTGATGGAGACCTCGAGGGACAAATTCAGAGCTCTCCCCATTATTGGGAGGTTGAGGTCCAACTGCCTGCGCGCCAAGCCTCAGCCTGCGGACTCTGAGTCTGCAAAATATTTGTTCCCGTGTCAAGAAACCTCCAACTTCAGACCAAATTTCATTCCCAACTTCCACGGCTTCGACTAAACTCCTTCAAAATGTCGTTCGGAAAGCTCTACGGCTTCAAGGTGTGTTCTCGTCACGGCTGCGTATTTCCATGGTGCGTAAATCTGACTATTCTCAGGAAAACTCCCGCTCCACCGTTCTTCTGGCGGTCGCAAAGGAGAACAACCTCGACATCGAGCTTGTGGAAACTCGGCCCCCCATTACCGACCAGGAATACCTCAAGTTAAACCCTCTTGGTCGAGTCCCTACCTTTGTAGGCTCCAATGGCTTCATCTTGACAGAATCTATCGCCATTGCCATCTACTGTATGTTTTTTTTGCATCCTGCCCCGCCTTATCATCACCACGTCCAAAGATGAGCCATATTATCACATACAGTTATCCCTGTCTGATTATCTGTGTTGACTACCTTGAATTCTGAGTTCGGTGTTATTAACCATGTCTACCAAACCACGTGTCGTCCAGAACCTTCGCTAATGAGTTGACAGTCACCTCGCAGAATGAGAAGACCACCCTCCTTGGAAAGACCAAGCAGGACTACGCCACTATCGTGCGATGGATGTCCTTCTCCAACTCCGAAATTCTTCCTAACATCGGTGCTTGGTTCCGTCCCTTGACTGGCAGAGATCCATACAACAAGAAGTCGGTCGACGACGCCAAGAAGGCAGCCAATGACGCCATAAACGTCCTGGAGCAATATTTGCTTGTCCATACTTTCCTTGTCGGCGAGCGTATCACACTTGCCGACCTGTTCGTCACTTCTCAGATTGCTCGCGGCTTCACTTATGTCCTTGACAAGGCCTGGCGCTCGGAGCACCCAAACACCACCCGTTGGTTCGAGACTGTCACAGCGCAACCAATCTGGAAGGCCATCATCGAAGAGCCAATCCTCATTGAGGAGGCTGTCAAATACACCCCTCCGAAGAAAGAGCCAAAGGCTGCTGCTCCCAAGGCTGAGAAGAAACCCGCCAAGGAAGAGGAGGAAGAGGAGGAGGCCAAGCCAGAGGTCAAGGCCAAGCACCCACTCGAGGCGCTTCCCAAGCCATCTCTGATCCTTGACGACTGGAAGCGCAAGTACTCGAATGAGGAGACCCGAGAGGTGGCACTTCCGTGGTTCTGGGAACAGTACAAGCCTGAGGAATATTCCCTGTGGAAGATTGACTACAAGTACAATGACGAGTTGACTCAGGTCTTCATGTCCTCCAACCTTGTCGGTATGTAGATCGCTTAACCTCCTTGGCCGGAATCTCGTTTGACTAATCTGCTCACTAGGTGGTTTCTTCGCTCGCCTCGAGGCATCGCGCAAGTACCTCTTCGGCGCCGTGTCGGTGTACGGCACCGCCAACGACTCTGTCATTCAGGGTGCTTTCTTGGTCCGAGGCCAGGAAGCTCTTCCTGCCTTCGATGTCGCCCCCGACTATGAAAGCTATGAATTCACCAAGCTCGACCCCAGCAAGCCCGAGGACAAGACTTTCGTCGAGGACCAGTGGTCATGGGACAAGCCTATTGAGGTCAATGGCAAGAAGTATGACTGGGCTGATGGCAAAGTCTTCAAGTAGAGGACTGCAGATTGCACAGTGATAGCCGTTTCACCGCTGACGCGTCTTTTGGAGAGAAAGACGGGACCCAGATTCCTCCTTTGACGTTATGTGACGACCGTGATGTGATGAGTGGGGATGAGCCGAGAATGAGAAAGATTGCATGGTGGATGATGGTTGTTTTGCCTTGCCTTGCCTTTTGCCACATGCGACGAGCATGCAGAACCATTCGACAATTCGCTTTATGCAGGCTTGTTCCTCGCTAGGTCCATAGAATCGAGGCAAATGATATGCCATAGTCCATGCAACTCCCTTTCGCTCTGCCTCGCCTCCTGTGCATAGAGTAGATTCCTGCAGCCTAGGACCTGACGAGCAATAGCTATCGATATATCCGTGCCGAGCAACAGCAGTCTACGATGAAGACTGCCCTGACAGAGCCAACGGTGAGATATAGGAGCACCACTGCATGGACAAGACTCCATCAGGTCCTTGCAAAGCAGCCACAAGCACTCCCTACCCACGAGTCTGATCCATACCGACTCTTTACACCATGTCTACAGATAATGTATATAGCCTTGTGGGAGAAGGAGGCAAGACTCTACACCATGTCTATAGATAATGTATATAGCCTTGTGGGAGAAGGAGGCAAGACTCTACACCATGTCTATAGACAATGTACATAGCCTTGTTGGAGAAGGAGGCAAGACCAGGAGGTTGAAGGTAGGGCAGGGAGATAAAGGACTGCGCAAGGGAATAGGGCACGAAAGACTTGGGAAGAGATAAAGCTACAGTACTCGTGAAGTCGAAACTGGTCTACGGTTCCTCTTGGCTTCCTTTGATCCATAGGAATGCAAAGTACTGACGCCCTACACCACGAGAAGGTGGGAACCATCGTAGGGCTAACATAAGAAATCCACGTACCTGAAAGATAAGAATGAACGGTATCCGAATGTGTTGGATCAGTAATAGGGATTGGCAGTGGGGAGGGGGGAAAGGTGAAGGATAGGGGAAGGGGGAGGGGAAAGGGGAGGAAGAGGGAAAGATATATTGATAGGGGAAGTCGGCAGGGGATATAGATAAAAAATATCGATAGCGATGTCTATGGGGAAGGGGGCCGTGGAGGTGAGAGATAGTAGAGATCGACGGTAGAGGTTGACGGCAAAGAGAGGTTGACGGCAAAGAGAGGTTGACGGTAGAGCTTGACGGTAAAGGTTGATGGCAAAGGTTGATCGTAAAGAGAGCTTGACGGTAGAGGTCGATAGTAAAGCTTGGTGAGGTCGACGGTAGAGCTTAATGGTAGAGGTCAGTAGTAGAGGTGAATAGTGGAGGTAGACGACGGAGGCCAATGTAGAGGTCGACAGTTAAGCTTGACGATTAAGCTTGACGGTAGAGATAAACGGTAAAGTTGACCTTGACAGTTGAACTAGATAGCAAAGTTGACCTCGACAGTTGAGCTCGACGGTAAAGTTGGCCTTGACAGTTGACCTCGGCGGTAGAGGTAAACTGTAGAGGTCGATAAGCTTGACAGTTGGGCTTGACGGTAGAGGTAAACGGTAAAGGTCGGTAAGCTTGACAGTTGGGCTTGACGGTAGAGGTAAACGGTAAAGTTGACCTTGACAGTTGAACTCGATGGCAAAGTTGACCTCGACAGTTAAGCTCGACGGTAAAGTTGGCCTTGACAGTTGACCTCGGCGGTAGAGGTAAACGGTAAAGGTCAATGAGCTCGACGGTAGAGTTCGACGGCAGAGGTCAACGGTAGAAGTGGGACGGGGATATCTATGGGGAGATCGAAGGGAGAGATCGATCGTAGCGATAGTAGGGGAAAGGGCAAGTGTCGCTCTTTCGGCGTATTGTCTTCCAAGCTCGCCAGCACACTCGGCGGTGAGGAACCAGCAACCACTGAAGAGAAAGACAGGCCAGGTACTGGAGACCAAGAACAGGATGGCCTCGAGATTTACCAAGAGCAGTGCGGAGCTGGGGTCTACGCTACAAGAGAGCTAGTCCTACAATCCCAGCTCCGTACTGCTCTTGGTGAATCCCGAAGGTGTCTGTTCTTGTTCTCACTGACCTGGTCTATATTTCTCTCTGGTGGTCGCCGGCTCCGAGTGCCGAGTGTGCTGGATACCATTCGTCGGAATGAATGGATGAGCTTGGAGGACGACAGGCAGTAGGAGGGTTAATGGGGAATGAGAGGAATGGGGAGGAAGGGTAGTGAGAAGGGCGATATATATGGAGGGTATGTATGGAGGGTATGTATGGAGGGTATGTATGGAGGGTATGTATGGAGGGTATGTATGGAGGGTATGTATGGAGGGTATGTATG